TAATGGAACAACTCGCGATGTTTTATTGTCTCTGCTCACTCATGCTCCCAAGTCTAAAAAGTCCTGGTCTTGACGGTTTGCCTTTTGAATTGTATCAATATCTTGCTGGTGTTTCTACTGATTTTCTTGACTTGCTTGTGGATGTGTTGGGTGCAGCTTTTCTGGTGTGTTTCCTCCTTCGTGGCAACAAACTCGTATGGTCTTATTGTTCAAGAAGGGTGACCCTCAGTTGTTGGTTAACTGGAGACCTTTGTCCTTAATTACAGTGATGCCAAGTTATTTACAAAGCTCATTGCTAATTCGTATGAACAAAGTGTTGCCAAAGTTAATCAACCCTTATCAAACTGGTTTTCTCCTCATCGTCTGTCTCTGACAATGGCTGGTTAAATCAGTTGTTGATGTCTCACTTGCGTGTTGTTGCTCCTGATTTACCTCAAGTGGCTGTTTTGTTGGATCAAGAGAAGGCGTATGATCGGGTTCATCCTGAAATATCTTGTCGTGTGTTGCTCCGGTTTGGTTTTCCTGGTGAGTTGGTGTCTTGTCTGTCTTCTTTGTTCTTTGGAACCAAGATTTCAGTGTCTATCAATGGTTGGCTTGGTGCTCCTGTACCTCAATTGCGAGGTCTTCGTCAAGGTGATCCTCTGTCTCCATTGCTATTCAATCTGGCATTTGAGCCTTTGCTTCGTTCTCTCCTTGCTTGTCCTGGTCTTTCTGGTGTTACTCTGTCTCCTGTTAATATCCCACGTAAATGGAAGCCTTCACCGGTTGAAGTTCGTGTGGATCATGGTACTGGTTCCCGGAATTGGACTTTGGACTTTGTCAGTGGCTCTGTTGCTCCTCCTCCTGTCAAGATTCTAAGCTATGCGGATGATCTTGAGGTGTTTTTGTCTTCGCCAGAAGAGTGGTCTGTGTTGTTGTCTGTTCTTGATCTGTATGGCCGAGCATCTAATGCGAAAGTCAATATCAGCAAGACAGTGTTGGTGTCGTTGTCTGGTGTGTCACACTCTGCTTGGGTTGCTTTGGCTGATTCTACTGGTCTCCAGTGGCATGACGCTCACTCTCGTGGTGCAGTACGTTACTTGGGTTATCCCTTGTATCATACTGAAAGTCAACTTCAAGACTATCTTGATGGTGTCTTGGTGAAGGTCCAGCGACACAGTAACTTGATGAAACAAAGGAATCTCTCCATTAGGGGAGCAGGACTAGTGGCTAACTCGTTACTGTTGTCAAAGGTATATCATTTGTTGCGTGTTGTTCCTGGTGGTGCTACTACTGCGTCGTGGTTGAAGTCTCTCACTACGGTGGTCCGTGAGTATCTGGTGTCCTTTCGCCCTGGTGTTGCTTGGTCTACTTTGTGTCTCCCCCGCAAGTTTGGTGGTGTTGGTCTCGTGGATATAGCAGATCAAAGCTTAGCTTTGCATCTTGTCTATTTGCAACGTTTGTTGCGTCCACCCTCTCCCAGTGATTTTGTCTCCTCTTGGTTGGTGTACGCTTTTCAAGTTTACACTGGTCATAAGTCCATCTTGCCGTGGTTTTGTTTTCCTGGTCTTTACCAGTCTCGTGTGTCTTCTGTGCCTGCTCTAACACATCTTGGAAAGCTTCTGTTGAGATTGCCAAAGTTAGTTCCTTCCTCTGGTTGGTCTGCTAGGTGGTTTCTTGATCTTCCCTTGTGTTCTGTACTCAGTACTGTGCCTTCTGTTCGTCCTCCTCGTGATCCATCATCTCTTGATCCTCGTTTCTTGGTGTCGGATGTCTCTTTCTGGCAACCTGATCTAGGTATAGTTGATGGTGTCACCTCTCATCTTGCTTGGTCATCTCGTGTTTTGCGCCCTGTTTTTCTTGCCTTGAACCGTGATCGTGGTCCTGTCTCTCTGGTATTCCCGCCTGTCATGGATAGTAAGATAGTCTTGTCTCAAGCAGACTATTTTGCTATGCCCCGTTCTGATGGTGCTACCTCTTGGATGCCAGATTGTACACATTGGACTGTCTCCAACTCGTCTCGTCTCGTTCTGCTGCTCCGGTTGCTCGTCTCTCTCTTGGTGCTTTGCGAAGGTATTGGCACCCTGCAAAGGGTACCATTACCTCTCGTATGGGTCCTCCCTTGAAGTTGCCTGCCCATTTGTTGCTGTCTCCTGCTTTGTGGCGTCTTTTCTGGTCCCTGGAAATGCCTGCAAAGGCTTTCACACCTTGGTGGCGATTGCTACATGACCGTGTCCCGCACCGCTCGTGGTGTCATAAGATTATGCCTACAAAAGTTCTGTCTCCTGCTTGTGCTCTTTGTGGTTTTGCTACAGAGGACCTTTACCATTTCGTGGTGGGTTGCCATGTCAAGTCATTTTTCTGGCAGGATGTAGTCTCTTTGTTGTCACTTCAAGAGCTACTCCCCTCTGCTTCTTCTATTTGGTTGGCGCTGACTACCTTTTGTAGTGGTTCGGATTTGTTGGTGATCGATGAGGATGTTCTGATTGCTCTTGGTGCTGCTTACAGTACACTTTGGAAGTATCATTGGCGATGCGTCATAGACGAGGAGCCTTGGATAGCTTCTGCTGCTATCAACATGGTCCGTCAAGACCATAGTACACTCTTTTCTTCTCTTTCTTTGGCAAGTGTTCAAGCTGGCACCTTGGCCTTGCCTGTAATTACTGTATAGATTATAAATTTAAAGCTAATAAAGATACACTTTAATACAAAAAAAAAAAGGCAGGCTCTTTCGCGTATTCATCACTTTCTAAGAGGCTCTTTCGCGTATTCATCACTTTTTAAAAGTTTTCGATTACGCCATCTTTGAACAACGATATCTCGACAACTAGGATACATCCATCTTGCATCCAAGTATATTTAGATACATCCATTTCAGCTCTACAACATATCTTGATTTCAGATCGATTCAACAATTTTTCGTCGAATTCGTCTTCTTCACTACTTTTTCAACAACGCGACTTAGTTACACTCTAGATTACAAGTTACACTCTACGTCTGTTACACTCCATGTCTTCCCAATCTGAATTTACTTGGGCTCAAAGAGCTTCACGTCAAAAGGTGGGTCGATTTCTCCAACCCAACAAGCGACGATTGGACAATCCAACTGATGTACCACTGGTGGGTACTGTTCTCTATGAAGATGATGACCTGAAGGGTCAAATTTTGGCAAGCAAGGCTATGGCGATTATTCAGCAATCCCTTTCTTCTGGTTCTGTTCTGTTCACGTTTCAGAAAACTTTGTTTCCTGATCGTGTTGCCGCTTACAAAATGATTCAAGACCAAATCTCACCTGACGTGGAATTTCGACCTCTTAGTTTGTATGATTCTCGTGCTGATGGTTCTCTGCTGATTGAAGCCAGGTTTGCTCAGGTGGAGCATGCACAAGTGGCTATGCGTGAAGGGGTGAATGTACAAGGTGTAGTGTACAAAGCGTCTACCTCCAAGGAAAGTGCTGAATTTGGGGATGTCAAGCATGTGCGGTTTACACTTATGCGTATGGTGGACAAGACCACTTTTTTGTCGGATCTTATGGAGTCCTTGTCGTACTTTGGTAAGGTACTGCAAGTGAAGAAGTTTACTCACCGTGGTTACTTTGAGGGTAAACTTTCGGTGATTTTGGATACTTCTGTTGGATTTCAGGTAGGGGATGAGTGGCAGGAGGCCAAGCCCCTAGATAGAATGCTCTATCTGAGCGAATTTGACTGTTTTGTGCCAGCGACTTACCAAGGTGCTCCACCTGTTTGTCATTTCTGTCAACACAGCGGTCATGTTCGCGCCAAATGTCCTGAATTGGCTAGACGTCGTTGCTTTAGGTGCAATAAGCAAGGGCACATGTTGCGTTTTAGCCCTGAAAAGGAGGTTCAGTCTGCAAATTTCACCAAGAAGCACAAAGTTCACCATCATTCTGAGGATTCTGAGGATGTCACTCTGGCTCGTAAGAACACTGTGGAATTGATGGAGTATATTGAGAAGGAAAAATTAGGCCTAGGTAAGGAGGTGGAGAAGGTAGAAGAAGAAGAACTCGACTATCGTGTAGTCGAGGATGAATCTCTTCAGGGTGAAAGTGTTGACGAATCTGAAAATGATGAGTCCACTGGTAACGAGGATTTGGATCTTCTGAGTGAAGATAACCACCAGGTAAGTATGAATGAGGATGAGGACATGGAGGACGACAAGATTGTGCTTGCTGGAGCTCCCAAGAAGCTGGATACCGTGCGTGGTTCTGCCTACTCCAAGTATGCGTCTGCTGAGGTGGCTGTGAATATGAACATTGACTCGCCTGAGGAGATGTTGAATTTGACCAAGTTGAAGGATCTTGCTCAGCGCAAAAGAATGGAGTTCAATGCAAACCTGAAAGGTACTACTGGTGCTGGTGTAAACAGTGGTAGCAAGCTGGGTAACTCTGGTGGTGTTTCTTCTGGTACTGGTGCTAAGGATAACAAGTCTGGTGTTGCTTCTGGTGTTGCTTCCGGTGGTGTTTCTGGTGGTGTTTCTGGTGTTGTCAAGAATAGCAAGAACAATGGTAAATTGCCTCTCAAGACTAAGCAAGACGCCCGTAGGGCTCAATGAGTACAAAATTAGGCATCAAGATTGGCTCCTTGAACACGCGTAGCTTGTTCATGCAGTCTAATCCTACAAATTTCAAAGAGTTTTCATCTTATCTTCGCTCCTCCTCTCTCCATCTGGATATCCTTTGCTTGCAAGAGGTATCTCATTTCCGCTCTCAATCTACTCTTACTGAATCTCAAGTCCGTTCCTTTTCTTTTGCTTTTCCTAATTGTTCTCTCGTTGTGTCTAAACACTGTGCTATTATATGTCTTAATTCTCGGTTTTCCCTGGTGGATACGGAGGTATTGTTGGATGAACGTTGTCTTGTTGCATCTGTCGTAGATGCCTCAAGCAATGTTTTGTGCAAAGTGGCCAACATCTATGGTCCAGCGCAGTCTTCTGACCGTCCTTCATTTATCTCTGATTTTCTCTCTCTTTCTGTTTGGTCTGATGTGTTCAACACACCTTGGATGGTTATGGGTGATTTCAACATTCACTTGCACTCTTTGTCTACTTCTCGTCAAGCCGATGTCGCTCCTTTTGTTCACTGGTTGCGTACTCACTTTGTCAATTGTCATCCGGATGGTTTAGCTACGTTTCCAAAGAGCAATACTTGTATTGATTACATCTTTGGTCACTCTTCTCTTGCTCCTCGTTTGACTAATAGTCAGTTACTATATATGCCCAGTAGGTGGACGGATCACTCTCTTTTGACTGTTGAAATGTTGCCTGCGACAGCTAGTATTGGTCCTGGTAGTTGGCGGTTTAATCCAACTCTGCTTGATGATAAGGAATTTGTTGCGTTGTTGAATGCCACGGTGTCATTGTTCTTCTCTGGTGCTGTTGGTGGTGGGTCTAAGGGTGTCAATACTAGTCAAGGTAGTAGTGGTGACTCTGAAAGCACGGTGGCTAGATGGGAATCCTTCAAGTTGTTACTAAAGTGCTGTGCACAAAAGTACACTAGAAGCATGAAAGCACGATTCAAGAACAAAGTTTTTACGCTTCAACTGGAACGTATTAGGGCTCTGTCAACGTCTGTATCAGGTGTTGAGACTAGGAATGCTATTGATCAAACTGACAGAGTGTCTACTGCTACAGGTGATGCTGAGCAGCAGGTCAGGCAACTAGAAGTTTTGATTGAGAATCAGATACAGAAAGAGACTAGTCAGAATATGCTTCGCTCTGCCACTCGTTGGTTAGAACAGGGAGAACGTAGCAACAAGTATTTCTATCGTTCGATCAAGGTGCGAGAGTCTCAACAGACAATTCAATCCTTAAAGTGCTCTACTACTGGAGATATCTTGGTGGAAGCAGCAGCTATCAACAGGGAGGCACAAGGTTTTTACCAAAGGCTATATACCCCTGATGCTGTCGATGCTGAAGCTATCGATACTCTCCTGGGGAATGTTCCAACTGATGTACGTCTATCATCTTTGGATGGTGATATGCTAATGGAACTTCCAACTCGCGAGGTTTTGTTGTCTCTGCTCACTCATGCTCCCAAGTCTAAAAGTCCTGGTCTTGACGGTTTGCCTTTTGAATTGTATCAATATCTTGCTGGTGTTTCTACTGATTTTCTTGACTTGCTTGTGGATGTGTTGGGTGCAGCTTTTTCTGGTGTGTTTCCTCCTTCGTGGCAGCAAACTCGTATGGTCTTATTGTTCAAGAAGGGTGACCCTCAGTTGTTGGTTAACTGGAGACCTTTGTCCTTAATTAACAGTGATGCCAAGTTATTTACAAAGCTCATTGCTAATCGTATGAACAAAGTGTTGCCAAAGTTAATCAACCCTTATCAAACTGGTTTTCTCCCTCATCGTCTGATCTCTGACAATGGCTGGTTAAATCAGTTGTTGATGTCTCACTTGCGTGTTGTTGCTCCTGATTTACCTCAAGTGGCTGTTTTGTTGGATCAAGAGAAGGCGTATGATCGGGTTCATCCTGAATATCTTTGTCGTGTGTTGCTCCGGTTTGGTTTTCCTGGTGAGTTGGTGTCTTGTCTGTCTTCTTTGTTCTTTGGAACCAAGATTTCAGTGTCTATCAATGGTTGGCTTGGTGCTCCTGTACCTCAATTGCGAGGTCTTCGTCAAGGTGATCCTCTGTCTCCATTGCTATTCAATCTGGCATTTGAGCCTTTGCTTCGTTCTCTCCTTGCTTGTCCTGGTCTTTCTGGTGTTACTCTGTCTCCTGTTAATATCCCACGTAAATGGAAGCCTTCACCGGTTGAAGTTCGTGTGGATCATGGTACTGGTTCCCGGAATTGGACTTTGGACTTTGTCAGTGGCTCTGTTGCTCCTCCTCCTGTCAAGATTCTAAGCTATGCGGATGATCTTGAGGTGTTTTTGTCTTCGCCAGAAGAGTGGTCTGTGTTGTTGTCTGTTCTTGATCTGTATGGCCGAGCATCTAATGCGAAAGTCAATATCAGCAAGACAGTGTTGGTGTCGTTGTCTGGTGTGTCACACTCTGCTTGGGTTGCTTTGGCTGATTCTACTGGTCTCCAGTGGCATGACGCTCACTCTCGTGGTGCAGTACGTTACTTGGGTTATCCCTTGTATCATACTGAAAGTCAACTTCAAGACTATCTTGATGGTGTCTTGGTGAAGGTCCAGCGACACAGTAACTTGATGAAACAAAGGAATCTCTCCATTAGGGGAGCAGGACTAGTGGCTAACTCGTTACTGTTGTCAAAGGTATATCATTTGTTGCGTGTTGTTCCTGGTGGTGCTACTACTGCGTCGTGGTTGAAGTCTCTCACTACGGTGGTCCGTGAGTATCTGGTGTCCTTTCGCCCTGGTGTTGCTTGGTCTACTTTGTGTCTCCCCCGCAAGTTTGGTGGTGTTGGTCTCGTGGATATAGCAGATCAAAGCTTAGCTTTGCATCTTGTCTATTTGCAACGTTTGTTGCGTCCACCCTCTCCTAATGATTTTGTCTCCTCTTGGTTGGTGTATGCCTTTCAAGTTTACACTGGTCATAAGTCCATCTTGCCGTGGTTTTGTTTTCCTGGTCTTTACCAGTCTCGTGTGTCTTCTGTGCCTGTTCTAAAACATCTCGGAAAGCTTCTGTTGAGATTGCCAAAGTTAGTTCCTTCCTCTGGTTGGTCTGCTAGGTGGTTTCTTGATCTTCCCTTGTGTTCTGTACTCAGTACTGTGCCTTCTGTTCGTCCTCCTCGTGATCCATCATCTCTTGATCCTCGTTTCTTGGTGTCGGATGTCTCTTTCTGGCAACCTGATCTAGGTATAGTTGATGGTGTCACCTCTCATCTTGCTTGGTCATCTCGTGTTTTGCGCCCTGTTTTTCTTGCCTTGAACCGTGATCGTGGTCCTGTCTCTCTGGTATTCCCGCCTGTCATGGATAGTAAGATAGTCTTGTCTCAAGCAGACTATTTTGCTATGCCCCGTTCTGATGGTGCTACCTCTTGGATGCCAGATTGTACACATTGGACTGTCTCCAACTCGTCTCGTTCTGCTGCTCCGGTTGCTCGTCTCTCTCTTGGTGCTTTGCGAAGGTATTGGCACCCTGCAAAGGGTACCATTACCTCTCGTATGGGTCCTCCCTTGAAGTTGCCTGCCCATTTGTTGCTGTCTCCTGCTTTGTGGCGTCTTTTCTGGTCCCTGGAAATGCCTGCAAAGGCTTTCACACCTTGGTGGCGATTGCTACATGACCGTGTCCCGCACCGCTCGTGGTGTCATAAGATTATGCCTACAAAAGTTCTGTCTCCTGCTTGTGCTCTTTGTGGTTTTGCTACAGAGGACCTTTACCATTTCGTGGTGGGTTGCCATGTCAAGTCATTTTTCTGGCAGGATGTAGTCTCTTTGTTGTCACTTCAAGAGCTACTCCCCTCTGCTTCTTCTATTTGGTTGGCGCTGACTACCTTTTGTAGTGGTTCGGATTTGTTGGTGATCGATGAGGATGTTCTGATTGCTCTTGGTGCTGCTTACAGTACACTTTGGAAGTATCATTGGCGATGCGTCATAGACGAGGAGCCTTGGATAGCTTCTGCTGCTATCAACATGGTCCGTCAAGACCATAGTACACTCTTTTCTTCTCTTTCTTTGGCAAGTGTTCAAGCTGGCACCTTGGCCTTGCCTGTAATTACTGTATAGATTATAAATTTAAAGCTAATAAAGATACACTTTAATACAAAAAAAAAAAGGCAGGCTCTTTCGCGTATTCATCACTTTCTAAGAGGCTCTTTCGCGTATTCATCACTTTTTAAAAGTTTTCGATTACGCCATCTTTGAACAACGATATCTCGACAACTAGGATACATCCATCTTGCATCCAAGTATATTTAGATACATCCATTTCAGCTCTACAACATATCTTGATTTCAGATCGATTCAACAATTTTTCGTCGAATTCGTCTTCTTCACTACTTTTTCAACAACGCGACTTAGTTACACTCTAGATTACAAGTTACACTCTACGTCTGTTACACTCCATGTCTTCCCAATCTGAATTTACTTGGGCTCAAAGAGCTTCACGTCAAAAGGTGGGTCGATTTCTCCAACCCAACAAGCGACGATTGGACAATCCAACTGATGTACCACTGGTGGGTACTGTTCTCTATGAAGATGATGACCTGAAGGGTCAAATTTTGGCAAGCAAGGCTATGGCGATTATTCAGCAATCCCTTTCTTCTGGTTCTGTTCTGTTCACGTTTCAGAAAACTTTGTTTCCTGATCGTGTTGCCGCTTACAAAATGATTCAAGACCAAATCTCACCTGACGTGGAATTTCGACCTCTTAGTTTGTATGATTCTCGTGCTGATGGTTCTCTGCTGATTGAAGCCAGGTTTGCTCAGGTGGAGCATGCACAAGTGGCTATGCGTGAAGGGGTGAATGTACAAGGTGTAGTGTACAAAGCGTCTACCTCCAAGGAAAGTGCTGAATTTGGGGATGTCAAGCATGTGCGGTTTACACTTATGCGTATGGTGGACAAGACCACTTTTTTGTCGGATCTTATGGAGTCCTTGTCGTACTTTGGTAAGGTACTGCAAGTGAAGAAGTTTACTCACCGTGGTTACTTTGATGGTAAACTTTCGGTGATTTTGGGTACTTCTGTTGGATTTTAGGTAGGGGATGAGTGGCAGGAGGCCAAGCCCCTAGATAGAATGCTCTATCTGAGCGAATTTGACTGTTTTGTGCCAGCGACTTATCAAGGTGCTCCACCTGTTTGTCATTTCTGTCAACACAGCGATCATGTTCGCGCCAAATGTCCTGAATTGGCTAGACGTCGTTGCTTTAGGTGCAATAAGCAAGGGCACATGATGCGTTTCTCTCCTGAGGGTAAGCAGGCAGATTATCTCAAGAAGAGGAAGCTGGCTGAGCCATCTGAGGGATCGCAAAAGGTCCAGAAAGCACGTGATGCAGCCGACCTGGTGATGGATCTTTTTTTTGTTTTTTTTTGTATTAAAGTGTATCTTTATTAGCACCCTGGTGATGGATCATATTGATCAGGAGAAGTTTGGACAGGGTAAGAATGATGAGGATGTTGATATTCCTGAATCGGATTTGGAGGAAGAGCAGCAGCGAGATAAGAACATGGATCATCAGGGGAGAATTTTTCAACAGACGAGCTGCATGACGATATGGAAGAAGATGAAGCGGTGTTGGCTGGTGCAGGTAAATCGAAGGTCAAGGGTTTGGTCTTCTTAAAGTACGCGCCAAACAGTATTGCCATATCATGCAGGTTGATAACCGTGAGGAAGTGATGGGTCGGACTATGCTGTGCTAAGATATCCAGCGCAAACATCAAGTTACGGATGTCAAGATCAATCAAGTTTCTAGTGTTTCTGGTTACAAGACTGAACTCAAGAAGGGTGTCTCTTCTTCCTCTACTGGTGGCGTTGATGCTAAGGGTAGCCATTTTTGGTGTCCTTAATAATGGTGCTGGTGTTCGTGGTATCAAGAATAGCAAAACTGATGGCCACATGCCTCTCAGGGCTAAGATGCCCATAGGGCTCAATGAATACAAAATTAGGTATGAAGATTGGCTCCTTGAATACGCGTAGCTTGTTCACGCAGTATAATCCTACAACATTCAAACAGTTTTATTTTATCTCCGCTCTCAGTCTCTCTCCTTCTGGATATTCTTTGCTTGCAAGAGATGTCTCATTTCCGCTCACAATCTACTCTCACTGAATCTCAAATCCTTGTCTAGTGCTGTTGGTGGTGGGTCTACGGGCGTCAATACTAGTCAAGGTGATAGTGGTGGATCTGAAAGCACGGTAATTTTTAATTACGGAACCACACAGTTACAGTTATATTTGCTATTCTCGAGCAGAGTGTACCAAACTTAGTCTTTGCAGTGAAATCAGGTTTGAATAGATTTCATAAAAAAAATAAAGCAATAGTAAAATACAATAGAAATCAACTGTATTTTATTTGTGTATAAGATGAACTGAAGATCCTGGAATTGAGTAAAAAAAGAAGAGTATTTATACATTTGCAACTAGCTTGTAGGATTAGTGATGATAGAGAGCAATAGGTTCTGCTATTGCGATATCTGGCAAATGTTGTGGATGTTTGATTTACAGTGGTAATCAATGCAAGAGCACTGGCCATAAGGGTCGATTTGAGTAACCTTGATGGGCTTGGGTGAGCTATCGTCATAGCATGATTTAATGTAACCTTGATGGTTTAAAGTGTGATGTTTGTTATTGAAGTATGGAATCCTTTATCTGGGATGTTGTGCAACTATGGCAGCAGGGCATAGTTGTCATATTTGATTATGCTTGCTATTGATTTGATTTTGTTTGGATAAAGATAACATCTCCTATTACGACCATCATGGGTGTAATTGAATACACTGTGATCAGGAGTGATTCATTCACACGATTTGCGATATAAGCGTGTATCTTTAGTATGTTTAAATGGTTGTTGATGTACACTTAAGCGCGTTTATTAATAGATTCAAATAGCATGAATTTGAATGAGTGCTATTTGATGAATTTCGGTTTTCAATCAAGTTGCGTTTGGGTGGCTATTTCATTACAGTGTTGATGCTCATTACCTCGCCATTGCAGTACCTGCAACTTCTAATAATATCCACTGGTTCTACAAAGCTCTCTTGTTTTTCTTTTAACGTATATTAAAGGTGTTTAGAATAACAAAATATAGACAGAGTAAATACAATTAGAACTGAATATATTTATTATGTTATTCCAAGATTGAATAGGGATCAAAACTAGTGTAGATATCAAAGGTATTTATAGTTATTTGACAGTGCCGCAGCAATAGGACCTTGATCTTGAATGCGGGATAATTGTATAAGCCTTGAACCAGTAACGAGGATGTGCTGCATCAGAACTCATGAACCACCAGTCAAGGATAAACAACAAAGATGATCCAGGATAGAATGTTCTTCCTAATAGCTTTGACGGAAGAACATTTGTCGGAATTGAAACCCACTTCCAGGGACGAAAGACCATAGGCTACCACTCTCTAGGAACCAGGATATAGATTAGCCATTTGATGGCACCACTCATGTTCCTTCGTGCTGCTTGAATAAAGACCTCTCGCTTCTACTATGCATCTCAGCTCATTCTCAGATCCTCTTATGTAATAAACGACGCTTAATACATTTGCCTCTCAGAGATGATCTATATCCTCAACATTCGTCCCCACCAGAATCGATAATACTGCAAGAATTGTCGATTCGATAAACACTACATCACAGGAGATAGATCACACAAGCTTGGCTCGTTGAAATACTTCCTATGTGTTATCATGAATTCGGAACAATGGCCATTAAAACATCCCAATCAATGTAAAACCCAATGGGAAAAAAAACAATGATCAGGTAAAAAGGTACACTGCTACCACAACACATGACAACACCCTCTCGATCACCACTCTTACCTCGTCCCCACTGTCGCTCACCTTCCCACTTATCCTGTCTTCTTCCTAACATAAGTGGCCCGACGCCGCTTCGCTGGGGATTGAGGAGCCCCCGCCTGATCTGCTTCCCCAGTGGCAGCGCGTTTCCTCTGTTGCTTACTCGGCATTTGAGCCACTCGCTCTCGGATGCGCCCTTCTTCTTGCTTCTGCAGCTGCACATGCTTTTGCCAATATCTTTGCAAAATATGGGGATCCGATACATCTTCTGCAGTTATCCACGAACACATGCGTTCACCATAGCCCTTCCATTTGATGAGATACTCACGATTCGCTGCTTTGCCCCTATGATCTCGAATCGCCTCAATTTCGAAATACTCATCATCAATGGCCTTTTCATCTATGTTCACCACCTTTAGCTCGGATGGTACATAGTTGCGATGAAGAATCTCATTCATTTCATCCTTCAACTCGTATGACCCGCCTTGATTTCTACGAATGACCGTATATGGACCATCATAAATGGGACTCAACTTGCTTGGTCGTTGACGTATCTTTACCATCACATGAGCACCCACTGGAATGTCCACGAGCATATGCTTGTCATTAAACCTCTTCTGCATAATCGCATTCATCTTGGCCTCTCGTTCATTGATCGCTGGAAATACCACCTTGTGCATGTAGTCAATACGCTCTTCAAGCTCTTTTACTGACGTGATATCCTTAGGGATCAAGTATTTGTCTTTGTTGGCATAATCCTCTGGCAGTGTAACTCGCCTGGCAAACATCAGCGAGAACGGCGAAGTCATCGACTTATTCTTGATGTAACGATTACAACAAAGCTGCACAATTGGAAGGTAATCGCTCCATTCTCGCGCATTAGAGTTACACATTTTTCTCAGCGTATTCATCACAATTTTCACACTCGCCTCCGCACTCCCATTACCTCTGGCTGCGTATGGGGTAGAATAGTTGCGCTGCAAACCTAGGTTCTCACTGATTGCCTGAAGCAAGTGATTCTCGAATTCCCCACCATGATCGCTCTGCATAATAATAGGAAATGAGTAATCCCCAAACACCTTAATCAATTCTCTAGCAATGCTCGTTGCTTCCTTCGACTTTAATGGGCGCACAATCACATACTTGGTACACAGATCTGTGACAACCATTATATACACATATCCATCAAAGGTCATCGTCATTGGGCCACCCAAATCCACTGACACATGCGACATCGGCTGAAGCGAAACTACATTCTTGAGCGGATGCCACCCTCTCTTTGCAATATTGTGCTTCTGACATTCTGGACAGCTACTGACCAACCTCTTAGCATCTTCATACACATTAGCCCAATGCAACCCTTGCGAGTGCAATTCTCTCACAATCGCCTGTGCGCCATAATGCCCAAACATGTGAATCTCTTGTAAAATCTCATCTCGCTCTTCCTCAGGAGGTGTCATGTAATCAAGATCTTCCTTCGCATTTTCAATCACTTGTGTGGCAAAGATATTTACTGCTTGATCTTTGCTATACCGCTTCTTCTTAATCATATTTTTTGCACCACGATTCTTGCGATTTTGCTCATGTCTCTCCCGACTACGCTCTTCACTTTCCTCCACTATTAACTGCGTACTCTCATTCTCCACAGGTGGATATAGTCTGCTCAATAAATCCGGAAAAATGTTCATTGCTCCTGGTAAATGCACGACTTCAAATGTAAAATCTAGGATAGTCTCAATCCATCCAGCCATCATAGGGTTTACCACTTTCTGAGAATGCAAATACACTAATGCTCGATGATCTGTCAGTACCCGGAACGCACGCCCATAAATGTACGTTTGAAACTTCCGCAACGCCAACACAATCGCATACAATTCTCGCTTCGTTGTGGACCAACGACGCTGCGCTGGACTCAGTGTGCTTGAAATAAAACCCACATACCTATGACGCCCCTTGTCATCTTCTTGGTAAATCACAGCCGCTACTCCATACAAACTGGCATCACACGCAATAATAAATTCCTTGTCGAAATCTGGGTAATTGATCAACAAATCCGCTTGCAATATCTTCTTAATTGCCTCAAAACACTCTGTATGTTGATTCGTCCAGTGCTTCATCACATTCTTGTTGTCTTTAATGAGGTCCGTGATCGGAGCCGCCACTCTATAGATCATTGGAATATGTGAACGCAAATAATTCACTAATCCCATGAACTGCTGCACTTGTTTCTTGGTTGAGGGTACAGGCCAATTCGCCACATTTGTACATTTGGATTTGTCTACTCGGATGCCCTTTTCATCGACCACAAAGCCTAACAACCGCACCTTTCTCTGCATAAAATGGCACTTGCTCGGCTGTAAAATCAATTTTGCCTCTGTAAGCCGATCAATCACCGTTTTTACGGCTACCTTGTAATGCTCAAAATCCACGCCAGCGATAATGATATCGTCTAGAAAATTCTGCGTAGTAGATACCACTCGTCCTGACTCGTCACGCACTTGTTGCAATCCTGCTAGCAACGTAGATAGTGTAAATTGATACTGGCTTGGCAGCTGGCATAATCCAAAACAAGCCTTCAAGAAATAATATCCTTGGCCGTTAAAACTAAAGCTACATTTAAATTGGCTCTCTTTTTCAATAGGAAATCTGTGGTAAGCATCCTTCAAATCCGTGGTCCCAAAATACTTCATACCACTCAAGTTCTCAAAGATGTCTTTTACTAAAGGAATTGGGAAATTGTAGGGAGGTGGCAAAATACTATTCAACAAACGCACATCCAGACACACACGATGATCCACTACATTTCCCAACTTGTCACGCTTTGGTACCACCAGCAAAGGGCTATTAAAGGACGAATTGATTCTCGAACGTCCGATCGTCTTGGTATCCAACCACTTTTGAATTTGTCTCTCTACTACAGGCTTCAACGACTCAGCAATCGGATAGGGACGACGATGCGCCGTCGCTCCTTCTTTTGTAGGTAATTTCACTATAGCTTCTGGCAATGGACAACACGACTCGATAGGTATCTCTTCATTTCTCTTTAAGGCTTCGCTCATATATGTCTTAAACTCCTGACGCTCTTCCTCAGTACCCGCAGGTGAGTTATCCGCCTCTAAATGTTTGCCCTCAAAGTCCAAATTGATATTCTCAAACATTCTTTCATTATGTTCTGTAGCATCTGAATGCTGATGCTCACTGTCGATGCGAAACGCCACACCAGTAAGCCCAATATTCATCTTTGGCAACACATCCACTCCCAACAGGACATCAAAGTCCAACCCTTGCTCAAACGGAACCACTTCTAATGCATGTTCAAATACAATGCCATTAGCATATTTAAATTTCAATGGAAATGTCATTGCCACTCGCTTCACAGACTTGGATAAAAATTTCAGGTACCCATCAACTTTTCTCACTTTTTTGATCTTAAGCACATTTATTAGAAACTTCAAACTAATACAACTAATTTGGGACCCGGTGTCCACCTTGCCAATGACCTTGATATTCTTAGATTCTACACATATCAACAACGGGGTCAACAACGCAAAGTAATTAGTTTCTGCTTTGTTCACATTCACACTAGGCAACTTACATTGGAAAGCCAACTCACTCATCAGCTGATCTTGATCAGCGACACTATTGGCATCGTCTGCATTGGCATCCCTCGAAGCTGATGCCCCTGGCGAGGACGACGACTCATTGTCCTTGGTAACCACACTTGCCGCGAAGACCTCATGATTCAGAGCCGTGTTGGACGGACCAACCCCAGGAGGACGACGAGTGCCGCAATCATGTCCTCTTTCAAAAGGCTTCCAACACTTCACGCATTTGCCTTCACTCCTGGCCTTCTCGAACTTCAAAAACTGACACTCCTTAGATCCATGGGAATCATTCGGACCATGCTGCTTACAATGATACTTCTTGGTTCCACCACTACTCTCCACTCGCTTGAACCCTCCATAGTTACGTCTTCCACTTGATGACATCCCTCTTGACGATCTTTGGTACCCACGACGCTCTTGACGATCCTCACTCGCAGAACCCACCTCATTCACCGCAGCACCTGGCAGCAAAGCTGTTGCATGCGCATAGAAACGGTTGTCATCTCCCAACACATCGCGCGCCACTTGGGTAATTCGATCCACTGTCCACGACTCAGTGCCTTGTTCTCTCACCAAGGTAATGCGCACAGCCGTTTGTACCGGCAAGATTAACGACGCCATGAAGCGATCAGCCACTCTTGGATCATCCAACTGGAGGCCCGCATTGTACACTGCTTGCTGGAATCGACACGAGTAATCCATAATGGATTCAGACGCACTCATCACCATCGTAAACACTAAATCCGTATTGCGACGAGTAATCACTGCAGACCCAAAGCGTCTAGAGAACACTTGCTTCGCTTCCCACCACGAGCTGCACTTCAACAAAGTCTTGTCGACCCACGCACGATCCCCATTGGGCATACACAACGGAAGTAACTTGGCCCACTGCGCTTCCAAGTCCAACGATGATGAATTCAAGATGCTCTCAAAAGTACGCAAGTAATGATCTACGCTCTCAAACACTTCTTCGTTGGGAAAAGCCTTCACCGCTGCAGAAGCCAACTGGAATTTGGGTAAATCGCGACGATTCAGAGCCAAATTTTCACTACGCATCATTCCACGACTCATCGCACTTGTCTTGGGCTTGACCACATCCCGATAGCTACGCAATTCCACAATCGCATCCTTATTGCTGCTAATCACTCGCAAAGCCTCATGACGCTCTCTCGCAGTAGGTGCCGTTGCTACCACCTTCAACAATTTCGCATTTTCTTCACGTAATGCCTTCAACGCATGCTCTAATGAAGCTTCTTCACTTGCTTCCATCGCCTCACTCAATGGCTCAGCTGCGGACTTCCCCCCAGATCCAACCTCTCCACTCACACTCTCCAGAGGCTCAAACGCAGACAAAGCCGAAGAACCACCACCAAGTTCAGCCATCAATTCGTCTTCATCAAGCACTTGACCGTCTTGAGACAGAACCTCGGTAAGACCATCCATAGAAGGATTGAGATCGAAATCTTCCAGCGTAACAGAACGACCAGCCGCAGTAGCCCCAGGGACTTGAATCGAACCATTTGCTGAACCAGCAGTAGAATTAGAGGACACAGAACCAGCAGACATTCTTGATTTAGGATTGGGATAATATAATGCAATATATAGAGGTACAGTAATTAATTGTAAAAAATGTTTAGAATAACAAAATATAGACAGAGTAAATACAATTAGAACTGAATATATTTATTATGTTATTCCAAGATTGAATAGGGATCAAAACTAGTGTAGATATCAAAGGTATTTATAGTTATTTGACAGTGCCGCAGCAATAGGACCTTGATCTTGAATGCGGGATAATTGTATAAGCCTTGAACCAGTAACGAGGATGTGCTGCATCAGAACTCATGAACCACCAGTCAAGGATAAACAACAAAGATGATCCAGGATAGAATGTTCTTCCTAATAGCTTTGACGGAAGAACATTTGTCGGAATTGAAACCCACTTCCAGGGACGAAAGACCATAGGCTACCACTCTCTAGGAACCAGGATATAGATTAGCCATTTGATGGCACCACTCATGTTCCTTCGTGCTGCTTGAATAAAGACCTCTCGCTTCTACTATGCATCTCAGCTCATTCTCAGATCCTCTTATGTAATAAACGACGCTTAATACATTTGCCTCTCAGAGATGATCTATATCCTCAACAAAAGGAGGAAACCATTTTCAAGATAGATATACTACTTCATCGATATATCTAGCAGTAGCTCCTTCTTGGCCGCAATCCTGAGGAAAAAATTCTAATTTCAGACGCTTTATTAGACAGGAAACCAATAAAATATCCAATTAATTATGCCGTTCGATAGGTTTGAATGAGATGTTGAACCTATCGGACTAGATGAGCTCTACATAATTCAGCTAAGTTAGATCAAGACATTCATTGTTATTCTTAATGATGGAAGGAATTATAAGGGTTAAGCTGTAGATGTTTGGGAATATCCATATGGTTCAAACTTGCTATCGTTAATTGAGCTCTGAAGTTGTAATTACTAGAACACTAATCTCAATCAACCAATTGACCGGATGCTTCCTGAAATGTACTATGTTATACAAAGTGTTTAGGAACTCTATCTTACTAATTCCTGATTGCTAAAGGAAGGTTGACTTGTTGAACGATGATATTTGAATTTTATAAAACGATTCCGTAATGGCTTTCAATAAAGGTTTTTCAGTTTTAGTGTCTAGTCATTTTCTATACGTCCCTTTTCAAGTTTCTGCAAAAATCTTCTTTATTACTATATTTGTATCTTTTCTAGTCAGGATACAAGATAAGAATTACAGTATTTTCTTTACACAATCAGTGTTAAGTTGTTAGCTTACTGATTTGAGTACTAATAAAGAAAACCTTGAATTTTTGGAGTGTTAGTGTTAAGCACAAAGAATAAAAGAATTATAATTTGTAGCTTATAAAAAATGTTTGATATTATTACAAAAACAAGAAAAGCCCTATAATAAGATCAAACACATAAACTAAATATTTATTAATGAAGACAAGAGTTATCCTATTTACACTAAATTCTGAATGCCAAAGTAGCAATTTATATTGTACAACGCGTATCGCGTGTGGTGAACCTCAGCATCTAGTTAGCTGAGACGCACTTCAATTATCATAACTTGTCCATGTTGGTGCACAACACAAACATATTTACCCAACAAGTACACCTTAGTCTTTATAGACACTTATAGCCCTTCTGCAACAGTTAGAATACTATGTAAAGTCCAAGCGTGGAGGCTGCTCTAATGTCTTCACTCTCCTCAGATACTTATTTTTCCGCATTCTTATCAATAATATACAAACTAAAAAGTGATTCACAACTGAGGCACTAAAGGGCACCTTTCAGTTTTTAAATTTTGCGAAAAGAGCTAATTTTGAGCAAGCTATTCCAATTCATTGTTCGATCACAGTTTTTTGACCTCAACCCTAAGGCGAAATTTCTAGTTTTTGCCGTTCTACTGAAGGTAGAAACAGTATATTATTCCAAAAAATATACAAGCCAATGCGTCTGATAGAAGACTACAATATCTACTTAGTAAATTAATATAGTTTACTTGCAGCTTTCCGAGTTAATGATGAAGAAGTGGAAATTTTTGAGCTTCAAATATGCATTTCAAGCTCACCTTACAAGCCATTTGAATGTCCGACTAAAAGGGGTCCAACCGGGTCCACTTATCTTGGATGCTGGATTTCTACATGATCTTATAAACTATCAGTTCAAAAGATATAAATCAAATTGAGGCACAAACGGATACCTCTTAATTTAAAATTCTGCTCAAAAAATTGCTATTTCTATTATAAAAAGACCTCTGACTTTTACCACACAACTTTGCAGTGTCTAATGCCATTCATACAGTCTTATATGATCGTATTTGTTGCTTGGGAATCTCTGCCGCTAGGCTTGCGTTAGCTCGTATAATCAACATTAATAAGCAACACAACAACGATACATTCTCATTGGTTAGTACCTGTCCCGGAGAGTCAAATGCGTTGAGAAACAAAAAAGTTGTCAAGGAAAAAAAAGGCATGGACCAATGAGTCTTTCTCAAAGCGATACTATGTAGAGTAATAAATTTCAAAAGACTTATCACGTTCTTAGATTACATCTGTAATCCATGGTACTGTATAATAGTACTGTATGGAATGAAATAGCCATTCTATTGAAAGCCGGAGTTCCTCAAATACCACTCATTCTAATTAATGCTATTTGAATCTACAAAGAAAGCGCTCCGATGTGCATTAACAATTATTTAAACATACTAAAGCAAAGATGCGCTCTTATATCTCGCACATCGTATGAATAAATCATTCCTGATCACAATATATCCAATCAAACTCATGATGGTCGTAATAAGTGATGCTACCTTTATCCACATAAAACGGAATCAATAATAAACATATTCAAATCTGACAACTATGCCCTGATGCCATAGTTACACAATATCCCAGGTAAAGGGCTCTATACTTCAATAACAAACATTATGCCTTAATCTGTCAGGATTACATTATATCATGCTATGACGATAGCTCATCCAACAAGCCCATTAAGATTACTCAAATCGACCCCTACGACCAGTGCTCTTGCATTAATTACCACTTTAAATCAAACATCAACAACATTTGCCAGATATCGCAATAACAGCACCTATTGCTCTCCATCATCAATAATCCTACAAGCTAGTTTCAAATATATTAATGCTCTTCTTTTTTTTACTCAATTCCAGGATCTTTAGTTCATTCTATACACAAAACTAAATAAAATACAGTTGATTTCTATTATTGTATTTTACTATTGTTTTATATTTTTTTGTGAAATCCCTCTAACCTAATTTCACTGCAGATCTTACGCAAGTCCTGTATTTACTTATGACCAGCTTTATGCTGCCGTCTCAAGAGCAACATCAGCGAATGGATAAATCGCTCTCCTGACTCTGTTATAACCCATTTTATATTATTAATTGGTTGTTTAAAATCTACTTATATAGCAGATTTTTATTATTACTGATTTGAAATGTCTACCGCGACAGCTCGCTGGGCAACACCGTCATCGAGCGTAGCGAAATTGCATCTAATTCAATATTTGGTAATATTAGTCTTAATGGGTTTTATCGTAGCAAAGCAAAGGTGCAAAAACCATAGTGTTTAAGCAGCAAATTTGGTTGCTCATTTCCATTGATTATTATCAAGCTTACCAGCAACATAAAGTATCAAAATTTGCATGAATTAGCTTTACCAAAATCAATATGCCTCCTACTCGAATTAGAAGTTGTACAGGCTGCAGAACTGCCCTTCTAGCTACCAAAGATGTGGTTCATGCTGTGTAAATATAAGTTATATAACAGCAAAAACATAATCAAAATGGATAGTTTTCCAGCCTTCATATCTTGATATGTAGATCTTTCTGAACCACCAAAATGACACTAAACAACTATACTTGAGTCGTAGTAAAATCCTGACACCTTTTTTCAACTTTTTGAGGATCCTCAAAAAATATGGCCAAAAATCGATCAAAAACCATGAGGGGCACCGGGGGTGGCTAACGTACTAACAGAATATCGTCTTCATTCGCCATACATTTTTTTTCAATCCTGACATGTCAATTAAATCTAACAATGTATTCGATTTCTTGTATAAGACAACTAGCCGATCGATCTTGCTACGCTGGATGATGGCGTTACCCTGCGGGCTCTCGCCGAAGACATTTCAATTCAGAGATATTACATAGATTTTAGACATTCAATTAATAGCGAGAGATTATTGTCATTGCAAAAAAACACATTTACAGGGGAAAACTCTGAACAAAAGTAAGTATATATACATATATTTGGACTAAGTAGCTGTCCTTTCAAATATATGGTCTCCACTGGGTCAATATCGCAATTATCATTGTCATCATCAGAAAGGCATTCGGGTAGGCCAGCATCAGCGAAGCCTGCCAAAGTCGATTCAACCTCAGCTAATTTTTTTGTTCAAAGCTTGGGCGGGGATAACATACCTGGGGCAAAACTCCGGCCCTAATAAGATAAATGATTGGTTTATATTGGCCAATAAAATCATAAATTAGGGCCGGCCATAGAAATATATATGAAATTTAAAAGCCTTACTATACTTTTAAACCTAATCTGATTTACCCCTTTCTCCCTTTTATATTCATTTATTTATGCGTTTTGTGAACAGTAATGGGGAAAGTTACCAAACATAGCAACAATAAAAACAAAGGAAAAGCACGAAGCTTTTCTACCCTTCGATTTTCTGCTACCGAAGGCTTTATTTCGAATCAAGCTACAATCACACAAGCCTTCAAGCGAGTAGCTAAATTCAATGCAGCAGCAACAAGTATTGATCCTTCAAGCAGCTCAAATCAGGGCGAGTCATCAACACCTGAAAGCCAAGAAGAGCGCTCTGTCCCTGAAGAGGCTGGATTAGAAGAGGGTGAAGAGAACTGCGAGGCTGAAGACAATGATACTGTCCAAGATCTCCCTCTCAACACTCAGCACAGAGACTTTTTTGAATCTCTTTGTGCCCGCTTGCATGAGGACGGACGTCCTGTTGAATACGACAGGAACACTTTTTGGGTGGAGCCAGTTAATCCCTATTTTGCACTGCTGAAGAAGATACCGGCGAAAGAGGAACCCAATAAAAGCCTATATCAACCTCGAGTATTTTTGTGGTTACCTCATCACTTGCTTCCACACAGGCCCAAGTCTTTAGAATGCCCCAGGTGTAAATCTCCATTGAAAAGCAAAGGTTTCAACAAGGATCCGCATGCTATAAGAATCGTTGATCTTGCAAGGTAAGTAAAAGTAGAGTAGTTAAAGGCTGACACGTTGGCTTGATTGCTAATATGAAACTTAGTTGTTTCTATCTGTTGTCATGCAGATACGAATGTACAGTGACTGGATGCAAAAAGCCTGGATTTGAAGACTCATGGCAATCTCACGACCCCATCATTATGCGACAATTGCCACAGGAGCTTCAGATGGAATTCCCTGCCGTTTTGACTAGCAAAGGAGGTGTTTCCAAAACTGTCGCAAATCTCCTTCGTCCGTGCATGCAAAACTCAATGGGTCCTCAGAGATTCCAAAAGTTACTCCGAGAATTGCATGTTCTTCGTCATGATCAGCTGGAACTCCAGTACTTACTGTCATGTTTGGCTAAAAAGAAAGGACTCCTCGGGAACTATTCGTTCCTCCCTTACTCGAATTTTGAAGACCCTCACCGGTGTGCTGGTTATGTACCAAGTGCCACTTATTTCAGGACTTTGTACGCAGCAATGATCGAGGAACTCAAGCCAAAGATGGACAAACATGCCATGCTTCTTGACGGCAAGGTGCTTAAGTGCGATCACTCTTTCAAATTCCCGAAACATATCGCTAAAATTGAGGATACTGGTGTATTCACTGCCTTGTTCACCGTGACGAATGAGTATGAGGAGATCGTACATCAGGTTCTGGTCCCCTCAAAGTCTTTTATCTATCTGAAGCATTCATTGCAAAAGATGAAAGAAGCATACGAACTTTATGGACATGAGATGCCGGTAGCTTTCTTCACTGATAATGTGCAAATCACTACGGCCCAACTGATGTTCTCACAGAACATGGATGTGCTCTTTTGGGAACATCGATGTTCTCATTTGAGGTGTAGTTTTCCACACGAATAAAATGGTTTGAATAGCTAAAACTATAATACTGTAGGCAACAGAGAGACTTTTATTATCTGTAAAATTCATAAAATTACTAAACGTATTATAAATTGCACGAGAAATTGGCAATTTAAAATTACCTAATAACTACTTATTAAAGTAAAAGAATATATTTCAATAAGATATTTGAGTGATTTAGTGGGAAGAACGTCAGATCCACAACCGATAGGTTGTGGGTTCGACCCCGTTAGGAGCATTCTTTTTTTCAAATTTCTGAAAATCGATGTGCTCATTTGAGAACATCAGTTGGGCCTTAGTGAAAGCGATAAACGATTCTTGGAGAGCATCTTCGACTCTTTGAAGGTCATTCAAGAGGTCCCACGTCAGCAAGAGAGAGCAAAGAGCAACGCAAACCGGTCATTCCTCAGGCTGCCAAATGAAGTTGAGGTAGATTATCTCAATCGTGATGTAGGGTTGATTATTAGGAAGATGAAGGATCTGAATGACAAGTTGACAGTCGAGAGAAACGCTGGCAAGCCCTCGGTTATTGGACTTGACACAGAGTGGAATGTGAATGACGATCCGCATTACGATCAAGTTGATGTCATTCAGATTGCTCATGGCAATACAGTGGACGTTCTGCATATTGATAGATCCTGGCTCGCACTTCCCAAGGAGCTTGTAGATATGCTTGTAAATGCTGATATCACGAAAGTTGGAAGAAGCATTGGTGTTGATTTCTCTCGTCTCAATAATCGATTCGGAATTGAATGCAAAACGAAGTTGGAGCTAGGATCATTCTGTTCTGCACGGCAGCTAATCTCAACAGGTACAATGTCATTGCCAGACATTTCGCTATTTATACTTGGTGCCCCTCTTGATAAAGGCCCTCAAAGAAGCGCATGGAATATGGCTGACCTCTCGCCAGATCTAAATTATGTTGCAATTGATGCTAGGGCTAGTTTGGCCATCTACAGTGTTGCTGTGAATCATCTGCCTGTTGGTAATCGTGTGCTTCCTACCTGTCCAGTTGGTTCCTTTGTAGATGTGATGCCTCCACAAAACAGTCAAGCTGTTGCCTACGGCGAAATCGTAGTTGATGGTAGCACAGCAACTGTAAGAATTACAAAAGTATATGTTCCTGGATATCTGGCAAATGGTATTGCTTTGCAAACATATGGTAAACCACCATTTGAACTGAGAGTTCCTGCAGCTCATCTCATCACAGCTGCTTCACCATCTGAAGCCTCGAGTATTTCCTCTGCTAATCCTACCGCCACTAGCGATCCTGTAATAGCTACGCCAGTAAGCAATCCCAATGCTATCATGGAGTCAGAAATTCAGTCAAAGATGCAAGAGATTTTTGGTGATGCTATAGACAGGGTTGACAAGGCTGGCTTTACCAGTGGCTATCGACAGTTTGCTTGGTATAATGCTGATTCCAAAATTGCTTTTACTCGCGTCGTCAAAGACATTTTTTATTTGATGGATATGATCAAGCCTCATAAGAGACACACCTTGTATAAGCAATTCACTAGAAAATTTAGTGAAAGCCTATTTACGATTGATGAGACTGACAAAGAAAAGGTCATCGCGGCATTTGGACAGAAAAGACTTAAGGATCCAAGCTTTACACACACCTGGGATTCGAAGATGAAATACGATCGTGCGTTGTTGTGGAGAAGAGTACGAAGAAAGGTGTCTGCTCCTGAAGTGTTGCTTCCTCTTTTAAAATCCTTGTTTCTTTCTTACGGCCCTCTGAAGTGCGCAAAATCTGGAAGAGCACTGTTTGATAAAAAATCTTGGGATCAAGCAGCTGCTGTCTTGAGAACAGTGCAGTTAGGCCATGTGTCTGATCCGCCAGATGTACAATTGTACATTAAGACAGGAAAATTGGACGATCTCAAGCTGACACTCTATAGATGCATCTGTGGAACAAGCTCTTTAGAAGGCGGAGTCCACCAGAACTTGATTCGCAAATTTGGGTCGTTTGGTGCTGGTCCAGAGCTGGCTAATGCGATGCTTACTGAATACAGGCTGAGACATAATCTCGGCGTGGGTTTAAAGAACAGGCATTCAGTCATTTACAAAAGTCATTATGATCCCTGGCTAGTTCAGCATATTGATCTCTTGCGTCAAAAATGGGATTCAGGGCTGACACAAGAAACATCGCTTTGTCTGTGAATGCTTTGGAATATTGCGGTTCTGGTGAGCTCTTTGGTATATGCCCTTTACTAAATGAAGAGATGGTCAAAATTGGTATCTTGCCCTCTGAGATCACGGATGAGAGCTTGCTTCTTGTAGACAAAACAATTCCACAGCTCCAAGACACTGTCTTCATGAAAGTTGGGTCAACTCTGCGCTCACATCTTGGCCGTTACAAGTTTGTTGCAAACAATCAATGTACAAAGTTTGCCGTGCTCGCTGTCCATACGATGAAGGAGAAATCCGAATTCAGGGTCATTTATGAAACTCACTACAAGAATAGCAACAATAGAAGGATAAATTTTGTTGATTTTGCCAGCAAGTTTAATGAAAAGGCCAACGGTATTGATATATTCTATAAAACCACGGATTGTCTCGAGAAGTATTATAAAGATTTCGAATTAAAAGACGGAGTATCCAAAACAGAGGAGATTCATCAACTAGCTTTGAGACTCATTGAGCATCAAGTCGTCTCCACTGATCAGCCTTCTCAGCTACTGCCTGCAGCATCACCAAGAACACCATCCATCAACAATGTTTTTGCTGTCGTTTCTGCTGCCACAATTGATGCACAAATACCGCCGCCATCTGTTTCATTGCAACTGCTTCAACCGCAACCACAACAGCCACACCTACAGCACAATGTCCTCCCTGCTGGCTACTATTTCCAGCCACCATTGCCCGTTCCTAGCCACAGACTACAAGATGTCTTGCCCGTTCCTGACCACAGGCCCCAAACTGCCTTGCTGGTCGCAACACACAGGTTCATCTCACCTCGACTGCAGATGTGCCATCCACATCCCTACCAGAAAGCGCCAGTAATAACAAAAAGGGTTACAGCAAGAAAGTGTAAAGGTTGTGGAAGTGAAGTCTGCAATGGTAAAAACAAACAAACAGACTGCAGTAATCCAAGATGTTTGAAATGTGCTGCGACATCTGGCTGTCCAGGTATCTGGGATGCCAAAAATTGCAACAGGTGATTGTAAAAATGATATATTGTCATCAATTAAAGCCAACCTTTCTATAAAGCACACGTATACATTATTCCGTATTCGGATACTTTGAAATATACTTGCTAGTACCATAAGCGCCGTGTCATTTAGACACCTATTCTTATGAACATCTTTTGCTTCGGCGTTAAATTTACTGTATGAGGCGATTACATGGATTAAAACCGTTAAATTCAAGAATTTAACTTGGATAATAATCTTGCCAATATCAGAGCAATACCACTTTCTACGTGCATTTATTACAATCAAAACCTTTAATTACAAAATTTTTTTGGCTTCACCAAAATTACTAAATATGGAAATTCAAATTCAAATAATTTTTGCCCCAGATATGTCATACACGCCCAAGCTTGGTCAGATTTCGTTCTTTTTCGACTTGATTGAACTCTTTTGCGAGATTCGACTATACGGATTGTGAAGATCACTCTACGCTTCCTAATACATTCTTGGAGTACTTTTCAAGACGCTTCCAATTGCACTAATCATAATATGTACTTTGAATGAAATTATTGAGCAATTTGGCAGAAGATGAAATGGGGTTTTAGCGAAAATAGCCATATTTTGCATATGAAACCTCAGAAAAGTGGATTCAGAAGTTGCTTTGAATCGAGAGAAACGTTTTGAATTACTATATACCATAGTGAAAGTCTCTATTTTCAAGGTGAAAAAGGTGACCGTTTAATTTTCGTAAAAAACCATGCGGTACCCCTCATAGTTTTCAGTGGAATTTTGGCCATGTTTTTTTTTGGTCCCAAAAAGTTGAGCAACGGTTCAATAAGTTACTATTACTCGAATACAACAATTTGGTGTCATTCCGGTGGCTCAGAAAGGTCTACATGTCAATATACGGTATATTACTAGAAATACTACGAGAAGTTTGCAAGTCTATCAATGCCTAGAGACAATTTGTTGGTACGTTGGCCCAAGGAAAAAAAAGCAGACAAAGCAAGCACCGCTACAGCACTGCCGGACAGGGTGTGCAGTTATGAGCTTTAAAATTTTGTTGATACGTTAAGAAAAAAAAAGGATTTTTTCTGTTGGTACGTTAGCCACGCTCAGGGGTACCTCATGGTTTTCACTGAAATTTAAACGATCGCGTTTTTCGCCTTGAAAATAAAGACTGTTCTATGGTATATATCAAATCAAAACGTTTCTCACAACCCAAAGCAACTCCTGAAACCATTTTTATGAGGCCATTATATAGAAAATTTGATAATTAGACCTGAAGAACAAAATAGGAAATGTTATTATGCTAGAATCTTCTTGAAGTTTTATTTTTGAGCGAATTCAAAGATATATAAAGACAATAAAGAAAATAACTATACTATCAATCGAATTTAAGCTTGGTCATAATGAATAAAGAAGGGTGGGGAATATAAATCAAATCAAAATAAAGTAAAGAAAGGAAGGGTGGGGATAATAACATTTCCTATTTTGTTCTTCAGGTCTAATTATCAATTTTAGGTCGAAAGAAATTTCTCACAAGAATTTCTTGAGACCGTCAGAACAAAATAGGAAATGTTATTATGCTAATCCAGAGAAAAGTCTTCATGAGCATCAAAGAACTGGTCAAGAGAATCCGAAAGAACCGTTGATGTGAAGTCCATCTGAGCCATCTGATTACGTTGATAATGGTTTTCGAAGGTTGAGGAGGAAGTCCAATTACCGAGAGTTACGATGTCGTCTCTAGAGACCCCAAGATCTAAGGCTCGTGAGGATGCTAGTGAACGGATGGAAACATTAGGTTCAGAAGTGCAGAGTGCAATAAAGTCACGATGTAGCCATGAGGAAATGGTTGAAGATGATAGAGGCTGTTGGATGAGATGAGACTTTACAAAGAGTTGTGAACCAGGAGGACGAGAAGCCAAACCAGGGTGAGCACGAAGAGCCTTGAAACACTGAACTGGGCATAGTTCTATGTCGGACGCATGAGGATGGATCGTAAAGGGCTTGATGATGCGTCGTTTGCGCCGAGTCTCTTTAGGCGCCACGACTTGTAAAGTAAGACAGCCAGTATCCGTGATAGAGCAGGAGTTATATGGGATACGAGCTAGGTCAGAGGGTCGGAGGAAGGCCGCCATAGCAAGCAGAAAGACTAACTTCTGTTGTAATAACTTGATAGAAGTAGTTGTTCGAGAAACAATAGAACGGGCATATGTCAGCGCGGGGGAGATGTCGATTTTGGGTCGGTGTATAGGGACGGGAGGTGCTTGTTTTATCATGGTATCTATGTAAGAGTTAATCAGTTAACTCTCACGTATACCTTTTGGTTCATCATGAAGATGAGCTACGGCAGCCTGTACAGTTTTCAGTGTAGCGACCTGTAAGTTGTAGCGGCTGCGAATATCCGAGAGGAAGTTAACAAGTTCTACGGGTGTAAACGAGGTGAAGGAAACTCCATCCTTGATGGCCCATTCTAGGAAACGAAGCTGGTTCTTGCGATAGCTTAAGTTAGTCCCAGTGGGAGCTAATTTTGCTGCCAACAAGTCCTCAATCGCTTGTGCATTGAGATTTTTCTTTAGTAATTGCTGCCTGATAGTTGCCACACGGAGAGCATCCAATTCTGTTGTAGTAATGGATGGGGAGTCCTGGGTGATGTTGTCTGCACCGCTTGTGGTGGCAACATCCAAGGCGGGGAAAGAGCCAATCGTTGTAGGAGGGGAAACCACAGAGCACTGGGCCAGTACGGAACCACCAGAGTCACCAAGGAAAGCCGTTCTTGCCTGACCTTGTTCAATACTCATCGTGTGATGAAATTCCAAGGAGGATTTACGAAGGGATTCCGGAAGTTGGTTCATGTTATCGATAACGCATCCGTATATAGAGCGTCTGGATCCGGCATCCATGACATGTACTTTGGTAGCAACTTCGTAGTCCTGTCCGCGAATAGATCGATGGAAAAAAGTCCCCAAGCTTGCTGTATCTGTTGAAATATCTGCGGCTTGATCATCCATTGATTCTTGAAATACTGGCGCTGAGACTCGAAGTCTGCGATCCTGTTGTGTATGCCCTGGATGTGTTGCGCCTGAATCATTATGCGATTGCGGAGACACCATGTCCATACCTGTGTTGCTAATTCCATCAGCGGAAGAGAACGAGTTCCGCCTTGCTTGTTGATGTAGGATAAGCTGGTTGTGTTGTCTGTCCGGATTAGCACTGTTGAATTCGGCGGCAGATGGAAAGTTCTGAGGGCTATGAATGCAGCTTGTAGTTCCCTCCAGTTGATCGATTGGGCTGCCTCTTCCGCTGTCCAGTAACCATGGGCCCGCTGAGTCTTCCATGAGCAACCCCATCCAGTATCGCTGGCGTCCACGAACATTGTCTGATTGGGCGTTGATGGGAGCATTGACCGACCGTTCCACTTGCGGATATTGACATACCACCATTGAAGTTCTTCCAGACTTGCTTGATCCAACGGGCGAGGACGATCCCAATCCACGTCTGATTTCACTGACTGATTCTTGAAGAATAAGAGGTGACGGGTGTACAGACGAGCTGGGAATATCGCAAATGTTGCCGCTTGTATCCTCATTGTCAGGCTGTGAATAACCCTGGGAGACTGCCGATGCGGCTTGTCGAGTACCTGCTTGATTGAACGACGAATGTCCCTCAGTTTGGTTGTAGGGAGTCGGGCTGTCATGGACTTGGTATTCAATACAAAGCCGAGGTGTTCCAACTGTTGAGTAGGAGTAAGAACCGATTTCTGGAAGTTGATTAACCATCCTAGATCCTGCAATAAAGAGACCACCTGTCGAGCGTGTTCCATCGCTAGTTGCTTGGAGTCCGCCATTAAAAGCCAGTCGTCTAAGTACGCCGAGATCCTAATTCCGCGCGAGCGTAAGTGCTCTAATATGGGCCTGCAAACTTTGGTGAAGACAAAAGGACTGGAAGCCAAACCAAAGGCGGTTGTAAAATACTGGTAAACCTGATCCTTCCATTTCAGACGTAGGTAGCGCCTGGAGTCCTGATGAAGTCATACATGAAGGAAGGCATCGGATAAGTCGATGGAGACGAGATAGTCGTTCCGTTTGATCATCAGAGATACTTCTCGGATAGTTTCCATCTTGAAATGAGGTGCGTCTAAATACTGATTGAGGTTCTTCAAATTGAAGACAGGGCGAATGTCACCGCTCTTCTTGGGAATTACAAACATTGAGCTGTAAAACCATGGGACCTGTTGTACCTGATGAGGAGACACCTTCTCGATTGCTGACTTGTCCAAGAGGTCTTGAATGGCCTGGTCGATGAGAGTAGCTTGGTCTGCGGAAAAGGGGGTAATAGATGTTGGTATTGTTGTGATTGGAGGTGTTGTATAGAAGGGAATATGATAGCCGTGTTGAACTGTGTTGATAACAAAGAAATTGTTGGTGATATTTGTCCATTGTTGAGAATGTTTGCTGAGCCGACCACCTATTGGATCGGTTGTTATGTTGTTGATTTGAATTGGTAAAGATGTTGCCGTTGCGGTTGACGTTGGTGCTGTTGGATTTACTGACGAAATGGGTTGGAGTTTTTCTTGTGGGCGTTTTGTTGAAAATTGTTGTTGTTGTTGTTGGCCTTGTTGTTGTACTGGCTGGTGAAGTTGTTGCTGTTGCTGTTGTTGTTGCTGATACCACCCTGCTGCGAGGGTGGACCTGATCGAAAAAATCAAGGATCCGATCCGTTGAAGGGAGAGCTAGAGATGGGTGTGTTGCGATTATAACGACGTTGCCTGCGATTAACTGTGGCTTCACGGGTTGCCTTTCGGGCAGCTGTCTGTTGGACAAGTGTTTTTTGGAATTCATCCAAAGGAAGGGTGTAATTCACTTCAGCATCATTCTCCAGGCGGAACGAAGGGTTAATGCCCCGCAGAGCCAGATTGTTGCGCTGTTGAGTCATTGTCGAACAAACATGGAGTAGGAGACGGCGAATATCTCGCAACATGGTGCTATAACGTTCTAGGTTGGGATTACCTGTTTCATGAGTGAACATCTCATGAATTAGAATGTCCAAAGGGCGAAAGGTGGCAGATAGAAGATATTAGAGACTCTTGAGAGACTGGTCCTCATACTTCTGCCCACGATTCATGATTTGGGCAGCGGTAGGAATCGTCGCTGGAGCTCGATAGTCTAAATGAGCCATAGGGGGATAGGACTCAATGATAGCCTTGCGTTCCGAATCAGGCAAAGGCTTAGAATGATGAAAGGGAGTATCCAATTCCATTAGGTCCGTAAGGGCATCGGAGGGAGACCATTCGTAATGGGGCCTAGTACCAAACGAATGGAGAGGTGGGATAGCAGTACTTTCCTCTGACTGCATAGGAGTAGGCATGGCGGTGTCTTCCGCTGACTGCACAGAATTAGGCATGGAGGCCGCTTGAAGCTGGGCTTGAAGTGTAGCAAATTGCTGTTGTAAAGCCAGAAGTTGTTCTTCAATGGTAGACATTAGTATAGGTTGAGAATGTTATAATATAAGCTGGTAATGACCGAGCGAAAAAGAAGATTGATAGTATAGATATTTTCTTTATTGTCTTTATATATCTTTGAATTCGCTCAAAAATAAAACTTCAAGAAGATTCTAGCATAATAACATTTCCTATTTTGTTCTGACGGTCTCAAAAAATTCTTGCGAGAAATTTCTTTCGACCAAGAATTCGACGTTTTGGCCAAAAAACCTATTTCAGGTTTTTTGGAATTGCTCATTAAGTTCAGTCAAAACATCTGTTTTATTTGGCATTATTGGAAACGCCCTAAAAATTACTCCATGAGCGTATTAGGAAGCGTAGGGTGATCATCATAGTTTATATAGTCAAATACCTTAAAATAGATTTTTTTTTAAATTTTGTTTATTGATTGAGCCGCGTACACTAGGAGTAATGGGTCGAAGTGAAGAGGCGGGTGCAATTGAGAAGAAATACTATAAGAAAATAAAATACTAATTAACCTAATCTAAAGAACTATCTAAACTATCTAACTACAAGAGGGAATGGATTTGGTCCTCTTCCACTGTCTGGCGAACAGTGGAGCGGATATTCTCCAGAATCGCCTCAGGGACAAGGATGATGTTGTCAAACACAAATCACATATGGGCTAGCCATATTTGAGACGGGGTGATGAGTATGATTCTGTATGGACGGATGCCTTTGACTTGGGAGTACCAGATATCCGAGAAGTCTAGGGACAGAAGAGTCTCTTTGATGTCAGTGATAGTCGTGGTGGGCCAAAGGAATTCGAAAATGACGCCTTGCCATACTTTTACTTTGGATGGACAGTCAAAGAGCAGGTGGCTGGCAGTTTCATTGGGAGACAAGCAGACAGGACAATTGTGGGACTCGAAAAATGCAGGCATCATGTAGTGTAATCTGCTTCTAGAAGGGATACAGCCTGCGATGATGTACCGGTATATCACATTACGTTGAATGTAGATAAGAGATAGGGACCAAAAGAATTTCCAATTAGCAGCAGAGACATTCTGCAAGACCAAGGGTTGTTCCACCGACGACAGAACAGACAGACGAAATGTTTTGGCCGAAGCCTGAGCGTATCCAAGAGATTGGCCATCGTGCAGATTAAATTGATCCACCAGCGGCGCAAAAGAGACTCCCGGATCTACAAGAGGGGCTGGGCTACACACTGGGAGGAAGTAGGGCTGGAATTTAAGAGTGCCAGATGCGAAGCCTCTGAACACTGTTGAGGGAGCTCGCTTCCAATTGAGGAGGGAAGGGTCACGAGTGTCTTTCCAGTGTACAAAGTTAAGCCGAGCATCATATTGAAAGACATCAGAAACCATCATCGCTTTGACTTTAAGATTAAAATCGATTAAAGAAGTCGTAGAAAGACAAAATCTATTTTTTTTTTGTAGGGCAAATGAATGCATTTATTTAAAGTCCGAAAATTGTCATCTAGGTGAAGGGAAAGGAAATCCAGACTGAAAGAAGAGGGAAACTGGTAGATTATGAGTTAAATTGCCTTAAACATGAGGATTATGTAGGAATGGATCTTTGATCAGATACTGGATCAAGAATTTGATATTAATTGGGATGATTTTCGAAATTTGCGGGGGAGGGATCAGGGGAAGGAGAGAGATGTTCATTGGAATTGAGAGCATTGGAGACAGAATCTGGAGTTGTGTCCATTTCTTGTATTTGCGGAGGATCCTGAGGGTAGATGCCTCAGGAAGAAGGTCAGTTGATGGTGGGGCAGGGTTTATATCAGAGGATTGGGAGAATTGTTGAAGAACAGTGGCTACAGAGGAGTGAGGGATATTGGTAAGGTGTTGCTTGACAGGATGAGGGATCCGTTTGTTAAGGATGTCTTGAGCGAGATGGGTAGGTATCCATCCTTGGCAGATGAAGTATTTGGCCATATATATACCTGGCAGTAGATTGGGGCGGATAAATGAAAGAGTTCGGAGACAGCGGTCTTGGTGGACGATGAGAGCTAGACGGGTACGGTCCTCTTGAGGAAGATCTTGATACTTAGAATCGGCAATGTGGTTGGGACCTATAGGATTGAAGTATGAAATGGGAGAGATGTCAATTTCTAGAAGTTTCGAGCGAGATTCAAGGAGGTTGGCCTCGTGTAACAATATGCCAATGATATAGCGAGCGGGAAAGATGATATCTAAAACTCGAAGGTTATTAATGGAAAGTGCTCGAAATTTCGAACGGATTTGAGTTCTTGTTAGCCGACGAGAGAGAGGTAGGTAAATGAAAGTGTAAAATTTCGTATCAGAGGGACATGTGTCGTTTGGATTGAAGAATCTGTGAAGCGCTTGACGTCTACGATCAGTAAGAGGGGGGCAGGACGACGAGCAATACCAGCCCAAGAAGGTGTAAGCGTAGAATTTGCAGTTGTATCGTTGGTTACAGAATAGGCACTAGAAGAGGCAAGTGATGTACCTTGAGCAGGTAGTTTTGAATGGCTTTCAGGAGCATTAGCAGTCATTAGGCGATGGATAACGTCAACCATTTTGGTTAGAGCGGCTTCAGCTTTGGTCAGAGAGGTCTCGAGAGTGATAAAACGTTACTCAATGTCGGAATTGATGGCATCCTGTTGAGGGATGAAAGAAGAAACCTTTGCGAGAGTGTTCGCAATGTTGGTAATTAATAGTTGGGTCCGTCCAAGACATGGCAGGTTATTCTCCAACTTCTCAGAAAAAGGTAGGGATTCAATGTTACTGAAAGTTAGAGTAGTGAGATTTCAGAAACTCATGGATCCTCAATCAGAACAATAGAAATTGAAGCTCCATTTAACCTTTGCATACATTCACCATTTCCAGAGGACGTTTTTCAGAATTGGGTCGTACACAAAGGGCTATATTAGTTTGCTGCATTCAAGTTATCAACAGATATCTGACATGTTGATGAGTCTTACTGTTAACACTGGATAACTGTAAATTGCTTTGCTCCACTCCATGGCGCCTTTAACGATTGTCTTTCGACAATTTGGCTGGGGATGACCTATTATTGGACGTTGTAGATCCATGACAAATGGTACTACAGGTTCGAGTAAGGCCTCAAACGATAGGTAATTTTTAGTTATACATAACAAACAGCCTTACAGACAGGTTGGTATAGATCTAACATATGCTTTCTTGAAAACCCCTCTAAATATCTGAAACCAACTCGCTGCTTGCCTGAATATAACGTGTACCATACTTCTTGTCAAGAGTGGTACCATTCGTTGCGCAGCTTAGCTCTCTGTACGGCTTTTTGTGGGTTAGAAACAACGGTTACTATCAAAAGAAATACGCCTGAGCGATGGAAAGGCGCAAGTATATAGCATAATACTGGTTCCAAACTAGTAGGATCGCGCGGGTTTTGAGCCTAGCCTGACAGCTCTAAAAACCAGCCTTGCAACCATTTTATGAGGCTGGGTAAGATCAATTTTGAACTCGAGACAAACCATGGTCGCCGCATAAGACGAGTTGTTTGTTTCAACTTGTTGACGGATGCTTGATATTATGGTTAATGTGGCTTCGAAATGGCATGGTTTTATTTTGCTTGAGCCTACTCTAGTAAAAGCTTGAAATTGAGATGCGGATTGACACCAATAATACAATGCGTGAAAAAGCTGAGCTTGTTTGAAGGTGAAAGCAGAAAATGACAAGCATGGCTTGCGTGAGGAGGGGGGCAAATGGAAACTTGGCCTGTACAATTAACTTGTTGTCGTGATATCAACAGCATATACAAGGGAATCACAACGCCTGGTGCGCTCTCGAGTCGATTGAATGGTGTGCATTTTGTTTAAGTATGATTGTACAATTTATAATATGAAATGCTAGAGTTTGATCTAGTAACCTCTTGACTGCTGCAAACAGAGTGCAATTTATTACAATGCTATTGACTTGGTTATCATAATGCGAAGAGACAAGATCAATGTTCAATATACCGTGCTGAAGTCAGGTACCGAGAGTATATATGTCTCCATTGACATGCATTGGGAGTGCCTAATGATAATATTCTCGCCAATCATGAGTTCGATTACACATGAAGTTGTTCAACAAGTATATCCAAAGAATAGAACGTTCATCATCTTTATATATATATATATACTGACTAAATGACTAGAAGTCTTCTTACTTATTGAACTTTATTGCTGTACGATATAATGCGAGGATAACAGATATAGATTTGACCAACAACAATACTTTTTATTTATTGCAATGAGTTTAGAAAATCAATACATAGAATGGTATCAAATCATTCACAGAAGTGCGAGATTGTTTAAATGTACCTCCAGGTGATATCAAGAATTCCAGTCTTAAATTTACCGAGTTTACCAAAGACAGGCTTCGTCAAATCAAGATCACCATACTTGCAGCTGGGACAGGCGTCATTAATGACAGCATCAACGGATTTTCCCCCATGATAAATTCTGACACGCTTGCCACAGACATCGCTGACCTTGTTCATGCGGCCATATTGCACTGCATTCATAGCAACAACATAATCGTCGTCAGCTTCGTACTTTCTACAAGCGCTCATGGATCCACCCTCGCGAGAAGGAATAAACCAAGTTGCCTTACCAGAGTACTTTTTAGCAGACGACTCCTTCCTTTTACTACGCTTCTCAAAAGCGGATTGTTCAGCACGGGACAAAGGAGCAGAGACGTTGGCATTCATGACAGCAATAGCAGCAGCATCAGCAACAAAATTGAAAAGACAGAGAACAACAGCAGCAATAGCGGCAGCAAAGAGAAGAGCACGAGAGTTGAACATGGTAAGAGATGGTGATAGGATTGTAGTTACAAGAAGACGGCCAGCGTAATGTAAATTGAAATGATGGAGAGAAATGAGAATGTGGATGAATATCTTGTTTCTTATATACAATTTTAAGATGATGTTCTGGATTCACCATGTTGAAGTAAACAGGGTACTTTTGTTCATCTTCCAAAGGGATCTGGAACAAGGAATCTATAGTATCCTGCCATTTACTGATCACAATATGAGCTCTGAGGAGGCCCATCGAGTTCACGAGCGAATGGTAGCCCTTACCAACATTTACATTAAATGTGGGTACTGATCTCGCCATGCGCTCTTTCTCCGCATCGAAAATGCTTTTATTGTGGTTGTTGTATCTGTATAGTTCGGATCACGGGTACTAACGAAGCACAATGGTGTGCAAGAGCACTCTGGCATTCTGTGCAGAATTCAGAACATGAGGGTCAACCAATTCTCTCTATATCACATGTCCCAATTTAAATTATCATAGCCATCATACATTGAAATAACATAACCATGCTATCCATATGTCATAGAGGCTTGTTTTGAGTGTTTTGCTTTGATATCCTTTTGATTTCAAGATGCATACTCATGGAATCTACAGAATTGGGTTTCAAAATGAGGCACTCGGACTGATGTGAGTGTCCACAGAAAACAGGTATACAGTATAGTACCCATAGTGCTGACTTACAAGGGCTATTTATAAACAATTCTACTGATGTTGATTAAGGAAATTACAGAAGATTCAATGCCAACATCTATTTCCGATGCACGTCTGATGGAATTTGCAATTACTAAAACAGAGGATTTTTGTCTCTAGTAGAGATCAGATACCTTGACTTATACAAACGGTCGAATGAGAATTGGAACATAATCATGTACATGCGCATTGTTTTGAACAATTACGAGAAGAATGTAATTGATCAAAGGCATCTCTTTAAAAGTAAAACGAGGCGTCTGTATGGTATGATGTGTGTTGATATCTACTTAGCTATCTTTATCGTGTATTTGACCTATAACTTACGTAAATGTAATTAGGATAAAAGGACAAGTTCGTATTTTCTTGACAAGCGGAATTGAATATGATATGTCCCTTCTCTTCGCGGTATGTGCTGCAACTTGTTTTCAGAACAATCATAACATGCTGAAAAACATTGGGTTCAATGCATTGAGTGTTGAGTAGATGCATGATTTACATTGAATGAAGATATCGTGTCGATCGCGCCTATATGCTATGCACGGATAGAAATTGAATACACGGAGAGATTATATCATAGCATAATCAATTTACAGTCCGTAGACACTTTCGAAGCCTCAGAATGGAAAGAAGTTGATCTACAAGTATTTTGGTGGACTAGCGCTGTTAAATAAAAAAGACTTCAAAGAAAAATAGCGCAGCTACTAATAGTACTGTGCAGGTTGTCTCCTAACTTCCATTAGCTTCAAAAGCATCTATTACTGCCCTCATAATTAGAAGGGCATTTAGTTTGCCAGCCTGCCCCACCACAGCCAAAATTAATTCCAACTCAGACTTGACTTGTAGTTTGCTCTAGATTGGACAGATTTTGCCAATTTCGACTATATAAAATCTGATGATCATCCGATACCTCCTTATGCTCACCACGGCACCTCTTCCTCAAGAAAGAGGCCTTCGCCAAGGTGATCCACTCAGTCCTCTCCTTTTCAACATTGCTTTTGACCCTTTCCTCCACTCCATTCAACAGAACCCTACTTTTGAGGGTTTCCATGTACAACAAGAAGCCCCACCACATCCATCACCTACTGCCGACGTGGACGATCTAACCGAAAGCCTCGCCAACTCATCCCCTCCGCCAGACTCCCCTCGCAACACTCCTTCAGTCTCTCCCACCCATTGCAATCCAATTAAGTACAAAATTCTAGCCTATGCAGATGACACATTAGTCTATTTGAAGAACTTTTCGGATTTTCTTCTTCTGCAGGACTCTATCAATACATACATGAAAGCATCGAATGCACTACTAGATTACAGGAAAACTATAGCCATTTCGCTCTCTGGACAACCACAACCAGATTGGCGCGAGTTTCTTGCTACACACCAAATCCACCAAATGCATGACCGCACCTCTCCTGATCCAGTAACATATCTTGGCTATCCCCTATGCTCCGGTTTATCCCAACGCAACCTCGCTTTCCAGCAACTCTACAACAATGTCCAACAATGCATCCATATTCACTCCCAACGGAACCTCTTCATTCGTGGAAGAGCTACCGTTCTCAACACACTCATTTTCTCGATACTCTGGCATGTCATGCGCAACTTTATTTTCATCAAAGCTCAATTACTCTCCTTACGCAGCCTTGGATCCTCCTTCATTAACTTTCATATCTTCCCCAAACTATCCTTTAGAACCCTTCAACAGCCTCGCCATCATGGTGGCCTCCAAGTTTTAGATCCCATTGTCCAACAACAAGCTCTCCAATGGCGCTGGATTTGCCCCCCTCATTTTGGCCGCCTGTCATTCAGTACAACCTGCAATGGTATTTACACTCTACCGCTTTCTCTGATTACTTTTACCACTTACGCTTTCCTGCCGCTCGACAAGCCATCTGGTTCCAACATCGACCCAGTCCACACCAAGCTTTCCTTAACATACTCACCAATGTCATTACCACCATGGATCGAATACCTCGCTCCTTCACAACCTGTCACTTAGATTTTCATACAGGCTTATCATTACCTTTCCTTGAAATTATCTTACATACCCTCCCTTCTACTCACCCCCATTTCTCTTCTTTCACAGCTCCAGATCAACTGTTTGACCGACATCACGCCGTCCAGAAACTGCTCGCAATAGACATGTTTACCTTTGACTTCGACTTACAAGTGATCCGTCTTAGAAACTGGACCTTCCTCGAGTTTTGCCATTATCCAAGAATATCTCATCGAGTTGCCTGTTGGATTAAGGAAGGCCAAATCTACCTCCAACCATTCTTCCTCGCTCTTTGCCGTCAGACCCCTCGCCATTCATTTACCAGTGCCTCCTTTGGTGCCAATCTCCACAACATCCGCCCACTCATTCGCCGTCTTATCAAACCTACAACACCACCACCTCCAACAGTGCCACTCAACAGTATTCAATACTACAAACACTTGGTTTCCACTGAAATGCCCACCATCAACACCTCACCTCTTTCCCCATCCCAATGGCGCCTCTTTTGGAAACTATCTATTTTCCTTCAATCCCGAACTGTATGGTATAGACTTATCCATCGAAAAATTCCCTCCAAATCGATCCTCCACCACTTCATCCCCACAACTCACCCTTCACCTTCGTGTCCTCTCTGTTTGACCCAGAGCCCGGAGGATGTCCAACATTTCTTCTTTACTTGTCCTCTCAAACTCGCTGTATGGCGGTTCCTTGACACTACATACCTATCCCACACACTGATGACCGACGACGTCCATCTCCCATTCCTCCACGGCATTCAAACTCTATCCTTAGCTGAACCCACTCGCTCTGCCTCCTTACCTTTTCCAGAGCTTACCGTTTACCAAGTTTTCGCTACCAGTCTACTCTGTATATGGCAAGCCCACTGGCGCTCCATCTTCGGCCATGTCCCTTTTGTCGCTCTCAACGTTAACACATCTATTGCCCGTTCTCTGTCTCGCTTGGAATCGGAATTACAGTGTGCTTTGTAAGTATGTACCCCAACGGATTTTATGGTCGTATTCTACTTCCTTGCTTCCCTTCTTCATTTTCTTGCCTTTGAAAATATATCCAGTCTTCTTCTTCCCTCATCATGACATTTAGAAGACTTTAAATAAAAAATGGAGTACAACTTCCCTACAAAAAAAAAATAGCTCCTTATGCTTTCTTGGGGTGCTTTTCAAGGCGCATTCAATGGTACCAAGTAAAATAGATGTTTTAAATAAACTGAGTAATTTACAAAAATATGAAAAGCGGTTTCTGGCCAAAATGTCAAAATTTTACATATCAAAGTCCCACAAAGATGACTTCAGAGGCTACGTTGGATCAATAGAAACATTTTGATTCAAGCTATATCAAAGTAAAAGTCTTCGTTATCAAGGTTAAAAACGCAATCGTTTGATTTTCGATGAAAACCATGAGGGGTACCTCATGCTTTTTGGTCGATTTTTGTCCATGTTTTTCTGGTCCTCAAAAAGTTGAGCAATAGTGGCAATAGGTAACTGCCAGATGAGAGAGCAATTGTTTGATGCTATTCTGACGATCTAAAACAGCCTTGAACGCGAGAAAACACAACACACATGCACATCGATTTTGCTGTATTAGGCACACTCTCGACTAAAAGGAGGCAATACCAGTATGCTGCTTGCCCGTAAACAAAGTATCTACGTGTACACGGACCTGGAACATCACATCAGAGTCAGATCCCCAGGTAATATGAAGGGTTGTCATGTATAAGTGGGAGGGTTGAAATGAAAATAGCAGATTTTTTTTGATAAGATGAGCAAGAGCAATCGGTAGCACAAACTGCCGCTGCGCAGGTTGATTCTCGCCAAAGCAAAGTGAAGGTAGAGCTACCCGAAGCATAAACACGCTTGTAAGCTGTACAAAGAGATATCGACTGGACATTTATCGAGTGTAGATAAACACAATGCAAGTGATTCTAGTAACCGCACCTCATTTGAAAGGATGTCTGCTGCTCTGTTATAAACAGCTGAACGCTCTCGCATTGGATTTATACTCTTTGAATGAGCATATGTACAGTATTTGTTAAAAAGAGTTTAGAATATCATGCGTTCCCGAATCATGTCAATTGCGTAGAGTCAATACATGGAGCCAATTTTTTTTTTTAGCATTTTAAACTATGTTTGTGATTGAGAGGTCAGCCCTCTAGCTGTCTAAGACACAAAAAACAGCTCTCAATGTCGTGTTGGGTTTAATAAGTGAGTTGGGCCGATTATTTGAAGAAAGCGCCATTACTTTAATAAGAGATGAAACTATTAAAGTTTACGAGAATGGCATTTTAGATAAGAAAGCAGTTATGGATGTTGAACTACGTTTTTTGGAGAATAATTTTCTATAGCACATTTCTACAAGAAACGTCTTCCTTTATGGCATGATATTATCATATGATGAATGCCAAGAAGACTCTCGGGGCTCGATTCTATTTAGAGTTTCTGTCAAAAAAAAAAAAAAAGATAGTGACCAATGCATCTGCTAGGACTACCATCAGTTGTTGATAGAATGTATGTAGTAGTCGATCGCTCACCCAACCCAGCTCAGGGGCAATGGACATTTGCGTTGATATCAAGCACTCCCATGCCCAATGACCAAGCAAAAGCAAGAGAGGAAACATACACTCTCAGCCTGGAACACATCTTAAAGGACATGACTAGATCCCTTACCGGTTTATTCGGATGTGATGATGGCTCTGACGCTTCGCTTTTTTCAGGTGCGGAAATAGACATTTACCTCGTGTTTGCATCATTGCCATCGTCCCTACCATCATCATCACCACACAGCTTTGTTTATCTGTATGTATAACCCTAGGAAATACAATGTTGCATAGCAACCGCTGAAAAAGCATAAAAGGAAAGCAAATCAGAGATGCTGATTGCTTTGCTATTCAGAAATAAACTTTTTCTCTCTGTGTCCATGATTTATACAACAGTATGACTTGACTAGGTGTGTGATATTGCATATTTGGATGCACATTACACACAAATGTACAAGTAGGATCCTTGCACTTGAGCAGGACGATGATGCATGATAAGAAACCTTAAATGTATGTGGTGCAACATGAATAAAATGTACCAGATCATAATTTGTACAGAAAAGCAAATTTTTACCCGATATAACATAACATTTGATTCAAAAATGGAAGACTCCATGCCGTCATAAGGGAGCATCAAAAAAAGCAAAGAGAGAATGAACCCCAGCTGGTGCATCACATCACATTCCTCTCTCTCTCTCTCTCTCTTTCATTGACTCTTTTGATTTGTATACAACTGTCATTCAAACACCCTGATTGAACATTGAATGCGAGTTGTTTTCAACTAATCTCTGTGTGGTTAAAGCAAAGCAAAACCTTAAATTGTGAAGGTCGTACAACCTTAACATTGTGAGGGTTTGTGTTGATTTTCAACATGATTCTCGTTTTTTTTTTTATATATATTGCACTGACGTATTATATGATAAAATGACGATTGCGCGCAATGTATATAATACTGTTATTTTATAGCATGATATCTCGACGAAAAACGGTTGAAGCACTTGTACTCAATTGCAATAAATAGCATTTGAATGCAATCACTTGGACATCAATGCATTGGCATGATGGTATAAACAGGAGGAAAACAAGGCCAAACAGTATTGGAACAAGAGGATAATGGTAAATGAATTACACAGATGGGCGATCCCTTTTAACCAATTATGTATGTAATTTCATATTAAATTCTGTCATATTGACCTCTTTCATTCGATATACATCTCCTTTTTTTTAAAACCTAGATCTTGGTATGTCATTACACACACAGACCACAATTCGTTTCATCTCATTTCTCTTTTCTACCTCACACACACACACACACATAGTTTGGGGACGAATTAAGGGTCGACATTTGACACTGCAGACTGGGTATCAAATGCCGCTGATGATACATCCCATTGTTTGTTATTGTTGAAATCAAACATTTGATTCAACAAATTTTATAATTCATATCGTCATAGGATAAATTATTTCGTCACAGTGGATAATCCATCTCTTCATTTGAGATATTATTGGATCAAAATCAACAAAAAAGAAAGGGCAGCAGGCTCAGAGCAGGTTGAATCTAACTTGATTTAGATGTCAACAACCTTTTATGACGTTATGTGTATTTGACCCTTATTTTCTCTGCTTTCCATTGCAAACTTGCGGCCATGGTTGGCTGTGCCTTGAAAATGCTGGCTCTGTGTGTTTGTTATGTCTGGTAGCTATCACTGTGTAGGTTTCTGCTGAAAAAAAAAAAAAATCCATGTATATTTATAAATCCATTGCAAACATGCTTTCTTTTCCTTTTTCTTTTTCTTTTTCTTTTTCTTTTACTTTCTTCAAAATATTCAACGCACATCCACAATCACATATCACGAAATGACACAAACTGATAATAATAGCTACTTTTCATTAAAGAATCCCTCCATTAACAATAAACCACAACCAACGACATCCTCTGTAAATACATCAGCAACAAGCACTCCAAAAGTCAAAAGTGGGTTATTGAATCGAAGACAACAACATGCCTCTGCTGCCTATCTACAGCCATTAGAATTGCCCTCATTACCACCATTATCGCAATTACTTCCAAACAAGAAAGAGCAGCAGCAGCAGCAGCAGCAGCAGCAACCAGCAGCCAATACACAAGTGTCAACGGATGCCACTGCTGCTACTGTCGCTGCTGCCGTGGCCGCTGGTATGATCCCTCATCTCTCGTATCCTACACACCCGCAACCCATTCAGCCCAAATCAAATAATGTGCTATTTAACGACTTTAATACCAACAACAAGACTGCATATCCCACTACTTCTAATACGACCACATCTGCCAATGTCCCTGCTGGTACTACCACAACGACGAACATGGCTCAATTAATGGATCCCGTTGCTGCTGCTGCTGCTGCTGTTGCTGCAAATGACTTTTCTGCCAATCTGCCCTTGGATAGTATATACAACATGCCGTCTACTGTCGCTTCGATGGATCAAACAGTGACTACAGCGCCTTCCTCCATGTATTTATCAAACTACGACCCCAATTTAATGCAGCAGCAAACACAACCTCCTGCTGCTCTTGTGATGCAACAACCTCCACTGCAAGCACAAGCACAAGCACAGCATCAACAACAAAGAGCCCGTCAGTTGTCCAGTTCAAGTAGCTCATCAGCAGAAAAGCAATACTCGTTTGTCGCAATTCCTGGAACAAATCAGAAAAAGAGGCCACGAAGAAGATATGACGAAATTGAAAGATTATATCATTGCACTTGGCCTGGATGCTCAAAGGCATATGGTACATTGAACCACTTGAATGCCCATGTCAGCATGCAAAAACATGTAAGTTTATAGCTTTGATTCGTCGATAGACCGCCATACTGATTTTTTGCTTTTTTTTTTTTTTTTTTTTTTTTTTTTTTTCGTATAGGGCCCCAAGAGGCATCCTGCTGAATTCAAGGAAATGAGAAAACTATGGCGTAAACAGAAAAAGGAACGAGAAGCTCATAAAAAGCGAAATGAAGAAGCCATGAAGCAACACATGATGAATCCGCCACTGCCTCTTCCTGCCACACAACAGCAACAACCACAGCAGACATTTTCATTCAATGGTTTACCAGTCAATGGATTCTATTAAGCCTCCTCGTGTAGATAATATAGAGATGGTGATGATGTGTGTGTGTGTGTGTGTGTGGGTGTGTGTACATGTATATAAGTGCTGTTTTGTGTATATAGTTTCTTGTTGAATTATAATAAAAATCTTTTGCTAAATTTACACACAAGATTATGCCGCTCTGTATGAAAAATTACATCGAACTGATGTATTCCATCATGATGTAATTGAAACAGGGTAAATTAATGTTCAGTTTTCTACTCCACATCTCTATGGTCCACATGATGGTACTGGGTTTTAACACCCTATTGTTCTCTCTCACTCACTGTGGGTGCAGTGGCATGGGCGAGTCCTGGGCAGTAAAAGCATTGTATTAGCATCATTCGTAGGGGGGGGGGGGGCGAGTTGTGTTTAAACTTGCCCACCGCTAATACCAGTTATAAAGAGCCCACTTATTTTATCATCTTTCTTTCTCTCCCTTTTTCTATTCTATCAACTATAACACAATGGACAATACAACTACGCCAGCAACAATACCACCAACAGATAACGAGGAGAAGCACTGGCTCACAGAACAAACCAGAGAACTGTTTGCCAAATTCAACATTGGCAACCTACTCTTCTGCTACTGCCTGCCATTTTTCTATGTATTCTACCCAGCATTGCTGATGCCTGCCATCTTTCTGCGTACATTGTCGTTCTTTATCGGTTGGATTTATAAACTAGTCGTTGCTCATCATCATCACACTGACCTGCCAGCAGCAACAAGAAGAAACAACGCCTCAGCAGCTCAACAACAAAAGACGGAACCACCTTCCTTGGTCGAAGATGAAATGAACAACATGTACTTTTGGCTGCAGCGATGCTCCATCTGTCTTGATCAAACGTATAGCTTGTGCTTGGAATCTTGCCGTGATCAGTTTTGTAAAGACTGTTTTGCCAGGTAAATCTTGTTTATATATTCCCACACACACGCACTGTATTTACATTGCAATAGATACATTGAAGAAACTGTAAATCAGTCGTGGGGTCTAGGTGTCAGTAGAATCAAGTGCCCTGGTAACAAGAAAATGACAAATAATCAAATTCGTTTAGAAACTCAACGACATCCTTAATTATAGTTTGTCAAGAAACCATCAGTCAGTCTGAATGGAGCCGATATGTTTCACAAGATATTATTGCCAAGTATAACAAGTACAATCAACCCTACAGACCATTCTCTCGCTACTGCTCTACCTGCGAGCATCCAGTAGCCCCATGCCAGTCTCCTCGATCTCAAGGCGTTTCTCGTGAGAGGTAAGGCATCTCAAGTTGTCCGCTGTGTGTGCATGACATTAACCCCACATTTTTATGCCAGCCGTCTAGAACAAATTGCTAGCGACTTGGACGCATTTTCAAAATCTATTCTGAACCCTAACCTCACTGTGCTCGTGGATCAAATTCTCATGGCATTTCTCACTACTTGTCAAAAGGGCTCCACATTTCGCATTGGCCGAGTTCAAGATCTTTACAATCAAATGATTCCTGTCCTAGTTAAGATTACAACTAAACAACCCGACTTATATGACCAAGCATCAAGTATCTCAAAACAATTGGTTGCTTTGGAGGTGATACCCGAAGCGTGGAAACAAACTCAATTTTGGCATGTGGCTAATTTTCCTGTAGAACAATGGTAAATTGATGGGTGACTCTGTTGATTATTGAATGTCTCTTATTTACATGATGTCTAATTATAGTGATCATTGTGGTGACAAATCGTGTCTTCAATGTGGTGAAAAGGCCCATCTTGGCCAGAACTGCCTGGAGAATTTGAAACTAAAGTTGAAAAACAACCGAGAGGATGAAGGACTGACATCCACCATTCAATGGAAGCTGAACCACACGTAAGCACATGATCATATGAATTCGAATAACCAAGGGAAACTTATACAACGATGCATTAGCCGCCCTTGTCCCAATTGTTCCGTCATGATCAACAGAGACGAAGGTTGCAATAAGGTGGATTGTCTGCTGTGCGGTTATAGATTCTGCTGGCGATGTGGTTCGGGTTGGTCACAACAGAAATGTGGTTTTTACCAATGTGGTGAGGAAGAGCCCGTGTTACTACAATCAGAGACAACTACTACCACTACTACCACATCCATCACATCGACGGTAGTCGCTCCTGCAACGAAAACAATACAAGCCCAAAAAGAAGAGGAACCTTCCAAGGTAAGCAATCAAAGAAGAAAAATGGAATTTCGCATAAATTATGCATATTTATATATTTGTTTGTTGTGTAGGCTGAACTGGGTGTACCTGATATGCATGCGATTGACGCACGACGACAGGTTTCTTCTCTTCACTAGAGCTCTACATTTATTTATTTATTTCCACATGTATTTACACCAAACTCTCACATATAAAGAATCATCGATACCACACACACACACACACACACACACACACACACACAAACACACAAACATCCCATCTTGTACAAATAAACACAACTCTATTTCTTTTTTGAATGAAGAAGGAAAAATATGACATGATTATTTATTTGTGTTTATAATGAATATATACTAAACGGGATAAAAGGAAGAAAAGGGGTGGGGGGTTGTTGTTTGCAGAAGGGGAAGGTTTGCTTTGCTTTTTTTTTTTTGTTCAATGTGAGGGTTAAAGAAAAACTGTACAATATATAAACTTTTTTGGGTTGCATGATGGTATACTTGGATTGCTTGATAAAGAAATGTAGGTGTTTAAACAGAAGAGATCATATCCAATGCCAAACGAATGTCATCATCCAATGGAGGCAATGCCATGTTCTTGAGAAGCTCAGATTCATCTTCTTCATCCACAAATGTCTTTTGCTTCTTTGCGCTTGGTGTCGTGGTATCGGTTGTGGTAGTAGCAGGTAGCAATGGCACCTCAATGAAATCAAGGTCTGCAAACACATCATCTACATCATGGAATTTGCGTTTGTTGTTCTTTGATGAAATGCTATCTTTGTCATCTTCATCATCTTCATCGTCCTCTTCTTCAGCAGATAACTCTGGCATGTCATCCCAATCAAGAACAGCAAAGTCGTTACACGAGATGACATTAGCATTGGATGTCAGGCCAAGAATGTTTAATAATTCAACATCATCCACTGTGGCGGTGACATCAACGACTTGAGTGGCAGTGGGCGTAGCAGGAGTAGAGGGAGGAGCAGTTGCAGTAATGGTGGGCGTAGCAGCAGTGTTCATATTTGTAAAAAAAAAAAAAAAAGTGGTGTGTGTTTAGTGTGTGTGAGTGTAGTATATGTGTGTAATTTGATGGAAAATTTTGTTTGATGAGGGAGAGGGAAATCAAAAAATGGGTGGGTTTTATATACGAAATTACAAGAAAAGAAGCAAGGGGGGAGGGGGGGGAGGGAGGATGGAGAAGCGATGGGGGGAGAGAACTAGATGGAACGGAGACCCAATCGTTAGATAACTTGTTTGTTTCGCATATTACGATTTGATGAGAATATTCATTGTCGTATCACCCTCTCTGTTTAAAACGGAATTTCTATCTTGAGACGCTTCTCCCCCCCTTGTTCTTGTCTCCCACATGAATAAATGAATTCAGCATGCAAGTCATCTGATGTATTCTCCTTAAAACCTACACTCGAAATTTTAGGTCCAATTATATCACGAAAGTTGTCAAAACTTACTCAAAAAAGAACTCCCGGATGGATATGGTAAACAAAGAAATCCCTTTGACGTCAGTTTAAAATAGAAACAAAAGAGCCTCTGTCTTGATTAAATAGGCGCGGCGTAGTTGATATTCCTTAAACGATGGCTGGGGTACCCTAGATGTTGGTTTCTTTGTAGCTCTTGCTTGTCAACATTTGACTAAGATTCGGTCAACTTGACAACAGAAAAACGCATTGCGGCACATCACATGAAGTGGTGTACTCATCATGTCTTTGTAATAAAATAAATCATCTGATGAATTTCATTTAGACATAAAGAAATGTGTGCGATGGGCTGCGCGGGTAACATTTTAGATCCTATCGCCTAATTAAAAAACTTTCACTCTCCTGCATTCGTTATCCAATCGCTTTGTAATTGATGTTATGTAAGAAAAAAATTGCTTATTGTGAAATATACTCCCTTTTTTCGTTTTTTTTTTTTTTTTTTTTTTTTACTGATCGACATTTGACATTTTTGGAGTTTTAGATGATTCATTTTCTCTTCAAGATTTGCTTGTTTCTATCATGCAAAAAGAAATATAAAACTTGTTGGCGCATGAATCATTTTTTCATCATTTCGAACTCTATTACTGATGTACATCCGCATCTAGTGAATGCACAATTGCTGATATTGCTGCCGTCTGTTCCGCCCGGCGCCGTGTAAATGATTTGGCAACTTTTTTTTTTTTTTTTTTTTTTTTTTTTTTTCGCTGAGCTATATATGAAAAGAAGAATAGCTTTCTTCTTTCTCTCTCCCCCCCCCCCCAAAGTGTAACGCATGTGATCTTGAGTTCTGATCTAAGACATTCGATAAAGGGTGCTACGGTACAATTAGGGAAAACAAGCTTTTGCATTGTGCTATTACTATTTTGTGGTTTTTGGGCGCGCGATCGGGCGGGGCGACCACTTCCAAGCTAAATGTTCAACACGTTGCTCCAAAATTGCGAGCCACTTGTGAATTTCTCTAATAAATTAACCGCATTTGATGTGATTCGACACACAAACTCGATGTGCATCGTTTTCCTTATGTTTAGATATCGCCTTGGTTGCGTTCAAGCGTGATGGTTCCACCAAATCAACATAGACCGTCGTTCAAACTAATATCAAACTGTTCCAAAGGGCGTTTTTGTTTGTTGTTGTTTCTTTTAAGCAATCTTTAATTGCTGTCAAACACTCCCAAACATACCACATTGATCCTGCAGGCCTTGCTCATCAAAAACCATTGCCATCTTTTACACACTACATCATCTCGAACGTATAAAGATATTTCGTAAGCGATTAGGATACTATATCCAACACGATCGTGGGAATCGAGAACTTCGTCTTATCAAATGCATTGTACAACGGTTCATGTTTTTTTTTTTTTTTTTTTTTTTTTTGCCATTCTCAAGCAGCAGATTCATGATTTTCAAGCGCTTTTTGTTGTGAGCATTTTATTAGGAAAATAAATCTTCTATTACCATCATCTGATTCGCCATAGTCTTGTGTTTACTATTGATCATTTTTAATGCAAATTTGGAGATATGGTCCAAAACGAGTGCCTGCTGTGGCCTTTGTAACTCCCGCCAGCAATTTCGTTATCACTACTGCAAATGATAGATTCAGCATTCGCATCACTTCTTTGTGCTGATCAGACACATACAGTGCATCCAGTACAGTTTCAGTGATATATTGTCTTTTGAAATGATGGCAGCAAGCTGTATTGGATCATGATTATTATGAGTCGCATTGCGACTTAAAATCGCCATGTTCAACATTTGTCTGTGCATACCCTTTTGCGAGGCTCGTGGAAGCATTATATGCAATTTTGAGCCCGGCCTAACCAAATCTTGGTATAGCAAGGCTACAATGTACCTTGTTTCATCCAGTTTGCTGTTATTTCTGCTACTATTTTATGTCATTTGGGATGTAATCGTTGCTCAAGATGGCTAGAGAAGAACGCCATCGGGTCGGCTGCCTGGTAAAAAAAAAAGGCCATTTTTAATTGGACATTTCCCTATCGTTGGCATTAGGGATCTACCTGTTGGTATATTGAGACAATTGCGCTGCTGAAATTGATGAGCTCATGTTGCCACATTTAATATAGACCTTAAAGCCGAGATGCGGTATTAAACATACATATAACACTAATGTCCAAGTCCTTTCATGGTACATGCATGTGCTTAAATGACTGTCCCTAGGAGATGTTGATAACAAGCAAAGGATATCTGATTTTGCCAACTAGAGATTCATTGTAGGGAGGTTTTTTAAAGTTGAAGATCATTAACGGAAAAGGATAGATTATGCAGTAATAAAATGTTTCGTAAGCCTTGTATGATGCGAAATGACGAATGCATATAAATTCACGCCAGATCTTCGTTTTTCTGGTAAAAAAAAAAAAAAAAAAAAAAAAAAAAAAAAAGAGTAAGCATATCATTTTTGGATTCAATGGCACAAGACCATTTTTGTCTAGATAATAGTGATATAAAACCGCCGGCACATTCAATTCGCTTCTACTTGACACAAAATTCGAGACATCACAGGATATTAATCTGTCTTGACAAATGAATGGTCAGGGTTCATAAAAGGGATACAATGTAAAAACGGGCCATCAAAGCTTGATAAATAATAGGCAATGAACAATCAAAATATTCGGCTCGATAAGAGTGCATTTTTGCAGGGCACCAATGCGAGGCATAGTCTCGAGTCCTTGACAACAAAATTAAGCTTTAGTAGTATTATACTCTGCATGTGTCCACATGTTACTGCACATTGAAATTCAGTTCCATACACATGTATGTCAAAAAAACCTTTATTTGAGAGTTTTCATCGGCTAAATCATAGCGGCATCATGATACAAAGAATGTTTGAGTTACACTATCATTCCATAGCTTCCATTTATGTTATTGAAAATAACGATTTTAGGCAATTTAATACATTGGCATACAAGTCAAGACCCCAATAATGAGATGAAGAAGCTCCACGTGAACATGTTGCAAGAGATTTTTTTAATTTTAAATAGTAGCAAGATGCTTATTATTGTTGAGGATCGGGAGTATGTGCACGGGTAAAGAGATTAGATACATTATTTGTTGATGAGGCGCGAGAGTTTTGTGTCATAGTATTCAATCCAGTCGAGGATGTGTTCTTTGGTTTGATGGTCAGTGAGTGTGAGGTGTTGTAATCAGGTGTGGTTAGGTAAACGAGACTATGGCGGCTATCATTGAGTTGTTGGTTGCTGAATGGTGTAGGCACTCTCAACGAGTCGGAATCATGGTAAGACGAGCCATCGTCTTCATTCAGCATGGCATACTTGGAGAACTCTTCATTGTCACCAAAGAACTGCACAATCTTGGCGTGCTCTTGCTTTGACTGATATCGATGAAGAATCCATAACAAACATAACACCAAGACTACAAAAAGAACGACTGCCGTAGCCAATACGCCCCATAGCCAGTTGGCAATCTTGTGAAACACATCGGGTCCAACTATACAGATACCATTGTTTGAACAGGTGCCTGATAAACACTCTCTATCCTGATCGCATGCTGCATTCACTTCTTTAGATTGAATACACAAGAAACCAGAGCACCAAGTACCGTCTGTGCAGTTGTCTCGAATAATGGTTTGTTGTATCGCATCACCGGCAGCATCGTAACTAGTATAAGTAGAACTGCGTGCAATGGTGTGTTCAGTATGTCAAAGTAAGCTGTGTATGTGTGTGTGGCTGCAAGATACTTACATATCCGTGCCGCAATTTCCTCCAAGAGGTGCCCCTTTAATGAAGCATGTGGAATTTAAACAAATGGAATCTGTTCCTGAACATTCATCATCACGTTGCTGTTTAAACAAGAAAGTTAAAACTTGGTTTCTCCTAAAACTATACTATAAACAATTTACGACTTCACAATGAGATCCTACTGAAACTTGTGGTTCACATTTCGATCTGTTATCCGGACAGAAAGTCGTTCCATTGCATCTTGCTGGAAATTCCCTCACGTTGGTGTCCCATCTGTTTGTGAAAGCCAATGTTAACTGAATGTACTCAACATATAGAAGGGGATCTTGCTTACCCGGCAATGTAATCTGTATTGGAGCATGCTTTGTAATTACATGTATTGCTTTTTGGATCACAAAAGAGATAGACATCAGCACATGAGTCATCGTACTGCCAACTTTCTCTGCAAGTATTTATCAATTGACGTTAATGTCTGTGTGTGTGTCTCTGTTTATGCATATGTTGCCATCAACTTACCTATATAGTGGCGTGGAATCACATAATTGCCCATATTTTAATGCTGAAATTGATGTCACCGAGAAGATGGCAATGTTGGATATAATGCTTAGCGTACGCATACTGGTTTGTGTTGTAGTGATTTGCGAGGAAAAGAAAAAGAAGAAGAAAAAGAATCCAGAAATCTTATTTTCTTTATAAATATGTAAATCACCACATCTAAAACCACAGGTTTAAAAATAAAACAATACAGCGGACATATTGAGCAAGTGGAACCGTGAACGCTATTGCTCCTCTCGAGTAGCACAGTTCTATATTTATACGCTTCAAATCAGATAAATCAGTGGAGGAGGAGGTTTTTAAGAAGCACAGGCAGGGGTTACATTGACAAAATGGCAGTAAGCAATGCGAGATGGCCATTTAAATTCAACATTGAATACTTGAATCAAGCTTTGGGATGGCTGTTTCAGGTTTTGAACGCTCACATACAATCACGCTGACCGCACCAATCCATACTTGGCGATTGTAACACTGCGGATCTAGAAGGGATACATGATAAATGTATCTTGTCATGGAGCTATCTTCAAGTAATACACTACTCTTTCATGAAGTTTGACGTGTTACATGCGCCAACATTGATGCGCCTTATTGCCACAGTTTGCAGTATCGAGCAGCTTTGATCAAAGCGACGCTTCTTTTGTACGGTACATGTTCTTCGGTTCAGTTGATCGGGGATCTTCCATAGGGGCACTGTTCAAGAATTCTTTTCAAACCAAAAATGGCTGCTTGTCATCCCATGGAAAAAAAAAAAAAAAAAAAAAAAGATAGCCTGCTTTTATAAATTATTGCCGGAAATGCGAAGAAACAACGACAGCACCCAAAACGTTAATTAATGAGAAACTACACTAAAACTTATTGGTTCTAGCATTTTGGCAATAACAGAAATCCAAACTTTTACAAAATCTCGGATTGCAGACCAGCAGTAATCTATTGACGTTTACATGTACCTGCTATTATGTTTAAAGATAAAGAGAGTAAGCTCATCATATCTCGATTGCAAGCACAAGCCTTCTCTTCACTGTACATACCACTGTATTTCGCTTCTGTGTTATTCCTTGTCTTACGTTTGCATCATGGATGCGTCGTCGACTGTATCCATTCTTGACCGCTCTCATTGGAAAAAAGTGCAAGTTTGTTTTACTCAACACGGGTGTTGTGTAAGCTTGATATCGCTTCCAATCGAGAAACACACGAAACATTTGATGGAAAAAAAAAACAAGATAAGATCAAGCAATTTGCAATGCTTAGATTTGACAGATACAAGGCAAAAGCATAAAAGCTAGTTCAAGATAAGCGGTAGTACTGCCCAGTACGTAATACCTTTCTTGTTAGCTTTGAGTACATCGATTGCCTTCATCAGAGATATATCTTGTTGTCAGTCAGAATTGATTAGAACTCAGACCGCACATATTTTTCAGGATTGGCCAAATTTTGGTTTTTTTTTTTTTTTCGACCTGTTTGGTCTATTTTGTAAGGTTGGACTATATGAAATGTGGTAATCATCTCGCACTTTCTTAAGCTTTCTTGGAGTGCTTTTCAAGGCACATCCAATGGTACCATGTAACGTAGATGTTTTGAATAAACTTATTGAGCAATTTATAAAAATTTAAAAAGAGGTTTCTGGTCAAAAAGTCGAGATTTTACATATCAAAGTCGCACAAACAAAGTTTCAAGAGTTGTTTTGGATCGATAGCAACGTTTTGATTCAATACATGCCATAGTAAAAGTCTTCATTATCAAGGTGAACGACGTGATCGTTTGATTTTCGACGAAAACCATGAGGTGTCTCTCATGCTTTTGAGTCGATTTTTGATGATCTCAAAAAACTCCAACAAAGGTGCCAGGAAGTTAGTGCTAGACGGGAACAGCTGTTGGATGTTACTCTGGCGGTCTAAAACGGCTTCTAGCACGAGAAATCACGGCTTAAATGCATTCATATTTCGTTGTATTATGCACATTTTTGAGTATTTAGTAGCGAAAAAAATGTGCTGTGTGCCTGTAAATAATGCATTGTCGTTGATGCAGCATTATAAAAGAACCAGATTTACGGAGTGGGTTCCTTGTAGATGGTGCTCACGTAATACTGAAAAGTGGAAAAGCGCAAAGTTGATATTGACCAGTAGTAAGATGTCAGGTTCTTTCACACAACATCATCTTCATGTGCGAAATCATATATACAAAGCATGTTTTGACAAAAAAAGGATCTTATACAGCTCCAAGTGCAAAGTATGACATATATTTCGTTAAAGAATCGGCATTATACACATGACAAGCATGTTTATCTTGTACTAGTGTGTTACAGTATTCCCAAATCTGGGAGAAAGATCAGCCAAGACAAGATGTGTGCTGTTGATATTGAGACTGAACTGTTTATGAAACTAAAATGTAGGCGTATTTCGAATAAGCTTAGAGAAATAAACGTTACATCACATCACTCTACATCCATCTATCCAGGCCATTTTACATCAAACAAAATAGAGCTTCTATGGATAGTTTATTTCAGATTTATAAATCGACACAAGTAGAACCATCAGTAACAACATCTAAAATCTTGTAGAAACACTCGAAATCACCATGTTGCTTAAACATGGCGATGACAGCCTCAGCAATCTCATCAAAGTTCTTTGTAGCCAAAGCTAAAATGGTGGGACCAGCACCAGAGAGACAAATACCTAGAAGGCCGTCATATTTCTGATATGTGATGTTGGATAAAACTTCAGGAAGGCCAGGGATTAAAGTTTTGCGGTATGGTTGATGAATTTTATCTTGCATGGCATTGTAAATCAACTCGGGATTAGGGGGTGATTGACTCAATGCTGTGGTCAATACAGCTAATCTTTGAAAGTTAAAGACCTAAGCAAACCCGTCAACCCATATGCACATGCCTCATATTCCATATCAACTTACAACATCCTGTCTTTCATAAGAGGTAGGGAGCACAGCTCTAGCCTTTGCTGTAGCCACTTCAAATTGAGGTACAATTGCAATACACTTGATTTCCTTTGCCCAGCCTAAATTAACATAGTGACCAATGCCAAGAGGAGGTTGAGGCACCTGTTGAGACAAAGCAATTTCCAGCAATGATTCAGAAGCAGGTACACCCTTCATAGCACTAGGATCCAACTCACGCAAGTAAGATGCAACGAAACCACCAATCAAGGCAGCAGCGACATTATCAGGGTGACGCTCGATCATTAAACAATAGTCCAATAATCTATCTCTTGAGAGGTTCAATTGGCCGAGAGCATTACCCAACAAGACACCACTTACAACAGCAGCACCAGAAGAACCGAGACCACGACCAAGAGGGATGGGATTGTCAACATGGATTTTCAGGGGTTGAGGCAATTGAGAGATACCGTTTGCAGAGAGGACATAGAGAGCGGTCTTGGTGATCAAGTTGTGCTCTGGAGTAAGTGGAACATCCTTGGCGCCTTCTCCGGAATAGGTCATTTCAAAAGCTTTACCTTCCTTTAAGATTTCGACATCAATGGTAAGATATAATGAGAGAGAGATGCCCAAAACATCAAAACCGGGACCGATATTAGCACTTGAACATGGTGATTTGATACGGAATTTTCTAGGTGTATCCATATTTTTACAGGCTTTCCAGATCTGTCACTTGGAAGAGAAGAACGATGAAGGATGAAGGAAGAAGAAGACAGAGATGTTGTGCAAGTTGTATACATTTGTCAAAAAATGTTGGCAAATGAACAAACTCAGTCGTGACTGTAAAGAAGTGTGCTGTTCTTTGTCACAGAACTGGGCACAAGATGCAGGCATTCTATTGGACATACAGGCACTTCTTAAATGTTCAAGATGTTGCTTTTTCATATCATTGATAGCATGTTGGCCACTACTAACACTATATTTGAAAAAGAGAAAAGATATTCTTAAATCAGAAAGAGAAAGGGCTGAATAGGAGACATTTTATTGAACATTTGGCGTCACGTAGATTGAATCTGGTAGCAATCACAGATTGCCATCATTGCTCCAATTCAAATGGGTAAAACCAAAGATGTCATTAAAGAGCGGTAGCAGTTTTTGATGAGCCTCTCGATAATTTTAAATGAAAAAGAGTGTCAAATCAAACAGGGTTTAGATTGCGAAAAAACGTGGGAGGGAAATCACCCATACTATACTCGATTTACCGCTTTTTTTTCGATAAAAAGAATAGAAGCTTCCTCTCCGATGTTGCATGAAGCTGCTTAGCTGTAAAAGTCCACCAATAGTGGCCTGATTTTTGAAAGTCTTGTGGAAGTAGGCATCAAACCTTTTCATCGATCACATCAAATATCTCTCAAAGATTGAGATTCGATAAAGACGTTATCGTGTCAGCAGCATTTTGGTGTTGGTTAATGCTAAACTAATGCAAGCAAAAAGTAGGATTTATTTGTTTTGATGAAACGGTTAATTTCTGTATTCTATTCATGCCATTAACCCTTTTTTCCCATTTCGTCCAGTGCATATTGATTATATTTCGGCTAAATGCAGATATTGTTGCCATGACAACAAATGATATCTTTATCAGCAGGATTGTCGATCTGTCATTGCACAATGTGAATCTTCTCGTTCGCGCTGCATACAAGTAAACAAACTGATAACACAGTGCCAAGCAAACAAACGTAGCTATAGAATATCATTTATACAAAACTATTCCAAGTCCAAATGTACAGAAAAAAAAGCTGAAAACATCTACGATAGAAGCAGTTGCTTTTTGAAATTCTCAGATGTAATCAAATGATGATACTAAAAGCCATTATATTATATAAAAACAGTTGTTGAAAAAAGGGGTCGAATAAACAAACGATTTGTATGGTTAATTCCAGATCAATGCATAAAATGTAGCTTAAACCCAAACAAGTTTGGGCAGTTTCTCTCGAGTATTCCTTTCTTGAATGACGTTCCAGTACATTCAAAGTCATATTTCTGTAATACATTGCTCAAAATTAGAGTTATCTTATAGTTTTGAGAGATGTTTGTGTATAAATTCCAAAATGTTGCCTTTTGATTAGGTAGTTCAATATTCGTTTTTCCAAAGATATGAGAAAATTTATAATTTTACCGGTTTTAACAAGGTTAGGCGCAGCTTATGTTTTAGACAAAAAATGGTGGGGTTTAGTCTGTGTGTCTGGACTATTGGGTTTTACACCTTATTAAACCGGTCTTATTGGTTAATATAGTAAAAATAGAACGTACAGAGTCCAATGAGAGTAACTGGTTGCATTACATTTCGCCTAAAAAAGTATATAAAAAGTGGGTATTTCGTTTTATCATCCCTCTTTTTCTCTTTCCTTCCTCCATCATTCTTCATCTTGTAAATCTTGTTCATAAACTATGAGTCCTGTCAGCCATCATCATCACAACAACATGGCCATCTATTATAACCAACAACAAGCACAGCAACAAGCTCAACAACAAGCATACCATTTCCATCGTCAACAACATCATAACAGTGAGTATATTTATCAAATGTGAGTTTTATCTTACATTGAACTAACTGTTCTCTTTATTAGCATCACCTTCCTTATCGCATTCAAAAGCTTCTCGCAATTCCTCTGAAAGACTTGGGCAAATTCGAGCACAACTGGAACTTGCTCGAAATTTCTATGATGATTATGAATTCTGTCCTGTGCAATGTTCCTCAGAGGTCTTGGAGCATCGTGATCGTGTTCAACAACGTCTGTCACCTCAATCTTCACCAAGTACTTCTCCCTCCTTGTCCTCTGCATCCTCTTTAGGAAGTACAACACCTCCAAAATCAAGAAGAGCCATTCCAATCATCGATCCCTCGAATATGGCTCCTGTCTCTGTACCTCCTCAGCAATACAGTATGATGAAGAGCACCTCTCCTATCTTCCATCAGCAACAGTACATGCGTGGTGGTAATACCAGATCCTATCATTATCAACACATGAATGGCTCTTACAATGATGTTCTTGTTCAATAATCGTTTTGTTTTATATATAATTTATACCTATATTAGTTTTCTCTCTTATTATTTTTGTTTCGCATCTCTTTCTCTACTTTTGTTGTTCTTTCTTTCTGTATACATACATGATTTTTAATAAAAAATATTATATATATTATAGCGATCTTTATTGTGCAGTTATTCCATCAACTGCATTGTATTGTATCGCTTTACCCTACTTGCTTTGTACCAAATGTTTATTTATTTGTTGATATCAAATGATTTTATTTGGTTTCTAAGTTCCATGTTATCCAAATATACTATGCGGCTAATCAATATTTTTTGTTTTATTTTACTCGGATCCCCCTTTTGTGTATTTTGGGATGTATGTGTGTTTGTGTGATGTGTGTGCGTGGGTGTGTGTAATGTTTGATGCAATATATTGCTCTGTTACTTGTTTCGCGCTAAAAGTATTTAAGCAATACCCTGTTCTATCATTTCCATTAGAACTTTTCTATTTAACATGAAACTGACTCTAATCTGATTAACGTTATCGATGTTGACATATCTGTAATATCAAACAAGAAATGAGGATTGACTTGCGCGGCGGATTTTGACAGGTGAGGTTTTTCAGCGTTTCCATGGCAACGTATGAACCTTATTTCAAAAGCAGCACTCATTCATAAGATACAGCTCAACTAGGAACGAGCATATGAGCCATTGCATGTAGGGTGAATATTTATGAACTAAATCTTGACGCATCTGGTTACTTTCGAGTATGCATTCCCACAATAACCTGATATGCATAAAACTAGTACCTCTGAATGAAATTACCAGTTTAATGCATCGAAAAGTCCAAACCAAATTATTCATTTCCTTTATCAAACAATAATTTTATGGCTGTAGATGGTTACTTGCAACTCGAAATATACTAGTACAAGTTTCAAAGTTCCTTGCCCCTTTATTTCTATTTTAATTAGCATGCTTTTCCATTCATTTAAGCTAGACACGTGCTGCCAGTGAGCCATCAGGTAACAACAACCATCTATTTTGGTATTTTGACAAACCGCCACGGTAGTAACAGGATTACGCCTCCCAAGCATCGCCTCCCTAATCGAACGTATATTCAGTGTAGCATGTATAATCAGGCAGCATTTAATTTCACTTCAAGTGTTACAGATGATTACAATGTATGTATGTTTATAGATTGCTTTTATTTCATTTATTTATTGTTATTCGTTTTCCTGGATTTAGAATGTAGGGACTGACAAATATAGTAGTCTGTAAGCAAGCTTTCATATGCAACAGTAACATATTGAAAAAAGAATGCGATTGCACAGATGCATCGCATAACATAAACCTCAATCCTCGACAGTGCAAAGTGATTTCTTGTCATGTTGAATTGATGCACTGGAATTATGATGTCGCAACTCATTTCAAAGGAGGTTTTCCGGAACAAAAGAGCCAGCTCATTGATTTCGATCCTGGCACCTGAAAAAACATGATGCATAGTAGAAAGCGCTTGCGGAGGACCCTTACAACTCGAGGTGCACGTGTATCATATTTAACAAGATGTCTATTCGGTATGGTGGTAGCTTTAGGTCTGCCCATTGATCGTTCCAATTGATGAAGCATGATTTGTCACCTTTGGGTCGCAATGCAGCTTGCAATGACGGCAAGAAATGTTATTTACTTTTGAGCTTTCCATAATAATGTAAAAATCATCCATAAACAACCTATATTTGTGGATCTGACTCTTTTCCGATAATCTATGTCTGCATCCATGGCATTGACTCATACGCAGGAAGATATTGCATTGGAATTGCCTCTTAGAATTCAAAATTACGCAAAACACAGCGAAATATGGATGCATTTAAGCCGTGATTTCTCGTGCTGGAAGCCGTTTTAGATCGCCAGAGTAACATCCAACAGCTGTTCCCGTCTAGCACTAACTTCCTGGCACCTTTGTTGGAGTTTTTTGAGATCATCAAAAATCGACTCAAAAGCATGAGAGACACCTCATGGTTTTCGTCGAAAATCAAACGATCACGTCGGTCACCTTGATAATGAAGACTTTTACTATGGCATGTATTGAATCAAAACGTTGCTATCGATCTAAAGCAGCTCTTGAAACTTTGTTTGTGCGACTTTGATATGTAAAATCTCGACTTTTTGGCCAGAAACCTCTCTTTAAATTCTCATAGATTGCTCAATAAGTTTATTCAAAACATCTACGTTACTTGGTACCATTGGGTGTGCCTTGAAAAGCACACCAAAAAAGCTTAAGAAAGTGCGAGATGATTACCACATTTCATATAGTCCAACCTTACAAAATAGACCAAACAGGTCGAAAAAAAAAAAAAACCAAAATTTGGCCAATCCTGAAAAATATGTACGGTCTGAGTTCTAATCGATTCTGGCTGGCAACAAGATATATCTCTGATGAAGGCAATCAATATCTGTGAGGCTAATAAGGAGTGGATTGTAAACCCACTAGTACTATAGCTTAGTATGATACTTTTTTCTGACCTCTGCTTTATATGTTTGTATACTATAGGCGCAATCGTTCCAGATTGCTCAATCAAATGAGAATTTTTAATACAAAATGCAAGATCGTACCTTATGCAACGTTGCAAATGATAGCTCACCTCTAAAAAAAATGAGTACACGCTCTTCGATTTTAGTGCAAAGGTCTCTACAACAGTAACAGTACCTGATATAATGAGTAATCAAATAGAGACATTTGTTCAGTGATAATACCTCATTAAAGTCTGCTGGAGATTAATGCCTCAGGTTGTCAGAGTAGTAATTGATACCATACTCATCCATAATTGAATTATGGAATAAAGCGAGATTATACGGCTAGGCTGCAGGACTAACAACCATCAGGAATTTATAACAGCAAATGGTAATAATGCCCCAATTTAGCAATGAAAGCTCAGTGATAGGAGCTGCCAACTACACTGCAGCCAGGCTTTTCCGAGTTGTAAGCTTCATACATACTGCTTGAGTTCGGACTCAAATCTGATTCGAGCAACCTAATGACAACAAAGATTGACTCACTGGTTCCTGAATACCATGTTTTCGTATACACTTGGACTGGATTACTGATGTTTACATGGCGGCAGCATACCCTCTGGACTGCGACGCCCTCTGCTTCAAATGTCACGAGTATGGTGAGTCAAAACATATACAAAATGTGGTATAAAACTGCGGCTGTAATTTCTGATGGGCCAATGAGGATCAGAAATCTGATACTTGTCATAAACTAATAGCAATGTGTGGCTTATTCGGCTATTCGAAACCATATAAAACAACCTACATTTGTCCTAAGGGGCCAGTGGTGGGTCCTATCATTCAAAAATCTTTTAAACACCATCTATTTTTTAAATTTTCCCTTTTTTTTTTCTTCTTTCACCACAACCTTTTGATTGAATAGAAAAAATGTCTTTGGCTGACTGTAAGTAACATATGAGCATGAGTGAGTTGGTTGAGATGACTAAATTTGAATCATATAGTGTCTGGTCAATTCAAGTAAGCAAGCAACATTTCGATGCAACGTGTTTTCCCATGTACATTTCGACTCACATTGCGACTTTATTAGCTTTCCCAAGGAGGAAGAGAAGATTCTCGAATTCTGGAAAGAAATTGATGCTTTCCAAACATCCATGAAATTAAACAAGGATAAACCTGTGTTTGCCTTTTATGATGGACCTCCATTTGCTACTGGTCTTCCTCATTATGGCCATTTGTTGGCTGGTACCATCAAGGATATCGTTACACGTTATGCTCACAATACCGGTCATTCAGTCGAACGCCGTTTCGGTTGGGATACTCATGGTCTTCCCGTGGAATACGAGATTGATAAAAAGTTGGGCATCACTGGTAAGGACGATGTCATGAAGATGGGTATCGACAAATACAACGCCGAATGCAGAGCTATTGTTATGAGATATGCCGGCGAATGGCGCAAGACTGTCGAACGTATGGCTCGTTGGATTGATTTCGATAATGATTATAAGACATTGAACCCTACTTTCATGGAGTCTGTTTGGTGGGTTTTCAAGCAATTGTTTGAAAAGGGCCAAGTGTACCGTGGTCAAAGAGTAAGTGTATTCTATTTGCGTAGTGTCAGGACTTACTGACGCCATTTTTTTTTCTGGCAGGTCATGCCTTATTCTACTGGTTGCACCACTCCTTTATCCAACTTTGAATCTTCTCAAAACTACAAGGATGTCAACGATCCTGCCAGTAAGTTGTTGCTGCTATTGTTGTTTGCTGTGGTATGCTTGAGTGCTAATTTCCTCATGTAGTTGTTGTTGGTTTCCCCTTGGTTGACGACAAGACCACTCAAATCTTGACCTGGACCACCACACCTTGGACCTTGCCCTCTAATATGGGTGTTTGTGTTCATCCCGATTTCGAATACATCAAGATTCACGACCAACTCACTGGACACAACTACATTTTGATGGAGAAGCGTCTTTCCATTCTTTACAAGGATCCCAAGAAGGCAAAATTCACCATTCTTGAAAAGTATAAGGGTGCTGATATGAAGGGTTGGAAGATCGTCCCCATGTTTGATTACTTTTATGAGGAATTTAAGGATTGCGCTTTCCAAGTCATGGTGGATACCTACGTTACTGATGATTCCGGTACTGGTATTGTCCAAAACGCTCCTGCTTTTGGTGAGGACGATTACCGTGTCTGTATCGCTCATGGTGCTATCACTGCTGATGGTCATTTGCCTTTGCCTCTTGATGCCTCTGGTGTCTTTACCGATGAAGTCCCTGATTATAAGGGCATGTACGTCAAGGATGCTGATAAGGCTATTCAAAAGGATATCAAGGCAAAGGGTCGCTTGATTATCCAATCCCAATTCATGCATAGTTATCCCTTCTGCTGGCGTTCTGATACTCCTCTCATTTACAAGGCTGTTCCTGCTTGGTTCGTCCGTGTTGCTCCCGTCGTTGACAAGATTTTAGCCTGTAACAATGAGATGCGTTGGGTTCCTTCTTTTGTTCAAGAGAAGCGTTTCGCCAACTGGATTGCCAATGCTCGTGATTGGAACATTTCTCGTAACAGATATTGGGGTACTCCTTTACCTCTCTGGGTCAGTGATGATTATGAGGAAGTTGTCTGTATTGGCTCCATTGCTGAATTGGAGGAACTCAGTGGTATCTCTCCCATCACCGATCTCCATCGCGAAAGCGTGGATGGCATCACTATTCCTTCCAAGCAAGGTAAGGGTGTCCTGCGTCGTGTTGAAGAAGTTTTTGATTGTTGGTTCGAGTCTGGCTCCATGCCTTACGCTCAACAACATTATCCTTTCGAGAACAAGGAAAAGGTTGAAACCTCTTTCCCTGCTGACTTCATCTCTGAGGGTATTGATCAAACTCGTGGTTGGTTCTATACCTTGTTGGTCTTGTCCACTCACCTCTTCAACAAGCCTCCTGCCAAGAACGTCATTGTCAGTGGTCTCGTTTTGGCCTCTGACGGCAAGAAGATGAGTAAGCGTCTCAAGAATTACCCTGAGCCTGGAATTGTTATCGACAAGTTTGGTTCTGATGCCTTGAGATTGTATCTCATTAACTCTCCTGTTGTTCGTGCTGAAACCTTAAAGTTCAAGGAAGAAGGTGTCAAGGACGTTATTTCCAAGGTCTTCTTGCCCTGGTACAATGCCTACAAGTTCTTCCTCACTCAAACTGCTGTCTTGAAGAAGGACTTTGACTTTGACTTCCAATATGATCTCCACATCAAGAAGTCTGACAACGTCATGGATCGCTGGGTGTTGGCCTCTTGTCAATCTCTTATCAAATTTATTCGCGAGGAAATGGCTGCCTACAGACTCTACACTGTTGTCCCTCGTTTGTTGAACATGATTGACACTCTCACCAACTGGTATGTCCGTTTCAACCGTAAGAGATTGAAGGGTGAAAATGGTTTGGATGATGCCAAGTTGGCCATGAACACTCTCTACGAAGTCTTGTTCACCTTGTGTAGCACCATGGCTCCTTTCACTCCTTATTTGGTTGAAAACATGTATCAAAACCTCAAGAACTTTGCTCCCAAGAATCCCAATGTCGTTGATGATCGTTCCATCCACTTTTTGGACTTCCCCACCGTGCGTGAAGAATACTTTGATCCCGAAATTGAGCGTGCTGTCGGTCGTATGCAAGCTGTCATCGAGTTGGGTCGTACTATCCGTGAACGCAAGAACATTTCTCTCAAGACTCCTTTGAAGGAATTGGTTGTTATCCACAGTGATCCTCAATACCATGCTGATGTCAAGGCCTTGGAATCTTACATCTCTGAGGAATTGAACGTTCGCAACATTGTCATCACTGATAACGAAGACAAGTACGGTGTCAAGTACAAAGCTGAGGCTGACTGGAAGGTGTTGGGTCAAAAGCTCAAGAAGGATGCCATGAAGGTCAAGAAGGGTCTTCCTGAAATGACCAGTGATCAAATCAAGGAGTTTGTCCACACCAAGGAGCTCATTGTCGCTGGTATCACGGTGACCCATGAAGATTTGAATGTTGTTCGTTACTTTGAAGCTTCTTCTGATGCTTCTTATGAGGCCAACACTGACAAGGACTCATTGGTCTTGATGGATGTCAAATCATACCCCGAATTGGAAGAAGAGGGTGTTGCTCGTGAAATCATTAATCGTGTTCAACGTTTAAGAAAGAAGGCCAACTTGTTGCCTACTGATGATATCAACATGTACTATCGTTTCACTGCTGATTCAGGTGCTGAATTAGAAAAGGTTATCAAGAACCAAGAAGCTATTTTGGTCAAGGTCATCAAGAAGCCTTTGCAACCTATCAGCGAAATGCCTTCTTCCGAAAAGCTCATTGCTGAAGAAGAGCAAGATGTCAATGGTACCAAGTTTGACCTTGTCTTTGCTAAATAATTTTTCTTTTTCATAATCTTTTCTCTCAACGTAATTGTTATTTTCATTCAAACATAAAACTGTCTTTACTATCACCAATCTAAACATGTAGAAATAAACTATTGGTATTCCTTTTAGATTTTTCAATTATTTGTACTAGTAAATAAAAACCATGGAATTGGCAGCTCGTCCTTTGTAAAGTGTAGTATAAATGAATCCTCTTGTACACATAGAATATATTCAGTGGAGAGGAATGCTCCCAAAGTGGATCAAGGAAAAGCATATCATCAACGTGAAAGCATGCAAGGATACAATACAAAGTATTTACCGGATATATGGTTGCATCAAATCGTCGTTACAGCAAAACGCGAGCATCATGGTGGCAGAAAAAGGCCCATAAAGCCCCAGCTCTTTATATTAGCAGTAGTTTTCTTTAATAGAGTGGCAGGATACTATTAAAGTTTATCAAAAAAAGTTGCAAAAGGAATGCTTATTTACGAGTAGTGTTGAGCTAACGAAAGAGAATTTAAGCCATGTGCCCCCCAAACAACTCTGAAATGCTGCTTGGCAACCTAATGTAAATGTTCCTCTTGCTCCAATTGATTGTCCAAGAACCCCTGAACGGAGTACAGACGTCAAACGTAATCCAAATTAGGTAGAACTGATATAGCATCAAGTGGATCTATTCGTGCTTGTGCGAAGAAAATCCATCCATGAGAACCAGACTTGAAGTTAAATAGCAACTTAGTGAATAGAGTCCCTTGTCTACCAAAGGATTTGTGTATATTTTGTGCAAAATCAGATGCATCTTTAATACTGTTCGAATCCATTCTTACGTAACCCATGGAAAATTGGAACATGAGCTACAAGAAATCTGTTCCATTCAAAAACAAGCATCTGATATGAGCTTGCTACTTTCCGCTTTGTTAAGTGCATGAGCGATTCTATCGCTCTAAAGTCTACATGAAACTGCAAATCTATCACTCAAGTTACCAGCATTGCACTGATTTGGTAAAAAAAAAAAAAAAAAAAAAAAAAAGCCCAAACTGCCATTGAAATACATGAAACAGAGAGCGCTCGAGAAAAAATTTGTAGATTCAATCCTTTTTCATAACCAAATCATGTCTATGTCAAGTGTTTCTTTGTTGACCAGGGAGCTTTCATTTGCACCTTATGATGTAAAATGGATTCCCTGTTCATCCAGAGTATGCACTGTGGGCGCTACTAATCATGGAACGGGCAAAATTGCTGTATATAATCTCGTTGGAAAACAATTAGAACTGAAAACCGAGGTAAACTAATACCCTTCTTTTTGCTTGAAAACAAGCTGATTTATCCTTTATACTATCAATAGACAGAAACCAATGCAGCTGTGCGATGTGCAACCATTACAGGACTGACACGTAGTATGGCAACAGGTGATTTTGAGGGTCAACTTCAAATATGGTGAGATGTATGCCTCGAATGTCAAATATCCAGGTTAGCTTATCCTTTTTTAATCGATTATAAAGGGACACACAACGCTTCGACATTCCGTTAGTCTCATTTAAAGCGCATGACAGTATTATCAACTCGATAGACAGTTACAATCAATCAAAAGAACCACAAGAGCTCGTTACTGGCAGTCGCGACGGTAAATTTGCGATGGACAATGCAGTAGATTGATATTCACATGTCAGCAATACTAGGAACTGTCAAAGTGTGGGATGTAAGACAACAAGAAAAGGCAGTTTTGACAATTAAATCAAAGGAATCGATTGATATATGGGCTGTAGCATACGGTATGAAAAAGCACTGTATTTCTCCATGTGATATCTAAAGTTAAATATGACATGTAGGTCAGTTGAGGGGCGAAAAAGTGATTGCAGTAGGATATGAAAATGGAGATATCAAGCTATTCCATGTCAATGGATCACAGTATTTATGGGAGTTGCGCGTCAAGGATGGCATTTGCTCCATTGAATTCAACAGTGATAAATTATTAACAAGCACCCTCTCTGGTGCTTATGTGATTGACATTACCACTGGAAAGACTTCCGAGATCCAGGTACATTTGCGTTGCTAGGACTCCTACATACACATACTAACAAGAGCAATTGTAGTCTCCAACAACATTATGGTCTGTTCGACATATACCACAACAAGCACACTATTTCAGTGTTGCAGGAGGCGACGGCAATGTCACCACATATAGTCAGCAAGACATGAAGCCAACAAATGTGCTTGCTCTTTCAAAACATCCCATCATCTCCCTAGACTGGAGCAAAGATAAAAAGGGCCTGTTTGCATGCTGTTCATTTGACCAATCCCTCAAAATTGGTATGGTATTCAACGGCCAATAAACCCATCTACTTGTTTATTATTTTTTACGATCTGCTTTCCATTTATACACTGGTAATCCAAACTCGTCTTTGCCCACTTGCTTCTTTCTTCCCTTTTGTCTTAGAGCCTTTTGCGTCGCTAATTCTCTTTCTGCTTTTGCTAATTCCTCTTCACGCTTCATGCGAGATTGTAATTCCTTGTATAGACGCTCTCTTTCCTTCTTGATGTCCTTTAATTCTCTACCAGTGTGAGGTGCAATGATGGCTGTTTCACGTAGTGTTTCGATGCGAGGTCTGTTGAATTTACGATTCACTAATTCGGGTAAGGTATCGAGGTGTTTGGCAGGGTTGAATTTGCGAACTTGTTTTTCAGAGTCTACGAATACAATGTGATTTGACTTATTCTTCTTTGCTGGCCTTTCGTCTTCCTCTTCAGAGTCCTCTTCTTCGTCTGAATTCTTTCCATCGTCTATAAAGTGAAGCGATGCTTGTAATTTCTCTAATTTCTAAGGAAAAATCTGCATCAGTATGGGAATTCGCAATAGATATCGGTCCACGTACTCTTTTGCTGAGATCTCTTTGATATTTGATATACTCTTTATCTTGTGTCTTCATCAATTGCACCATTTCATCTGGTAATTCTTCGTTACGCTTTTGAATATGCACACCACCCTTGGTTTGGCTGTTGACCATCTTGAAGTAAAATTCATCAGGATTTCTAAACAATGCCTTCTCTCTCATTGCCTTCAACTTGTTTTGCTTTCCATGGTAATCTTTGGCACGCAAAAGGTAGTCCTTCTTCTTTTCCAAAAGACCAAATTTCTCTCTGCCAGCGGTTTGGCCACGTTCTTTGTGATTTCTTCTCTGAACTGCGTTACGTAAAGTCGACATAATGGATAGGGATGTGTTGTTGTAAAGGATGAGGAAAATAGAAGAAAAAAATTCAAAATCTGGACAAATGTCAAATTCCTTCGTTCTAGTCACATTGAGAGAGAGGAAAAAGGGTCACATTGAAGACAATGTATGGCATGAATACAGGAGGTGGCTCTTTGTTCTTCAGTACCTGTCAATTAGCCAAGAATTTATTGCTTTACTATGAAAAGGGAAGATCTATGGATGAAATCTCCAGCAGAAATACACTGGATAGTGTGCCCGCATTCACTTTGACCTCTGATTCATCGTCTTCGTTATCAATGTACTTGAGCTCATCAAATTGGAATGACTCTTTTGAGATCTGCCTGCATTTCAGCTTCCATTTATCCAAGAGATATTGAATGCTTCGTTTGGGGCTTCTTTCTTGGTATGCAGTGTAAAATATACAGTTTGCATTGTGCTTCTGGATGATAAATGACACAGTGACAATCAAGTTTTCAAATTCTAGGATGCTGGTGAGTGGGAGTGGTAAATACTAAATTTCACAACCAAGACGCTTACGAGAAGGCTCATAGAACGTATCACTTCCAAGAATGTAGTCTATCTTGGTATTCCGTTCTTTTTCAACACGGTCCAGTAGAGCATCAATGCTGCATTCTGATCCAAATTGTCCCCATTTGATGGCCTGGATCCAAGTTCCATGTATATCATTCAATCGAATGCAACTTCGTACCACAGGCAGTATTTCAGGTATATCGCTCAGAATCAAGTGCGCTGATGGTGTAGATTTGCCAATAACAATAGACGGTATAGATGTTCCTGCACCTAGCTTTACTATACCACTTTAAATTCTACATGTGGAAGACTGCTCCTTCAAGCACTTGCCTCAAGCACTGTTTTATCTTTGAAATGATTGCGCTTATGCCACACAAACTCCCCCATGACGAGTGCTGACGGCCATATGTAACAGCCATAAGCTGCATCGAGAACCTAGCAAACATGAGATAGATAGTCTCGCAGGAATGATTATTGTGGATGTTTTACCTCTTCGACCAAAACATGTATCTCATCTGCATCTGTATCATTCGAGTAGCTAATGCACTTTATACTGCAATTTGGATTAGAGCTGATGCGTTGTTTGCCGAATGCAAGTATACCTCCTTCTGGGTTCACTCATAGTTTGTGTGCAAAAGTGGTAATGAAAGCAGAGGACATGAATCAAGTTTCTCAAGTTAAGTGACGTTTAAACTGCATTGGGCAAGCAGATGAAACTCGAATTCGTTAGACGTTGAACAAAGAAAACACATCAAATGATTATATCTTGAGGACATCCTAGCAATTACGTTGATCCCTATGATTTAAGTTTTTGTGGCAGTGCGTGCAATAAGGCTATGAGGATATTGTGAAAACACTACAAGCATTACTGTCCGATTTATCGAATATCTTGGTTCTTTCCTCTTGGATTCTTATGCACTACCAGTGAGCCTCAATTCTATTCCGCACAATATGAGCATTATTAAGCAAGCAGTAATTTGCTTGCCTACCAAAGCCTACTAATATAAATTACTAGAATCCCACATTTCAGCATTGCGTTATTATGTTAAACCCTTTCTAAATGAGCTGTAGGTGTGGATTCAACTGTTTCAGAGTGCTTTACGCCTGCTTAATGGTGTCAACTTATGAACGATAGACAGCGTATCTGAGTTACCTCTTAGTACTCAAAAGTATGCAAAATACAGCGAGATTTGTATGCATCCGAGGCGCGTTTTCTCGTGTAAGAAGCCGATTTAGACTGCCCGAATAGCATCACACAATTGCTCTAATCTAGCACTTATTTGCTGATGCTTTTGCTCAGCTTTTTGGGCCAAAAAAAACATGGCCAAAAATCGACTCAAAAGTATGAGGTACCCCTCATGGTTTTCACCAAAAATCAAACGATCGCGTTTTTGACCATAAAAATAAAGACTTTTACTATAGCATATATTGAATCAAAACGTTGCTATCGATCCAAAGCAGCTCCTGAAACTTTGTTTGTGCGTCCTTGATATGTAAAATCTCGACTTTTTGGCCAGAAACCTCTCTTTAAATTCTCATAGATTGCTCAATAAGTTTATTCAAAACATCTACATTACATGGTACCATTGGATGTGCCTTGAAAAGTACTTTAAGAAAGCTTAAGAAAGTGCGAGATGATTACCACATTTCACATAGTCCAACCTTACAAAATAGACCAAACAGGTCGAAAAAAAAACCAAAATTTGGCCAATCCTGAAAAATATGTAGAACCTGAGTTCTAATCGCTTCTGGTTGGCAAGATGCATCTCTGACGAAGATAATCAATGTTTGTGAGGCTAATAAGAAGAGGGTTATGGATTCATGAGTACTATGGTTTAGTTCAGTAGCCTTGTTTTGCTTTTGATATATATATATATATATATTACTATATGGTAGATTCAATCGTAGGAAACTACTCATTTAAACGCGGAATTTGATACGAAATAAATACTGTCCACCTTAGAGCTGTGCTCAATGCAAACGATTCTAAACTAATGGGGAATATTTCAGAAAGCACTTGAAAAAACGCTCACAATATGCAATATGTTTCCATTTGGTTATTGTATGCGAAATCAAGTTCAAGTAGTATAAGGAAGCTATAGCGTTGATCTTGAAATACGAGCAACCTTGTCATGCCTGCCCACTCCTTATTTTGGTTGGCAAGGTGGCTTATTGGGTGTTTAATAAAAGCGTGTTTCCTTGATTGTTTTGTTCATTTTTCTTTTTACTTGCAAAATGAAGTCTAGAAAGAGATCACTACATACGTCAACTACCAGCAAGAGTAGCAACCCCTTAAAGTATCACCACGAATTGTTACAATTCCAACTGAACAATGAAGCTAATGACGAGCGTATGAAAGAAGACGAGCGTTCGACTCTTGAGTTCAAGCAGGAAGCTCACAACAAATACGAGGAGACTCAAAAAACTGGCGTATCAAATACTAATGGAGGCGTCTCAAATGAATCGAATACGTTTGACTTGAACAGCAATGGCGAAACCAATGTTAAACAAGAAGAGTTGGCAAAATCTGAAGTTGTATTACAAGGTGCAGTTATTGACACGCAATACACTGCAATAAATGTACTTACCCTTAATACACACAGACAACACTGTGGAATCGCGCAGATCCGACATTAATAGCAGGGAGCAATCAGTTGAACTTGGCCAGGTGGAGCCAGACATTGACGATCCCAATTTTTACTGTCGTTCATGCAATTATACTCTCTCAAACAAGAGCGGATATCGATCTCACCTGAAAAAGTATCACAAAATGAACCTGAAGCCATTGGTTCCAATTAGGAATCCTGCTATTTTGCCTGACTGGGACGATCCATACCAGTATTGCAAATCTTGCAATTACACATACGCTTCAAGAAATACATATAAAGCACATTGCAAATACTTTCATAAAATGAAAGCACCCACAAGGTCAGCTGGAATTCCAGATATCCGTGATCCCAATAGCTACTGCAAGGTATGCAATCATACCTACAAAAGCAAGAGTTCGTACATTACACATTGTGTAATTGTGCATAAAATCAGACGTGGACAGCGGTTTGCCAATCCAGAAGCCACACCAGACGTACAAGATCCAAATAATTACTGCATACGATGCGATAGGACCTTTTGCAGCCGTTACGCTTTTAGGAATCATCTATTTCGTATTCATCAGTTGAAGCTATCACTGCCAAACGAGATTGCACCAGACATTGATGATCCCAACAATCACTGCCGCTCTTGTGACAAGACCTTCGATTCGAGATATAGCTTCAGAATACATTTGGCATCGATACATTTCATTGGAAAATTACCTTACGAAAAAAGCAACGCATATCCAGATGTTGATGACCCCAACAACTACTGTCGTGTATGTCAACGAAGCTACGTTTCAAGAGCACACTACCGCACTCATTTAAAAGGAGTTCATCAAATGATTCTACGGCCTCAAAAAAATCTCAACAACCTTCCTGATCCTGACGACCCGAATTTATATTGCAGAGTGTGCGATAAAACTAAAGAAACATTGGTATCCTACCGCGAACATTGCATGCAGATTCATCGCATGGTATTGAGACATCATTCCATATCAAACCCCAATGCAACAATTGATATCACTAGTCGTGATAATTACTGCGCTCAATGTGAATATCGATATTCAAGCAAGTACGCATTTGTATGTCATTTGCAAACTGTTCACGATATGTATGTCAACCTGTGATACAGTCTTCATGATATTCCTGATTTGTAACAGAGCAGATTCGTAAATCTCATCGCAATGCAAGTTGAAATATCGCTTTGGGACTCAATACATTTATTCAAGTAATGGATATATAAAACAAACGGCAATTGTAGAATTCAAGAATAAAAGATGGCTTAAGAGAAGACCTGAAATAAGAAGCTTGATCTGCTGAAACTTGCGCGTCTTTCTTTCTTCTTTGCCATCGGTTTAAACGAAGCTGAGAGACAGAAAGAAGCGTGCTCTGGGCAATATTAACCTAGAAGAAGATGTCAAAGCTAATTTCAATTATATTGAAACATCTTTCACCATAAGTGATGAGGTTTTTGCTACAAGTATATACCTAAAGCAGGAAGTATCAAGGAGCACGAGAAGTCGTTACAGAAAGATGATATGTATAATGACAGGTAAGATGGCAAGCATACTTCAACAGCTATTGTTAGAAGATAAATCTCGTAAAGAGGGCTGTAACTACTAATGATACGTGCAATCAAAGAATAAAAGACTTTAAGTCAGTATTGGAGCATAAGGCGGTCGACTAGGAGAAAGATTGAAGATATTGGCACGGAGACTGATGTACATGATCGCAACTTTTATTGCAAATCATTAATAGCGATAGAGCAAACAGATGTCACCTAATAAGGGGCGTTAATTGCATGGTTCTGAAGCCAATACCTAGTTGAAAAACACCTCGAAACGACATTGCTCCTGATCCTGACGGTTCCATCTTTTGCATGTTACTGAGTTTACGACTACATTCAAAAGCATACAGCGCCCATTGCCGTCCTGCGCAAGAAGTTGAATCTGTCAAGGGTCGCCAACTTCCTGGCTTGATTTCACTTAATAGTGTATTTCTCGTATACTTGACTAGCCGATCTATCTCGTTACGCTCGATGTCGGCGTCGCCCTGTGGGCTCTCACCAAAGGCATTTTAAATCAGATATAATATAATTTTGGTATATCAAGTAGATTTTAAACAATTTATTATTAGTTAGTAAAAAAAAAAAAGATTATATCAGAGCCAGGAGGAGAAGAGGAGGTATCTCCCCCCAGCATCCTTTTTGCTTGCACTGATATCAAACAAAGCCTATTATTGGGACAATGTGAAAGAAAATTCAAATTTTATGCAGCATTTGTACATCACAACCGCCATCTTCTAGTAAGAGAATTGTTATATCATTCACTGCTGCTGATGTTCTTAATAAGATGGCGACATAAAGCTGGTCAAAAGTAAATACAGGATTTGTGTAAGTTCTACAGCGACTTTTTTGAGTTATTGCCATTGCAAACGACGGCTTCATCAGTCAAAATTCCTCCCAAAAAAAGTATTCGAGCTATTCAACTGTCCTTTCAATTCCATGATCCCTATTTAATCAGCATCGCAATCATCATTGTCATCAACAGAAAAGCATTTAGGTCAGCCAGTAGCAATGCCGCCGCTAAAATCAATTCAAGCTCAGTTTATTTTTTTCTGTTCGAGATTGGACAGATATTGACTTTTTCGACTTCCTTAATCTATTCTATGGCATTCGACTATATAAGCTGTAATGATCACCCTACGCTTCCTAATACATTCTTGAAGTACTTTTCAAGGCGCTTCCAATGGTGCTAACTGTAATAAGTGTTTTGACTGGAATTATTGAGCAATTTAATAAAATTTGAAATAAGGTTTTTAGCGAAAATAGCCATATTTTGCATATGAAAGCCTCATAAAGGTGTTTTCAGAGGTTGCTTTGGATCGATAGCAACATTTTGATTTGATATGTACCATAGTAAAAGTCGTCATTTTCAAGGTGAAAAACGCGATCGTTTGATTTTCGATGAAAACCATGAGGTATCCCTCATGCTTTTGAGTCGATTTTTGGCCATGTTTTTTTTTGGCTCAAAAAGTTGAGCAAAGGTGTCCGGAAGTTACTGCTACTCAAATACAATTATTTGGCATCATTTCGGTGGCTCAGAAAGGCCTACATGTCAAGATATGAAGGCTTGAAAGCTGTGAAATTTGGTTATGTATTGCTTTATAGGGTTTATTTGCCCTGCATAAACCACATCTTTGGCAGCTGCAGTTTACTGGAAAGGTAGTTCTGTAGCTTGAGCAATTTTTAATTCGAATAGGAGGCATATTGATTTTGGTAAATCTGATTCATGCAAATTTTGATGTGCTATGTTGCCGGTAAGCTTATTAACAATGGAAATGAAAAACCGAATTTGCTGCTTGAATACTATGATTTTGCGCCTTCGCTTCGTTACGGTAAAACTCTCATTGAGATTAATATTACCAAATGTTGGGTTAGATGCTTAGTTGCCATAGGTTTGCGCTTTTGCTTCGCTGCGATCAAGACCTCTTATAGATCAATGCTACTAAGCGTTGGATTAGACGCCTTATTACCATGGCTTTGCACCTTTGCTTCGCTACGGTAAAAACCCCCTATAAATCAATGCTATCAAGTATTGAATTAGACGCGTTATGTTTTTCCCCAAAACCCTCTCCCTATTGCCGGCTTTGCCGGTGGTTTTATACCTTGTATGGCACACAATTCTTTAAAATTTTGAAAGCATATGATTAGTTTGTCTACTTTTTTGTATGTTTTACAGTATATATATAGTGAAGATTGACGGAGGCTCTTGTTACACTCCCATATAAATAAGAGATGAATCAAAAAATAAATTCAATTTTTTGAGCTTTTCTTATCTTGTCTTGGCTTTTGAGTAATATGTCACAATGCAGAGCTACAAACTAAATCAAACCAGACTTTTGTGATACCAATGTTGCAGAATTTAACTTTTCATGTCACAGTGTTGATGATTATATATTGCATCGACTTTGTCAGCATGAACTAACATTAGGTTTCTTCATCAATAAGTATGTTCAAATGGTACGATGTTGTATCTGACTGTGGTCACTCATCGCAAGCGGTATTTTAGCCGGTTGATTATCAATCAGTACAATGGATCATTCGATGTTTCTTGAGAGAGTTATTTGCTCAGCAGTAATTAGTTTCTGCTTCTGCATTGCCATCATATTTTCTAGGACTGAAATGTTCGTGCTTATCAAAAGACCGAAATGAACAATAAGGGAAAAAGAAAGACCTGTCAAACCTTAATTTCGTGCACGGACCTTCTAAATGCACGTCCTGCTTTTTTGTGAACACATAATGTGATCCACTGCTTTGAGCTTGTATAATCATTCCATGTAATGGCCCTGTAAAAACCAACATCAATTTGCAGCAATTTGATAGAATCTTAAAGAGAAAAAAAAAGCGGGCGTATTAAATGTAAAACCTTTTATATCAAAGTATGATGTAAATCTCAGCTCCTGCCGTTGGGAAAGCTAAAAAGAAAAGTTCCATTGTAACAATTGTTCGCTGTACGTGATTTTCACTAAAATTTTTTGCCATGGTAGAAAACCCCAAATAATCGTTCGATTATTGAATATCTTGCTTTGACATCAGGTAACACTAATCTGGTAAATTTGCATTTGGATGCTAACAAACTTAGTCCAGGTGTCTTTGAGTAACATGGAACATCCAGCTCTCGATAGCGCTGTACAGTGCAAGAAGATAGAAACATCCAAATGCAATTCTCTTTAAAATCTTCTTTCCTCTTTTTTTTTCAAAATACCACACGTTCATTTCTATCATTTGCCTCATCATCATGGCATCAATTCTTGTGTTTATGTGAAACCTCTTTAATTTATGTGAAACCTACGTTGATAAATAATGACTTAAGACTACTCAAATCAACTACTCAAATCCGCATAAGTAGGCTACTGTGTTATATATTTGAATAAGGCTTTATTGAATTTAGTCTATATAATAGTGGGCTCAGCCATATTGGAGCCAAATGTATTCATGATGTTTTCATTTGATACAGTAACTTGAGCTTCTGGGTAGCTCAGAATGATATGGGGGTCTATTTTAATGGTCTTGATGGGAGAACCTGGTATAGATGAGTACGGTGATAATGTTACAGTGCCATCATTGCAATCTTCTGGATCGGATATAGTGCCTCCGCTTTTGATGGTAGGCGGATTGGTCAACGAAAATGTAGTTTTGAGGCGAAGCGAAGAGATGCGTTTGTTGGGAGCATTCGATAAAGAGGTGGATGTTCTGTTTACGCTCTTGTCAGAAATTGGAGGAGGAGGAGGAGGAGAGTTAGGTGGTATGTCAATGCGGCATTGATTGACAGAGTTGAGAGAGACCGGAGAACGGTTTGTGCTTCTCCATGCAGAAGTGGCATTCAAACTTGAATCACGAATAGGCTCACTGTTTCCGAATGGTGGTGGTGATGCCCTCTTTTTGCGTTGACTTGATTTTTTTGGAACTGGAAGAGCAGTATTTAAGGAACTCTTAGGAGATGGCGAGCTATTCTCTACCTTGACCGAGGTTTCTGCCGCAGGAGAACCGCGATTAATGCTATGAGCCACGGGCGTGGTATTATACTGCTTATCAATTGTAAACGGATCGCTAACGTTAAATTGCTTTTGAGGATAGCTGTCATGTTCAATTGTTGCAGAAGATCTACTTTCTCTATTTGGTATTGATTTTTTGTTGTTGTCTTGTTGGCTATTGACAGGCTGTTGTAAGTAGAGAGGTGTAGTGGTATATGACAAGGATCTACCATGGTATTGATGAGAGAGAACGTTGTCAGAGGATAAGTGATGAATCTTGGTGCGAGCTAGATTCAATATTCATTTAGCTAACTTGACAAATGCAAATGACGAATACGACTTACCTTGTTTGTTCCATCTGGAATGATCTAAAGGAAACATTGGAGTGCTCTTTGACGATCTAGGCTGAATTTCAATTGATTTATGAGCATCTTTTTGGTGGTGAGTAAAGTTGAAAATGCTGATATGATTACTGAATGAGGAGGTAGCAGATGAAGTCTTTTTCTTTTTGGTAGACTTTTTCGCAAAAATATTCATTAGCATTGCATTGAGTTTTGAGGTTTGATGCTGTTGAGGATGTGATGAAGGAGAGGCAGAGGAAGGGATGGCAAGAGGGGATGTTTCCACTAAAGGAACACTAGATTTTTGATCATTTTGAGGTATGTCTTTCTTGTTGCTACTATCTTCTGACATCTTCAAGTAGGATAAAAAGTCAATTCTTTCCAGATAGATATTACACTGGATATTACAAGTAACATTAAGAAGGATGTACGCAATTATCTGCTTTGGTTCAACTTACAATCGACTTTAAGCCTGCTGTATCGTTATTACTACTCGGATGTTGTAATACAAATACCAATAGTTCTACAGCTTCAGTATAAGCAGCAATTGCGTTATGAAAATCATTGGAGGTATCATAATTGACAGCGGTATTTGCTTTTTCTAGAGCGAGATCAATGCATTGCTTGATCGTGGCATCTTTCAATGACATATCCATATTTATTCAAGATGATAGAAGGGACAAAGACAGCAGCAATAATCGCAATTAAATATTACGTTTATATAATTGCATTCATTATGCTCTGCTTATCATCTTGTAAAAGTATACGGAAATGATCCGAATTAGAGCATTTTGCTTCAATATCACACGTTTATTGAGTGCCCGTACAACATGTTTCACTGCAGCAAGCTTTGTTTAATGGTTGGCTGATGAAGTATGTAGTAAAAGGGCAATCTCTCTAGAAAGAACCTGACTATATCACAATCGTTTTGAAAATTGAAGCAAGAATTTCATCACGCTCAATTTTCAAGTAAAATACAAGAATTGTAGCGATGATTATATTCTCACTGTTTGATGTATGCTTTAGTATCCCAGTAGTTCATATCAATATATTAAAAATATGTAAAACCAACTACAGTACAACCTATTGATGCCTAGAACACTAATCATCCTTCTCTTGTTCTTCTTTAGCATATCAAAGAGCTGTGATTCCATCTAATTCACAATCCTTAATCGAGCTGCCTCCTTTCGCGTTTGTATCGACGTTTCTTCGTGTCTTGTCGATGCTACAGGCAATTTTGCTCTTATCGTTTATTTCTCGCTGCAAATGGCAAATATTGTCTCATTAAATGTTAATACAAAATACAATTGCATCAAAAGCTGTTTGTTGCGTCGTGTCAGTTTGAAACATCATGACTCAAAGAGAGTGTACGCTGGGTTTTAGTAGAAGTTGGTTTCCACTGTACCTCCTCACATTCAAAGACTGTATACCAGATAGGAGCGATATGTTCGATGGTTCAAGGCGCGTTCGTCTGCTATAGTTCAGTTAAAGCAATGCTATAGAGCTTCTAGTGTTAGTATTAATCGAGAGACTTACCTCAAGGTCGTTGGCCAAAGTGTCGTAAAGCTTTTGCGCAATACAAGTTTAATCATCCCACAATACCACGACGAATTTTGAGTCATAGTACTATATAAATCATATTTAGTAACTCTTAACAGACTTGAATTATCTTTGACACATTTTGCTCATCTTTAGGAGGTTATTCGAAGAAAGAAAGAGACAGGGAGAGAGGCAAGTGATGTTTACTTACAACGCATTCAACAGGGATGAGCAAGCGCGGTCTCTTGATTTATTTTTACTTGTGGTGACACTACAGATGCTATATACATGAAATCGACGCTAGAGAATGTATAGATAAAACGAAAAGGATATCGCTTTCTTATACTACAGCAGCCTTGATGAGGGTTGTTTTTCAATCATTTGCTCAAATTTTTCGCTGAACTATCTGCATTGGTTTGTCTTGAATTCACACGCGCTAATGTGCGCTTTTCTGTTGATACTAAAGACAAATCTCTAGTAAAAGATGCTCGTTTCCCAAAATTTATCTTCATATGATATGGCTCAGGGTGATTATACAAAACATCAAATACTATGTAGCGATATACAACGATTTACAAGTAATCACAGCCCATATTCTACAATTCAGATAGTGCCATATAATATTACTATCGTTACGATACAAGGTGTATCCAAAGGATTGGCAGCAATTTGAATGTCTTGCTAGCAACATCATATAGCAACAGCATCTCTTTCAATTTGGATTTCGAGCTACACATGTTTCATATGGATGCCGTTTTTCTCCTTGAACAGAGGATTCCAACAAACATCACGGTACAAACAAATCACGCAACGGATAATCGCTTGTCTCAATTTTCACTCTCTACCTCTTTCTCAACATTGCGATACAACTAAAATATATTAAATTAATGAAATTAATGAAAAAGTGGCGTCCATCATACATCCTTTGCCATTTCACATAGAGGCAATGGATCCCTTTGCAAATCCAACAAGCAGATTGTCATACGATTGATATATTTATATTAGCGAGTTAGAATGTAATGTTTGGTGTACACACTTGTAATCATCAGCTTTCTGTTCTACCAATGATATATGCCAACCCCCCAAATCTAAATTTCTTATCGATTTTTCCTGCAACATCACCGATCAGAAGAGAAGTTAGACGATTTACAATGAGGTAAATGTAGAAACAGAGAGCTAACTTGATCTGGTATTCTTGTGTATAATACTTTGTAATGGCATGTGCTCTATTTCTTGTTCTTTATTTCAATCATTGCTAAGCAAACAATCCGTCCAAATTTTCCTGTTTCTGTGTGTGTGTGTGTGTGTATAAATTGCGGTTATTTTTAAACTTTGTAGTTTAGGGATCCGTAAAGAGCAAAAAAAAAAAAAAAAAAAAAATTCACATCTGTGTTTTTTTTTTTTTTTTTTTTTTTCCTCTAGTAACCATACGTTTTGTGTCAGTCTTGAAAATGATGATACAACAGGGGTAGTTTTTTGTGTGTCAAGTCTAGTATAAATTTACTATACTAAAGACAGATCAGATAAAGAATGAAAAAAAAAGCAGTAATAAGAAGGTGGAGTATGATCCGTTACTATCATACATGGATCTAATTATAAACAATATGGAAAGAGCACGAGCATTCAATACATTTTGTGTATTTTTTTTTCATAACTATCACTAATTAGCACTCACAGAATCACACACGAGCAGTCTAAACATTTTTATATCAATGATAGACTTGAAAAATGCCACAGCCCCTTGTCTGTATCATATCATGATTCGATCATTTCATTCGTTTTGTTTCTCAAGCTTTGACGTGCTCGCATTTCATCTTAATTTAGCTTAGTCCTCTTTTAGTGCTGACTTGATTTTGATCCTCACTTGGTTACCTGGCAACTGATAGTGAAAAAAAAAAAAGCTGGCCCTGGCTCAGCTTATCCCATTTTTTAGTGTAATGATGGAATTCCATGGCATTGTCGATTTAATTTTGGTATCTTTTTGTTAATGTGGATTTAATAACAATTAACAATCTTTCAATTTTAAATAAGTTGGTATCACATCAACCGAGTAAGAGGACAGACTACATGCATTCATCAAGCACACATTAAAATCTGGTATAAGCATTTATATGTTGCTTTTAATTGCTTTGCATGATACAATTTTCTTGACACACATATGCTCATATATACACCCATATTCTCATATACAAAGCAAGAGCTAGAACCTGGGCCTTCTCCTCCCCGCCCATTTGCAACTTGAGTGAATGAAACTTGCACACATTTGTATCAAAAAATTTCTATTTATGGTACTTATTCCTGCTTTAAGGGCCCTGTTGTCAACATTTAGACATTGGATATCAAAGGCATTGCAGGGATAGTCTCTTATCCCATTTAGTGCATCTTTAAGGACATCTACCAAGTGTATGCAAAACTAACCTGCACATTTACCGAGAAATTTGATACGATACCCAGTGATCTACCTTTCCATCACTATCATCCCATCCCCCCCCCCCTTTTTTTTTGTGTGATTCCCATAAAAGGCTGTCATTGAAAAAGTGAAACAAGACTTGATTAAATCGACACAGCCAGCACATTCTGTTGTAATTAAAAGCACTCATATCGTTGTTTTCTTTGCGGATCTCATACATTTTGTTATCGTTGATTTTTGCGTCTCCATTTTTTTTCCTTATTTTATACAAACTTCAATGGAAAAAAAAATGTTACTTGAAAATTGATCCCCTTGAGTTACTTGAAAATAAGCTTGATTTAAGGTTCAAAATTTGAAACATGCTAAAATAATTCTTTAAACTTTGCATTGTAATCTCCCACTAGAGTCAAGCAAGCATACCGGACTTTCAAATGTATTGGCGGACCTCGCATATCGAAACTGTGTGGATCATGAAATTGTGGGCCATATTGTGTACCTTTTTCCCGCTCTGTCCCCCCTTCAATCACAAACTTTGGTACCACTGAAGAATCTCAGCAAAGCATTAATAATGCCTTGCTTTTTTTCATAAAAAAAAAATAGAGAAAATCCAATGGAAAAATATATGGTTACACGTAAATTTTAAAACAAGAGACCGCATTTAACAATGCCTTTTTAAATGATTTTTTTTTTTTTTTTTTTTTTTTCAGATGATCAAATGTCGGTGTGGGGATGAAGATTGATGGATGAACAAGAAAAGAATAAACGACATTCCTGAATGTATGAAATCTAAAAGACATAACCACAGAATCTCTTTTCTTTCTTAACTTATTATAAGAGGAGATCAAATAATCATAGATGTGCAATATCTACCACAGTCTGAACCCTTTTTTTTTCTCAAGATGATATTTTAAATTTTTCTCGGATATTACCGTTGCTTACTTGGGCTCCTTCTGGGGTGTGTTATTTTTTAAAGTGACTCCGTTTGTATCAATTTATATATATAAATACAAGGTTTAAATTTTTAATTCATTTAAGCAGTTGTTTCTTTTTCTTCTTCTTTCTTTCTCACTCTTACTCTTTCAAAAAGACACCAATTTTGTGTTTGGAGAAGAATCAAGCAATTTTTTAATCAATTCCAAACAGAACAACTCCACCTCCCGCCTCGCCTCTTTCCCATCCCATCTCCACATTCACCCCCCTTTTTTAAATTAAAAAAGTCACCCATTCGAGAAACTGGTACCTTAAAAAAACAGAAAATCAACATTTAACAGATCCAAAAACTATTTACATCAACAACCAAGCAAAATTGTTCTTGTATTCACCACTTTATTTTCCCACACTGATATTCCATCGTTTCGTACATATACATATACATACAAAAAGCACAGAGTAAAAGCAGCACAAAATGTTTTCATATAGCGATTCCATCTTTGAAACAACCAACAATAGTCCAGTAAAAGACTCAGGATTTACAGAATTGACATCCACAACCTCTTCAACTACTACTACTATTAGCCATAGCAACCAAAACGGTATCCATAATCCGTTATATGCTTATAGTGACATGTTATACTCCATGGAACATCACAATATGAGCACTACATCCTTGGGTACATATCATCAGCCATCAATCACATCTCAGCAACAGCAGCACCAAATCTGGCATGAACATCAACAGCAGCAGCAACAGCAGCAGCAACAGCAACAGCAACACCAGCAGCAGCAACAACACCAGCAGCGGCAACAGCAACATCAGCAACATCAGCAACATCAGCAACATCAGCAACATCAGCAACAGCAACAACAGCAACAACAACAGCAGCAACAACAGCAACAACAACATCAGCAGCAGCAGCATCAACATACAAGCGCTTATTATACTGCCGATGTATCGCAGCAGCAACATCAAGATCAACCGTCTTATGAACATTACAATAGTTCTCCATTTTCATCTCCTCTTATCAACACAAGCAATACAATGATGATGGGTACTACATCCCAACGCTCGTCTTTGCAATCTTTACCATCTATTCATCCTATACCTTCTACATCTACATCTGTACAGCAACATCAGCAACATCAACAGCAATTGCAATTACAACATCAGCAACAGCAACAGCAACAACAGCAAACGAATCAAAGACCTCGGATTACTACTTCTTTATGGGATGATGAAGAAACTGTTTGTTATCAAGTTGATGTGCGAGGCATTTGTGTTGCACGACGCCAAGGTAAATATGATATGAAACTTTCAGCATTTCGTTTACTTACATGTGTAATGTTAGACAACGACATGGTCAATGGCACAAAGCTCCTTAATGTTACTGGTATGTCTCGAGGTAAAAGGGATGGTATACTCAAAAATGAAAAGGGTCGCGTTGTTGTAAAAGTAGGAGCTATGCATCTCAAAGGTGTTTGGGTAACATTTGCTCGAGCTAAAGCCTTGGCTATTCAATTCAATATCGTCGACCAACTTCACCCATTATTTGTCGATGATCCAGCATTATATTTCTATTCAAACCAGTTAGCTCACAACTACTATATTCCAAACCATCCTATCTATCTTCAGTCGCAAGATTCATTCCAGCAACAGCAGCAACAGCAGCAAAACAAACGTTCCTCCTCTTCTGCATATTCAATGTATTCAAACAATAATAGTAATTCAAGTCTCGAGTTCCCTGTCTTTCATTCATCGTCTCCTTCTCCTTCAAACTATACTCATCAACCACTACCTCAACCTCCACAACAGCATCAACATCATCATCCATCTCCACATGCTCAACAACATCAACAAGATTTTAATAATTTACCTGCCGCTCCCTCCGTGCCTTCCATGATACCAGTGCAACAACAACAACATCAAATGTCACTTTATGGATACACAACATCTACCACTTCCTCTCCTACTACGACTAATCATCATCAACACATTCCAATCCCTTCAATTACTTCCCCTACTCCTACTGTTAACACTATTACTACCTCTACTACTTCTACTAATCCCGCTATTGCAACTGTTGATTCAATCATGAATCACTATTGAAAATAAATGTATATGTATCTCACCCTCACCCTCTCCTTTCCTCTACGCCCTCATCCAATTTTGCCTTGTTCTTTTTATTTCTTAGTTTTTTTTTTTTTTTTTTTTGTTTCTCAACCTGGCCATTGTATCATATCTTCCAATAAACGCAACGTGTTTCAAGCAATTGCCAAAAATCAGGGGTAAAATCCCAAAACCAGTACAGCCTACAATAGTAATTTTACTGCGCAAGTAAAAGACTGATTGATATAATGCTAAAGCAGACGTTTGTTATGAACAAGTAGGATTCATACTGGTAGAATTACTTTTTTTTTATATATATTATATTTGAAGCGTTTACTGCGCATTCTATCCCTAGAAATGCCTAATGGGAGCATGCTTCATGCTACATTTGACATTAAGTTTTTTTTTTTTTTTTTTTTTTTTTTTTTTTTTTTTTTTTTAGCACGAAATAGGAATCTGTAGCCTTGCCTTGAAAAGGCTATTCAATTCGCGTCTAAATGAATAAAGTTGCTCTTCTCACACGGTAAATATACTTTTTGAGCATATAGGATGAGGAACCCATTTCATTCGTGCTCTCCTGAGTACGGACATGTAATTTACAAATTTCGATTAGGCAGGATGCCATTGGGAGTAGTGATCTGAATGTCAGAATGAATTGCCATGTGTTTAGCAAATATTTGCCCTTGCTAGCGCCCGAAATATTTAGAACGTAGATACGTTGGAAACTATATCTTTGCACAATATATAATATTTTTTTTTTTACGAAAATGTCTGCCCTGAAGATTATGTATAAAAGCCAGCGCAGGATTTGACGGTTATACTGAGTCAAGTTATTTCGGATCCTCTTCCTCGACAGTGAGGCTGAAAGTACTGGTGTCAGTGGGTATGAAAGCAGTTGATCCAAAAGCGGTGAAAGCAAGTTTGAGATCCTATTGTTTGATGTTGTCTAAAACACACTTTACTCTGCCTCTCAGTTTCGTTGAGAAGTGAATATAGAAAAGATATAGGCGCAAATTGCACCAGGTCGAACCATTCTATGTAAGGTTTCTCTCAAGCCATTTTCTTCTTTTAAATGTAATGAAACACTCTTTAGCTTGAGTAACGCTTATCTCTACATTCGTTATCACGACGAATGGGCCTGAGCAAAGAGATAAATTATTCGTTGAAACTTGTATGTGAATACGGAAGGCTTGTACTCAATGCGAATATACAGTGAGCAACTTTGCATTTTGCATTAATGTCACATTTAGATGAGAATTTACAACAAAAAATAGACAATATATATATATATATATATGCATAGCAAAAACTATTTTAAGTGTGAATTCTAAGCTATAGTACTTTTTAAATCGCTATCGCCTTTCCATCAGTTTCGAAATCATGGATTGCTTTTCTCAGAAATGCATTTTACGAGCCAAATGTAGTTCAATCTTCGATCATCATTTTTTTTACTCGAAATGGAATTCTTGACCAATTTTCGACTTCGTTAAACTGTTGTGCTAATTTCGACTATAAAAATTGGATAATTATGGCATGCTTCCTTAAGCTGCCCGTGGTGGTAGGGCGAAGTGGTTAAGCATCCAACATGCCATCTGGACGATCCCGGTTCAAATCTCAGTGAATGCATTTTGGTGATTATTTTGACGTAGTACTGATGTTCTCGTTTGGTGTTTTGTGCTCTTATCCAGTATCCATATTTTGACGATTCGCATAACTGTATTGGCTCTAGGTGTCGCACCTGATTAGTAGTAGATTTCTTTCCCAACTTAATTCATTATATATCTTATTCCCCATCATTGCAGACATTGGGTCCACCAACAGTCTTTTCTTTCCCTCAGTATGACATTTTAAGGACTTTAAATAAAACCTGGAGCTCGACTCCCCTACAAAAAAAAAAAAAAGTGCCTCTTTAAGCTTATTTGCTGCTTGAATACTACGGTTTTGCACCTTCGCTTCGCTGCGATCAAGCCCTCATATAGAACAATGTTACCAAGTGTTGGATTAGATGCCTTATTACCATGGCTTTGCGCCTTTGCTTCGCTACGGTACAACTCCCCTATAAATCAATGCTATCAAGTATTGAATTAGACGCGTTATGTTCTTTCCCCAAACCCTCTCCCCATTGCAGGCTTTGCCGGTGGGTTTATTCACCTTGTACAGGCCATAATTCTTTAAAATTTTGAATATTTTACAGTATATACAGTGGAGATGTGGTGCATCCTAGTAGTGTTGTTAAATCCATAGATATAAGCCGTTTGTAGAGTCGTCAAAGCAATAGCAGAAAGTTGAAACGTAGAGGCTTAGTATATCTTAGTGGGATCTCATAAGCAGTAGACAAACGACGACTAGTTGGTTGCCTTGACACCTGAACTGCGCGCAATAAGATTTAGCTCTACTGACTTTAGTTGTTGCAACGAGGTCTCAACTTGCCAAAGAAACATCTTTATATATCAATGAACCAAGTTATAATGAATGCAAAATAGCGGCTTGCATATTGAAATTTGAATTTATGTGTCATTTATTGCCATAGTTTGCTCTTGTACGCCATGAACTCGTCTCAAATGCGTTTTGAAACTTACTTGTTAGAAAATGAACGTTCACATTGCGCACAATAATGATCAGGGTCATTCGTGTTGATTTCTGCATCAGATTTGACTATGAATTGGAAAGCCTCTACGGTCGTCATTGCCTTTCGTTGGCAGTGCCGTTTGGTGTAATAAGCGTATGTGCTTTTTGTTGATATACAGAGTGCGTCAATAGCAAGTGCACTTTGAAAGAAAATCTTTTTGCCAATCTCTTCTCAAAAGAAAAACAGTCAAAGTTGGTATCATTCGCATTCAACACTATGTCACTGTATTGCTCTGCTAACGCTTTGTAAATAGCAAAAAGATGTTTGCAGTAAGCATACATGCTTGAGAGACGTCTATTGCAGGGTTGACAATACGAATCTGCCATACTACGTGAGACAGGTTTTTGATTTGATATTTGGACAGGTTTCGCTCCATGTGCATACCAACAATGGGGTTTGTAGGTGCGTTTGCTATTGTCAGTACGACTGCACGCTCTCAATATAAGTTGGGATATTTTCCGTTTAGGGAAACAGCTTCAGAGCCATGTAATAAACGTTTTTTTTTAGATGTTTTCTGCATACATTTGTGCTTTTATAGCCTGTTCCACATGTTTTGCTATAAAAATTGAGATCGTGTATGTCAGGTTCCATGTTGATATTTTCCATTATTTTTCTGCTGAGATGGCTGTTCATGAGGATAGATTCACGATACTCTAATACTGACCTGAGGTTTGCCATCCCCCCCTGTTGCATAAATCACAGCGGTGGTAATAGCCGCTTTTAGCGATTACTGACATTCGGATATGCCTTGTGGTAGCTATGGTTGGCGGAAAATGCAATAAGACATGTAATTGCATATGTTTCAATGCCCCACGGCTCCTCTCAAACCATTGAAACTCATACTTTCAAGGTCTTTTAGTATAGATGCCCCTTGAGCATAAATCAAAAGCTTTAAATGTCATACAATGTCTCAACTGACTAATATACAAGCCAGATACTGTATATAGATGTGTATTATTAAGCATCTGAAATGGAACTAGGGTCTTTGAAATGAATGTCAGATGTAGCTGTGGTACAAAATGTTGGCGGATCAAGTATACATGGCATAAAGACCTTTGCATTGTATTTTAATCAATACATGATTTTTGTATTTCTCATTCAATTCACACCATTGTAAACACTGGCATAGGTCTCGTATAGGTCCAAAATGTGGCTTTTTTATGGCGTCACTGGCAAAGAAAAGAACGTCTTGCCCGTTACTTGTTTTTTTTTGGCTGTTCAAAAAGTATAAATAGAGGTCCAAAGTTCGTCCCAACTCGAATCTTTTTCTTTTTTTTTCTTTATCCGCTCGAGTTTACCTATTAGAGGATATAAGTAAATGCTCTCACTGGAAGTGTGTATCCACCACCGATTAAGTTCGGGGGATAGGCAATCCACCTTCTGGAAGCACTCGAATTTACTCGAGGCCTCTTGCCTGATGCCCTCGGGTGTTGGGTCTAGTGGGGTTCCGCTTGCGGATGGGTTTCAATTCCCTGCCTTCGGGCCAAAAGATGCAATATAAATGAAAAACTCGATTCAATCAAACAAAGAGGCATAGAAGGCTGGTATTTTATATGCACACAGTTGCTTCACGTCACAGTCTTTCATCACATTCTTATGTCCAATTACTACATATCGTTTATTTATTCTTGTTTTGCTTTCATACGAATTACCAACATGTTTATTCAGTTAAATACTCCAAGGCTTCAATTCACACGCAAGCCAAATACCAAAATGCATTCGCTCTCTGCTACAAACCATATGTTTTATTTCTAGTATTAGAATCGAAAACTGACAGCTTTCTTCCAGCGTTTACCCATCACACATTGAGCGAGCAGTGATTATTGGGATCTTCCAAGTCTGGAGTAGTAGCTTCTGGATTTTGCAAATGGCCTCACGGATGTGATGGTATGCATAATTTGACAATGCGCGCTGTAATTGCTTCTGCTCTTGTACGTATAATCACCAGTCATTGGAGCCATGGATATCTGGAACTCCTGTGGGTCTCGCTGGGTGGCTTCATCTTATGAACGAACGCCTTTGAAACATTCTGCATACCATCTCTTTGGCTTGTATGCACGGCTAAAAGATCTATAATAATGCTAATTTGGATCGTTCCAGTCAGGCAAAACATGAGGATCCATGACTAATTCAAGTTCTTCTTGTAACAGTACCGCAAATGAATCCAATGTTGGCACTTTTGCTTGCATCTAATATGCTTTTGAAAGTATCGTTACTTTTGCTTCGAAACTTGATTTGGCTATTGCCGTATGTATCCGTCGTGACAACCTTCATCCACAGGCAAACGGTGTCTGTATACATGGTCTACCAAATCCTCTCTTTCGATAATCAATGTATCACGTTTTGACAAAGGCTTAAAGGCAATGCGTGTGCTAGACATTGAAACGCGCGTTTCAAGTGATATATATATATATAAAAAGCTATGTTGTTACAGTCTACTCTCTTAAATTCCAGAATATGCCTATCATTGCAATTTGTACCCTATATTTGAATGTTAAACTAGAGGCATCTCAAGACACAATGGACACTTGTGAACTTGCAGCAATAATTTGGGATTATTAAGATGTGGTAAATGTAACTCTGTTCAAGTTTGTATATTATAAACATAGGCTACTTTTTCTTAAGAAGGCGTTCAAGGATCTATGCTGTCATATATATATATATATATATATATATATATATATACTTGTTCAAGATTTTCTGAAATCAAACACATCCTCTGGCTTATTCGCCAACAACTAAACACAAATGTTAGAATGCTGTACTGACAGTGCGTGTGCGAGTGAGGCCATCTTCTTTACCCTATCTAAATCAAGCATGATTTCATCCGTCAATAACCTGACCACACCAATTGCTTGTATGTTCTCTCTCGCTTGAGCAGGTGTTGAAGCGCCAATGATGACTGAAGTGACATTTTTGTTCTTTAGGCACCAGGCAATACCCAATTGTGCTGGTGTACATCCGATACGCTTTGCAACATTCTGTCGTGTGCGTCAACATCACATCCAAGCATACACATCAACAGAATGCAACTTACACACATCATTCTAATCTTCTCTAGTTTCCTTCTTCCTTCATCACTGAAAAATCCAGATCTCAAGCGATTAATGACAGGGTGGTCTTGTATAGCTAAACGGGTTAATTTGGGGATCTGTCCATCGTTGTATTTTCCACTTAAAAGCCCTGTCCAATTAGGCTTAGTTTGCATTGTCATTTCCAACATTCAACAGCTATTACCAGACGCTAATGGTGACCATATACAGGTACCAAGTTTGTATTTTTGATACATTGGTAGGTATTCCTTTTCGACACGCTCACGATTCAGCATGTTGTATTGAGGCGACTTTGTGGGTAAGTGTGTGTTAATATCTCGTCTTTGGCACGGTTCCGCACTTTGTTACCTCTGTGATGGGTGCAATCAGCTGCAGTCGATTTGCCACATTCATGGCTTCTGTAATCAAATAGGCCGGCCATTCACTTGTGCCCCAATACAAGGCCATGCCTTTATCGATGCACCAATTAAACGCTCTGACAATCTCTTCCATGGGTGTATCTGGATCCGGTCTTTGTGCGTAGAGTATATCAACGTAATCCAACTGAAGTCTCTGAAGACATGCCACTGTGCCTTCAAATACGTGTTTTCTCGATAATCCTCTATCGTTGGGGCCTTTACCTCCCCAGAATACCTTGGTCGATAACACAAAATCGGATCGTCTTAATCCCTTTTGGTTTCTCAGTGCTAATCCCAAATCGATCTCTGCTTGTCCACCTAAATGTCATTGTGTTATACGGGCGCTGCATATACTGGATGTAGGCAATTTAAAGTTTTACCAGCATGACTCTCTGCAACGTCAAAATGATTGATACCCAATTCTAATGCTGTGCTCACGATTTCTGACGTTTGTTCTTTGTACAGGTGTATATTAGTCGTGTGTGTGTGTGTGTGTGTTTGTATGTGTTGCGTCTCGCGTATGGCGTGCATCATTTACCAGGAGATATTTGTCCGCCTACATGTGTGTGTGTGTGTGTGTGTGTGTGTGTTAATCAACATGACAAATCGTTTTTCTCTTGATGTATGCTTTCTTTACCAAATGTGATCCATGAGCCCAATGTCAACACACTGACCTTCAAGCCAGAGTTGCCAAGATATCTATATTCCATTTGCTCCATGTTGATATATATATATAAAAAAAAAAAAGATTGTATGTATATATATATATATATATATATATTGAAAGGAGAAGAGAAAGAAGAAAGAAAGGAAATTTATTTTTTTTTCTAGCCATTTCCAAGCTTAACAACAAGGGTGAAAGTTTAAGCTAGCATGTATCACAATTGTCAGAGGAATTCCCAGAAGAAAACGAGATTTATTATTTGGATGATGATGCAGGACAAGTGTCAGGAATTGGCACAGATATGGATTTCGCTTGCTTGCTTAATTTCTTTTGTGATTTGCAGCGTTGACTGTCCACCAGGATGTTTTCTTTGCCAGTGATTTTGGATCCATAGATTTTAAGTGTAACAGGATTCTTGAGGTCTTTGTTTTTGGACCAGTCATTTACCAGTGATTGAAGATCTTGCATACGATCAGCAGAATCGTTCCTGTGTACGATCAAGTTTAGATGTCAGTGGGCATGCGCTTTTGTAGTGTGCAATGTATATCGTTACCAAACACCTCCAGGGAAACAGCACACCAATTGACGACGTGTGGTGAGGAATCGTGTCAAATAGGCCTTTTCTGATTCATTCTTCTTCATGGGTCCTGTTAAGTGAAGGATGCGAGGAAGATTGATATAAGGTTCAACGTACTAAAGCAGGAGGTTAAATAATTAGCCCATGCTAGCTTGCCTATAGTCTATTATTTTTACCTGCCAGCCATGCTGAACAATGGTATCTACAAAAATGGGGTTAGCGGCCTGTACGACCATCCACTATAACAGCAGCACTTACCATAGAAGACAGCTTTACCAAGATTTGATTTCACGCCAACGCTAGCAGCATATTTCAATGCTGGTTTCAGGTACATGGATTGTCCAACATCCAATTGAGTCTGTACAAACACTGGATCTTCACAAGTTGCCTTTTTCCAAGCATCGGGAAATCCGCTTAGGTTCTTGGTGTCATCGCGTTGTGGATCACCAAACAAAAATGAGCTCAGTCGTTTCAATTCATTCAGATACTTTTTCATAGGAGCGTTGGGCTCTCTTTTGATGTATTCCTTGACAACAGCATAAGCATCGTTGGTGCCTGTTGTGAATCCAATGTAGCCACTGGATATAGAAATGCGGTCATTAAACGGTGCATATGAAGTTTGCTTACGAGACTTACCATGTATATCCTCGACAATCACCCAATTTTTCTGCAGCCTGGTATGTATGTATGTATTAGATCATCGTCCATGTGTGAATTGTTTGTTTATCATTTACAGCATATCCCATTTTGGTATTTCCATTTTCAAAGCTACAGAAGGAGTGTAAGTTTTTGCTAGATATACTACCGCATGTATAGTTGACTTACACATTGGTAATGAGCTCTGCCATTTTAATCGCTGTAACATCCATGGTCTGATTTGGCAACTTGCTAATGTCGTAAAACCTATTGTGCGTGTGAATAAAATATGCTAACGTTAAGCTGTGATGGATGAGGGGTACTTGCGTTGTGCAATTGCTCAGCTTTGTACCAGAGAATACACCTTGTGTCTTTTTCGAGCTATCAGTGCATTGCCCAGAATTGGAGAGCTTGTTAAACTGAAATTTATCACAGATGAAGTTCTTGACTGCAAATTTGCTACCAGAGCAGTATTTGGAGCTGGTGGCAGCCATTGCGGATGAAACCAGGGCGAGGACTGCAGCTAAATGTCTGAAACGCATGCTATTGTGTAAAGAAAATGAAAAGGATAATAAAGAAAAGAAAAAGAGTGAGTACAAGAAAACAAATCAGTGCTATTATATAGACCTCTTTTTTTTTTTTTTTTTTTTTTTTTTTTTTTTTTTTTTCTTATTTTGAATTGTCTCATTAAGTAAGTTCCACTATATAAAATTGAAATCAAAGTTCTTGCAGGATCCACACATCAATAAATTCACCGAACACATATTGTGATTAGGTTGCTTTGGGTTTTGCCTATATTGGGGAAGTGATTAACAGTGTCAACAATGCGTTTAAATTAGCGTGGTATGTACAATAATGAACAGTAACCCCTCTCCCCTTGTTTCGTTCTATAGCGTCATTTGGGTGATGTGCTTCCATGCAAAAAATGCATTCATCTACTCGTTTAATCTTGTATGGTATATACCCTTGGATTAAGGTAGGACATGGTGATGGGACCAATTTCTTGATTTGATCAAAACCCAATTAAATGCACTTAATTGCTTCATTTCTAGTGGATCTAGTGAAATACAATGAGACATTTCTGTAAACAAGCCCTCTCACAAGCCCATAGTGTATGTAATTATTACTGATGTAACGTTTGCTACCTGCCCTTACCATACAAAGTGGTTGTATACCATAGCAATGAAGCGGCATTACATCTAAAATTGGTTGGATCTCATCCGTTCCGTTTGTATCACCATGGCAAATAGAAGCTCAACCATATGGCATGTCAATTAAGCATAAGGCGCTCTGTTTTCTTTTTCTTTTATAGGCAAAATGAATCATCTCGAGGGAGGCGCTCTTTAGATGGCTCGAGATACTTGTTCTCGCGGTAGAGCTGAGAAGAGAGATTCAATTTCATACTGGAAGCAGCAAGGGCTACGTGAAGATTCACAATACCGAGCATATCTCACGACCTAGCAACGCCATCTATGAGGGAGAGTGGTAGTAAGTGTTAAATCTCAACTCACAGCATCAAACCACTTGATAAGTGTAGGTAATCTGACTACAAACTAGCGTCTCATCAGGGGCTGTCTCATCAGGCCATGTTGCCATGAAGAATGTTAATGCTTGCAATTTCCAGGCGAGATTTCTCGATGGACATTGGACATTGGGCATTGGGCATTGTGTAGGTAGACAGAATTAAGCACCATTAGGGCCTGCAGCTAACCAGCTCACATCATGCCTGGTAGACTACGGTCGCTACATTCTCACTCCAAACTACAGAGAGACATGTCCACACCAGGCATCTGCTCCCACCCATCTCGACCCTAGTGTGTCACCCGTCCTATATCTTGAGAGTCCTCACTTGGTTCCAGTCAATCGGTAATCAAGCCAATACACATCAAATCATATACACCTGCTACACAAATAACGTCGTCCATGCACTTGATAGGTATGCATAGACCCAAATTTGAAATCAGGAAAACTTTATTTAGACGAGGGAATTAAAGAGCCGTGTCGATGGAAAAAATCAGGGCCAGGGGAACAAAAAAAAAAAAAAATATATTATACAATCATCAAAGGTCTTGTTTCATCATCCATTTCTTGAACTTCTTGTTGTCTTCTTCTGACAGACAGGGATGGTGATAAAGGCCCTACTGAAGCAGGGGTGGTTCGATAGGAATGTGAGCCGATTAATATACAAAATGAGGCAAAGAGCAACACAAGCGAGAATACAATAATGGCTAAATAACTGATCCATAAAATGGCGCACGAAATGGATACATTGTATTGGATTTCCAGTGGCATTTCTTGAATATCGGGTTTGACCTTGTAAATGAGATGCGTGCCTTTGTTATAGTAAAACGGAGTTAATCTCTATCATCATCTGATGGCACGGCGGCTGCTTATATTACCAAATATCGAGGCTGCCATCTGGATCAGTAATGCCACGCACGTAAATCGAAGAAACCACGATTTATGCTGTGTGATTTTCTCGTATTTGGCACTGTGTGTGCTGTTGTTGTTGGTCTGTTGAGGTTGAAAGGTCTGATGTCGGCAGCATGCGATACATGTCGTAAAAATGACCAGCACACTGGATAGAAAAGAAAACGATAAAAAGATGACATACAATATGGCAGTGGACGATAGCTGGATAGGGTGCCATTCGTCTTGGCCTGCTCTTTTGAGTTCAAACGATATTAGTTGCAGCAGCGTATCGAGCGTTGTGTATAGATTGTAACTGTTGAGTGGTATTAAGGAGATGATGGTCAAGACAAGACCCGCCATGCCGATGAAACTGGATATAAAGCCAATCGTCGATGAAAAGTTTCTATTTGACATGATGTGGATTGCAACAAAAAGCAGAACAAAAAGGAAAACCCCCAATCGACTGGAAATTTACAACACTCACAAGAGAGAAAATATTTTATACTAGAGGAAAGAGAGAAAAACAACAAGGCGGGAATCAAATCGCACAATGTATGTGTGTGTGTATGTATGTGTGTGTGTGTGTGTGTGTACCTCGAAGCTAATTTATTCCGTATCCACATCCATCAACACTTGTTTTAAATAGGCATTGTTCTGGATGTCCTGAGCGTATTTCGATTTGATGGCTTCAATCTTGGATGCCAGCATCTCTGGCATTGCACCGCTGGCAGCATGTGCCAATTCACGCACCATGTCTTGCATCAGTTTATTACCATCCTATCAACCAGCAAGCATGATTAGTGTCTCTCTCTCCCACACCACACACACACCCACACACATGAAGAATGGCTTGAGAGCCATCTACTTACAATCACCGATTGAGGCTCATCCTTGCTGGACCCTCGCAATGTATCCGCTTCATCATCCAATTCACTTGCTTTGCGTTTAGCGAGGTTGATGACAGACCGAGGAAAGTTGGCTAATTCAGCAACATGGATACCGAAACTTCTATCACCCACACCTTCATTCACCTTGTACAGCAATGTCACGTCATGCTGTTCACCCACATGGACTGCAACGTGCAAGTTCTTGACATGGTTCACTGTCTCATTCAATGTCGTCAGTTCGTGGAAATGAGTGGCAAACAAGCAGAATGCTCTAATCTTTGTTGCGATATGCCTATTTCGAATCAGCACCACATCACGATATGCCACTGTGATACTTACTCTGAAATAGCCCATGCCAAACCAAGACCATCATACGTGCTAGTACCTCGGCCCAATTCATCGATAATCACAAGCGAGTTTCGAGAAGCAGCCTTCAAGATGACTGATGTTTCCAACATTTCAGCCATAAAAGTCGATACGCCCTTGAGCTGGCTATCACCAGCACCGACACGCGCCAAGATGGAGTCAAAGATACACAGCGTAGCAGATGTACAAGGCACAAAGCAACCAATTTGTGCCATGAGCGCAATGACACCCACTTGACGAATATACGTCGACTTACCACCCATATTAGGGCCGGTGACAATCTGGAACTCGGACGTTTCTCGCTTCATCTCGACATCGTTGGGAATAAACGTAACATAATCTTGCATTTCCAAGCAAGGATGGCGTGCTTCTGTAAGAATGACATCGCCTTGGCCACAGGGGTGCATGGTGGGACGCACGTAGGGCGTAGGAGCCATGACAGAGACGTGAGCAAAACTCAACAAGACGTCCATGTGCGCCAGCACGGAGCCAAGTGCTTCCAAAGAAGGACAGTAGGTAGCCACAATGGCGATGATTTCCTTGACCATGCCTCTTTGTTTGTCTTCGTACTGTGATGATAGATCCCGGTGCTCGTCACTTAGGTTGCGCATTTTGAGTGTGGTGAAATAAGTGCCTGCCTTTTGTGTGGAAAGTTCAATGAATTCACTCTTGTTGCGAAGTTTGCTGGATTCGCTGCGACCAATGACACGTAAACAGTTGCCGTACGAACTGTGCTTTTCAAGCTTGAGCTTCTTTTCCATGTCCAGGTTGAGTTTATCGCCTACACGTCTGTATTCGCTTTCCATTTGCTTCATCAGCGCAGCCAACTGTTGATGGAGGTCTATTAACATCTATGTCAGTCTCTCTCTCTCTCTCTCTCTCTCTGGTGCTATACACCATTGAGACATGGCATGGAGAACTTACCTTGCAGCTCTTCATTGTATTCAGCCTTGATAATATACTCGTGATTATCTACAGCTTCCAAATCAATGGTAGTAACAACCAGCTCCTCCAATTTCGATAGCTCTTCTGCACACACGCTGATCTGGGATGTGTAGGTGTCTTGAATCAGCTTAGCAATCTTGGGATCGTCAGGCACTTGTGTTTGTAGGCACTGCACCATGGCTGGTAAACGAATGACTACTTGGTAGATACGGATCACGTCTTGCAAAGTGGCATTGCCCTTTTGAAACTTTTTACCCAATCGATGTAAATCAGGAATTTGCTTCAAATGATCTTCCTGCAGTGATTGCCTCAATTCCGTATTGTTGTAAAATGCCTCTACAATATCCTGACGTTCGCCTAGCAAAAGATACAATGAGTATCACTGGCAATGTCTGGTTTTCCTCCTGACTACGTACGAATGCTGTTTAAGCTCAATAAAGGTTGCTTCAGCCACTGAGTAAACAACCGACTTCCTTGTGCTGTTTGGCATTTGTTTAATAATCCATATAAACTGGTGGTGCTAGAGGATCCATCTTTGGCTGCAGGCATCAGATTCAATGCACTCAATGCGGGTCCGTCTAATCGCATGTACTGTGATAAGTCGTGATGCTTTAATGTGTATTTGCTGTAATTCTCCTCGTCCTCCAACAGCTGCAAGTATTTGATCATGCAAGCACAGGATGCCATGGAATTCTTCATCTCGAATTCAGCTAAACAGCATAAAACAGTAATAAGCACACACGACCCGTAGCATATCCAAGTAAAACCTTACGCAAAGCTTCTACAGAAATGTCTCCCTCCAGTAAACGGTTCAAATCTTGTGCAATGTGCTTGCTGTCGTAATCGCTCTTTTTTCGCTCGGTTGCAATGACATTACATCTGTCCAGAATGCCTCTAATTTTGTGTCCCTCTATATCTTTTTCTTCTCTTCCACCACCAGGACTAGCAAGCAGCAAGCACTCTTTGACGCCCAATTGAATGATCAAAGATTCCAAATTAGAGAACAATTCATTGTCGATAAACTGACTAACGCCCAATTGTCGAATAGTTGTATCTGCAAAGGCGACACCCACAAGCTATATGCCACATGGTTTAGCGCTCCACATCTCCATAATACCAACCCCCCCCCCCTCTTGCTCACCTTGTTATCGTCTGATACACTATACTTGATAGCAAGCACAACGGGAGCAGATGTCATGTGCGTACTGGAAAACAAGAAATCCTCCACGTCCTGCAAGTTGCCTGGTGATGCCTTGCGAATAGTTTGCCATTCATTTTGGATGAACTTCCAAATTTCAATGCGCATATGCTTGTTCAGCAACAAATCTCTCAGAAACGATTCTGCAGCCTTGTTGGTCAATTTGGTTGTGGGTAATCCAGTCGTATGGTCGCCGTACCAATACTGGATCACAGAGGTTGTTTCATACACATGCGTTGCTACGTAGCTGGCATCGTCACCGTGAAATGTATAATACACAGATCCATTGGCTTCTCTTTCGAATAACCGAATGGTATTTTCTTCGGGCTGTGTGTGTGTGTGTGTGTGTGTGTATGTCATAAGCGCTTGTGAGAAACGGATAGCCATGCTAAATATAAAACGAGGGATGGGTTTTTTACAACTTACACTATCGAGTGCTCTGAAAAACTTGACAAAGGCTTGTTGCTCACGGTTCTCTAGACAAAATGCTGTCAAATCCCTGTTCTGACTTGGCTACTCTACCTGGATGCATTACCAACGTCAGGCAAGTCTTCAAGAGCAGATGTTGAGGTACTCATTTATAAGATGATGGGAAAGAAATGGATTCAGGCGAAAAAAAAGAAAAAAAGAAAAACAAGCGCGCTCCTGAATAATCGCCAAATGCTTTTTTTTTTTTTTATATATAACGTGTTTCTCGACCTCAGTAGGCCTCATTTAAACGTCAGATTGACTTTGACATGTATCGTATGTAATGCGCTTGTGCGACATGTCGGCGGTGTATGTGAGCCCGAGGATGCTGTTGATGGCATAGTCTTAAATCATGACCCTATAAACCACTGGATTTGCTTTTTATTCGAAAACAAGAGGCCCGTGTATAAAACTTGAGGCAATTACTTTTTACACATTGCGTCTCTCATGAATTAAAGAGAGCATGCGCATGTTTACACGTCTCAAGTGCCTTCTCAAATCTTTCTTTACTGAAACGAGCCTGTAAACACTGCGGATGGCTCTCACCGAAGCGAAGCGAAGTTTGAGAGCCGACCTACGCAGCGGCAGTACGAGCTGCCGACTGCCCATGCTCAGCGTATCAAAATACTATTACTTTCATGCTGACCCTCTACTAACACATCAAAACCCTTCATATTATCTAAGGATCTAACTCGTATGTGATGCTCTGCATCCATATACACGTAGCTACTTCGTATATGGGCAAGCAGCATACTGGTATTTCCCCTTTTCAGCCCTTAGTGTCTCTGATACAGCTAAATCTGAGTGCCTTTGAGCTGCGTTTTCTTGCGTTCAAGGCCGTTCTAGATTGTCAGAATAGCACCCAACAATTGCCCTCATCTGGCAGTTACTTGCTGACACCTTTGCTCCACTTTTTGGGGATAAAAAAAAAAAACATGGACAAAAATCAACCAAAAAGCATGAGATACCCCCTCATGGTTTTCATCGAAAATCAAACGATCGCGTTTTTTATCCAAAAAATAAAGACTTTTACTATGGTATATCTTGAGTCAAAATGTTTCTATCGATTCAACGTAGCCTCTGAAATCATCTTTGTAGAACTTTGATATGGAAAAATCTCGACTTTTTGGCCAAAGACCTCTTTTCATATTTTCGCAAATTACTCAATAAGTTTATTCAAAACATCTATCTTACTTGGCACCATTGGATGCGCCTTAAAAAGCACTCCAAGACAGCTTAAAGAAGCAGTTTTTTTTTTGCAGGGGAGTCGAGCTTCAGGTTTTTATTTAAAGTCCTTTAAATGTCATACTGAGGGATAGAAAAGACTGTTGGTGGACCCAATGTCTGCAAAGAAGGGGAATAAGATATTTTTGAATTAAGTTGAGAAAGAAATCTACTACTAATAAGGTGCGACACCTAGAGCCAATACAGTTATGCGGAAATCGTCAAAATATAGATAATGGATAGAGTACAAAACACCAAACGAGGACATCAGTACTACCTCAAAAAAAATCAAACTTGCGTTCACCAGGATTTGAACCGGGATCCTCCCGTTGGCATACGGGAGTTCTACCACTTCGCCCTACCACCAGGGACAGTCCTTAGACACTTTACAACCCTAATATGGAACCTGAGTTTCAAGGCATCTATCAGACCTGGCTCATACAGTCGACGAAAAAAGGTTGGCCCAAAAAAAAAATAATTGGCACCGATTTTGAAAATGGGTCAGCCAATGAAAATGGGTCATAATTTGAAAGTGGGTCATAATTTGAAAATGGGTCAGTACGAAAATGGATCACCAATACAGAAATGTAATGAGGATTGGCCAAATTCTCTCTTCTTTTTCTCTTCTTGAATTTTTTTATATTGCTTAACATGAACGAAGAATACAATTTTGACAGTGAGACAGTGCCTGTGATGATACAATCATACATGGACTGGGAAGAAACTGCAGCAGTAAATGCAGCACAAAAAGAAGCTAAGAGGAAGACCAAACCTCACTCGAACGAGCCCTCCCTTGATGTAGTGAAGAAGGAAAGGGGATCATACATTACCAAGAACGAAGCAAAGGTAGTCAATTTGATTAATTTGTTGCAAGAGTTTGAGAATATGTCTATCAGTGAAGCAGGTAGAAAGGTAGGGCTCTCCAAGTCAACAGCTATTCGTAAAGTCAAGCAGTGGAATCAAATGACAAGCGAAATAGCTGAAAAAGGGTTCCCTGATTCTATCGCAATCAAAGAAGGAAAGGGACGACCCACAATACTCAAAGACGAACATACTACTGTATTTATATTTGAGCTGCTGGCTAATGAGCTAACATTGACAGTCGAAGCTGTTACAGACCACCTGTCAAAAGAATTTAGAGATATACAGATCACCCCCCAGATCAGTGGAGAATCACATAAAGAAGAAGTGCCGCCTAACCTACAAGCGTATCATTCCTAGCTATTATGGCAGAAACAAGGATGAAACTGTTGCCAAAAGACGAGATGCGGTAGCATACTGGGTTAGCCAGAACATAGACTTTGTGAATGAATGTGTATTGTTGGATGAAGCTGGCTTTAACAGGAGTATTATGCACCGCTCATATGGATGGTCTGAGGCTGGAACACCTTGCAAAATTGATGTTCAAACGAAGGGAGCAAATGTCAGCATCTTGGGTGCTATTTGTAAAAGTGGTTTAATCACATTTATTATCCAGAAAAGAAGTTGTATTTAGTGCTAGGAGTGAAAAACGAACTCGAACTGGTGAGAAATCTCAGGCCCCCCCCAAGAGGAAGGGTACTACTACCAGCTGTGGCTTCCTTGAGTACATAGAGCAGGTCCTCACGACACTGGATGCGGCTAACATGAGCTACAAATATCAAGTTCTTGACAATGCATCCATTCACAAGGCTGCACTTATTGAAGATTGGGTTGGGCAACGTGGTTATAAACTTCTCTTTTTGCCACCTTATTCTCTTTTTTTTTTAAATCCGATCGAAGAGTTTTGGTCCAAGCTGAAGACTGTTGTAAATAACGATCCTTCTTCTGTCAGGCAGAATGAAAAAATCTCTGATCGTACTCACAACACATCACTTCACATCAGCAGAGAAGAGTGCGAGAATTGGATAAGGCGTTCTTTGACGTTCTGGCAGAGATGTTTGAATTGTGAAAAAGGATTATAACAAGCAAAATAAAAAGCATACATTACACTTCTTTATTGGTGACCCATTTTCATTTCAAAGTGGGCTCGGCCCCCTAGTATAGTCGCTAGTACTCTGGACGCGTAACCTACTGGTTGCGGGTTTAAATCCTGTTGAAAGTTCCATCCTGTCCTCAGTCCCCTTTCTCCTTGTCTCTCTTGTTGTCTCCGGTTCGCTTGCTCAGCGCAGTCCATATATTCCTATATTCTTATACTCTCCCGCATTAGCCCAATCTCGCTCCACCCCTCCGCAATATGGAGCGTTCAAACTCATTAAATAAATAAAAACAATTTATTTCTACAAAAAAAATTTTTTTTCATTGGCTGACCCATTTTCAAAATCGGTGATCCATTTTCATTTCAAACCTCTTTTACTTTTTCCCCATACAACCACTACTTTTTTTTTAAAACATACTCCAACAATGTTGAACCAGTGTAGATATTGCAGCGATCTATTTGAAACGAAAGGCAAACGCGATAGTCACACGTTAGATCAACATGTTTCTACGGTGATAGTTGGTGAGTGCTAGGTTTATTCATTTATTTGTATTAGTACTTATAACAAAAATGCAAAGGGGAAACAAATGTGTCTCGTACTGCTTCCGGATTCCCGTGCCCACGTTGTCGAAAATCATTAAAATCTGCAAAAACCTTGAAGATACATTTGGCAAAGAAACAGCTGCCATGCTTGTTTGTTTACGACTCTGCGCCTCAATCTGACCCCAGAGAAAGCTTGTCTTTAAAAGTCGAGCCAGATGCCTTGACCAACACTGCGACAACAGCTGAAACAACAAGCTCTGTGAATATCAGCAAGGAGTCACCGCTTATTGAATCAACAGCATCAAACGTATCAACCGCGTCAACCCTCTTGTTGACCTCATCACCCACTTCCTCCACGTTATCTTCTTCAATTGTACTTGATGAGTTGAGTTTTTCTCCGCCACCAATGGAAGATCGTCTGCTCTTTAACAGTATCGACGTGTCTGCTCAGTTTTATAAGTTTCAGCTGGATGCGCAAAGCCGGCTGCGAGAAGATGCTGCCTTCACTATTGAAGAACATATGCAACATATATTGGCCTTATCATCAGTTCTCTTGCTAAAGCCTGCGCGCACTCATGAAGATTTGCACAGGCATATCGATCTTAACACCTGTGAAGGACTTCGCCGACATATTCTTTCTAAGCAGCAGACTGCGTATCAACCATTCCCAACTTCAACCAGGAACCGACTTGAAGAAATAATGGGACAAATGGATTTGGTATTTTTTTTTTTTAAAAAAAAAGTTGGCAGCTACTTGTCGCTGAATGGCTTTTGACTTTTTGTTAGGATGGCGACCGAAATAACATATGTACGCGTTTGGGAGCATCGCGCCAAATTTCTGCAATGATACAGGAGGATGGCCTCAATTCTACAAACAGGATTCTGTTGGCCGTTCGTAACATGTAAATATCTTGAGATGCGAAGATTTAACTAGTAAAAACTCATACCATTGATAGGGTGGAAAAACTACCCCGTCATATTGTTGAAGATGGACCCAAAGAAACTGAATTAATCACAAGGCATTTGGAAGCAATCCTGGCCCCTCTTTTCGAGGACTTGGATAACAACATAATTTTTAGATGATAAGTAAAGAATTTTGGCAGGAAAAAATGGGTATTTCAGAAAAAAATAAGATTTAACGTCCATAACGTAAATTGAATAGGACTTCCGTCAGCGATGAAGAAAAGCAAGCCACTACACGACCAGATGCCTCAATAAATATCACAAATGGAGCAGCATTGAGTAAGAGAATTGGCTGCGGTGAGGTAAAAGCGCAATACCAAGCTCTCAATCATCGGTTGGTTGGCATTGATTTAATGCGCATTACAGTGTTGGCCAAGGCCGCATCCGATAAACACAAGTTGAAAGAAATCTTTACCTTCACTGTTGTCGGTAAGCTCCAATTAAGTTTCATCCGCTGTTCGCATTCTCACCTTTTTTTTCTTAGGCAAATATGCCACTTTCTACATATTTACTCGCGCCCAAGCTTATTTGTATACAATGTGTGAGATCGCACATATCCAACTACCTCTTACCCTTGATCATGTGCCTCTTTTTCTTTCACAACTGGACAAGGTTGTCAGAATTATTTCCTGCTTTCAATATACTTTAAATAGCGGCAACCACAGCTATGCAAATGATCCATTTACACTCACTGATAACATGCTCCACAACGCTACGGATCCCAAATCGTCACGCAAGCGAAAATCAATTACAAGTCATTATAACCATTGATCATCCTCCCCTTCCTTTGTGAATGTATCCCCTCTCTCTCTAAATATACCATGATTCATTTGTCAAAATAAGATAAGAGCAAAATTGTAAATTACATTTTTATTTGAATAAATTAAATGGGTTCATATTTGATTTTCAATTATATGTTTAATTGTTACTGCTGGTTGCAAACAAACAAAAGGCTCTTTCCGATTAAAAAATTTCTTGATCCACATAAACTTCCCCTGTACCTTATTACTACAACAGCATCTGTCAACAAACAGAGAGTTCAACCATGTCAATGACCGATCATACGTATTAGAATTTTCTCTCTTCTTCTTCCTCAGATTTTATATACGAGAAATAAAAAGCTTACACAACACAGCTTTGTTGTATCCAGAGAAAAGATACAAGTAGCGATAATATAAAAAGATAATAAAGACTTGTAGATTAAGCCAGATACGAAAACTAAAGATTTATTAATTGAAATAAGCACACCTTTTTATATTGAATCATAATCACTAAGTCAATCGACCTATCTTATTGTTTAATAACCTGATGTTTGACAAGTGTCAAACATATATTTACAACACAGCATTTTATCAGGAACAATGGTCTGATCAAGAATTTAGGTAGAGTTAGGCATTGTCTCAAACGTGCCGCAATCTTCCCAAATTTCTAATTCAGCACAGACCATTTAGAATGTTCTAAAACCACTAAATAGCTTGTTCCTTAACTTGAAACTCTATCAAAAGATCTAGCTTCAAAATGAAGTACCGTGATCCGATTACAGCTGGGTTATTCTAACTCCAGTATCCCGCTAAATGCAACAAGCTTCTTTAAAAAGATGCCCAGTAAACCAGCATCCTAAAAGAGATGCCCAATAAGCCAGCATCCTAAAAGAGATGCTCAGTAAACCAGCATCCTAAAAGAGATGCCCAATAAGCCAGCATCCTAAAAGAGATGCTCAGTAAACCAGCATCCTAAAAGAGATGCCCAGTAAGCCAGCATCCTAAAAGAGATGCCCAGTAAACCAGCATCCTAAAAGAGATGCTCAGTAAACCAGCATCCTAAAAGAGATGCCCAATAAGCCAGCATCCTAAAAGAGATGCTCAGTAAACCAGCATCCTAAAAGAGATGCTCAGTAAACCAGCATCCTAAAAGAGATGCTCAGTAAGCCAGCATCCTAAAAGAGATGCCCAGTAAGCCAGCATCCTAAAAGAGATGCCCAATAAGCCAGCATCCTAAAAGAGATGCTCAGTAAACCAGCATCCTAAAAGAGATGCTCAGTAAACCAGCATCCTAAAAGAGATGCTCAGTAAGCCAGCATCCTAAAAGAGATGCCCAGTAAGCCAGCATCCTAAAAGAGATGCCCAATAAGCCAGCATCCTAAAAGAGATGCTCAGTAAGCCAGCATCCTAAAAGAGATGCCCAGTAAGCCAGCATCCTAAAAGAGATGCCCAGTAAGCCAGCATCCTAAAAGAGATGCTCAGTAAACCAGCATCCTAAAAGAGATGCTCAGTAAACCAGCATCCTAAAAGAGATGCTCAGTAAACCAGCATCCTAAAAGAGATGCTCAGTAAACCAGCATCCTAAAAGAGATGCCCAGTAAGCCAGCATCCTAAAAGTGATGCTCAGTAAACCAGCATCCTAAAAGTGATGCTCAGTAAACCAGCATCCTAAAAGAGATGCCCAATAAGCCAGCATCCTAAAAGAGATGCTCAGTAAACCAGCATCCTAAAAGAGATGCTCAGTAAGCCAGCATCCTAAAAGAGATGCCCAATAAGCCAGCATCCTAAAAGAGATGCTCAGTAAACCAGCATCCTAAAAGAGATGCTCAGTAAACCAGCATCCTAAAAGAGATGCTCAGTAAGCCAGCATCCTAAAAGAGATGCTCAGTAAACCAGCATCCTAAAAGAGATGCTCAGTAAACCAGCATCCTAAAAGAGATGCTCAGTAAACCAGCATCCTAAAAGAGATGCTCAGTAAACCAGCATCTTAAAAGAGATGCCCAGTAAGCCAGCATCCTAAAAGAGATGCCCAGTAAGCCAGCATCCTAAAAGAGATGCGCAGTAAACCAGCATCCTAAAAGAGATGCTCAGTAAACCAGCATCCTAAAAGAGATGCCCAGTAAGCCAGCATCCTAAAAGAGATGCCCAATAAGCCAGCATCCTAAAAGAGATGCTCAGTAAGCCAGCATCCTAAAAGAGATGCTCAGTAAGCCAGCATCCTAAAAGAGATGCTCAGTAAACCAGCATCCTAAAAGAGATGCTCAGTAAGCCAGCATCCTAAAAGAGATGCTCAGTAAGCCAGCATCCTAAAAGAGATGCTCAGTAAGCCAGCATCCTAAAAGAGATGCCCAGTAAACCAGCATCCTAAAAGAGATGCCCAGTAAACCAGCATCCTAAAAGAGATGCTCAGTAAACCAGCATCCTAAAAGAGATGCCCAATAAGCCAGCATCCTAAAAGAGATGCTCAGTAAACCAGCATCCTAAAAGAGATGCTCAGTAAACCAGCATCCTAAAAGAGATGCCCAATAAGCCAGCATCCTAAAAGAGATGCTCAGTAAACCAGCATCCTAAAAGAGATGCTCAGTAAACCAGCATCCTAAAAGAGATGCTCAGTAAACCAGCATCCTAAAAGAGATGCTCAGTAAACCAGCATCCTAAAAGAGATGCTCAGTAAGCCAGCATCCTAAAAGAGATGCCCAGTAAACCAGCATCCTAAAAGAGATGCCCAGTAAACCAGCATCCTAAAAGAGATGCTCAGTAAGCCAGCATCCTAAAAGAGATGCCCAGTAAGCCAGCATCCTAAAAGAGATGCCCAATAAGCCAGCATCCTAAAAGAGATGCTCAGTAAACCAGCATCCTAAAAGAGATGCTCAGTAAACCAGCATCCTAAAAGAGATGCTCAGTAAGCCAGCATCCTAAAAGAGATGCTCAGTAAGCCAGCATCCTAAAAGAGATGCTCAGTAAACCAGCATCCTAAAAGAGATGCTCAGTAAACCAGCATCCTAAAAGAGATGCTCAGTAAACCAGCATCCTAAAAGAGATGCTCAGTAAGCCAGCATCCTAAAAGAGATGCCCAGTAAACCAGCATCCTAAAAGAGATGCTCAGTAAACCAGCATCCTAAAAGAGATGCTCAGTAAGCCAGCATCCTAAAAGAGATGCCCAGTAAGCCAGCATCCTAAAAGAGATGCCCAGTAAACCAGCATCGTAAAAGAGATGCCCAGTAAGCCAGCATCGTAAAAGAGATGCTCAGTAAACCAGCATCCTAAAAGAGATGCTCAGTAAGCCAGCATCCTAAAAGAGATGCCCAGTAAAACCGCAAGATTTGAATAAGCAGAGGTTTGTAATACAAGGTGTAACCAAAATGAAACCCAAAAAAAATAATTGGCCAGTTTGAAATGAAAATGGTTGCTTATGAAGAATTGAAGAAAAAGTAAAAGAGGGAATTGAAGAAAAAGTAGAAGAGATATGAAATGAAAATGGGTCACCGATTTTGAAAATGGGTCACCAATAAAGAAATGTAATGTATGCTTTTTATTTTGCTTGTTATAATCCTTTTTCACAATTCAAACATCTCTGCCAGAACGTCAAAGAACGCTTTATCCAATTCTCGCAATCTTCTCTGCTGATGTGAAGTGATGCGTTGTGAGTACGATCAGAGATTTTTTCATTCTGCCTGACAGAAGAAGGATCGTTATTCACAACAGTCTTCAGCTTGGACCAAAACTCTTCGATCGGATTTAAAAAAAGGAGAATAAGGTGGCAAAAAGAGAAGTTTATAACCACGTTGCCCAACCCAATCTTCAATAAGTGCAGCCTTGTGAATGGATGCATTGTCAAGAACTTGATATTTGTAGCTCATGTTAGCCGCATCCAGTGTCGTGAGGACCTGCTCTATGTACTCAAGGAAGCCACAGCTGGTAGTAGTACCCTTCCTCTTGGGGGGGCCTGAGATTTCTCACCAGTTCGAGTTCGTTTTTCACTCCTAGCACTAAATACAACTTCTTTTCTGGATAATAAATGTGATTAAACCACTTTTACAAATAGCACCCAAGATGCTGACATTTGCTCCCTTCGTTTGAACATCAATTTTGCAAGGTGTTCCAGCCTCAGACCATCGATATAAGCGGTGCATAATACTCCTGTTAAAGCCAGCTTCATCCAACAATACACATTCATTCATAAAGTCTATGTTCTGGCTAACCCAGTATGCTACCGCATCTCGTCTTTTGGCAACAGTTTCATCCTTGTTCCTGCCATAATAGCTAGGAATGATACGCTTGTAGGTTAGGCGGCACTTCTTCTTTATGTGATTCTCCACTGATCTGGGGGGTGATCTGTATATCTCTAAATTCTTTTGACAGGTGGTCTGTAACAGCTTCGACTGTCAATGTTGGCTCATTAGCCAGCAGCTCAAATATAAATAAAGTAGTATATTCGTCTTTGAGTATTGTGGGTCGTCCCTTTCCTTCTTTGATTGCGATAGAATTAGGGAACCCTTTTTCAGCTATTTCGCTTGTCGTTTGATTCCACTGCTTGACTTGGAGAGCGTTACCTTTCTACCTGCTTCACTGATTACTACGGCCCAACTGATGTTCTCACAGAACATGGATGTGCTCTTTTGGGAACATCGATGTTCTCATGAGCACATTGATGTTCTCATTTGGGAAGGTACAGTTTTCCACATGAATAAAATGGTTTAATAGCTAAACTATAATATTGCAGGCAACAGAGAGACTTTTATTATCTGTAAGATTCATAAAATTACTAAACGTATTATAAATTGCACGAGAAAATGGCAATTTAAAATTACCTAATAACTACTTACTAAAGTAAAAGAATATATTTCAATAAGATATTCGAGTAGTTTAGTGGAAAGAACGTCAGATCCACAACCTATCGGTTGTGGATTCGACCCCGTTAGGAGCATTCTTTTTTTTAAATTTTTGAAAATCGATGTGCTCATATAAGAATATGGATGTGCTCACATGGGAACATTTCGGATGTTCTCATAAGAACATCGGCCGACTTATAATTGATCTTTAGGAACGCCGATGTTCCCATATGAGAGCATTTTTCACCTTTCGGGAACATCGATGTGCTCATTAGAGAACATCAAATAGATTCTCATATGAGCTCATCGATGTTCTCATGAGAACATCAGTTGGGCCGTAGTGATATTTTCCTCAACGTGAGCTTTTACTTTTCTATAAACAAAGCAAAAAGATCAGACACACAGTTTTCATTTTGAAAAAAAAAGCTTTATACCTCTGAAATTCTAGAAAGAGTGGGTTTCTGAAAATTTCGTGCCTCCAAATAGGGTGTTCAGGTATTACGTCCATCATCACAGCTGCGTCTTGTAAGAAAGTCGTCTTGAAGCATTTAATCAAAAGCAGAAACTTGTCGGCTGAACCAGAAGTTTCATGAACTGTCCCGCTTGAATGTCGATCATACCAATAGTCAACCCAGGGAAACACCAACTGCTTCAATCTGTCACATGGCTCCTCTATAGCCCTAGGCAAGTAATAGCTAGCATCGCTTTCAGAGCCAGCCATAACGCGCATGAATTGGCGAGGAAGAGAATTAAGGTAGGAGTTCGACATAGTATCAGTGTTCCAACCACCCATTCGTTGAATCTGCTGCGAAGGAACCCCAAGTAAATCGGCCATTTTTGAAGCAGAATCCCGTGGAACATGAGTAACTTTTTTTGCTACAAAGATGTTTGCTGCAGCAAAGGCCATTTTCATGAACCTGGTATGAGTTGTCTTTGAGATCGAACATTCATATGGATTGCTGCTTATAGTTCCCTGCTCATCTTCGCTTGAGGCATCATCTTCGTCATCTACTCATATAAAATAATCGCAATTAAAAAGTGAACACTCGATTTGCTATTACAAAAAAATCAGTTGAAGTTTACCTCTGGCTGGCTCTTTTCCTTTCTTCTTCTTTTCTACTTTTGCTGACTGGGGCCTAGCGCCATGAACTACACGAAGCTTAAACCAGTTTCCGTTTGCGCTCATGTCAGGGAAAGACTTCTTCTCACAATGCCACCTCCAAAAGAAATGGAAGCTCATCGCCATAAATGGGCATATCTCAACTGATTTGTTACGCATACATGCGCCTGTCTGGGTCTTGTTGAATTTTTTTGTCTTCCCTTGATTAAAAATCATTAACATAGCTGGGTAGCTGCCATCAGCTTGCACCTTTGCCAATTCTTGAAACTGTAGATCTGCAAACTCGATATTTCTCACAGATTCTCCTCCAAGCAACAGATAGTGAGACATCAAAAATGCAACCACGTTTCGAAAACTATACTTGTAAAAATTCTCTCCATTGCTGTAAATGCACTTCGAAATGGCCATTACTTCTTCCTTGGTGGTGTAACCATTCGCCACAGAGGACGTAGCACGATCGACATTGTTTTCTCTATTGTTTTTTGCTTCTCTCATTCGAACTACTTTCAGAAGCTGCGTGATAACTTTGGTCCTGGGAGATTCGTTGCTGTTGCTACCCATTAATCGCTGGTAGTTCCAAAGATCCACTATTGCTGAAACGTATACATTGCAAGTGCTGTAAGACAATTTTTTGTGTATTGCGTCAGTTTTGTTGATTTCGTTAACTTCTTCTTCAGCACTATTGTCTAGTGCTTCGATATGTTTTGTACCAGGCTTTCAAACTTGACGGTTGATTACCTTTACATATTTGTTTAATTTTATATGCTTTTTCTTTAAAACGTTTTTTTTTGTTTACCTTTTCATACAAAAACGCAAGTAGCTTGTCGCCAGTTGCTTGGTGGCGTGTGGCGAGAGGTCGATTTGCATAGCGCATCTCGCAAAATCTAAGAAATTCTACTTGCTTTGCGCAATAGGATTTGGAAGTGTTGTATCCGCGGGCCTCTTGGATATCTTGATAGGCTTTGTCTTTAGTAGACATTTCCTCTTGGTCCAAAAGCCTTTCTGATATGCGGCCGTTGTTCTCCACAAATTCTGCAGAAGGGTCTTCGTCAGTACCTGCTTGATTCTTCTGATACTTCTTGTCAATCAAGCTTGCGAGATGAGGAATATGGTCCCTTATCAACTGAGCATCGGGTGATACATTCACAGATAATTGGCGGTTTGTGCCTCTTGACTGAGAGCTTGTTCCTGGTTCTTGTTAGCGGGGAGGCATTTTTAGTTGTTCTTGTTAATATATAGTCTTGTTACTTAAAATATTACTGAGAGATGAAATACTGCAAAGCAAGCTGTATTTATACACTTTCAATTAGGTTTCAAAACGAGTTCTAGAAACTACTGCGCATCAAAACGGAAATGGTATGATAATTTGCATCAAAATGGAAATGATATGATGATTTGCATCAATGACAACCTAATGCTTGGTTTAAACCGAGTTCCAAATTACTGCCCATCAAAAAATTGATTAAATTCCAGGAACATATGTACAAACTAAAAGCAAAAAAAAAAGTTCCTTCAGGTATTAATAGCCAAAAGAGTACATATATCTTTTATAATAAAGCCTTGGATAACGCACATATCATTAGAATGTATTAAATCCTAATATTTTTTACGTAAATGTCAAATATACACACTTGGAACGAAAACTGGAACCCAAAGATTAATAACAATTGTTATTTGACAAAGTATTGGCTTATATCAAAAGTTATCACTCCAATCGGGTTCCAATTTGTGCTGGGAACCCAACTTTTTTTTGGAGGTTCCAAAAAAAATAATAAATGTTCAGTCCTTAGACACTTTACAACCCTAATATGGAACCTGAGTTTCAAGGCATCTATCAGACCTGGTGTTATGTCAAAATACAATGTAAAATTGAATCTGCCAAAGAATTACACTTTTATTGAGAATGCATCCCAAGGATGCATTTATATACTTTTCATTATGCTAGGGTTTACAGCATGATGATGAACTATAATACAAATAGGTTTACTATCTACCCAACAATTGATTTGTAAATCATGATTAGCATGATTTACCCAAAGGACCTAAGAATAGCCTAAAACCTTTAGTGTGAGACCTTGCTATGACATTTGATATAACACCTGGCTCATACGAGAATAATGATTTTACAATCAATCAACAAAAACCATTGTTATTTCTACCCTCTTTCCTCTGCTTAATGCTACCAACGTTTTCTTTGAACGACGGCTCGGAGCCTCAGAAATTTCACTACTTACTGCAGACATTTTATGCAACCCATGCATCGTCAATGTCCAGACTAACGTTATTAAATATAGAATGCAATAAAATATCATTCTGAACAATATAGAAGGCAATAAAATATTATCATAAACAATAGTGCTATGACCTGCCACCTACTTTCTATACGCTTCAAGGGCATTTACTACTGTATTGCCTTATGAAAAGGGCATGAGTTTTCCAGCTGGCCCCACCAGCCAAAATTAATTCAAACCCAGAATTATAGTCTGTTCCAGATTGGACAAATTTTGATGATTCTGGACTCGATCGAGCTATTTTTGCAGATTCGACTTAGTGAAGTATGATAATGACCCCATGCTTCCTTAAGCTGTCCCTGGTGGTAGGGCGAAGTGGTAGAAACTCCCGTATGCCAACGGGAGGATCCCGGTTCAAATCCTGGTGAACGCAAGTTGTTTGATTTTTTTGAGGTAGTACTGATGTCCTCGTTTGGTGTTTTGTACTCTATCCATTATCTATATTTTGACGATTTCCGCAAGACTGTATTGGCTCTAGGTGTCGCACCTTATTAGTAGTAGATTTCTTTCCCAACTTAATTCAAAAAATATCTTATTCCCCATCATTGCAGACATTGGGTCCACCAACAGTCTTTTCTATCCCTCAGTATGACATTTAAAGGACTTTAAATAAAACCTGGAACTCGTCTCCCCTACAAAAAAAAATGCTTCTCTAAGCTGTCTTGGAGTGCTTTTTAAGGCGCATCCAATGGTGCCAAGTGTTTAGGATATAGATCATCTCTGAGAGGCAAATGTATTAGGCGTTGTATATTACATAAGAGGATCTGAGAATGAGCTGAGATACATAGTAGAAGTGAGAGGTCTTTATTCAAGCAGCACGAAGGAACATGAGTGGTGCCATCAAATGGCTAATCTATATCCTGGTTCCTAGAGAGTGGTAGCCTATGGCCTTTCGTCCCTGGAAGTGGGTTTCAATTCCGACAAATGTTCTTCCGTCAAAGCCATTAGGAAGAACATTCTATCCTGGATCATCTTTGTTGTTTATCCTTGACTGGTGGTTCATGAGTTCTGATGCAGCACATCCTCGCTACTGGTTCAAGGCTTATACAATTATCCCGCATTCAAGATCAAGATCCTATTGCTGCGGCACTGTCAAATAACTATAAATACCTTTGATATCTACACTAGTTTTGATCCCTATTCAATCTTGGAATAACATAATAAATATATTCAGTTCTAATTGTATTTACTCTGTCTATATTTCGTTATTCTAAACACCAAGTAAGATAGATGTTTTGAATAAACTTATTGAGCAATTTGCGAAAATATGAAAAGAGGTCTTTGGCCAAAAAGTCGAGATTCTAGGTCGAAAGAAATTTCTCGCAAGAATTTCTTGAGACCGTCAGAACAAAATAGGAAATGTTATTATGCTAGAATCTTCTTGAAGTTTTATTTTTGAGCGAATTCAAAGATATATAAAGACAATAAAGAAAATATCTATACTATCAATCTTCTTTTTCGCTCGGTCATTACCAGCTTATATTATCACATTCTCATCCTATACTAATGTCTACCATTGAAGAACAACTTCTGGCTTTACAACAGCAATTTGCTACACTTCAAGCCCAGCTTCAAGCGGCCTCCATGCCTAATCCTGTGCAGTCAGCGGAAGACACTGCCATGCCTACTCCTATGCAGTCAGAGGAAAGTACTGCTATCCCACCTCTCCATTCGTTTGGTACTAGGCCCCATTACGAATGGTCTCCCTCCGATGCCCTTACGGACCTAATGGAATTGGATACTCCCCTTCATCATTCTAAGCCTTTGCCTGATTCTGAACGCAGGGCTATCATTGAGTCTTATCCCCCTATGGCTCATTTAGACTATCGAGCTCCAGCGACGATTCCTACCGCTGCCCAAATCATGAATCGTGGGCAGAAGTATGAGGACCAGTCTCTCAAGAGTCTCCAATACCTTTTATCTGCCACCTTTCGCCCTTTGGACATTCTAATTCATGAGATGTTCACTCATGAAACAGGTAATCCCAACCTAGAACGTTATAGCACCATGTTGCGAGATATTCGCCGTCTCCTACTCCATGTTTGTTCGACAATGACTCAACAGCGCAACAATCTGGCTCTGCGGGTCATTAACCCTTCATTCCGCCTGGAGAATGATGCGGAAGTGAATTACACCCTTCCTTTGGATGAATTCCAACAAACACTTGTCCAACAGACAGCTGCCCGAAAGGCAACCCGTGAAGCCACAGCAAATCGCAGGCAACGTCGTTATAATCGCAACACACCCATCTCTAGCTCTCCCTCCAACGGATCGGATCCTTCGTTTTTTCGATCAGGTCCACCCTCGCAGCAGGGTGGTTTCAGCAACAACAACAGCAACAGCAACAACTTCACCAGCCAGTACATCAACAAGGCCAACAACAACAACAACAATTTCCAACAAAACGCCCACAAGAAAAACTCCAACCCTTTTCGTCAGTAAATCCAACAGCACCAACGTCAACCGCAACATCAACATCCACAACAACAACGGCAACATCTTTACCAATTCAAATCAACAACATAACAACCGATCCAGTAGGTGGTCGGCTCAGCAAACATTCTCAACAATGGACAAATATCACCAACAATTCCTTTGTTATCAACACAGTTCAACACGGCTATCATATTCCCTTCCATACAACACCTCCAACCACAACAATACCAACATCTATTACCCCCTTTTCCGCAGACCAAGCTACTCTCATCGACCAGGCCATTCAAGACCTCTTGGACAAGTCAGCAATCGAGAAGGTGTCTCCTCATCAGGTACAACAGGTCCCAGGGTTTTACAGCTCAATGTTTGTAATTCCCAAGAAGAGCGGTGGCGTCCGCCCTGTCTTCAATTTGAAGAACCTCAATCAGTATTTAGACGCACCTCATTTCAAGATGGAAACTATCAGAGAAGTATCTCTGATGATCAAACGGAACGACTATCTCGTCTCCATCGACTTATCCGATGCCTTCCTTCATGTAGGACTTCATCAGGACTCCAGGCGCTACTTACGTCTGAAATGGAAGGATCAGGTTTACCAGTATTGTACAACCGCCTTTGGCTTGGCTTCCAGTCCTTTTGTCTTCACCAAAGTTTGCAGGCCCATATTAGAGCACTTACGCTCGCGCGGAATTAGGATCTCGGCGTACTTAGACGACTGGCTCTTAATGGCGGACTCCAAGCAACTAGCGATGGAACAGGCTCGACAGGTGGTCTCTTTATTGCAGGATCTAGGATAATTAATCAACTTCCAGAAATCGGTTCTCACTCCTACTCAACAGTTGGAACACCTCGGCTTTGTATTGAATACCAAGTCCATGACAGCCCAACTCCCTGCAACCAAACTGAGGGACATTCGTCGTTCAATCAAGCAGGTACTCGACAAGCCGCATCGGCAGTCTCCCAGGGTTATTCACAGCCTGACAATGAGGATACAAGCGGCAACATTTGCGATATTCCCAGCTCGTCTGTACACCCGTCACCTCTTATTCTACAAGAATCAGTCAGTGAAATCAGACGTGGATTGGGATCGTCCTCGCCCGTTGGATCAAGCAAGTCTGGAAGAACTTCAATGGTGGTATGCCAACATCCGCAAGTGGAACGGTCGGTCAATGCTCCCATCAACGCCCAATCAGACAATGTTCGTGGACGCCAGCGATACTGGATGGGGTTGCTCATGGAAGACTCAGCGGGCCCATGGTTACTGGACAGCGGAAGAGGCAGCCCAATCGATCAACTGGAGGGAACTACAAGCTGCATTCATAGCCCTCAGAACTTTCCATCTGCCGCCGAATTCAACAGTGCTAATCCGGACAGACAACACAACCAGCTTATCCTACATCAACAAGCAAGGCGGAACTCGTTCTCTTCCGCTGATGGAATTAGCAACACAGGTATGGACATGGTGTCTCCGCAATCGCATAATGATTCAGGCGCAACACATCCAGGGCATACACAACAGGATCGCGGACTTCGAGTCTCGACGCCAGTATTTCAAGAATCAATGGATGATCAAACCGCAGATATTTCAACAGATACAGCAGGCTTGGGGACCTTTTTCCATCGATCTATTCGCGGACAGGACTACGAAGTTGCTACCAAAGTACGTGTCATGGATGCCGGATCCAGACGCTCTATATACGGATGCGTTATCGATAACATGGACCAACTTCCGGAATCCCTTCGTAAATCCTCCTTGGAATCTCATCACACGGGTATTGAACAAGATCAGGCAAGAACGACTTTCCTTGGTGACTCTGGTGGTTCCGTACTGGCCCAGTGCTCTGTGGTTCCCCCTCCTACAACGATTGGCTCTTTCCCCGCCTTGGATGTTGCCACCACAAGCGGTGCAGACAACATCACCCAGGACTCCCCACCCATTACTACAACAGAATTGGATGCTCTCCGTGTGGCAACTATCAGGCAGCAATTACTAAAGAAAAACCTCAATGCACAAGCGGTTGAGGACTTGTTGGCAGCAAAGTTAGCTCCCACTGGGACTAACTTAAGCTATCGCAAGAACCAGCTTCGTTTCCTAGAATGGGCCACCAAGAATGGAGTTTCCTTCACCTCGTTTACACCCGTCGAACTTGTTAACTTCCTCTCGGATATTCGCAGCCGCTACAACTTACAGGTCGCTACACTGAAAACTGTACGGGCTGCCGTAGCTCATCTTCATGATGAACCAAAAGGTATACGTGAGAGTGAACTGATTAACTCTTACATAGATACCATGATGAAACAAGCACCTCCCGTTCCTATACACCGACCCACAATCGACATCTCCCCCGCGCTGACCTATGCCCGTTCTATTGCTTCTCGAACAACTACTTCTATCAAGTTATTACAACAGAAGTTAGTCTTTCTGCTTGCTATGGCGGCCTTCCTCCGACCCTCTGACCTAGCTCGTATCCCGTATAACTCCTGCTCTATTACGGATACTGGCTGTCTTACTTTACAAGTCGTGGCGCCTAAAGAGACTCGTCGCAAACGACGCATCATCAAGCCCTTTACGATCCATCCGCATGCGTCCGACATAGAACTATGCCCAGTTCAGTGTTTCAAGGCTCTTCGTGCTCACCCTGGTCTGGCTTCTCGTCCTCCTGGTTCACAACTCTTTGTAAAGTCTCATCTCATCCAACAGCCCCTATCGTCTTCAACCATTTCCTCATGGCTACATCGTGACTTTATTGCACTCTGCACTTCTGAACCTAATGTTTCCATCCGTTCACTAGCATCCTCACGAGCGTTAGATCTTGGGGTCTCTAGAGACGACATCGTAACTCTCGGTAATTGGACTTCCTCCTCAACCTTCGAAAACCATTACCAACGTAATCAGATGGCTCAGGTGGACTTCACATCAACGGTTCTTTCGGATTCTCTTGACCAGTTCTTTGATGCTCATGAAGACTTTTCTCTGGATTAGCATAATAACATTTCCTATTTTGTTCTGACGGTCTCAAGAAATTCTTGCGAGAAATTTCTTTCGACCTAGAATTGATAATTAGACCTGAAGAACAAAATAGGAAATGTTATTATCCCCACCCTTCCTTTCTTTACTTTATTTTGATTTGTTTTATATTCCCCACCCTTCTTTATTCATTATGACCGAGCTTAAATTCGATTGATAGTATAGATATTTTCTTTATTGTCTTTATATATCTTTGAATTCGCTCAAAAATAAAACTTCAAGAAGATTCTAGCATAATAACATTTCCTATTTTGTTCTTCAGGTCTAATTATCAATTTTTCCATGTCAAAGTTCTACAAAGATGATTTCAGAGGCTACGTTGAATCGATAGAAACATTTTGACTCAAGATACACCATAGTAAAAGTCTTCATTTTTTTGGATAAAAAACGCGATCGTTTGATTTTCGATGAAAACCATGAGGGGTATCTCATGCTTTTTGGTTGATTTTTGTCCATGTTTTTTTTTCCCAAAAAGTTGAGCAAAGGTGTCAGTGATGAATTCGTAATAATAAGTCGATGATAATAATCAGTTGACAACTGTATCTAAAACGAAAGCAAAGAGCTTCTTTATTACAGGGCATCTAGCTTGCTTAAATATGGTAGATCCCTGGTCAATGACTACTACGTTGAGATGGTATATAAATAGCAGGCCACTGGGGCCTTATGGATTGTTGGTATAGCTTGTTGAGAGGCCACCTAAGTCGATATGTTTCATGTAGTGTAGGTGGATCTCGATATCTTGACATTGGGGAGATTGAATGTATTGTAGTTCCTGAGGCACCTGTGCACACACAATTGACTGGACTTGTAAACATAGATGTGATGTGATACGATAAACATCATCTATGCTGCTACACTGTAAAAGGTGGCTTGAGGAGAAAGTGAATGTAGCCTAAGATGCATGCTTGTATGCAACAGTCAGCAAGTAACTGCCAGATGAGGGCAATTGTTGGGTGCTATTCTGACGATCTAGAACGGCCTTGAACGCAAGAAAACGCAGCTCAAATGCACTCATATTTTGCTGTATTAAGGACACTAAGGACAAAAAAGTGGGAATACCAGTATGCTGCTTGCCCGTATATGAAGTAGCTACGTGTATATAGATGTAGAACATCACATAAGAATCAGATCCACAGATAATATGAAGGGTTACTATGTGTAAGTGGAGGGTCAAAATGAAAGTAGCAGTATTTTGATAAAATACGCAAGAGCAATCTATAGCACGAGCTGCCGCTGCGCAGGTTGGTTCTCTACCTTCGCTTCGCTTCGGTGAGAACCATCCGAAGCATAAACACTCATATGATTAGTGATTATATATCAATCAACAATCAGGGTTCTTCTTCTAACATTTTAGCTATATTAATTTTGGGATATTAGCCAAAGGCCCGCGGCAGCGCGAGCCGTTTGAACGTAGGTTGGTTTCCACCGAAGCGAAGCGTAGGTCAGGAAACCACCCGAAGTGTCGAAAGGCTCGTATACTATAATAAAAGTCTTCATTTTCAAGGTGAAAAATGCGATTGTTTGATTTTGGATGGAGAGCATGAGGTACCCCTCATGCTTTTTGAACGATTTTTGGTGATCCCAAAAAAGTTGTGCAAAGGTGTCTGAAAGTTGGCGCTGCATGAATGCATCTGTATAATGCTACTCTGGCGGCCTAAGGCAGCTTTTAACGCGAGAAATCACGGCTCAACTACTCCCAGGTTTCGCTGCGATTTGCATTAATAGGAGTGGCCTGAGGCAATGCACGTATACTGCGTGCCAATATACGAGTTTACCTGATAGATACAGACGTAAATCATTGTAAGAGGCAGACCTACAGTTGGAGACTGTTTGGAAAAGGTCTTTTGCAAACCTGAGAAACTAAAAAAGTGAAGTATTAGTATACATTTGCAGGATGTTGAAGCCGCAAATAATAACAGCTAATTCACTCAAAGGAGCGTCAATCTAGATAGCATTTCCGTCTCTAGGATTCCTTTTTATATCGCTTATGGGTAAGAATTTTTGATAAATAATTGTCCAGCTACTTAATTGTGTATGGAAAGCTCAATAAACCACAAATACTCTGTATATTGTAACTTGCTACGAAATAAGAACCGTATAAATAAATAAAATAGGTTAAATATAGCTGCTACGCATTATGAAGTTCATGAAATTGGAAAAGGCGTACATGTTTAATGTTATGAAGCTATTAAAAGTGCTTTTACTGGCATGTCGCACTGGCTTTATTTTCGCAAAATTATCTTCAATTGCAAACCCATGCAGCATTTCAATGAACAGTTCGATATATTACATGAAGCCACTGTATTTATATTGATTGAATACTAATGAAAAGTAATTAGGATTCTTTTCATGGTACATCTTTTATAAAATCTACGGTAACAAGCCCTCTATGAGGTCTTGAGTATTTCAATTGGCATTTTACTGATTTTTTATGAGGACTGAAAGGTATGTGCCAAATGAAATATGGTTAACAGGCAAATGTCAACCCGTTTTGTGCAGTATACAACTCAAATAATTGTAGATGATCGACTAGTATAAAATTTTTAGCATTCGTTGATGGATAAAGCTGTTAGCTTGAGACGAAATGACTTGCTGCTGTGCTTATCTGTATGTGAAGTAATCCTGTATGATGTGATTTCAATTACTACGGATCTTGCGAATGTGCTGATGCAACTCCCTGAGATAAACAATAGGGGCTAAGACTAGCGGTTTAATTCTATTCTCAAATGTAGCACACATATATAAGATCTATCAGCAAAGATTAATAAAATATCAAAGATAGTATGATAGCCAGTATCCCTCGCTTTTGCAGCGCGATAGCTTTGCGGTTTGAAAATAGGAATAATGACCTTTAGTTCGATTAAATGAATGATATATAAGAGATACCGAGTTATCTCATGGGTGGTAGAACAGTAATAAGGTTACTTTTCATATGTTGGCTCAGCTTTATTAGATCAAGAGCGAGGTGACATTTATATTTCCTCATTTGCCAATTTCACATCCCGCTGATTCAATTTATGCAGACGCAAGTGGTACCTGAATCAAAGAAATCTATATCCATTCACCGCTTAGGAGTCATGCTACGCCATGAGTAATGTCAATCTGTATATGAATTCGATCGTTAATTAAAACAAATATTCATGCCAATACAATCATGATACTTTAAATCAAACACGAATAATACTTGTGAGGTATTTTCTGGTATAACATAGATGAATCCACATGACTAAGTAGCCCCCAACCTAAATCTATGTCACTTATTAATGCATTTAATACTACATTGTACATCAATTAGCGTTGTGGCGAGTACACACATATATACACTATGCAATCAATTATTAGGAATAGAAATATATATGTATATTCATCGGTATTGCCTTTTTTTGAGGAGCTGTGAGTGGACGAGATAAGAGCATATGAAAAGGGGCTTCAAAGGGAGGGTGGCCGAGAAGTTTGCAATCAGGAGCATTTGAAGACAACCTCAAAATCAGTTGGAAAAGCCGTTGAATTTGCCGAGGTGGTATCTATGTATATATATTGCAGTTTCTGGTACCATCTGTTTGTCAGTTTTTATACATACATCAAATCATGGTCTCTCAAGAAGTCGCTATTTCTACACCCAAAGGATTCAAGTTTCGCCCTGTTACAAAGTATATCAAGACTTGCAGAGGCATGAAATCCGACATTACTTTGTCTTGCAAAGGCAAGTCTTGCGATTCCAAATCTCCTTCTGGCTTGATGAGTTTGGCTTTGGAAAACGGCGATATCGTTACTCTTTCAGTCGATGGTACTGATGCTGAGAAGAATTTTCCCATCTTGCTCGATCTCCTGCAAAAAGTAGGACAATAACGTTCTTGAGGTTTGGGCCTTAAATACTAGTAGTGTCTATATACTTTATTCAAGACAAGTACTTGTGCCGATCAAGAAATAATAAAGTAAATCTATAGTTTATAAATATATCTTGTTGCATTACAGCGTACGCACTTTTTCGAGATTCCAGTTCTCTTTTGAGACTAGAGCTTGTATAAATGTATCAGAATGATCACTGAATTGAGAGGTCTCGAACACAAATAATATTACTCTAGGACTTTTGGTTGATAGAGTTGTCTAATTTCATTAACGAAGTCATTGCAAGCATGATATCTTACAACGGCTGCCCTTATAGTAACCAATATCTGTAACATGATATCAAAGATGTAGACAATACTTATAAATCATTCATCAGACTCATCTTTTAAAACTAATTGGGTGGCATTATTCAATCAGATTGTATGGTAAAGGCTTCCTTAATTTGCAGCATTTACGTCCATAGCATTACGTTAGATTGCATCGGTTTATCACACGGTTTCATTCAAAATGATCACTACTCTATCTTTCGCGCGAACCGACCTTTGGAATCGTCGTTATAGTATGGTGCAGTACGTAGGAGTAATGTTTATGATCGAACGATTCGAGATTTTCTGATTGATGGCAGCTATCTAAATAATAGGCGGTTGCTATAAGGATTTTAACTAAAATCTATACATATAAATCATATGCGTTGTTCCTCATCGTTTCAAAATTTATACAGTTGCTAAATATGTCATCCATTCCAGTAATAAAAGTATAATTCTCTTTTATTTATTAACACTTCTAAAAAATTGAATGTACTATCTGATAGCTCAACAGCGCTTACAACTTCCCTTGAATCGGCTTGGGTACAATGGTAATTGTAGTGGCACTACGGAGGTCTACAAAGCTATCAAATTTGTTTTGGCAGAAGGCTACCGACATATTGACACTGCTTATATCTGTAAGTTTAAGGCACAATTTTTACCTTTACAAAGATTAAAATGCTGCGCTAGATAATACTGAAGAAGCGATTGAAACTGCCATCAAGGAAATCAACGTCAAGAGAGAGGATCTTTTTGTCACTACCGAGCTCTAGGGCAATTTTCATGAACCTCAACATGTAGGCCCTGTCTTTGAACGTTCGCTCAAAAACTTGCAAATGGATTACGTTGATCTCTACTTGATCCACTGGCTCGTGTCTTGAAAGCTTGATGGGTATGAGCTCTGTGAATGGTAATCCAAGAGAAGCAAACCTGTAACTCATGTCTCCATCATTGATACATGGCGTGCTATGGAGAAACTCGTCAAAGAGGGAAAGACTCAATCAATTGATGTCTCTAATTGTACCATTCCTATGCTTGAAGATTTGCTGAGTAAATGTGAAATACCTCCTGCAACGAATCAAGTCGAGATACACCCGTCTTTACCTCAAGAAGAATTGCTTGCGCACTGTAAAGGCAAGAATATTGTATTGACCGGATATTCTTCCCCAGGAACTCCTGGTTACATGCCGGGCGCTGTGAAAACTTTGGAAGAACCTGTTGTCACTGATATTGCAAAAAAGTATGGCAAAACAGCGGTTCAAGTGCTTTCCGACTAGGGTATAAATCGAGGTTATTGTGTTATTCCCAAGAGCGTCACTTCTAGTCGTATTAGAAAATAATCTCACCTTCTTCGAGATGGAAGACATGGATATCGAAGCGATTAACGGCTCATGACCACTGATATAAACCACAGGAAACCAGAGGGGTGTTTTGGCCTTGAAAACACTATTTTTGACTGAGAACTGGGCTTGTTTATGATTGTAGACAACGCATCTCACTGTTTTTATCTGCTTTAAATTAAAAAGTGATACACATATAGTTTTCTTGTCACTCCATCTCAATGTGTGATTGTTTTGTCAATATTGATTAAAGGTATGACGAGTGGCTTGTTGATGATCATTTAAAAGAGTGTTTCATCTTTGACCACGTCTTCCTTTCCTTCAAATTTGCAAGATAAGATGAAGCTGAGAGAGGGAAATTCGCGTGGTTTTTCAACAAAGAATACCCACAAGCCAAGTCAGCTTTTGTTCAATGATGGTCAATTCTCAAAAGGAAAGAACACAATTGCTCTTTCTACTATCCAACTGGAGCAAAAAGAACTTGTCGAACGCATCAAATCCGAGAAACGTCTAGCTAGCAACATATCGGACACAAGTACAAGCATCTTGAATGAACTGGACACTTCTGATTCAATCAATGACGATGTCAGAGTCAAACAAGAACGCGAAGCTAAAACCAATATTGACTTACACGGTAACCCTATCTTTATATTTCTAAAAGATTCTTACTGTATTAACCACAACCAATGTTATAGAACCAAGCAGATCCAGTGGCGGTAACAGGAAACGACACATTGAGCCAGATATAGACGATCCCAACTTCTATTGCCGTTCATGCGAATATACTTTCAAAACCCAAGCTAGCTATCGACAGCATTTGAGAAGCTTTCACAAAGTGAAGTGGCCACCATTGCATTCTATTAAAAACCCTGATATTTTGCCTGACTGGGATGATCCAAACCAATACTGTAGATCCTGCGAACATACATACAGTTCAAGATCAAACTACATTAATCACTGCAAAACGATCCACAAGATGGAGAAGCCTATTAAATTAGTAACAAGTGTCCCGGATGTCAATGATCCCAATAACTACTGCAAAGTATGCAATCGTACTTACAATCGTGAATATGACTACAAGCGGCATTGTCTATTCTTACACGGAGTGAAGTCAGTCGAATCTGCAAGTCAGAAGTCTACCACAGGCAGTATGATAGACACTTATTGTCAAACCTGTGATAGACGTTTCGCAAGCATTCAAATTTATAGCAAGCATTTATTCGCTGTTCACAATGTGTATTGGGAGGTTATGCAACAGAAACCGAAAGACGTACTGCCAGATGTTAACGATCCCAACTTTTACTGTCGTTCTTGTGATAGAAAATTGGCCAACAGGGATTCCTTCAGAAATCATTTAATGCTGGCACACTCGATTTATCTATCAGCACCAAAGAAAAACAGAGTAAAGCCAGATGTCAACGATCCCAACAATAACTGCCGCGCATGCGCAAAAACCTATCCTTCCAGAAAGGTATATCGAATGCATCTTCGCCTAACACATCAAATGAAATTACCGTCATTGAGAGTGAGTGCCAACCGTGAAGATCTACCAAATCCATTTGATCCTCGCTATTACTGTAATGTTTGCAACAAATCCTGGAAAACGCTAGGACGCTATCGAGCCCACTGCAAGCTTGTTCATCTCATGGTGCTATCTCACAGCTCTATAACCAATCCCACTGCAACAATCGATACCAACAATCCAAATTTCTACTGTGCCCAATGCGAGCGCTCTTACTGTAATAAAGAATATTTCAAAGAGCATTTGAGAAGAATTCATTCTATCTGAAACCTTCTCTACTAATTGTACTCACAATCAAGTTAAACTAGTATGATAATAAAGTTATAGCCTCAAATTTAAAATAAGAGCAGCATTAGCATGTCTACTCAATTTACATTCTAAGGGGAAAAAGGCTTATTGTGTACAAGGGAGTATTTTGATATTTGACCCGTTCACTTCTCTTTACGCTTGTGGAACTAGGCTTATGACAGGTAGAAGCCGCTTCATGAATCCACCGTTAGCAAGGGCCACAAGTCAATAAAGAAACTAACATATGTACAAGTGAAAAAGGAAGCTAACAATCAGCGTTTGAAAGAAATTAGCCACTTTACTTTCAAGTTAAAGAAAACGGTACATCATCAAGCAGACATCTCAGATTGAAAATGTTTGATCTTAGCAATCACAAAATGACGACTAAGCTAGAAGGTGTAGCAAATCGTGAGGTTGTTCTACAATATGCTTACAATGAACTTCATGTATGCGTCTTGATCCTGCATACACGCTTATAATGAATGGCTCATGTCATAAAGGTGGTAATCACGAGACGACCGGATGCAGTCGAGTGATAATCACAGTAAACAAAAGAATGCATGGATTTTTAAGAGGTCAATACAAAAGCGACCATCGTTAGTACATCAGTCAAATAAAAGTAAAGAAGATTAGTATTTATTTAATACAAATCAAGGGATTTCATTCTTGTAACGACTTGGAAGCAGCAGTTATATGTGTAAGATGAACTTGTGCTCTCTACTGTCTAGTTTCTTGAACCTTGATTTAAGGATATATATATATACACTCACACTAAAAACAGCTTTATGATTTCTTTCTCGCTGCTTTCTTGGCTGGCCTTGGCTTCATTGAGCTTGTTTTCTTTGCTGGTATTTTAGTGGTCTTCTCCTTTGCTGATTTTTGCTTGGCTGGCTTGGTTGTACCATGTAATACGTTGTATTGGAAGCTTGATTTGAACAGGGCCCGTATAAAGGGGAGATAATCAAACTTTTGTCGTATAGAATTGGCTTTTTCCTGCTCTCTTTTGACTGTGAGTTGGTCGACCTCTCGGTTGAAGGGATCAATGTCCATTGCAAATGTGTCCAATTTTGCTTGCGCTGATGCAAAGTCTTGTCCGAGCAATGAGCTCCAAATGTCCTTCATGGTATCATGGCATTGCGTATCTGCCTCATTGATCATGTCGAAAAATGCCTTTTTGCGTCGTAATACTGTTGGTTTGGCTAATCTCTTTCTAGTCACTTGGTTTGATAGTTGCAGGTGTGAACTATAGTCATTCTTTTTCTTTAATTTGGCTCTGTAGTCATCTTTTGTGATTGCCAATAGGCTAACGTCCATTCTGTAATCATATTGAATTAGTTGATGTGGCATCATGTGTCAGCTATGATTGCCAACTTACCGATCTTGCATGCGCTGTTGGAGGATTGATTTCACTGTAGTAATCCACTCCTCATGTGTACACTCTTGGAGCCTCACAGGCTGCGATTTGAGCCCGTCAAGCTCGCAAACAAAACCACTATTGTAGATATAGCTGATATAATGGTAGTTTTCCGTCTCGACAACCTCGTAGTTAGCATCGCCATATTCAGTCGTTGTGTCCATGGCGGCTTCAGCTGTATGGTATGCATTGCTGGCATACGCATTGTGAATTGAGCGGATTTCATTCTGATAGCTTAAACACCATACACGACTCTATCAAGAAAATCAGTACCATCGTGCTGATTTCAAGCAATACAACTTACCGTAGCTGAGAAGCCTTGAGTGGATTGTAAAAGGTTGTTGAGAATGTCTCCTGTGTTGATATCTGCATTGAATAAGACGGCTAAAAAGTGCCAAAGTAGCGCAGGAATTTGTTACAAGCTATCAGATAGTAAGTAAAATGGCCAGAATACCTCTTGATATCAAACCTGCCTGTGATGTAAAGACAATGTTACTTGCCAGAGGACCTTGCTGTTCAAAGTTGTCTGGAAGTGCTTCTTCTTCAAAGGGCAAAATAGAAATCAAGCCATGAACGCTGCTATTCTCAAGAGTTTAGCCCAAATATATCCAACATATCATATATCATACGTACGCATTGTCCTTCATTTCATCAAGTAGGCCGAGCCCAAATATGTCCACTGCTCGGGCGTCGTCCACCCCGTACTGCTGAATCATGTCATTGAAGACGGCTGTGAATTTTTATGGCTAGTTTAGAGGCAGTGAACATGTGTCAATAATCAACATACCTGGGTCTGATGGAACCAAAGCCCAATTTACTACATGTGCGTTCATTGTGATTTTCTTATAGAGCTTTCCTTGACTGTATAAATAATTAATGCAGTATGAGATCGAATTTATTGTCAAGAATAAAAGAAAGAAAGAAAGAGTTGACTCTTTGTGTAAAATAAGGCTTTTATAGGCAGCCTTCTTTCAGAAAAAAAAAAGAAGTAACGTATTTTTTGGGTGTGCAGAAAAAAAACAGGACAAAGTCCAGGAGCGTATTGCAAGGAAGGCAGCTTGATATAGGCACTTGCTGTAAGTTTTCAATAGTTTTGGGGCAGTTTGATTGACTTTTCGTGTTTAATGGGCAGCGTCAGTGCTCTTGATTAGCCAGCGGGACTCAATTTGCGCGGCATTTTCGTCCTAAAACGCAAAATAAAATTGTATGTTGCTAGTACATCTTCACCATGTAGAAGAGACAACAGTCTAGGCAAAACGCCATCTTGTGAATAGCTGACATTAGTGTCAATTGTCTCTGGTTCTGCCATTTTGTGGTGCTTGGTGGTTAAAATCTTTTGAGATTTCTTAATGTTACCCTTCTGCAATTGCGCTTTTTCAGGAACATTGAGAGGAATGCATTAAAAACATGGTAACATGTGTTTCTCAGTCTTGCTTTATGTCTTTATAAATGGGCCAGATCTTATATATTTACTGGATCATTAGCTTCTATAAGTCAGTGCTGCCTAAAATCCTCTAATCTGACAAAATAGACAATCCTACATAATAACAAGCGCATAAAATCAAAAGCAGTATTGCATGCCTATGACATTCTAATAAGTGGATCAAGACATCTGGAAACTACATAGCGCTCGTAACAGACCCCGTCTGTTTTCGATATACCATAATGCTTTGCAAAAAGTTACAACAAGAAGTGTTCAAAGTTACAAATCACAAAATTTGCCAAAACAGTAAAAAATTTGACAGCTATCACGTGCTACATTGCTGAGATCCCATACAATGCAGATGGGTCTGCCAATCCCAACAAACTGGATCATCGGCGCGCGAAACATTCAGGGATCAAGTTTCCTTTTCGGGTGAAAAGTGTTTTGTTCTGACCACCAATGCTGATTTGAGTTTCGAGAAAGGCCTTTGTTTTGAAGGTTATTGAATTTTTGAAGGATGAGCAAAGTGTTGAAGGTTACTGAGGAAGGCGTCTTTTTTAAAAAGTGTGTTTGGATGCTTATCGACCCAAAAGCTTTAAAATCATGTAAAGCCCAGCGTTATCAAAGTTCTAATTGAAAAAGTGTCAAACTACACTTATATGTAATCTGTGGTAGTAGTAGAGGTTTTGGATTAAACTAGTGGGCTCAAGTTTGAATTTGTCACTTAAGCAGCAGCATCTTATCTGATTTGGTAATATGGATCAGATAAGGAGAGTATCTAAATTTCACAAAGCAAGAAAAATATGTTTCTGTCTTGGGTACTTCAATACAAGATGCATCAACAAACAAAATGCAGCCACTATAATAATTGGCAACAGTTGATAAGCGAAGGCTTAAGGAGCGTATACATTCTGTCAGCAAGTCAAGTATGAAGATTAAATTATTTCCTATTTTTGAATAGTGTTGCTTTCACTATGCTGTCCACTTTAAACACAACGTCTGCTCTTTGTTCACATATAACTATTTAATTACGAGTAATAAATCAATAGATAAAATGCTACAAAGCATTAAAGTCAAAATCGCTTGGTGGTGCCATGCCTCGTTATCGTTTGGCAAAGTCCCAAAGCTCTACTGCGCATTTTCCTCGAAAAACCTAGTAGATGGGCACAGTTTTTCCACGCGTTGTATGAATACTAAAGACTTCAGTTCAGAATTATTTTATGATGAATTTTGTGAGTTGAAACATATATAAACGGATTTTCGATTGCTACATGTGTTATCAAATAATCAAGCGAGGAAAGTGCAGCGAACTCAGTATACAAAGAACAGTGTTTCGACGCTATTATTTGGATCCACTGTCAGCTAAACTCGCTGCCTTTATTAATCTCCTGTGTTTGCTCTACAAAATGAGGCCGCGTTTAGGCACTTGCGGTGCCTCCTTTCAAAAGTCGTTTTTTTGCCCCTCCCCCCTCTCCCAAGTTGAAATTTACAGCGGCAAAAACATGTTTTTTTTCTTAATAGCAACACAGAAACATCTACGTGGTGCTCAAGTGGAGTAAAATACTTAAGGGCGTGTAATGGCTATTAGAAACGCATAAAAAGAATTTGATATGTGCCACTATAGCAAAAGCTGGTCTTGAGACATCATTTTTGGACAATAATTTGTCTGGAGCTGACCTTTTCGGCAGTGTAGCTCTATGAGAATGGATGCTACAGCTTCCAGTAAGACCTTAAATGGCAGGTAACTCTTGGTTTCAAGCAATGATTGGTGCTAAGGAAAGAGTGGTGTAGATCTGATACATGCTTCTTTTGAAAATTCTCAAAAACATGAAAAACTGGCTTGTCTGAATACAAAAAGTTGTAGGATATCTATCAAAAGGGGAACCATCCGTTGTGAATTTTGATTCTGTATAAGTTTATTATAGATGGTAATAATCAGTATAAAATACGAATGTTTACGCTTCGGTGAGAACCACCCTGCACAGCGGCAGCTCGTGCTACCGGTTGCTCATGCGTAGTTTCACAAAATACTGGTACTTTCATATTCACCCTCCACTTACACATGAAAGCCTTTTGTATTATCTGTGGATCTGACTCTTATGTGATGCTCTACATCCATATCCACGTAGATACTTCATATACGGGCAAATACCATACTGACATTATCCCTTTTTAATCAACAGTGTGCCTAATACAGCAAAATTTGGACGCATTTGAGTTGCGTTTTCTTGCGTTCAAAGCCGTTTTAGATCGTCAGAATAGTACCAAACAATTGCTCTCATCTAGCACTTACTTGCTGATACTATTGCTCAACTTTTTGGGGACCAAAACAACATGGCCAAAAATCGACCAAAAAGCATGAGGTACCCCTCATGGTTTTCATCAAAAATCAAACAATCGCGTTTTTTACCTTGATAATGAAGACTTTTACTATGGTATATCTTGAATCAAAATGATGCTACTGATCTAACGTAACCCCTGAAATCACCTTTGTGGGACTTTGATATGTAAAATTTCGACATTTTGGCCAGAAACCTCTTTTCATATTTCGTAAATTACTCAATAAATTTATTCAAAACATCTATCCTACCTGGCACCATTGGATGCGTCTTGAAAAGTACCCCAAGAAAGCTTAAAGAGGCACGGTATGATTATCATGTTTTATATAGTCAAATCCAGCAAAATAGCTCGATCAAGTCGAAAATGATCAGAATTCGGCCAATCTGGTCAATCTGGAGTAGACTAAAAGTCTGAGTTGGAATTAATTTTGGCTGGTGGGGGGGGCAGGCTGGCAAACTCAATGCCCTTCTAGTCATGAAGGTAATAATAGATGCTTTTGAAGCCAAAAAAAAAAAAAAAAACTAGGTGGCGAATTACATAGTAATACCTTTAACCATGCCATATTCTTTTGAAGTCTTGTATTTGATAACGTCAGCTCACGATAGAACGTTTGAACCAGGGAAAGGTAAATCCAGTGTGTAGTTCATTCTGAGCAGAAAATTTGCTATCCTGCTAAAGTACATTCGGTTGATAATCCCAATCATTACTGCCGTGTATGGTATGCCAACAAGCATGTTGTACCTTAAAAGCAACTATTGCCAACACTCCCAGGAAGTACCGCAATTGATTGTCATCCTCAAAGGGGCCCTCCTGTTTCTGATATTAGACCACTGCTCTATATCCAATCCTGATATAACACTTGATGTCAATGACTCGAAATTCTACCGTGCCCAGGGCAAACGCTCTTACTGCAATGAAGACTGTTTCAAAGCGCATTTGAGAAACGTTCATAGAATCTAATTATGTACGCCTTTCTTTGAATGGAATGCCAATTTTGACAACTAGTATAATAAAGCCATCGTCCTCTTTCAGTACAAGCAACATTCGCATACTTGTCCAATGCTCCCTATTGATTGGCTCCAAGTGACTTATCGCGTATTATAAAAAAAGTGTTTCCAAAATCAACCTGTCTACTATTCTTTTTGTCAGTAACATGCGTGAATCAATTATTGTCAAAAAAGAAGCCTCAGTGGAACCTGATGATGAGCCAAAATATCCAGAATTCAGCGTTAGATTTGATGACTGGTTTAAGAAAGATGATGTTTGTTCTGCTTCCAACCAACACGTTGAATACGAGGAGGAAACCCAAAATCACGACATGTCAGATACTAATGAAGGCATTCTGAATGGACATGGTTCGTCTGCTTTCAACAGCAATGTCCACAGCAACGTTAAGCAGGAGGATTTTGCAAAACCCCAAGTCGATTTACACGGTAGGTTTGCTACTCTCTGCACTGTAACAAATAAATTAACTCTCATTGGAGTGAGCATCGCAAGGCAATTCAGTGTGCACAAAGAACTAGAGCCAGTTGTTGATGATCCCAACTTTTATTGTCGTTCATGCGGCTGTGTCTACAGAAGCAAGTATTTATATCGACAGCATTTGAGACGCACTCACAAAATGAAACTGAAATCATTGTCTTCACCAAAGAACCCTGACATTTTACCTGACTGGGATGATCCAAATCTTTACTGCAAATCTTGCAATCGTACATACAAATCAATAGGCATATACAGAGGACATTGCAGAAACGTTCACAAGATGGATACACACAAAAAACCAGCAAAAGTCCCAGCTGTCTACGACCCAAACAACTGCTGCACAATATGCAATATTACTTACAAGACAAGAGACAGATACAAAGTGCATTGTATTGTTAAGCACAAGGTCAAGCATGTAAAGGTGTTTGCCAATCCAGAAGCTACACCAGACCCAGAAAACCCCAATAACTACTGCATTCAATGCGATAAGACCTTATATGACCGTCATTCTTTCAAAATCCACCTTTTTCTCATCCACAAGATCGCTCTTGCACCAGTATCAAACGTCAACAACGATATCAGGCCAGACATCAATGACCCCAACTTTTATTGTCAATCTTGCGATAAAACCATGCGGTCAAAACGAGGTTACCAACTTCATTTGACAAGAATACACTGCATAGCTCAACTGCCACGCAAAACGAGCACAACAAGCCCGGATGTGGATGACCCCAATCATTACTGCCGTGTATGTCAACGAACATATCGCTCAAAGAAAACATACCGTACCCATGTCCAAGCAGTGCATCGAATGATTTTACAGCCTCAAAAAGATCGTAGTAGCCTTCCTGATCCTCTCGACCCTAATTTTCACTGTAGTGTATGCAACATTTCTCGCAAAACATTACGATTATACCGCAGCCATTGTAAACGGGTGCACAAGATGACATTAAACCGCTTCTCTGTATCAAATCCTAGCGCAACAATTGATATCAACAGCCCTGATTATTATTGCGCCCAGTGCGAGCATCGCTATTCTGGCAAACGTGCATTTGGATACCATTTACACGCTGTCCACGATATAAAAGCCAACCTTTGATTCAATCGTTGCTAGTTATTTCAAGTTGATATCCAAGGCAAGGTCGCCCTATACCATTACAAATACAGTTGACCTGATTGATCAAAATATATTATGCATGAAATAAAGGGTGTAGTAGCTAGTCACCTTTCAGGGGTAAAAGATGGCTTATAAAAAAAACACACACACACACACACAAAAAGCGGAAGCATGATATATGCAAGGAGAATGCCAAATCTCCAATCAGTATTGGAACATTGCAAATCAATCCACAAAATCAAGCGTACGTCTCCCATCAAGGTCAAAGATATGGCCGTGGAACCTGATCAATACGACCCCAATGTCTACGGTGAATCGTGTATAGTAACTTGTGCTGGAAAGGCTGTCTACAGATTGCATTTGACGAACGCTCATGATAGAGCGTTGAAGCGCTTATCTCTCAATGTCCATCCCAAACCTGATGTTGCGCCTGATCCTAATGGCCCAAACTTATACTGCAAATCTTGCGGCCATACTTGCACGCAGAAGTACAAATACAAACCCCACTCCCGATGGCACATCAATTGGATGCTGAAATAAACCTTTCTTCTTGATTTGATGCCACACTTATCGTGTGGTCACATCTAATCAACGGTATTTCAATTATGATTCATGCGTGGTATGGCATGGCAGGTTTGATGGGGAGCATGACATGATAGTCATCAGCAAGGCTGAAACTCACAATCATATGCTGAAAACTGCCCTACGATAGATTAATATCCGGAATCCTGTGAATGGGAACCTTTATTTCAACTCGAAACATACAACAATTTCCAAAAGCGGCGAATGAAGTGTTTCATGGTTTCGTGAGGTACGCCATAAAGAAGAAAGATATTATCCATCTTTTCAACATGTCATATCCACATGCAGACCATGATGTAGAGAGATTCAATGCCATAGCTCCCAAGCAATCATAAAAGAGCTATTGCTCCGCAGATTTCTCGACATGTTCCCACAACAACAAAAAAAAAAAAAAAAAAAAAAAAAATCGACAAACACCAATGTCAATGCCCTGTCAAGTTCATCAAACAACATCTTTGCAGGTTTCTATTGCAAACTTGATGGCTAGTGACTTCATTCCTGGGAGTATAAATAGTGGCGTCTAGACAAGAGCAATCAAAAAGTATCTTTGCTCTTCTTTATCATCACAATGTCAGTAACCATCAAGAAGGAACCCAATTACGATTCCATCAACACCACTACTACTGATACTTTACTTCAAATTAAACAAGAAGACATCAAAGAGGCAAAGATTGTTATCAATCAGTTAGAAGACATTGCTGATGAGCTGGCTGAACGTCCAGACATCGAGATCAAACAGGAACCCACTTCAAAAGTGGAGAATAAGCTGCAGAGTAAGTAAAATACTTGGCAATACGTTTCTTGCGTCTGATGTCAACCCATCCGTGATTCAGACACTCGCTTGAATCAAGATGTCTACCGTTACTGCTGTAATATGTGCGATGAAAAGATGCTGGATCTCAGAACCACGATCGTTCACATGCTAGAAGTACACAACATCCAGCATCGTAGCAGGTACAAGCACATGGATTTAGAGCCTGATGTCGATGACCCCAACAACTTTTGCGCAACTTGTGAAAAGTCTTTTTCAACAAAAGACTCATTTGAATACCATCTCAAGACGCTGCACTTTATCGTCAGAGTGAGGCAAGTCTTGGAGCCTGAAGTGGATGATCCCAATTTCTACTGCCGTCAATGCGACTTTACCTACATGGATCAAAAATTCTACTTTAAGCATCTCAAGTCATACCATGGCATCAAGGTACGCTCCCTCTCCACCAAATTCAATGCCAATATACCCAAAATCATCAAGCGACAACAAAAGAAGAACAAGATCTGCTGCAGAGCATGTGGTGCTGACTTTTCAAGTAAGAAGAACTATGCTTACCATACCGCCTTTGTCCACGGCATCAGCCGCAAGACAAAAGTGGATGCCAACATGGTCATCATACCTTCTTATGAAGAGGTGTATCAGTGTCGCGCCTGCAGTGGCAATTTCAACAGCAAGCAGCTGTATTTGGAGCATTTGCATTCCACTCACGCAATGAACATCAGTGAGGACTCCCAAACACCCAATGCCAACGACCCCAACTTTTACTGCCGAGTCTGCGACGCTACCTCCCTCTCATATGACGGTTTCCAAACCCATCTACTTGCTGTCCACAATATTGGTGCAGCTGCTTCTTCGTCTTCTATCAAGGTGGATAATGACAGTACACCTGATCCCAATGATCCCAACTTTTACTGTCGTAGCTGTCGGCAAAACTTCTTCTTCAAAGACAGCTACAAGAAACACCTGCTCCTCGTCCATCAGCAAGGTCTCGTTCCTGATGCCTCCTCTTCTTCCTTGCTTCCTGACCCACACGATCCCAGCTTTTATTGCAGTGTATGCCAAAGAGGCTGGAAAACATTGCAGCAATACAGACACCATTGCAAAGTGACGCACAAGATGGAGCTAGGCTTCCAACGACAATCCTTCCACCATGCTACCATTGACCCCAACGACCCCAACTCTCACTGTGCCCAGTGCAACCGCACTTATGCAAATTACAGACAACATCTTAGACATGCACACAATATCTCTATTCCTCCACAATAATCCTCTTTATATCACAGACTTTATGTCTTTTAAAATTTCTTTTTGCTTTGCATATATATATATATCTTTATCAATTTAAACAAAATATAAATGCTTTTATTGTTTATTCAATTGTAAGGGCAGAATACATAAAGGCTTTTTTAACAAGAGCTTGATCTCTGTACTATGTAGACGACAAATGACATCTCAGCTTTTGCATGAATTACAACAGTTACACGGCGAGTTACATGTGGCTTATTCATGAAAGTGATGTTACGCCGCCAAAGTTGTACCTTTTTATCCTTATATACCACTTACACATTAACTTAATCCATCTCAAGACATGAAGCTGGATGAAATTCAGCTCAAACAAGAACTCAAACCATTGATACATGGCGATAGTACGGTTGATGCGTCTGTGGACGAGCCAGATACGAACATAAAGGAAGAAGAATTGTGCAAGAAGGCATCTTTACCAGGTACATCTTACAGCTTACGCGTAGCTTGATAAATCCTCAATATCTTCTCGCATAGCTATTGATACGAGCCAACTGAATTACTACTATCAATGCCAGGTCTGTAATGAAATCATGTCGAGCCTAACAACCTATTTGAATCACCTTGCATCAGTGCACACAATCAGACACAGAAACAACACCATCAAGCATGTAGAGTTAGAGCCAGATATCTATAACCCCGGATTCTATTGCCAATCTTGTGAAAAAGCGTACGCAAACATGGACAAATATTGGTATCACCTCAAGTTTACACATTACATGGTATTGAAATCAACAGCATCACAAGCATTGACAGTCAACAAAGGTCGGCAGCCTGTTCCTCAAGATCCTGATTTCTATTGCAGAGTATGCAACATCAAGCATGCAGACAAGGAAGCCTATAACCAGCATCTGGGTACAGTGCACAACATATATCTAAGGAGCAGACGAGATCTCACTATCATGCCCGAGTGGGACAGCCCAAACAACTATTGCCGCGCTTGTCGATACAGTTACGCTGGAAAGTACAATTATCGCTTGCATTGCAGACGGGTGCACAATATGAAAGCACCTGTCAAAGTAGACAAGAGCAGCCTTCCTGATCTGCAAGATCCCAACAACTATTGCAAAGTGTGTGATTTTACTTACAAGACCAAGAAACTGTATCTATTTCACTGCAGTCGCTTACATCATATCAAACCCACCATCAAGGCCTCCGATAGCACACCAGACCCAAAAGATCCCAACAATCACTGCAGTTTATGCGATAAAACATACCTTCATATCGCTTCCTATCGCAAACACTTGATTACTGTGCACAAAATGACACATTTATCTTCCAGGTCACAGCGAAACATGATTCCAGATGTGGATGATCAGAATGGCTACTGTCGCGCTTGCGAAAAGACCTATTCATCTGTCCACTATTACAAAGTGCATGTCGCCACTTTTCATGCCGCTAGCAACGATCCACAACAACAAGCAGACCAAGTACCTGATGTGAATGACCCCAATTTCCACTGTCGCTCCTGCCAAAAGACGTTTCTTGATCAAAACAGATATCGCTCCCACCTTCGTGGTGCGCACAAAATGAGATTAAAATCCATGCGATCACTCAACGATGACCCCAATCTCCTTCCTGATCCGCTTGATCCCAGCTTTTATTGTCGTGTTTGCAAGACCACGTTAAAAACGATCAAGTTATTTCGCAGACATTGTAGACACACGCACCAAATGACGCTGGATCCCATACCTTTACCAAACCCTAATGCAGAGATTGATGTCAATAGCCCCGAGTGCTACTGCGCCAAGTGCGATATCTATATCAAAAGAATCTCAAACTTTAGAAGACATCTTCGAGTAAAGCATCAGCTTAAAATTGATCGCAAACGAGGCCGACCCTAAAGGCAGATGGCATTGCATCATTTCAGTCAATAAAGCAAAGTTTGTCTGATGGTGAATACATGTCCATGTTACCATCTAGTTTTGGTTGATTCACCCAGGATCACACACTGATCAAAATTAAATCTGCATGAACGGATTGCAGATACATGATAAAATTGCTAAAGTTGGCCCTATCCAATAGAGGGGCTTGTAAAGAAAAACACCCATTAAAATTTGGCGTTGTGTTTTTTTCAGGCAACGGGATACTTTTTCACTTGATACTATAAAATCATGGAACCAAAAATCAGGCGTGCTGTCATTCTCATACCTCGAGTGGTGGATATGGAAAACACGAGTGCTGATCATGTCGAAATTGCAGATTCAACTATGCAGACGGCAGGCTCTTCTTGTAGCGGCATCCTCAAACGAGAGCCAAGATCACGCACCACACTCTTGTCTGGAGAGCAAAGTACAAGCAGCTTTGACACGGACGATGGCGAGGCACGATTGGAAGAACCTTTCATTCCTAAAGACAGCATGGCATTTAGGCTGAAGCAGGAACATGTCGCAGCATACTACAACAATGACAGTGCCAACAAAGAAGACGCACTGGTCAAACAAAAAGAGCAGGAGATCCATGAGGAAAGCAGCGTAGATGAAGCAAAGGATTCCCTTATCAGGAAAGACAAGCAAACAGCTATTACCAAACAAGTGATTGATGACGAAAAGGACGACAGCGACGATGATAGCAATGCAAACGACTCGCAATCTACGTTCAAACAAGACAAGGACGCAATCTATCCAGATGATCAGGAAACGATGACCAACGAGTTTGTAATCAAACATGACACCATTGAAGTCGGAAAGGGTGAAATCACATTGCATCAAGAAACTCCTGGTAATCATCATTGAGTACATGGATAAAGAGTTGGGTGCTCACGTTTGCGTATCATAGGACAAACTTCAGATGCTACGAATGATCAGGGCTATATATACAAATGCGCCAAGTGTCCTCACAGAACCACTAATTTCATATTGCTGATGAAGCATCGCCAAACGGCTCACAATGGCCGAGGCTATGGAGGTACCAGCATCAAACACTTGCACCTGAACCCAGTTCTGAATGATCCCAACCACCACTGTCGAGCATGTGAAAGAAGATTCACAAATCTAAGCGGCTACAGGACTCATTTGAGATTGGTGCATCATATTCCAAGACTAGCAAAACATGACACGCAGCCAACAACGGGAGAGAGATCCACTGTAGCCGCTGCAAGCAAGCCAAGTGAAGCCAACCACTCGCGCACCATCAATGATCCTCAGACACCAAAGTTTAGATGTAGCTTCTGCAGCGTGCGTTTCGATTCCAGGCTGACTTTGACTCAACATCAAATAAACGACCACAAGAAACGAAGAAACAGTAAAACGGCACACTGCATTGACTGTAATACGCAATATAAAAGTACTCAAGAATGCAGTCGGCACAGACGTCAAGTCCACAATGCAGATGTCAGAAAGACCTCTGCGACTACGGCTGATATTGACACTGATACTATACCTGCTACCGCTAGTAAAACAGCCGGACCAAAAATTACATGCAAACTGTGCGGTATGGGGTTTGAGTCTACAACAGCGCATTTAATCCATTACAGTAATATGCACCGAGTCTACACCAAAAGAAGTGGGATAGACACTGAATCCTCTATTACCAGTACCCTGGAGCAACCATCACTAAAACGTCGCACTCGCCAAAAAACCAAGACTGTTCGATTCATGCTTCCTGATTCTGTTGCATCGTCGTCGTCGACCACCACCACCACCATCACCGCCACTAATACAGCGCCATTTCGATGCAAAAGCTGTGACATTCCATTCAATACTCGACCAGATCTGACACGACATCGTTGGTCTGTGCACCGTGATACCTTGGTAGCAGTACTCGACAAGGAAGAAGAGCACCAGGGTGCGTCTACTGCTGATGCTAAATATCGCTGCAGACGTTGCCTTGTGCAATGTGAATCTCGATCAGCTCTCACACACCATCTTTCGATTGTGCACAGCAACTTTGATTATTCAAAAAAGAGCGCCCAGTCACTTTCATCAACCAAACCAAAAACGAATCTCCAATGCAATGCTTGCTCTGCTGAATTTGATAGTCGCTCGGCTTTGGCGATACATCTGTGGGCTGTACACCCTAAAAGCATGCGAAAAGCAAGCAAGTCATCCGCTGCTGGTGGCGAGCAAACGATAGAGGAGCTTCAAGTAGGTGATATGAATACCGCAAAGCAAGATGGCCAGAGCAATTACTGCAGTTTATGCAAGAAAAAATACAAGAATTGGCATTCTTACCGATCACACGTGTACAGTAAACACAGAAAAAGTAATGCAGAAAGAACACACAGCCCACAGTCCAATGAAAATGACACACCTAGCTCAAGTCGCTCGAAACCGCCAGCTTCTTCTGTCGCCAGTCCTCTTCTGCCAGACATCAATGACCCTAACTTTTATTGTCATGTGTGTGACAAAACTTTGCGAACCGAGTCTAGTTTCCTTGGCCATTTGCTTGTCACTCACTCAAACTATCCTTCAGATCCATGCCAGCAGCAGCAGCAGCAGCAGCCAACAACAACAGCAACAAGGAAAAGAACTGCCGCCGTGCTAGATGTGGATGACCCCAATAATTATTGCGCATTCTGTGAACGTACATTCTTAAGCCAGGACATCTTTTACCAACACTTGCGTTCACAACATCACATCAAGCGAAGACTGGACACAACATCTGTCATCTTCACTGCCTCCAATCACAGCTCAGATGCATCATCCTCTAAGGGTAGGCATTTTTGCACCGTCTGTCATCAGAGACAAGCTACCCTGGGTCAGCATCGTCAGCACTTGCGGCTTGCCCATAAAGTGAAGCTGCCTCCTGTCAGCAAACAGGTAGTAGCCCAATTCAGGTACCCAAATGAGTTTATCGATATTGAAAGCCCGGATTTGTATTGCGCTCAGTGCGATCATTACTTTAGCACTAAAATGTTCTTTAACCAGCACATTGAAGGTGTTCATAGGATGTCGCTGTTGGCCTAGCTATCATGTATATTGATATGAATCTGCTCATATAAAGTATAAGGCTATTGTATGTTAAAGAAAAAAAAAGTATTTGCTATTAAAAAGGTTTTAGTATTATTGCATGATAGATGTCTGTGATTGATTTGATGACCTGCAAAGTGCAACTCACTAGGAATGAGCCATACTTTTTTTTTTTTTTCGTCCACTCCTTGAGTTACTATAACAATGACAACAGGGGGAGCCCACATGGCGTTCTTGCTGTTGATATTTCTAGCCTTTCCGATGATGCCGCAATATTATTGGCCTTGGCAGATTCATCCTCCTGCAGAGACACATCAGCAGCAATAAGACCTTAATCTTGAATGCGGGATAATTGTGTTAGCCTTGAACCAGTTGACGAGGACGTGCGACGTAAGAGCTCATAGACCACTAGCTGCCAGGAATAGACAACAGAGATAATCCAGAAGAGAATGTCCTTCCTAGTAGATTTGACGGAGAAACATTTGTCAGAATTGAAATCCACTTTCAGGGACAACAAAAGGTCATAGGCTACCATAATTCAGGAACCAGGATATATAGATTAGCCATTTGATGGCACCACTCATGTTTCTTTGCACTACTGTCTGAATAAAGAGATCTCCATATACCGCACATCTCTGCTTCTGTTTGATCCTTCTTATGTATTATTATGCAACGTATAATACCTTTGCCTTTCAGAGAGGATCTATACCCTAAACGCTTTTCTATTAACTATATTTGAAAATTTGACTACAACTGACATTTATTTTCGGCAGTGTAGCTCCATAAAACCGTTTAAACCCGAGTTTATTACAATCTGTTGATGTGGCCTTTTTTGTGTCATAAGATTTGTAGTAGGTATCATGAGCCTATGTTCGCTCGACTTTTGATAAAAGATTTCGTTATTTGTTCTCCCTGATCGTGCTGACACCGATTCAGCCTGTCCAATTTCAACCATTTCTCATTAATTATGAGCGTTGTTCAACATTGTGGATAGACTTCAAGTCTAGTTTTACGGCTACTAGATATGGCATCTCTGCTGTAGATGACCATCAAGAGTATTCTGCTGACCTAATAAGCACCTGATCCAATCCATGCAAGTCATTAGATTAAAGTTTGAATAATAATACCATTGGCGCTCAAGATATAAAATTACAGTAATCATCGCGCATTTTAAAACAAAAGATCTCTTCATTAGAATCAGAATAAACGCGTCTATCACTAAGAAAACTAAGTTTATTACGCAGTAGAGCATCTGGGTCATTAGACAGAACTTTAATATACTTACACCTTTGGCAACACAACCTACCACGCCCTCTTTTTAGGTCGAATCTTGTTCAAAGCTAGTCGTTTTCAAGCAGGAATAACTCATGCTACAAAGCGCTTTGGGCGCTTGGAATAGCACCAAACGATCCCTCTTGGCTGCGCTTTATTTACAGATGCTTTATCTCAATTTTTTTTTGGGTCATTGCAAATTCATAAAAATCCTCATTTTCACATGAGTACTAGCAAGGGAAAATTCTTGAAAATCAAACGATTGCGTTTTTCACCCAAAAAATGAAGACTTTTTCTATGATATATATTAGATCAAACTGGCTGTAAAGATGATATGCAACTTTGGAAGCTACGTTTTTGAGACTTTCATATGCTAAATTCTGATATTTCTGCAGAAAACCTGTTTTCATATTTTTGCGAATTGCTCGTTGTTTTTAGTCTAAAGGCTGTACATAATTAGCATCATTCGATGCGCCTTTTTTGACTGTTTATAAATGCATTAGAATGTAAAGTATAACAACAACAATTTTCATGATCAAATTTAGCAAAAGCGTTTAAAGGATGTGAGATCAAGTCAAATTTGAACACGAAAATATACACTGCTGCACAATTGCAAATTAAAGTGCAGCAGTTACGGCTGCCACGGCAGAAGACTGAGTGTAATGAAATAACCACCCAAACGCAACTTGATTGAGAACCGAAATCCACCAAATAGCACTCATTCAAATTCATGCTATTTGGATCTATTAGTAAAAGCGCTCAAATGTACATCAACAACTATTTAAACATACGAAAGTAAAGATACACGCTTATATCGCGCATCGTGTGGTTGAATCACTCCTGATCACAGTGTATTCAATCACACCCATGATGGTCATAATAAGTGATGGTATTTTCATCCAAATAAAATCAAATCAATAACAAGCATATTCAAATATGGCAACTATGCCCTGCTGCCATAGTTGCACAATATCCCAGATAAAGGGTTCCATACTTCAATAACAAACATCACACTTTAAACCATCAAGGTTACATTAAATCATGCTATGACAATACCTCACCCAAGCCCATCAAGGTTACTGAAATCGACCCTTACGGCCAGTGCTCTTGCATTGATTACCACTTTAAATCAAACATCAACAACATTTGCCAGATATCGCAATAGCAGCACCTATTGCTCTCTAACATCGCTAATCCTACAAGCTAGTTGCAAATGTATAAATACTCTTCTTTTTTTTTTTTTTTTTACTCAATTCCAGGATCTTCAGTTCATTTTATACACAAATAAAATACAGTTAATCTCTATTGTATTTTACTATTGCTTTATTTTTTTTTTGTGAAATCTATTTAAACCTGATGTCACTACAATACCCTTATAGTAGTATGTTCTTTTCTTCTTTTTAATATTTTCTGTTTCTTTGAAGCATACCTTTTTTACGTTGTGTGGATGTGCCTATCCCTGAAGCTCAACAAGACTTTATCCGAGGCTAGGAGGTAGATAGGCTGCCTCCACTTGGTTATCGCTACTTACTTTAGTGATGATTGAGAGTCTCAACGCCAGAATTTAAAACTAGGTGGTGTAAGTAAGGCATGTTCTAGCACCTGAGGGAAACTTGATGATAGTAACGGCTGTATTGCTATATATAGCGGAGCTTAAAGTTTTGACTCACATCAAAACAGGGGGAAACCCTCACAAAAGAAGATTTGAGTTAGCGGAGTTTTCAAGCGTTTTGATTGGCTCAGGGGTCCAAACGGCGAAGGGTTACAAATAGTAGATTTCCTATTGATCTGTCTGTGGAATTTGAGGCTTTACAGACTAAAATTCACGGAAAAAAAAGAATAAAAAAACAGTAGTGTCAACTTGATAAAGGTATATTTTATTATCAAACTGACAGGTGTAAAGTAAACTGAAGTCTCTCTACTGGCCAGGTAGATGATCCTTCTTATATACTATAACAATGGATAAAAGTTCTATTAATTAGATTGACAAATAAGTCAACTCAGATCAACTAATGTCTAATCATGCTAAAAGACAATTCCAGCAAGCTAATCATGATTTAGCTCTGTCTGGATGAATAATTAGACTCTCATCCGAAGTACCCTGATCTATCCTTTCCATAAGGATAATTAATATCGATCTAGTAGCATGTATCCGATAGGTACAGTCTTCTTAGTCTATATTAATAGTACATATCTGAGTGTATATCGCTAAGCATACATCTTTAGCATGTATCTGGATATATGGCATGTCTATAGCATATCGTATGCATGTCTATAGCATGTCTCATATATAGTACAAGTCTGTAGTACATAAAGTATCTGTAGCTAGTATCACGGATATAAGCATGTGTCTTATAGCGTGGATCATGAAGTGCACATCTGAAGCAACAAGCTCATATTGCATTAATCTTGGTGCCTATCCAGATATGGTAAACATCCGTAGTCAATGTCGGAATACAAGTATAAGTCTATAGTGCCATCCATGTCCGTGGTGCCATCTATAGCCTATATCTTATATAGTATGAATCTTATAGTACTAGCGTATCTGAAGTCCATATCTTCTCATGATCATAGTATAAATCGATATCGTACATCTAATCCAGTGTACATACAGTTTATATCTAAATCTGGTAACTGGATGAACTGTCGGAATGCAGATCATAGTGGATGTATTCCACACTGTCATTTCATACCATGATTTTGTGTTTGTAATAAAAGGGTATCCAAACAGTTGCAATGTAAAGCCTTTATTGAAAGGTAATAAGAAAAGATGCGATTATTTAATCTGCTGTAATGATTCAAGTGACAAATGTTTCAATCATATGGATTGAAACGTTACTATAGTATATATATAAATAGTCTTCATTTTTGACAGCAGGTAATTGAACGATAGTGAAGATATCTGCCATTACACTCCTTATGCATTTACCACAATAAATCCGTCACTTGATCCTAATACTTCTTGTCCCATAATATTCACATTTATTATACGACAAGTATTAACCAAGATTAAGGACCTACAAATAGTAACACCAATCTCATTCACCCATTCCTAGTACATCTATCTGCCTTCTACAAGAAGATCATTATACTCTATTACATCTGGCATTCACTGCACAACAATGTGGAGTGAGGAATGATGTCTTTTAGATTTATCAGGCGCTGGAAAAGTTATATACATACTACTTAAACAACACAGTGTTGTTTAAATTGTCACTACGGCAGTGTTTATTAAGGTAATTGCAAGAGCTGCTGCATTGGGAGACTTTATTAGTTAACCTACCACTCAGTTTACCATTTCCTCCATTTGAATTATCAGGAGCTATGAGCTTGCTTCATTTTTCAGATGGATGTTTTTATGCTAGTAAAAAAAAGTAGTCAAGTACCCTGTCTCGGTAGACTCAACAACTAGTACTGAGAACACTTTGGCCGATAACGCTTCGCTGCATAAGCCTTGTGTTCTCTTGCTTGCTGGATAATGTATGCAATAGATTTAATGAATACGTGCGATAGAGGAACATATATTCTACATCCAATAGTTTAAAATTGACTCCACCTCTTGTATATTTCAATTATAGTAGTCTTTGACATCTTATCTCGATGTCAAACCCATTTGCAGTAGTGCAGCAGCAATAGTACTCAATGTGTTTGACTTGTTTAGACGATGCGCATCAATCGGTGGTTTCTCTGATACTGTCATTGCAACTAACACTTTACACAGAAGTTTCGTTCCAATGCATTAAGAAGCATCAATGCGGATTTTCAAGCGTAGTGCATTTGTCCATGGCATGTCTCTTATCACGGCTATCACTATTGTTGATATTCTCAACTAAAGTAGTACCACTATTACTATTCTAAAACACCCCCCCCCCCCTCCTTGTTGCTTTCAAGTGAAGAAGTACGCAAAATTTATTTGATTTAATCAAAAATGGCATTCTCAGGACCAAACGACTCTTCAGGTTTACTAATGACAGAAGAACAGCATGTTGTTAGTCAAGACTTGCTTGAAAAAAAACAAAACAAAGCAAAGCAACTTACCATGTACGCACAGGATGCTTGAGACCCAGAGCAGTAATAGCTTCAATGTCCTTCTCGTCCATCTTAAAATAAGTGAGATTGTCTCTAATACGACTAGGAGTGACACTCTTGGGAATAACACAGTAACCACGATTCACACCCCAATTCAGAAGCACTTGGACAGGCGTCTTGCTGTATTTCTTTGCTATCTCAGCGACGCCGGGTTCATCCAAGGTTTTGACAACGCCAGGCTTATATCCAGGATTGCCAAGAGGAGAATAGGCGGTCAACACAATGTTCTTACTCTTGCAGTAGGCCAGCAATTCCTCTTGAGGCAAAGAAGGATGAATTTCAACTTGATTCATGGCAGGAGGAATTTCGCATTTGCTCAGTAAATCTTCCAGCATCGGGATGGTAAAGTTGGAGACGCCAATGGAACGGGCTTTACCGTCCTTGACAAGCTTCTCCATAGCACGCCATGTATCAATGATGGGCACATGGGTGACAGATGCGTTCTTACTAGACTTACACTCAGAGAATTCATAGCCCTTGAATTCCCAAGACATGGGCCAGTGGATCAAGTAGAGATCGACATAGTCCATTTGCAAGTTCTTAAGCGAGCGTTCAAAGACAGGACCTACATGTTGAGGTTCATGGAAATTGCCCCAGAGCTTGGTAGTGATGAAAAGCTCCTCTCTCTTGACATTGCTTTCCTTGATAGCATTACCAACTGCTTCTTCAGTTCGATCTAATCATCAACATCATGACGCGTTATTTCAGTTGGCACAGCTGCATGAATTGCGCTTGTCTGCTCTCACTTACAGATATATGCTGTATCAATGTGCTTGTAACCCTCCTCCAAAGCAACCTTGACAGCATCATAGACTTCCTTGGGGCCATTGTTGCCGCCGAATGTACCGTAACCGATCAAAGGTACATCGTAACCACTGTTGAGCTATGCCAACTGTATCAGCCATGGGCGATCCAAGTTATCATTTGTTTTGCAAATTTACCTTGACTGTAGGAATAGTAGACATTTTATTTTATGAATGAAATGAGACAAAAAAAAAAAAAAGAAAAGAGGCAGCATTTGCAACTAGACCTCGCAATGCATTTATATGTACTAAATCTCTGTCCATCCATGCGTTGTCATTGTATTACTAATGTGACTCTTGTGTATGTGTCGGTATTGATCAACAATGATGATAATTGATTAGCAAAGAGAGAACCCCATTTTAGCCCGCGGACACTATTTAACCGGCACTACCATTCAACTTGCAAGCTATATCTTAACGCCAGTTGTTTGCTTCCTTATTCCTAGATTTCATCTCACGTTCGTATTCGATAGCTTCTTCTACCAACTTTCTGTTCTTGGCGGTACTGATCTGCCTAGTCAATCGCGTGTAACTTGTATCTGGCTTCTTTCTGACATCAATTAGAGCAGATTTCTGTTTCTGCTTCTTTCTACTTCCTCCAGTTGTTGCTGATTCCCGCTTCCTTCCTCTGCTGTTGGCTATTGTTTCATGGCCAGATTGCCCCATGACATCATTTTCCAGTACTTGCCACAGATTGTTCATGATAGCAGCATCTGGTTTGCGACTTGCCATTTGACCTGTATATTCCTCGTTCGGATCTACAGGTGCCATGGCACCAGATGTGGATGCAAGCACATCTTCCGGGTTGAGGGGTCTTCCGAGGTCGTCTCTGGGTATTATCTTGCCATGGAAAGGACATGTTACCAAATCTTTCCGAGGACAAAGTCCACCGTTGTGCAAAGGATGTCGGCATGCCTGCGATAAACAACATGAGATTCTGTCAATCTTGTGCGACTCACACATATGAGATACAGACCTGGATCTCTTTGGGTGCCTCGGATTTGTAGTAGATGGGCCGCTTTCGAAGTTCTTCCAACAAATGCTCTGGCATTTCATTTGTACCTTCACCCGTTCCCATGAATCGATGGCTCTTTTCAATGCCACTCGTGTTGAATTGAACGTTTGTCTTGTCCCAATAATATAAATCCTCTCCCCACTAGGTATCACACATGGTGTTAGGCTTAAATTTCGTTTGCGGATGCTGCAATCCCGTTTATGAATCTTACCTCGACGACGGGTGCACGCTTATATAACTCTTATTTTTCACCATTGTGTAAGTCATTTCTCAACAGATGGCAGATAGCTTGAATGCACTCACCTTCTTTCTCGGGATTCGCCTTTTGCTTCCCCTTATCTTTTGGTACATTCACAGTATCTTCTATCAGAGATGGCGGTCCCTTGTATGTCGCATCTTCCATCATGGCGGGGTCATACGATAGAGGAAACAAACGCTGCAAGGGCGGTAATTTGGAGCCGCTCACGGTACGTTTATCTCGTTCCTCTGCATTGATCTTGTCCACATTGACATCTTCAAACAACTCATCGCCAAATTCGTCATCCTCCTCCTCCTCCTCCATATGAGACGTGTCAATTCGCTTGACTGGTTTGTGCGTTGGCTCGATTTTTAGTAGTTTGGCTTTTCGAATCGCTTCAGATGCTTCTCCTTTCAAATTGATGACTTGTTTGATCCACTTTTCCTTTTCAGCCTTGTCCTACGGGTATTGATGAGTACACACACAATAACGAGTGCAGTAGCATGATCAATTTCGATATTTACTGCCAGATCCATTTTGACAAGCGTGTTGATCCATTGATTCAGCTGGTTGATATGTTTTGTTTCCAACAGGGTATATGCTTCTCTCAATTGATCAAATACAATCTTGTTGTCTTGAGTTTCTTCAACATCCTCCATCAATGACTCTTCTGACATGTCAATTGTGATCTGGTATCGGTTGGATCCCAATCCATGCGACAAAATGCTCTACATATAAACACGGGTGAGTTGAGCTGCATTTGATGCCACTGAATCCGAATCACTTGCATCCTTGTAATTCTCTGCTGCGGACGGGTCACTGTTACTTGCTTCACCTCGTAACAACGCATCAAAATCTAGATCCTCGCCTTGAAAGACGTTTTTTGGTATTAAAATCTCAAAACACCCTTCCATGTTGGTCAAGTTGTCCTTGATAATGTCTAAATGGTCGTTCATGTCCGCTTTCAAAATCTCGAATCGATTGAACTGAATCGCTTTTCTTCTGGCCTTTTTTTTTTTTTTTTTTTTTTTTTTTTTGTTACATGATTTAGATACATCAACTCTCTTCGGCATACTTACATCTGTATTCGATTTGTTTCTCTCATCCATGTGAATTGTAGTCAGTGATCCAGTTTCTCGATCCAGAAAGCCATTATCCAGCAAGAAATCGTACGCAATGCCCAGTTGCCGATATCTCTCGCCGTACTTTGTAAACCACGCTTTAATCAATGCAATGGCATAGTCCTTCAGCTTTGTGGCTACTGGAGCAGGTGGAGGTAATTTCTTGCCTTGGATGCCAACAGTCAGTTGAGTAAACAGTGGAAAATCTTCAGTCAGCAGGTCTCGAAAGTACTTTGAGCGATCAAATAATTGCTCAGTCAGTTGCACGCATGAATATCGTATCTTTTTCTGCCAGTGTTAATGGAGATGGATCTTTTCATGCAAGCTCTAGTCATTCTAGTTTACCTGAGCATGCTTTTTTCTCAATTGTGCCATGATAAACTCAAACGCGACTTGTACAAGGGCATCGGATCGTTTGCATATAGATTTCAGGTTCTTTTTCATGCCATGTTATTCACGATGCAACTCTCTACAAACAACTGTGCTAATCACCTTTAACTTTTGTGCATCCAGCACCCACTCTCCAGTCTCTGTAAGGTCCTTGATCAACCTTCCAATGTTTTCTCTGACATCCACTTCCATTTGGTTCTATTTTATATATATATGTATATATATATATATTCACAAAAAAAAAAAAAAAAAAAAAAAAAGAAAAAGAGAGAGAAAGAGAAAGAGAAAGAAAGGCATGAAATAAAAAAAAGCTTCCGCAGTCTACATTTATTTAAGCAATTCTAACCCATGATATACTTTTTCGTACACTGTAAACACAATACCGCCTGAAAAGATCAATCGAGTCAGTCGAGGTGTGGTTCCCTTCCATAGCGAAAGGATGCCATTTTGCTTGACAACTTGCACCAGGCAATCAAACGAGTTCTTGTAGAGTGTTCTGGCATCTAAACCTTGCATACGAGTTTTGACGACATCCAGCGGCATGGTCGTATACACTGTGACAATACCTGCCATGGCACCAGCAGCAAATGTATGTGCAGTAGGTAACGCTTCATCACCTTGTCCTCGCCATTGCTGTAGCGCTGTCTTGAAGTAAGAATACGAGGTGAATCGAACAGCACTGTTGGCACCTTGTCTTGCCATCACAGGCCCTACACCACGGTATATACCACCCAATCCTTCTTCCGCCACAATGAGCTTGGTGCCATGCACAAGACCCTTATAGCGAGGTGCAGCACTGTTTCTATCATGAATCAATTTGGTCTTGATGGTCTCGGAAGGGGTGACCACCAGCGCTGCCTCTGTCATACCCGCACCTAATCCTGCCAACATGCTTCTGACGCCAGATAATTTACCGTCCTTGTCTCTCAGGGCGTTGGCGATTTGATCGTATGTCAAGAAACGTACGCCTGCTTTGGCTGCATTGCCAATCGCCAATGCAGATACACCCGTGTAGATGGCACCGAATCCATGCGTTCGAACGGTTTTGACAAGGCAATCAATGGGTCCTTTGAATTTGATCTCGCCTGCCTGTAGTTTGCCACCAGCTTGCAATTGAAGTCGAGTTTTCACGTATTCGGTGGGATAAGTAGCGATGCCTTCTACACCACCAGCGACCGTGCCTGATAGAAGAGAGAGAACGGGGTCCTTTTTAGCTTTTGTGTTGGACATGATGCCTAGTTGAATGTTGCAAGAGAGAAAGAGAAAAAGAAAGAGCACGAACAACAGACTATTATATTGGTCTTGAATCAACATCTCATCTGTATTGCCCTTTTTAGACAAGCCAGTAACACATAGATCTATACAGCATAAATGGGTCATTATCCATCAAATCTGATTGCTGCTCATGCCTATCAAGATGGAACAACTGGACGACCGTATGTTGGTATCTATCCGGAGCTCATATAAGCTGATTTCCTTTTGGCAAAAGAGGCCAATTCTACTGAAATCACACTTGATATAGACAGCCTGGCATGACACTGATGGATGCTGGATTGCGATGGGACACACACACAGACACACAGACACACAGACACACAGACACACATACACACATACACAGAAGGCATGCAATCTATTGACATGGCCAGCCGCTTGTAGAGCATCTCATGTTGCCATGCACTGTACTCTGCTAAACCCCTTTGCAAGCATAGCTGTGATCGATACCCATCTCTCAGGCCAATGAGCAATGTGTTGTTGGCATGCTCATCTCCGCTTTCAAAAGCAAAGCAAAAACTTTTTGTTGCTTTTTCTTTCACTTTTTTTTTGTACGCCTGCCAAATCAACATTGACATGGGCTATCAACGAGCAACCGACTACGAGATTGCAGCTGCTATTACCATTGGCATTGAAGCAAAAGATGTGATATATAAGCAATCGATTCAACGTCGATTGTGGGGTCGTCTGGTAGGACACAAAAGAAGCGCATGAAAACTTTTACCAACACACACACACACACACACACACTCTGCTTAGGTGTCTCAAGGTGATCGCTACCAGTGGAACTTGCACGGTAGATCCGTTGTTATTCACATCAATCGACTTGCTGGCAATTCTAAATGCATGAAAGTGGCTCGAGATACCACGCATTTCGAATTTGCCCTGATGCGCTCCCATTGGCAACGATCGCAGGAAGATGAAAAAGATCTATATGTTACCAGTTTGACAGACATGATGCGTACGTTGCGTGTGTGCTAATACATCTTGAGGAGCTTTTTTTTTTTTTTTTAATCAACATGGATTTGTGTAGGCAGTTCGTTTGAGAATTCAGAGGCGTATCGCAAATTGGGCATCCCGGTAGCCAAGTCCATCTTGATCCATGGTGTATCTGGTGTAGGAAAATCTCGATTAGTGCAGTAAGACTCTATATACAGTGTGCAAAAAATCAAAGCAGTGATTTAACCCCCCTCCCCATACATCAAGGTGTGCTAGCGACTTGCTTGCAAGCATCGTCTATGAAATCTCTATACACGACCTACTTGCATTCAACGATGAAGAATACAATGCACCTGAATTCATCAACTACAACCCGTTCAGTCTACTGCTGGAAAAAGCGAAAAGCAACGCACCCTCCGCATTGGTCATTCGCCATTTAGATGCACTGCTCGTGGGAGACAAGACGAGCAAGATTTTGGACATCATCTCAAAAGGCTTAGATAGCATAGAGGACACTACACCAGTGTGTATTGTTGGCCTTGCTCGCAATCTGAGAGCCTTGCCAGAGTCATTGCGCAAAACAGACATATTCAGACAGCATATGACTCTGCCTATACCCACACTGTAAGTGTACTTTTATTTATTGCCAATAGGATACTCACTGCGCTGTGTTCATTAGCCCTCAACGAAAAGCTTTATTACACACATTCCTCAAAGATCTTGGTTTGAAGCCGATAAGGGATACAACGCATGTGCTTGATGACTATGCAACACAGATCAGCATGGTATGTTTTGCGGATGAAATGCAGCGATGCAATCACACTGACTCCCTACTTGCGTGATGATATAGAGAACCTCAGGTTATGTGGCAAGAGACTTGAAATTACTCGTACGACAAGCCAAATTGAAAGCAATGCGGTCAGATAGACAAAGCATGGATATTTCAGACCAATTACAACAACTATCGCTCTCGTCGTCATCTTGCAAGATTCAAATGGTATGGTCAGACTTTGAATACGCACTCGACACGTATCGACCATCACAACGGGCCGAGGTGGAGTCAACATTGCCCAAACGAGACTGGGACGATATGGGAGGCTATGCCACTATCAAAGATCGCATGACACAAGCTGTTTTATTACCGTTGCTGCAACCACATGTATTCACAAAACTGGGCATCAAACCTCCTTCAGGGCTGTTGTTGTATGGACCTTCTGGATGTGGTAAAACGGCACTTGTACAAGCGCTGGTTTCTGAATCCATGATGAATGTTATATCCATCAAAGGGTAAGTAGTGGAACACACACACACACTCACACACACACTCATACGCTCATTAAACCAATAGACCCGAGATTTTTTCCAAATACCTGGGTGAAACTGAAAACAAGGTACGAAAGTTGTTTGCTACGGCCAAACGTATTGCACCCTGCATTGTCTTTATTGATGAAATGGACGCTATTGGCACTAAAAGAGGGTTTGATCTGGGCGATAGCGGTAGTGGCGGTGTCAATGAACGTGTGCTCAGTACATTGCTGAATGAAATGGATGGCGTGGAAGGACGACAAGGTGTTGTGGTGATTGGATGTACCAATAGGCCAGATCAGATTGATGATGCTCTACTTCGACCTGGAAGATTGGATCAGCTTGTTTATGTGGGACTGCCTAGCTTGGAAGATCGCATTGATATTATACGAACCCTATTGAAAAAGATCTCGACGCAGGGTGTGGATATAAATGACTTGGCATCTCAAACTGAATTTTGCTCTGGAGCAGATTTGGAAAACTTGTTTCGGTAAGTGTGTGTGTGTAAGTGGTTTGATGAGGGGGGATGTGTAGGTTCATTAACCCGTTGTTTCAAAAATGCAACAGTGAAGCAGGCACGGCAGCGCTCAGAAAGGACTTGAATGCGCAATACATCACGCCAGACGACATTGCATCTGTCATCATACCCATCTGTGAGCGAGCAGAGAATCAGATTTTGCAGGGAAGACTTGACATGTACGAAAAGTTTTTGCATGATCACAGCTTATAGCTGTAGATGCAAATTTAAAATTAAAATTGGCTGTGTAACAAACTACACGTGCAGTAATAAATAAACCCTTTCTTTGTCTGTTTCGCTTTTTTTTTTCCTCTTCTTTCACTCCTTGATTTTATTACTATGCTTTCTTCTGCTTCGACTACACCAGCCGCAGCAGAAGACCCTTCTGCCAAGAGATCAGAGTCTACCGATAATACAGATACCCAAGTGATTTCGAAATTAACAAATGTCGATGTAAGCATCTAGAGCATTGGCTGTGCCTTGATACCGAAACAGGTCCATTAACATGGTTCTCCTTTCAAGGGTGGATTTCAATGTCTATTAGATAAAGTCAAGCACGATATGCAAGCAGCCAAAGTAAGCACTGCAGTGCAATGCCAAGGTGAAATCAAGTGACTAACACGAGCAAACAACAACAGGATGTAGCCACGTTTCTGAAAAAGAGAGCCATCATTGAGGAAGAGTATGGCAAACAAATGATCAAGTTGGCTCAATCCATGACCGAATTATACGATAAAAGCCATTGCAAGCCAAGGTGAGCTGATGCCGCACGGGTGATTGTCTTTGTCGATACTGATACCATGTAAGCAGCACTTATGGCACAGTGTGGACTCAATTCCTCAAAGTGCATGAAACCATTGGAGATCAGCGAGTGAAATTTTCAAGTGATATTGCAGAGGTAGCTGACGACGTGCAGATCATGTGTAAAGATACCGAAAAGAGCAGAAAGCAAGTAAAGGAAATAGGGATCCGACATGAACGAAATCGTCTAGACGCTGAAAGCTCATTAGAAAAGGTAAACCTTCCACATAAAAGGAGGAGACATCAGACATACTAATGGCTCCAAAATACCAATTTAGAGCAAACAAAAGTATGACATGTTGAGTGAAGATTGGGAAAGAGCGATATTAGCGAGAAATAGTAACGATTCAGACCATTTACCAAAGAAAGGTGGGCTTTTTAAAAGCAACAAGACACCAGCCCAAGTAAGGAGTCTACTGTTATCTCATATATATATATATATATATATATATACTAACAAGCCATCTTACTATCAGCTAAAGAAACAAGTGGATGAATCATGCGTCAAAGCGAATCATGCTCAAACAACTTACAAAAATCAACTCGTAACAACCAATGCAACTCGACAAGACTACTACCAAACACAACTCCCCTCTGATCTAGTAACATTAAAAAGTGTGGATGATGAATGCTGCACAGCGATTCGATACCAATTGGCTCGTTATGCCTACCTATTTGAGGAATCGCTTACCAGGGATGGATTAGCGCTGGACAATGATGAGGGACAAGGCTTGCGATCCTTGACAGAAAAGATCGATTATCAAACAGACATTTCAGAGGTGGTCAAGGAATACACTAGCAAGGCACACAAAGTGAAGAAAGAAGATATACCCTATAAAGAATATCCCATGTCAGCTACTGCATTGAACGTATTAAAGCCGAACCCTGTGTTTGGTGTGGATTTGACACAACTGATGCAAAGAGACGGTCAAGAGGTCCCTGCTGTGGTCATTAAATGTGCAGAGGCGGTGGAAGCCACTGGACTCAAGACAGTGGGGCTGTATCGTGTGTCAGGTACCAGTACGCAAATTCAGCGATTGAAGAGTGCGTTTGATAGAAGTAAGTGTGCATCGTTGCCACATGGATATACAAGACTGATGTGATTTGCTTTAGATTGCGCTGCCGTGGATTTGACGTCTGATGAAAACAATGCCGATGTCAACAATATCACCAGCTTGCTCAAACTTTGGTTCAGAGAATTACCAGACCCCTTATTCCCTCAATCATCATACCAGCATTTCATGAACGCAGCTAGAATTGAAAACGACAGAATGAGAGTGCTCGGTCTACACACCATCATCAATGATTTGCCAGACGCACATTATGCAACATTGAAATATATCATGTGTCACCTTGACAAGTAAGTTACAATGGTTGCCATGTTACATGCCACTCATTACATGATAGGGTTCAACAATTGCAAGAGTTCAATAAAATGACAACAGCCAATTTATCGACCATCTTTGGCATGACACTGATGGGTGGAGATCAGGGCAGCAATCAATCCACCGTCTCTTCGCAGCAGGACAACCAAAGACTTGCTGACACACATTGGCATGTCAAGGTGGTTCAAACCATCTTGGAAAACTATCGCTTAATCTTTGAGCCTGACGAAGAGCAATGAGCTCGGTCCTTTATGTATAACGTTTTAATATCTTAATCATCATCATCTTGAAATAAATTGTAAATCAACAAGTTTAAAAAAGAACTGTGTTGCTTGTGAGCGAGGAATTTTTTTATGGGGGCGCACAGAAATAGAACCACAAAAAGATAATTGTGTTCCTTTTTTCTTGCTTTTCTTTTCCTTTCATATATACAAAATCCATTCTTTAGCATGGTAGGTAGCACTTCTTCTTGATCATGCAATGCGTCCATAATGACCAACATGTGCATGGACCTAGGGAAACTGCTGTGGTTCAGAGAGTCAAGAAGCTGAAAGCCATCAAATTAAACCCATCAAGAACACCAACAAAGCAAAGGGTGCAGGACAGACATTAGGTGGCGGTGGTGGTGCATCTGCTTCGCCATCCAACATTGATAGTGAGGGATCCAGAGAAGCTATGCTGAGCGCAGCCGAGAAAAGAAGAGTTCAGGTACGTTCTTTCAATTGTTTGGTGCGTTGTGTTTATTTATTTACACATTGTTGAATCAGGCTGAGAATCGAGGCGTAAAAGAAGGTGGAAAGCTAAGCAAACAGTTGGCTGATGAAAAGAAGCAAAAGAATCAGCCTGTATCGCCAAGGAATGGAGCGGATGATCGGCTTGTTGTAAGTTGTCTGCATGTGTATATACGTGATGGTAACTGATAGCAACTATAGTGGGATTAAAACACAACATGCCTATCAATGCAACCCCATTTTTTCGACCCCACACACACACACACACACACACACACACACACACACACACACACACACCATGCCAACGCTTTGTACAATACGAATACCTCTCCTCAACCATCATCGACGATACTTACACAATAAATAATTTAATCTTGCAACAACACTGTAATGAGAGAAACTGGATATTTTTTTTTTTTTACTGTTTGCTCTATTTGCGTATTGTAAAGGTCAATGCCCAATGGGTAACTGGTGATATACATGGACTGATGGGGATGAGGCGTATGCGTGCTAATGAGAGAGGAGGCATCAGCTTCTGTCAACGGGTTTCAGTTCCATTCAATAGGTGTTTCTACAATGGAGTCGGTAGAGACTTGTCGACAGTAGTGTGCGTTTGCAGACATGGCAAAAGAAGCCAGGGTTGTTGGGATTAGGAAGTAGTAGGCCATCTTCATCTTAAGCGGCGGGAGAGGGGATGATTTTGACTTGCAGAAGGCGCGGGCTGTTGTAGGTACGATTCACATTGCTGGTCTGTATAGCCAACGCGTTGCTATCGCTGGAAACGATACGGGTGTTTCTCTTTGCTATGATGGAGTGCTTGTTGGTTAAATGAGTAACAAAGTTGCACGTTTGTCCAAATGCTCGGTCACATTTTGCATGATACAGATCAGCATTGTCAACATTGATAACAGCATCTGGATAGAAAACCTTGAATTTTTGCCATTATTCACAAAGTAAATCACTTGGCAACGACGACGCTACCATGATACATTCAAACGTTTACATACACTGCAATAATGATTGGGATTGTCCAATATAGTGATAGGCAGAAAGTCTTGAATTGATATCTGAGTAATAGTTTAGCTTTATACATGGTAGTCGATTGTATACGTGATTGTTTAGCCAAAGATAGCCTCTGATTTGAGACTACTCTCTTGTTTTACCATTGTAATAGCAGTGTCTTTGAATTGTCGATCACTACCTTGGCTTGAGTTGGCGTCTTGTGGAAATTGCATTTGAAAGAGTAATTTGTCTTCGTCTTTTTAATCGATTTGGGATGGATACCCATCATAGGGATCCTTTCTGGTTTGATAGCACTTCTACTACCAGCGCGTCATTTTGTACCAACCAACATTGGTACATCTTTTCTAATCCCATGTTGTTATATATCACATCAACAAAGGTTGATACATACTCTAAAAGACAATATTGGTACAAATAATTAAAACCAGTGCTGATACGTGCCATATAAAGCAACGTTAGTACTTGCTTCATACACCAACATTAGTAAATTCTCTACCAATCAACTAAATAATATGATACCATCATCGACTGCTGGCCTTTCGTTTTACTATCATCTTCACTGATAAACAATAGTTTGTATAAAATGGCAATACAACCAACATTTCGGCATGACATTGCCATAAGTAACTCACAGTAGTAGCTGATGAATCCAGTGGCACCTGAACAATTTATTGTATAATGTGGTCTACTAGTGCACCAAAATAAACGTGATATAGCACATTGAGATTCAAACGCATACCACTTTATATTAGTTGGTGTTCGGTTATTGACGTTAATGACAATAACGAATGCAACTATCATGATGCCTTCCCAATTTTCTTCAACGAAGATAGAAGGATAACTTGTATGAAGAACATTAACCAATCAAAACCACGGTAAATAATTTCGGGCTCCGATTTCGGAGTTTCTGGTCGATTTGATACCCCGCTCTTGCCATTTAAACGATGGTGCAATTGAAATTTTTGTAGGTAGTGTGGTTGAAGAGAAAAGGGAGATTTTAGAAAATAGATAATTTTGAATAGATGCTGCTAATAAAACTTTTTAAATTACTATATGAATGTAGTATGTATGTATAGTAGAAGTTGTAGAAGAAACTTTTTTCGATTAGGATATGTTTGATGTGGGGTTATTGAATGAGTAATGACGGAAAATGTTCCAAATGACCGATTTTCAAAGGGCCATAGCGCTAGATTTTACTAAGTGAACGAGAGCTTCAAACTTAAAAGCTTCTGTTTCTTTTTCAATTTTCTATACGATGGTATGGTTATTATAGATAAATAAATAAAAAACTGAATATCCCCTGCTTGTAGCTCATAAAATATATGATTTTGAGCAAATTTATGAAGGGAACGTACATCTGGTACTTAAAACCCTTATATTATAATGGATATAATGTAGAGCTATCGAATTGTTCTTGTCTTGTGCAAATCCAGTGATTATTTGTCGAGATATGGTCAAAAAGGGTATCATGCAAAATCATGGATTTTTCTTCAAAATCTGCCTGTGATGGTAAGGAAAAAATTAGGTGACCTCTTTTTGGTCAGGACAATATTGCCAGTATTTTATGATAGAGTCTTGCCAGAGCTTCAAGCAATAGCTCATTCGATAGGAAATCTTTTGGTCTACAATGTTTAGTAATGTTTAACAAAATGTTTTGATGACAGATACGGGTTAATCTTTAGAAAACAGTCAAAAAATCGCAAAAACAATCGCATCAAATATCAGGTGAACAATACGTACCAGAGACTTGATATGGATACTATTGTATTTTCCTTTGAATTCTCTACAAGTTTCATATAAATTTGAAGGGGTGTTTACTATCAAGAAACGCGTAATGTTAAGGTCGATAGATTTTAGAATCCCATAGATCATCATTCAGAATATTAGAAATTGAAGCTCCGTTGATCTTCCGCATCTGTATACGACACAAGGATGAATTTGACCCAGCATTTTAGAAATTGGAGTGTACGAAAAGGGCCATATTAACTTGCTGGTTTCAAGTTATCAATAGATACTTGACATGTTGAAGAATCTTGCTTTTATGGTTAGATAGTTTTATATTCGCTATTATATCAAAGATCGGCCTTGAGCGATTATTTTTTTGGTAGTTTGGCCGGGACTGACCTATTGGGTACTATAAGATCATGGGAACTGATGCTACTACAGATTTGAGTAGCAGGGTCTCATCAAACGAAAGGTAGTTCTTGAGTCTATACAATGATGAATTACTCTCTGTAATGAGGGTGCAATGGTATTGTAGAGGGAAGACAAATTTACTAGGAATGGGCAGGTTGGTGTTACTATTTGTAGGTCCTTAACCTTGAGCAATATTTACTGTATGATAGATGTAAATATTATTAGACAAGCAGTATTATTAGGATTAAGTGGGGGATTTATTGTAATAAAAGTATAGGAAGAAGTAATGACAGATATTTTCAGTAATGTTTAATACTTGTCAAAAGAAAGGCTATTTACATACTATATTCATGTTTCAATCATGCTGGTTGAAACATATGTAATACGAATCATTACACTGTCGCATCATGTAGAATGTTGCGGTTTTAGTGCATGCTTTCCTTTGAGACCACCCAAAATACTTGAGAGGCAGTTCTATCGAAATGCAAGGCGTGAAACAACTACTAAGGTCAAATAGTAGGTATAGACAATTCAAATCATAGAACCAAATTATAAATCTGGGTCGGCAGAAATTTTGCCCTACACATATAATAATAAAAAACTTACAAAGAACTGTCATTGACATGTTTGATGGGTTGGTACCTGAAGCCGTATTGCGACACAACGCCAATAAGAGGCGAGTGTTTAAGCCAACCATTCCGGTCCGCAGACAATTTAGAAAGAAGCAGAAGCTAACGGTAGTGACTGACGTCAGCCGTAATATATAGCTAGGATATAAACAGGGATTTGATTGAATTGAATAAAGGGGGTCTTTATCTTCTCATCTAATTTTGTATACATATATACTGTTCATATATATTGTAAACGACATTGGTAGCAGCAGCACGTCTCAATAGATCTAACTGTGTGATTGCTGAACGTGCCTTATTACGAAAGAACTGTTAAAAGGAAGGATTTGTTATATCCGTAAAAGAACTGAAATCAAAGCACTGGTATTATCTCAAGCACTGGTACCCTCTCAAAGCACTGGTATTCTCTCAAGCACTGTAAAACAAAGCACTGGTACAAGCAAAATCTCAAATGTCCACCCCTCAAGAAATATGTGATATGGTGGTGCAGGCGGTGAAGCAGATAACGGGTGAAAGCAGCAACTCTGTTAAGCTCAAGCAACCCCATGAGTACTCTGGTGAACGTGATGTTCGCATTATTGACAACTGGTGCTCTGCTATTGAGACACACAAGGATTTCTATGGCTGGGGTGATGACAAGGCCTTCATCTTTGCAAGTACTCTAATGGCTGGTCGTGCTGCTGAATGGTTGCGTGTGTACAAGGAGTATCATCCAAATGATGCGCCCAAGACCTGGACTGCGTTGAAAGCAGAGCTGCTTCAAAACTTTAGGCCTGCTAGAAGTGTGGATGATGCACGCGATGCTCTTGATTCTCTTGTTCAAACTGGCTCAATGCAAGAATATTGCGATAACTTCATGGATATTATCATGCTCATTCCCGGTATGACACAAGAGGAACAGTGCCATCAATTCAGAAAAGGCATACAAGACATGGAACTCCAGGCTCAACTGCGTGATTACCAACCAGCACAGAGAAAGATCCAAACATACTTTACCCATGCATTGAACTATGCAGCTACAAGACCTCATTTGGGTAGTAGTGGCACCTCTTCTTTCCCCTTTGGTGGTAATCGTGGCATGGTAGTAACAAGAGGTGCTCAACAACAAGGTTATTCGTATGGTACTGGTGGTGGTGGTGGTACTCAAGGTGGTGTTGAACCCATGGATCTTGATGCAATGACTGGTCGTGGTAATAGCTCAACTGTTGTATGTTACTTTTGTAACAAGCCTGGTCATGTCAAGAGACACTGCCGTGAACGTATCGAGGCTATTCGCAAGCTGGATAACACTCATCGCTACAACAACGGTGGTTCTGGTTCACCCAAGGGCAAGAAGAAGCAATTCTACAAGAAGCCAAGGGGACAATTGAATGCTATGGACAATAGTAATGATAGCCCTCCTCCCACTGCTCATGATGACAATGATGATAATAAATTGAACACCACTTGTGAACACTATGTGAAGGGATCTTCATTGAGTCATAAGAAAACCAAGTGTCAATTAGTAACAGCCAAAATGGTTGAGCCTTTGTCAGCAAGGCTTGACAGTGATGTCCCTCACCTTGATCAACTTAACTCGGCCACAAGCTCCTCTTCTTGTGATTTACCCTTGTATGGCGGCTTTGCCTACTCTCATGGCGGTGATCGTCATGTTCCAGTCAAAGTGTTGGTGGATAGTGGTGCCAGTGAATGCTACATCAAGCCAAGCATTGCTCAACAGCTCGAAGGTATCTGGTCTAAGGTTGACAGAGAAGTGGAGACAGCTGGTGGCACTGTGCACAAAATCACAGACAAACTTGATTATGTTCTCAACCTTCAAGGTTACAAGGTACCTGTATCGTCCTTTGTATATGATTCCAAGTTTGACATTATCCTGGGTAGATCTTGGCTAAAACAACACAAGCCTCAGTTTAACTGGGATAACGATACACTTACCTTTTATGACACAACTGTTGAAAACATGGTGGCCAAGTATCTCATTACCCCTAAACAAGTTGACAGATTGTTGAAACACAAGGAAGCAGAGGTGTATCTGTTGCATGTTTGTGAGGACCACAACAAGGAGGTGCAAATTACTATGAGCATGGACACTGAGTGGAAAAAGCAGCTTAGTCAAGAGTATCCTGGTGTTTTCCAAAGCAAGCTGTCTGGTGTACCGTCTACACAGGAGGTGGAGCATGTAATTGACACCGGTGACGCAGCACCCATCAACAAGCCGGCATACAAGATGAGTCCTTTGGAGTTGGATGAGCTCAAGAGACAGCTGAAGGAACTGCTTGCTGCCGGTATGATTCGTCCTAGCACGTCGCCATGGGGTTCGCCTGTTCTATTTGTCAAGAAAAAGGATGGTTCTATGCGCATGTGTATTGACTACCGAGCTCTCAACAAGGTGACAGTGCGTAACACCTTTCCACTGCCTAGAATTGACGAATGCTTGGATCGTTTGAAGGGTGCATCCTATTTTTCTTGCCTGGATCTCAAAAGCGGCTACCACCAAATCCGTATTAAGGACACCGATATTCCCAAAACAGCGATAAATACTCGATATGGTAAATTTGAATGGTCCGTACTAGGAATGGGGTTGTGCAATAGCCCACCTACCTTTCAAGCTTGGATGAACAAACTGCTGGGCTACGAGTGCATTGACAAGTTCGCGTTGTGCTACCTAGACGATGTATGTATCTTTAGTCCCACTTTGGACTCCCACAAGAAGCATATCAAGATTGTGCTGGACAAATTCAAGGAGGCAGGATTGATCGTCAACATTGACAAGTGTCGCTTTGCACAGCAAAAACTGGTGTTCCTGGGATTCGAGATTTGCCAGCATGGCATCCAACCCTCTGCGCAGAAGGTCAAGGCTGTCCAAGAGTGGCCAACGCCGTCGAACGTGCAGGAGGTTCGCCAGTTCATGGGTCTTGCACAGCATTACAGAAGGTTTATCAAGGCGTTCGCTCACATTGCAGCACCACTCACGAATCTGACACAAGGTTCTGGCCCAAAAAAGAGAGCGATCGAATGGACGGATGCGTGTGAGTCAAGCTTCCAGCAACTGAAGCAATTACTTATCTCTGCACCTGTGCTCATGGTCCCTGACATGTCAAAGCCCTTCAGGATTGAGACCGATAGCAGCGACTTTGGTGTTGGCGGTGTGCTATTACAGCCTAGTGATGGGGACAGCAAGCAATGGCATCCAGTGGCATTCGAGTCAAAAAAGCTTTCCTTAGCAGAGCAGAAGTTACCAGCACAAGAAAGAGAGCTCATTGGTATTGTGCACGCGTTACGTACCTGGCGTTGTTACATTGACGGTTGTCCTGGCGGCTATGTGGTGTGTTGTGATCACAACCCTTTGACTTATTTCCGCACCCAACAGAAGCCTACGCCTCGTCTGGTCAGATGGATTGCCGATTTGGAGATGTTTGCTCCCAAGATTATATACAAGCCTGGCAAGGAGAACGTCGTGGCGGACGCTCTGTCTCGTATTGGTGATGCCTCCCAATCTGCCAAGGAATCTTTGGAGCCCCTTTACCTGTATGCGTCATGGAGTCAATTGCCCAAGGAGTTGCAATCTGACTGGCCTTTGTTGTATGCTGCTGGCACGGATGACAAGGTAAAATCCAAGGAGCTCAAGGCTATGCTGAAGCGAGAGAAGCCCAACTTTACCATCAAGAATGGCCGTTTGTTCCGTATCGTCAAGCACAAGGAGGCAGACAAGCCAGCGTTGGAGGTTCCCTTTGTTCCCTTTTCTCAAAGAGCAGATTTGGTGTCCAAGTACCACGAGAGCTTTGGCCATGCTTCGGTCAGAAACTTGATGCATCTAATGGGAAAGCGTTACTGGTGGCCACGCATGAAAACGGATATCACAGAGTGGATTGCCCCTTGTCCAGCATGTCAACTCAACAGCAAGAAGGTGGCCAAGCATCAAGACGAGATGCATCCTTTGCCAATACCTGTGGGTGCCTTTGAGCGTTGGCATCTAGACTTTGTTGGAGAACTGCCACACACTGGGAACGGTAATCGCTGGTTGATTACAGCTGTGGATGCCACCACTAACTGGCCAATTGCGTGTGCCTTGCCAGAAGCGACCAAGGAGGCTGTTGCGCAGTTCATATACAAGGAGATTGTCACTCGTTTTGGTTGCCCCGTAGAGTTTATTACAGATCGAGGCGCAAATTTCTGCAGCGAACTAGTGCAAGAGTATGTCAAGCTACTGGGTAGTCATCACAAGCTGACTAGTGCATTCCATCCACGCACGAATAGCAAGGTTGAGCGCTACAATGGTACAGTCAAGGATATGCTTCGCAAGTACGTGCAAGGCGCTCTTCATCGATGGGATGAATATGTGGATGTTGCCGTCTGGGCGTCTCGTGTATGGAAAAATGCGACTACAGGCTATAGCCCCTTCTTTTTGGTGTATGGCAGAGAGCCTCGCTTACCTGGTGATGCCATTATTCCATTCATCTCTAACGAGTCCATGCAAGATCCAAGAACAGTGGCAGACATTACAGCAAGGGAACTCGCAGCACTGGGTCAGCATAGAGCAGCTGCACAAGCAAGAATGAAGGCGGTGTCGGATAAGGACAAGGAGCGTTGGGACAAGGCCATGAGCATGGTGGACTATGAAGTGGGCGACCTGGTTTTGTTGACACATGAGGGCAAGTTTGGACTGGAGCCACGTTTCAAGGGTCCCTATATCATTACTCAAGCATTTGATGAATATGGTACTTACCAATTGGAGACAATGGCTGGACAGAAGCTGGAGTCCTTAGTGCATCGTGACAGACTCAAGAGGGCAAAAGGTGACAAGCCAGATGAAGCATGGTATGATCCTACAGCAAGTCGTCGATTGGTCAAGGCAGCAACATCGTCTCGTAGTGGCAGATTGCCCAAAGCATCATTATCTTCTGGTAGGAAAGGAGGGGGTGGTAGCTATCCTGCTACAACTGGTTACGTCAATGTGGGTCGAAGTAATGATGCCACACCTCCACCTATCTCTATTACAGCCTCAATGCCTGACTCGTCTACATCAAATGTTGGTGTCCCTACTACGAATGAACAGGATCCTGAGCTATCTAGCAGCATGTATGGCAGCCAAGAGGGTGTGTCACTATTTGTCGACATGACAGAAAGCTTACCTGAGATCGTGGTGACCCATCATGTGGAGCTTCAACAACAAGAACAAGCAGAAATGTCGGATGTTGGTAGCGATGGCAACTCTATAATAGAGGAAGACCAGAATGAGTTGAGGCATGTTGTGGATGCGTATGACGATATTTCATCATACGAAGAAGAGTACGACAGTGCAATGTCAGATGTAGCCAGTAAGGAACAAAAAAGGGAGGATCGAGCCATCATCAAGAATATGATAGAAGGATATGATGATATATCCTCAGCAGATGAATTCGATGTTGATATACTGGAGGACGATAATATTGATAGAGTACATGTCACCAGCGATGAACAGCATGAAGTCGCGTTGGAAGAGGCAGTGATTAGTGATGGCGACATCTCTTTGCACACTGCTGGAAGTGCCGAGGTATCATCAACAACAAAAGAAAAAGAGAGAGTGCAAGAGGAGCAACAAGAAAAAGATGAAACTGCTGATGCTAAGGTGTCGACAAAGAAGGATGCAACACAGCAAGGTGATTTATTAGCAAGCAGTAGTCATAGCAACCAGCCAGAAATCAATCGTCATGGATACAAAATGCAAGATATTAGTAGTCAGGCTGGTGCAAGTAGCTGTCATGACGACAAAATGGAAAGAACTGATAGCCATGGAGACAAGATGAAGGATAATAGCACCACTGAAGGTGGCGACAAGATGGGATCCAGTGGTTCAGCGCCGAAAAGAATTTCGCCATTTGCTTTTGTGGAAAAACAATCCAAGAAACCACTTTCATGGCAGAAATTTCGAGGTACAGATGATTCAATACATCAGAACGAAGACACTGTGGGGCCTTTAGCAACTGATTCAGAGGATGTTGAGGGACCAACATCAGTTTCAAAGGGGGATAATGTCATTGACATGTTTGATGGGTTGGTACCTGAAGCCGTATTGCGACACAACGCCAATAAGAGGCGAGTGTTTAAGCCAACCATTCCGGTCCGCAGACAATTTAGAAAGAAGCAGAAGCTAACGGTAGTGACTGATGTCAGCCGTAATATATAGCTAGGATATAAACAGGGATTTGATTGAATTGAATAAAGGGGGTCTTTATCTTCTCATCTAATTTTGTATACATATATACTGTTCATATATATTGTAAACGACAGAACATCAAACGGAGGCGTAGCTCAGCGGTAGAGCGGCAGATTGCAAATCTGTAGGTCCCGTGTTCAATCCACGGCGCTTCCTTTCTTTTTGCATATTTCTACATATGTAGTGTATGTAGCTGGATTGATTTTTGCCTGTTTAGATGTTGGAAATGGAATATCTCTTGTTGGGAATCCATTTGGCAGCTCTCAGTTCTATTCTTTTACTAGCTGCAAATCGACAAGATAAACGTGATACAGTTTAATCCCAAATTATATGCCGAATTAATCCACTGAATTCTTAAACAAGTAGATTCCTGTTATAATAAAGCATACCGACTTCAGTCCTGAAACTATTTTCTAATCAGAAGCCAGTAGTAACGCCATTAAAGAATAAATAATGCCAGTAATTTCATACATTTGACTCATAAGAACAGCTCTGATTTATTTGGATAATCATACAGCCATCTTATTCCAGCAACTAGTTTCTTTCAAATGATACTCTATAAACAGATCATAAAACAAGTAACGTATAACATCATGGCATTTGTATAATTACCTATATTTTCTTCAATCGTATTCTTTAAAGCATCTCGTATTACTTCTGATAAATCCGTTAATTGCAAAATTCTTTGTGCATTTGATTTCATGCATTCCCTATATTTTGGCGTTTACTCTTATATATATTAGTCGAACAACTAGAACCTGGCATTCCCTTGATAGCTAGATCTTCTTTGGTTTGTTCAGGAGGTCACTTTCTTTTCTTGGAACTACAGGCTACTACTACGTCCTTAACACTTTACATAATGAAGATGCTTCCCCTTTCTCTAAATTTTTCTCACACACAAAATACTTCGTTCAGTCAACATTAAATGCACTGAATGTGAAAGAAGTTGCCAACATCAATGTATACAAGAGAAAATCAAGAAACTTGTAATTTTACCAAAACTAATTAATCCGTTCGAACTAATTGCATTGAATGATCCAGTAAGATGCGCATTTGACGGACACAAAAACAACATGAGGTTACAAGTTAGTCAACCGAGTTTATATGCCTTTCGTTTGAAGCTAATACTTGTAAACCTTCAAGCTAAACAGCAACCGTGATAAGGTAGTGATTTTCAGATGTTTAGAAGGTAAGAGGCACAAAAGCTTTAATCGTGTATTGATAAGATAAAAAAGATTGCTTGATTCACCATGTCCCTAACAGAAATTTCAATCTATTAAAAGAAATGGTACAGATCTTGTACGTGACACGAATAGAGGTAAAAATAGGCCACCAATGTACACTGTGCTTCTATTTACTCATCAAATTCGGAGAGCCAGCTCCCCATGGCACTTATCATGGAGTCTAAAGTCTAAGGCATATAAATATTGCCAAGAATAACACACAAGTACGAAACAACTAGTAAATATGCTTGTGGAAATCAACTTGAGGCATGAGTAACTACACCTTTGTTGTATATCTTAATCCACAACAGCAATGAAACACAACAAGAATGCTATTAAGTGTACTATTGTGCGCCAATTATCCATACACTTCATGTAATGAATGGGGACTGTAGATATTAGACATCTGAAATGTCAAATCACAAAAGACGTGAATCAGCACAATACAGAGTGGAGCCTTCCTGATAAATATATTGCAGGGTCTCGAAGTGCGCAAACATCCTTTTATATATTTTTATTCTTGATGAGATTATTATACAGAGCATTTCCTTCTCTAGAGCAAGGTCTCTACCATGTTGCCTGGTTATCATGGCTATTGCGATGGGCAAATAGCCATTCCAAATCCTCTTTGCTATTAGTGTGAGTAGTGGATGAGGGAGAATCAGCGGAAGCAGTGGCTTGAAGTTGGATAATCTTTTCCTTGACAAGATCGAAGAAAGCATTCCATTGTTCCAAAGTAGTCAAATCAGAGACAATGCTATTCAGTTGAGTGATTTGTTGAGAGACTTCAGGATATTCAGTAACCAAATTGGAGGTGAAAGAGGTCCATTGGGTCTGGACTTCCTCAGCAGAAGTGGCGCCAGAGAGTTTTTCAACTTCAGCGAGAATAGCATCGTTAGCATTTGTGGCAGTAGTGGTGGCAGTAGTAGTTGCAACATCAGCAGCGTTGTTCTGGGGAAGGGCTTCCAGATCAAATAAAACGCTGTTCATGTCAGAGTTCAAATGAGATGTTGCTTCTGTGCTGCTGCTATTATTGATATAGTTGTTATCATTGTCATAATCACCATCAATGATACGAAGACAACCGTAGCCTGATCTACCAGTGTTACAGTCAGCCTAGCATGTTGTTAGATCTTCTAATATTTATACATCAAGCTCAAAACTTACCTCGTCTTGACAACAACGGATGCAGAATCTGTTGATATCAGGTTCAATCATACTGACAAAGTATTTATAGTCTTGACAGTGTGCTCCTACAGGCTTGCCCTTGGCATGGTTATCATATTGTCCTCCACCATCAGTTTCACCCAAATCGTACTTGGTTCTATCAAAGAAACCAGTGACCTGAACATAGCTGCTGTTCCTTAAATAGTGAGCAGTTGTGATGAATCCTTCAGGGAATTCTGTTGCGTTTGGCACAGTGTCTGGCTTTGTACAGAACGGGATGCCATTATCTTCGTTTACAGCAACCACAAGTCCTGGTTGAGGGGGTAAAAAGAGACAGAAGTCGTCTTGGCTATTAATAGCTGTCAAAGGGGTAGAAGATGAGGATGTTGAATTTACAGGTGCAGCATAAGCGGTAAAAGAAGAGGCAATAGCGAAAAGACTTGCCACAAGAAGCTTATTAGTAGGAATGTACATTAAGATAATATGATATCAAGAAGAGAAAGAAAGACAGATAAAGAAAGAAAGAAACAAAAGAGCTAATTAATAAATATAGATTATTGCAACTCAACTTCTTTATAAAGCTACAATGTAATTAAGCAAGTTACACCAAATAAACGTTTATAAAAAGATTTCGCAACTCGAGTTCGCGTAGAACGTACAGCTTTTCAAAGGATTTCTGCCTAATAAAGAGGATTTCTGCTATTTATAACAAGTGCTCATTTAACACTGCATTCAGATAAAAAGTCTATATTTGCAATAAATTGAGTTTGTACTAGAAAGATACATGTATTTCTCGGATGATGCCAGATCAGCAGAGTGCCAAGAGAGTCTTTTCGTTCTTCTTTTCCCTATTCACAAGGCGCGGCAATGTCAAGATCAAAGTTACACGCCATGGATGACGGGTGTCATCCGTTGCAGATTGAATATTTATGTGCATCTCGACAAACGTATACCCGAGATATCCTAATCATTGGTGCCTTTAATTCCTCCAAATTTGTTAATATTTATTATCGATCACTTGGCGTAAAGCCAAATTTCAATGCTTGTATACTCACTTCTGAGCGGGATCAGCAATCAACCTCATTCATGTGCAAAAGCAGTAATGAGCAAAATCAACTAATTTACAGGCATACACTCGTCAAGCATGCGTCAAGTCGCAAATAACGGCTAGTGTGCTAACAAATAACCTATTTTGTATGTTAATAGTAAAATATCTTCTTTGAGGAAATATTTTATTCATCTGTTACAAAAAGATGATACATGCAGGCAAATTATAAAGCTAGAATATACTTTAACCATTATATTGATTTGGGCATTTGATATGAGGAGATGTCTTTCTTTTAGAATGAGGCTTAATTATTAAGCATTACGATATTACTCATGCGCAATACCTACAGACATTTATCTTGGATTAAACACACATTACTCGAGAATGACATGCTTCATTTTACAACTGCCATCATTGATATTTGACACTTGGCGCCATCGACTCTGTTTGCACAGTTTCTGGAGCTTGTGATATGTCATCAATGCAGCTACCAAAAATTAGTATTGTGTTTGAACATTTGGGAATGGGTACCTTTGATTTCGTTCGACTTTCTAGACTATCCCTCTCTGTCTTCTTGGTGCAAGTAGTTTGTATTAGAGAAGGGCTTTCGCGATAGAACGAAATCACGAGAGCATATTCCTGTTTGTGATGATAGAAATTGGATCTTGAAAACCAACATGTAATCAGGATCCGTATAGATTTCTTACTGCTAAACGTAGTGATTCAGGCACAAACACCGGTATCCCACTGATAAAAAAAAAGAGTTTACGATGGCTGTTTATCCTCTTCCTTTATGTTCAAATGGAGGCCACTTGTGAGCATAGCAGCACTAGGGCCCTCAGATAGTTAAACTCTTAGCCAAACCTATCAATGCTGTTCTATCTCATGCATAAACCCTAACACAGGGCTGTTTTTTTCACGAGCTTTCGACGCTCGCCTTTAAGAGTATTGAACATAGAGCAGATTCGAATGAAATAAGCTACTTTTCCGAGCATGGACTACAGCAGCTAAGCAAACAAATGCCAGTTAGAAAGAAAAAATATGTTTGTATGAGCAATACTTGGTTAGCAAGAATACGCCGTGTAATCAAAGTGAGCATTGAAAATGTAAAGTAGAAGTCTTCTCTTTAATTAAGCATGGTTTTTTTTTAAGTGGTTTCTCACCGTATTTCTTCGGGTTTCTCACCGTATTTCTTCGGGTTCCTCCAAGATATATACGATCATTTGATGAGATAGCCAAAGAATGCATAAAACTAATTACTAATGAGGCCTCTCAGAAGTTCTACTATTACTTCACCCGGGTCTAATTCAACCTATGTTTGCCTCGGTCATTCGCTCTTCAGATTTGATATCGCCCTTACAAAAATCTATCTGCTGAGCAGGCACTGCGGTAAGCTTCTATGGATGCATGATAGATAAGAACTGAATGATATAAGAGTTTTCCATTGAGGTGTAACATCACAAAATGTTCTTCATATTATCCATCGTGCATCGAGTGGCTGATCATCATGAATTTGTGTAAACGGCTGTGTATTTATCGTGGCTGTCGTGAGATGCATTATGGCGCCAAAACAATCCTTGGTCTTTCCAAGATAGCACAGAATCCCAAGGGAATCCACGCATTTACGAGCTTGAAAGCAGCTCTCGGATAATACAGAAAACGTTTCAATATCTCATAGTTGTATGTACAGGGATACAAAGACCAAACTTTGACTTTTCTGTAAAGAATCGAGTACGGCGTCATACAACATGTCATTCTGATCTTGTGTAAACATTAGTAAATCGATGATTGTACGCGTGTTGGGTGACAAACGCATGAATTTGCAACTATAAACATGTAAACAACCTTTACCTATAAATATACTATAATGATAGCTTTACTAAGCTCGAACCAAGTAGCAGTATAGATACAGCAGTATCTGGTAGTCTGGTTGGTAAGATTTCTCGGATTTAATGTGTTACCGCATAAGAAATTACCCTATATTTCAGTAACGATGGGGCTCCAACCCTAATGTATCCTTTACAGCCATTGACCGCAAGATAAGAATCGTCGAGAACACGCTCGCAGTATCAGCCTGAGCAGCAGAGTGAGAAAAAAAACCGCTCTCTTGACATAGAGATGCATCCCGTGACGACAGGACATTTTCTGCTTTTTGTTTGCTAAAAGCATTAAACCTTGAAACCGATCGGACATCCTTTTCCCATTATAAACCTCTTTTTTTTTCATTTTTTTTTTTCACTTGCTTCCCATCGTTTCTGCCTTTCTTTCTGTTTCATTTTTTCTTTCTTTCTAGATATCAAAACCACAATATGGGTACAACGACAAGTAGAGAAGGCCCTACTCGTCATAAATATCGACAGAAATTAGCCTCATTGAAATCACAAAAGAGCAGAGAGGTGATATCCACTAGTGCTGATAACAAATTGTCTGTAAAAACGATAGAGTCAAACACTGCATCCAAACCAAATACACCTCTAATCGTACATCAACCTACGCCTGTGAACCTTGTCAAACACCAAGTTGTACTCTCTGACCATGTATCACCCATGTCTTCACTTTCCGCTATCAACTCTATCCCGATACGACGATCGTCATGGAGAAAAAGTGTCAATACAACCACCACTCGTACAACAAACGACAATGGAAGCATTACGTCTGGCTCTTTCTTTGACGACGACATGGATGAAGACGCCGACTCTGAGCTCGTTTCATCTCCTCGAACGTCTGTTGGATCAGAAGAGAATGGTAGCAACAATTTTCTCAAGGTGGAGGATCACAGCAATAATAACAACAAAAAGAAAATCAAGCCCAAATCGACATCTCCATTTAATTCGTTCAAGAGTAGTTATAAAAAGGAAGGACACGATATAGTATTCGAATCTAAATATAATACTTCTGCATCACCTACAGCTATTACATCGACGCAACAGGAACTGCTTAAAGGCCCTCCACGACCGTTTTGGTCATATAATAATGGGGATGAAAGAGAGTATGATAGGTAAGCAAGTCGTCTTTTTTTTCTTTTTGCTTTAAAAAGTAGCTTATGAAACCTGATGTATTTGTAATACTTTCCATGCGTAGACAATTACGACAGGTATGTTTTTCTTGTGGCACGTGGAGGATAGAGGGTGAGAGGGTAGACATGCATACTAAAAAAAACGTTTAATAGCATTATGTATTGAAGCATGTACTGGACGGGAATATTCATGTACCTGTGCCGACAGATAAAAGCATCACTATACTTGACTCAGCTTGTGGAGCTGGTTTCTGGACTTTAGATATGGCGCAAGCATACCCCAAAGCTAAAGTGATTGGTTTGGACGCTTTCCCACTAGACGATAAAAGAATGAAGGGATACTCGAATGCAACCATCAGTGCTCCGAACGCTGTCTATAAATATGGAGATCTCACAATGCAGTTAACACTACCAGACAACTACGTAGATGTGTTGTATCAACGTGACACTACATCCATCATACCACATGAGCGCTGGCCGTTTCTTTTCAAGGAATTGATGCGAGTAATGAAGCCTGGTGGCTACATTGAACTGGTCGAATACAGTAGGTACATTTGAAGACTGATTATAGGATGCGTTCTAAACAGATCAAGCAGATTTTGACATTCGAGATCCAGGACCTGTCCTTGCGTTAGTCAACGAGTGGTACAAGATTGCGTCCACTTCAGTGGGTGTTGATCCGGAGGAGGCAAAGCAGCTTGAAAGCAAACTGATCAGTGCTGGGTTCCAACAGGTCGAAAAGAAGGTTGTGTCGATTCCCATTGGTGAATGGCCCGCAGAAAAAGGTAAAAGCAAATTCTGATCTGAAATAGCTTAATTTTTTAATATCTCTATCTTAGATCAACAGGAAAAGGGATTCTTATACAAGCAAGTGATTAAAGCATTGTTCAAATCAATGCGGCCGTGGTGGATATCGGAGCTGGGAGTCACAGAGCAAGAATACGATAAAGTTGTCATTGCTGCCATGGATGAATTCGAAGACCAGCAATGTTACATTGACTGGGTTATATACACTGCTAGAAAGCCTGCAGAAACTCCTTTAAAAGAAACAACTACAACAACTACTACCGATATCGCAAATTAATACTATACATACATCATCGCTGGATCGAATCTAATATTCTATTTCACTTATACATTTAACTCGTCGTTGACTATATATACATACCCCAATCTCAATAAAGTACAAATTAATCTTCCTTTTTATTACATGCTGAATGAATGGTAAGCTACCTATCGCCGTAAAAGTGGTGGTGGCACCAATACATTCACCTTTTCATCCCAGGCACAAGTTGCCACTTGCCCCTCCACATACAAATTGAAATCAAGGCCAAGTACAAACTCGGTGTGCGCATCATGTACATAAATCAGGTTCTGGCCAGGAGGTGCTGCTGTATCCCAAAATCTAACACTCATGTCATAGGCAGCACTTGCTAGAATGTTGGGTCGATGTGGCGACCAACGCACTCTACGGACAGCAAATTCATGACCCGGAAGGCAAATTACCTCTCTATCAGGGCGACGCAGATCCCATACTTTGATTGTTTTGTCAACAGACCCAGTTACCAGCATATGATCCTGATACTTGTTCCAATCAAGAGATAAAATCTCGTTATTGTGAGCACGCAGTGTTTGAATGGATCGAGGGCTATTTGTATCCCAAATTTTGACGGTTTGATCTCCTGAAGCTGAAGCAAGACGAGTAGGACTATAAGGAGACCATGCAGTGCTGTAGACACAGTGAGTGTGTTCTGTATATGTCTGTAATGATCTTGGTGCTTGAGGATTCCACTAATATGGAAGGTAGGTAAGTGTCTTATGATGCCATCTTGTATGCAAATCAAACTCACAATTTTGACCGTATGATCCCATGAACCACTCGAAAACACATCCTTTGTTACCAAATTCCAATCAACTGAAAACACCTCGCGTTGATGCTCTTGCCAATTCTGAATTGGATAATCCTAAATCATATGAACCAAACATTTAGCTTCAATGCTCTGCTTTCAGTCTGTGTAATCTTACTGCCAACGTAGTATCCCACATCTTGATTGAACCATCACCGCTTGACACGACAAGCTGATTCTCGTTCACTTCACTCCAAGCAACATCGTATAAACCGTCTTGTGTATCATAACTAAATTGTTGCAGGAATCAGCTGTGAGTACCGGCTATATCCTCATACTACCAATCATGATACCTACGCTCTTTCCACCGTCATATTCATTCCTTGAACGCCCATGATAAAGAGTCTTCCGTTACCTACTAAACCAAAGTTTGATGCGCTTGCAACAGCAAGTTTATTTTCAAAAAATGGACTCCACTTGGTCTATTTTCCTCATGAGTAAGACGAGGCATGATTTAAAGCTACACTGTCCATCTTACCGAGTAACCATTGAACCCTTCAGTACGAAATTGAGCAAACATTGGTTTTGTATGTACACAGAAAGAAGAAAGTAAAGAAAAGAGTAGAAGAGATAGATTGATAAATAAATAAACAAAATTAGGGTTCCTAGAATCGAAGAAAGGGCATGGTATTCAGGCTGACTATTCTTTTTTTTTTCTCACTTGGTGAATTGCGCTGACACAACAGGCTTACAGCGCCAATTTAATCTCAAAACACTGCTGTTGTGTGGGTAACATGAATAAGGGGATGTGTTTACCATTACTAATGTGCACATTCTCTTTTTCTTCATCTTGTTAACTTGATCATCGCACAATAGCATTGCAAAGTCATTCTTTTCAGTAAGGTTTTGAATGGATAAAGAGAATAGGCAATGGATTGCTTCAGATGAAAACACCCACCCATCCATATTCACATGTGAAGACATCGTTGTATTTACTTGCCAAATGTATTGCCATGATGTATAAAAATCAGAAGCTCTGTTGCCATGGCAACTCATTCGCTGAACATCAATTTTGAATTGTTCCTGCATCTGCTATGAGAGTTGGGTGCCTTGTTGCTATAATGATATTACTCGTATAAAAGCGCAAATGCTATGAGTTGATTGATATAGAAGAGCATCAGAGCAAACCCCATTTGACGCTCCTCACGTGCGGTTGCTTCGCATTTTTTTTATTGACCGGATTTCCATATTTTTTCCTCTTTCTCTTGTTCTCTTTTATTCATCTTGGAAAAAAAATAAACATATCAAATGGGTACAGCAAACACTTACATGCGCAACGAGAGAGAGAGAGAGAGAGAGTGACAAACTGATATATTCGTTACAATTAGGTGCACTTTTCAGCAGTCTTTTCAGCAAACTTTGGGGAGAAAAGGAAGTTCGTATCTTGATTTTAGGTCTTGATGGTGCAGGCAAAACCACCATCCTCTACAGACTGCAGGTAATATGCAATGGTCACTGCTGTTATGGAGACTGTATTCTGAATGCCCTTGATAGATTGGAGAAGTCGTGTCTACTATTCCCAGTAAGTTTGGATTTGCACACAGTTTTGGCACATTTCTAAATGGTTATATTGCATCTTGTAGCTATTGGCTTCAATGTTGAAACTGTTACTTACAAGAACATCAAATTCCAAGTGTGGGATTTAGGCGGACAAACCAGTATAAGGTAGGCATGAATAACAAATGTAGAAACGCGCGTTCATGTTGATGACTTACATAATATCAATATAGACCTTATTGGAGATGTTATTATTCTAATACCGATGCAGTCATCTACGTCGTCGACAGTGTGGATAAGGATCGTATGCAAACATCAAGGGAAGAATTGCATGCCATGTTGGAAGAGGAGGAATTAAAGGATGCCGCCCTTTTGGTTTTTGCAAATAAGCAGGATATGGAGGGTGCTTTATCCGCTGCAGAAGTTGCCGATGCACTCGGTTTGTCGACCTTGAAGAACAGACAATATTCCATCTACAGAACCAGTGCATTGAAGGACGAAGGTTTAACAGAAGGTTTAGATTGGCTTGTCAACATCATTCAAGAAAACAAGAAATAGTTCATTTTCCAACATACATGTATCATGCCGCACAGACACACAGACACACATTATATACTCTTTTCTTCCTTTATACAAACATCAATACACTACGCAACCACCTACGCAACTACGCACATCTATAGCCAACACACTTTAATAAAACATTATGTGAATGTTTGCATTTCGCATGATTGATAGATTATGCAAAGTTTGAACTTTTTTTTTTTTCTAGTAGAAAATTGGATTTTATTATAATGTATGTACGACAAAAGGCGGCCAATATTCCTTACAAACCCCCCTTCCAGTAATGGTTGGAGGCCAAAGCTAGCTTTCTGTGCACAGGAGTACGGCGAGTTTGAAGCTACGTCCAGCAAAGTCGCTACAGCGCCCAACAAAGGCAGTATTCGAATATCATTGACCTGCGCAACTTGTAATCATCCCCCCCCCCTCTTTCCTCTAAACCGAAATCATTTACCGGACAATTGCAGCACTGACGAAAGGAGGCAGTAACCTCTATACTACCTCCAAAAATGTAGCCTCCACAACCGAATGATCCAAATTGTAAGCGAGAAAGGGTAACTTTTGCTATCGAATAGCTCAGTCTAGACGATCGGGACAATTATTCCGAAGAGCAAAAAGTGCCAACATCCCATAGTATTGTGTATGGCATTTGCCTGAAACAATAGCAGGTCTATCTGTACCTCGCCAATTGTTTAGTGACCTCAAAACTCGGACATATACTGTATCACCATATAAAGCATTGCTCCGATCTCGCTTGCTTGCCTGCTACACATTGCCTTACCATTCTCCTTTGAAGGAACTTGTTGAATAGCATTGCCACATTTTCCAGGACAGCCTTGCCTCTCTTGCGTCGTGATCCTTTTGACCGTGCTAACTGGCTCCAACGCCTCCATATATCGTCTTGCATCCTGGCAATCCCTGAGCCTACTCAATGATGGGTTTTCGAAGCACATGTAGGTTTCTTTGGTACAATGGTATATGTAATTGCGTATACGCAGTGATGGACAATAAGCTTCGGCTTTTCGTGTCTTTTTTCCATGTAGAAGCACACTTTGGGGGGGAGGGGGGGGGCACAGGTATTGACTTGCGCCAATGTAAAAGATTTTACTGTGGATTTGGCACTTATAAATGGAATATAAAGAAGAAAAGAAGAAACGATGGAAATAAAAGGAAAGAAAGAAGGAATAATATGCCCAAACGATCGAGGGTTTATATATGAATGTTTGTATTGTGGCGTTTTAATTACCTCAATACACGAAAGTGTACTCGATCTTTTCACCTGTACTGATTTTAGGAAGTTTGGTCAAATTGATGAATTGAGGGAAAGAAAAAGCGATTTGCAGACTTGCCCATAAATACGCAATCTAGTTCCCCAAAAGAACGTGAAAAGTATGGCAATGGTTACATTTTCCTAGCTCTCGATTCAAAATCGTGGAGAAACATCAGCGCTAAAAAAAGAAATACATATTGATATTCCATCATGTTCTATCCTCATGGTGAAGGGTTTCAGTTGAGAAAAAGAAACACGCATGGTAAAAGGATGGCCGTCAAAAGACTACCTTTTCTGCTCTTCATCTTTCAAAACACTGCAAAAATGGCTCAAAAATACCTTACTTTGAATCGCACAAATGACAAGATGCCAATCATTGGTTACGGATGCTGGAAGGTGGAGGAGAACCCCGAGCAAGTTGTGTACACAGCTATCAAAAATGGATATCGTCTCATCGATGGTGCTGCTGTTTACGGCAACGAAGTTGGAGTAGGTCGCGGTATCAACAGAGCGATTAAGGAAGGCATTGTGAAACGTCAAGATCTCTTTGGTAAAAATAGTCTTTGCTTCATGATGGATGCGATGGACTAACTTTCCTTTGTCTAGTCGTCTCCAAGCTCTGGAATAACTATCATAACAAGGCTCACGTTAGAGCTGCTATTGACAGAACTCTCAAGGATATGGAATTGGACTATCTTGATCTCTACATCATTCACTGTAAGTTGCTTCAAATGCTTGTATCATGGAAAATCTCAACTTGAGGCATCACTACATAGTCCCTGTTCCTCTCAAGTACGTTGATCCTGCTGTCAAGTATCCTGGTCCGTGGTTTATCAACGGCAAGGTAGAGCTTGAAAAGTCCCCTATGCACGAGCTGTGGGCAGAGATGGAGAAGCTTGTTGATGCTGGCTTGACGCGTAACATTGGTATCTCCAATTTCAATGCCCAACTCATTATGGACTTGTTGACGTACGCCAAATATAAGCCTGCCACTTTGCAAAGTAAGTTGGATAGATACATTGCATCATACTCGTATTCTCACTGTGCTTGCTAGTTGAGCTTCACCCTTATCTGCAACAAACATCTCTTGTCAAGTGGGTTCAAGAGCAAGATATTCAGGTCACTGCGTACTCATCCTTTGGCCCAAGCTCATACACTGTTTTCTCTGAATCTGCAAAGACAGCTACTCCTTTGCTGGATCATAATGTGATCAAGTCTATCGCGTCCAAGCATGGAAAGACGCCTGCTCAGGTACTTTTGCGTTGGAGTATTGAAAGAGATGTAGCTGTACTTCCCAAAAGTATGAGCGAAGATCGTATCAAGTCCAACTTGGATGTATTCTGCTTCAAGTTGGACAATAAGGATCATGATGAAATCAAGAAGCTTGATGAAAACCTTCGTTTCAATTCTCTCTTTGCATATAACATTAACATTCCTCTCTTTAATTAAGTAAAATAAAATGTAACAGGAGCAAAAGAGGGCGTTAGTGCCAATCCACAGTACTTTCTGACATGCAATTCCCTTTCTATGAGCTTCCAACATCACCGATTACCTTTAGGATACGCTTAGAATTACTCTTGCCAGCCAAAGATACCAGTTAATAACCCGCTTTCTTTCTCCAATTGGTAAATTTTGATACTTTTTCGACTTGATTGCTCTATTTTGCAATATTTGACTACTAGCCAATCTATCTCGCTACGCTCGATGTTGGCGTCGCCCTGCGGGCTTTCGCCGAAGACATTTCAAATCAGAAGAAATAATAAAAGTCTGGCATATCAAGTAGATTTTAAACAAACAATTAATAGTAAAAGAAAGGGTATATCAGAGTCAGGAAAGGGAGGTGTCCATTCGCTAATGCTGCTCTTGGGATGGCGACATAAAGCTGGCCATGCGTAAATACAGGACTTGCGTAAGATCTACAGCGACTTTTTTTTTTTTTTTTTTTTTTTTTTTTTTTTAGAGATGTTGCCATTGCAAAATGCACCTTTATCATAGGAAAAAAAACTCAAGAAAGAAAAGAGTATTCGAGCTAAGCAAATGTTCTTTCAACTCCATAATTCCCATTTAATCAGCATCGCAGCCGTCATCGCAATCATTATTGTCATCAACAGAAAGGCATTTAGGTCAGCCAGCAGCAAGCCGCCCCCAATATCGATTCAAATTCAGCTTTTTTTTTCTCTTCAAGATTGGACAGATATCATTTCTTTCGACTTCTTTAATCTATTTTATAGCGATTCTGGTAAATATCCGCTCCACTGCTCGCCAGACAGTGGATGAGGATCAAACCCACTCCCTCTTGTAGTTTAGATAGTTTCGATAGTTCTGTTTAGGTTAGTTTAGTTATTTTCTTTTCAATTGCACCCGCCTCTTCACTTCGACCCATTACTCCTAGTGTACGCGGCCCAATCAATAAACAAAATTTAACAAAAAAAAAATCTATTTTATAACATTCGACTATATAAACTGTAATGATCACCCTACGCTTTCTAATACATTCTTGGAACACTTTTCAAGGCTCTTCCAATGGTTTTAACTGTAATAAGTGTTTTGACTGGAATTATTGAACAATTTATGAAAATATGAAATGAGGTTTTTTAGGGAAAATAGCCATATTTTGATTCAATACATACCATAGTAAAAGTCTTCATTTTCAAGGTGAAAAACGCAATCGTTTAATTTTTGATGAAAACCATGAGGTGTACCTCATGCTTTTTGGTCGTTTTTTGCTTTTTTGACGATATTTTGTGGGTCTCCAAAAAGTTGAGCAAAGATGTCAGGAGTTTAGTGCTAGTTGAGGGGAATTGTTTAGTGCTATTCTGGTGGTCTAAAACGACTCCCAACACGAGAAAACAAGGATCAAATGCATCCAAATCTCACTGTGTTTTGCATCTATTTTGATTAATCACAGGTGATGTGAATGCACTGTCTACCTCTAGATAATATATCTCATTGATACAGACGTGTAGAGCGCCTGAGAAGTAGCATGAGGCTAGATACGAGGCTGAATGAGAAGCTAAATGAGAGGTTCTGTAAGTCAGGTCTACAGTTCCAGGTTATTTATAGAGAGTTCTCGAGTAATACTGCATATTTGAAAAATAAACTTCAGGGTAGATTCTACATTGGCAAGACGGAAAGATAAACCGTTATACACCAAATCTCGGATCAATCTCTCATTCAGATGCTGCTATTCCAAAATACTTTTTTTTTACCAACTGTGCAGTCGCTATCGTGTTTCTTGGTTCACGTTTGTTTATTGAGTTGCGGCTAGAATCATAGCGCTTGATATTTATAAAACACGTTAAACATCTTATGTAGTTTTACATGGTTTGTGTGCTGGTGGCGCATTTGTATCAGCATATCTTATTATGCTCTTCCAGATTCAACACAGCCCCATTTACAAGGGCTCAAACTACTCTCGTTAAGGAACAAACAAGCAATAATAGATTGCATAAATATACTATAGCTTGTAATGAAGCCATAGTTCAATGTTATTAATACGATTTACATCGTTTATAGTAGAATGTATCTAAAAAATTTGCCTAAAACAAAAGAATCATCAGCTTTGTTTTGGTGCTAGAAGCTATTCAGTTACCTAAACGGTGTCGAATAAGGCAAATGTTTTTCTTGTGATCAGCATTTACGTTATACAGAAAACTGGTAACGATGATGTACAAACTATGGATTCATGCATCAGCTTTATATCACAAGAACATTGATCATCCTGTTTACATGGACATTCTTTAGGTAATTTGGTTAAAATTAGCGTACATTCATGACTTGACGGTAAGGGTGATTTTTTTTTTTCCAGCGAGATGTCAGCCACACTAAAAATAATACATCTCAAAGCTTTTTGGTATGCCATCGGTTTACATGTAACAATAACAAAGTTTTTGTTTGGGTCAGAATACAAGCGTATTAATAGCAAAAGTATCCATAAACTGAACATGTATCATTGATACAGAAATTCTTCAGCCCTTGTTGTTCTATAGGTGTATCATTTGACCCCCTTGGCAAGATAAAAAAAGCATTTTTTATAATATGTATTTAGCAAGAAACCTAACGTATCATGAGCGATTTGCAATGCTAAATTTAAATGACTATAAAAACTATCCGTCATTTGACGCTAAGCAAAATGATCTATAAGTATAAATTTACTAAATTTAGTCTCTTCACGGCGATCATGCAAAGGTGTGATGCAAATTTATGATTTGAAACGTCAGATTGATCATTTTGGGCTGAACAAAGAGCGACGCTAGACGATAGTATGATGAAGCATATCTTGGCAGAAGCCTCTGAATGGCTGAAGCGTAAACAATAAGGCGGAATCTGTATCGATTTTGTTACACGAAACCTAGGGATCTTCTTTCGTAGAACCTTAGAACAATTGTGAAAGCAAATAGACGTAGTATGGTTTGAAATATATATATTTATTTATTGAATAGATACAAAATTTATAATACAGAGATACAGAGATAGAGTTGTGAAACTAGTTGTAGTTGCCAGGAACAACTCTGGCACATCCGTAGGTAGAAATGCCCAATCTACAGTCAGCTTGGTTCTTGCAACAACGGATACAGAAGATATTGGCATCAGGTTCAATCAAGTTGACAAAGTACTTGTAACCATTGCAAGTAGTAGAGGCAATGTCCTTGTTGTCGTATTGTCCTCCACCATCAGTAGACTTGAGGCTGTACTTGGTGCGATCAATTCTACCAGTAATTTGTTGGTAGTTGGCAGTGCTTGCATAGTGAGCAGACTTGATGAAGCCAGTGGGGAAGGTCTTACCACCCAAGCTAGGGTCAGTGCACATAGGAATACCATTGTTTTCAGTGGCGCCAACGTCATCTCCTGGGTGAGGAGGCATGAAGGAACAAAAGGCAGTTTCAGATTTGACTTGAATCTGATACTTGGGAGCACGTCTCTCCATGGGGAGAGCATGAGATACCATGGCAAAGAAGGCAATGAGAGCAAAGACAATAAGAGTAGCAGAAGCAGTAGATTTCATTGTTGTGTGTGTATGAGTATGAAAGAGATTGTTTTGAATAATGAAAAAAAATCACTTTGCATCAAAACCCAAGGACCCTTTTTATATCTGTCAAATTGCTGTATTTCAACTCTTTTGCATCCGATTTCCCCAGGATGGAGGATGATGAGGCTCAAATAAAAATAGAAAATGTCTCGAATCGGCAATATCCACATTTAGAAGGACAAAAATATACCACTTGCTTTTTTTTTTTTTTCACATAAAAACATTATTTATTCAGTTTTATAAATACACTATAGTTACACGCACCAAATCTCCATCTTTTCGAGTTCGTTTGATACCTTATTTACTTGTCGAGCCATAAACAAGTCATCGTCATCAATCATCAGGACCATCTCATCATCCTCATCCTTGTACTGCAGTCGAATAGACGCAGGTACACCAAATTTATCTTGGATTCTCGATTTTAATTCGTCAAAAGTGATTTGATTTGAAACCAACAGTATTCTTGTATCAACATGGTGAATCTTAATCTTAATTTTTCCATTGCTGAAGCTGCTGTTACTGTTGTTTGAACCAATCGTGGATGTTGAGGTTGAGCTTTGTAGTCGAATGTCCTCTTTACTGCCTCCAGTGGCTAGTCTGTAGCGAATGATGTCTCGTTCTCGATCCTGCATGGTCGTGGTATGTAAGGATCCATACACCTCTAATTCTTGATCAAAATCTCCATACATGGTGTTGTCTTCGTCATGTTGTTTGGGTATACGTGGAACAGGTGGTGGTGTCTGTGGCGGCTGCGATTTCAGGCTTTTGGTCGAGCTTCTCCCTCCAAGAGTGCCTAGTGAGGATGATGAGGAGTATCTGTTGTCCTCCAATGTGGATTCAAACCCACTATCTACACGGCGACCGTCCTGACGGTACCGGTAGTTGGAAGAGCAGAAGGAAGCTGTTGAACCGGAATCGTCTGACTGATACATGCCTAGATTGGAGTCTTTTCGTCTCCTTGTTGGTATAGGTTGTGATGGTTGCTGCTGTTGTTGCACAGGCGTTGCCTGCATTGGCACTTGCTGAGATAGCGGTGGTACAGGAGACACTTGCTGCTGTTGTGGATGTGGCAGTGCAATAGGTATGCTATGAGGAGGTGTTGATGACAGTAATGAAGGCTGCTTTGGTGTATATTTATGCACTCGGTCCGTCAGCAAGACTGAATTGTTTCGTTTGACAGCGTTATTTGGTGACGCTGCTGTGTGCGATAATGCTGCCTGTTTAATTATAGATTGCTGCTTCTTGGTAGGCTGTAATTGATCTACAACAGCAAACATATCGACGCCGTTTAATTGTCTCAATCTATTTTCAGGAGGTCTGAAAATCACAAATGGGGGAATGGAAAAGACTGAATAGCCCTTTCCTCTGTCCTTGACTGCCTGATCAATCACATCATGCTCCTCGGTCATTTTGGATTTTTGTGCGTGGTATAAATCTGTCAAACCAGCATCCATCTTTCCCAGGTACAGTTGACATATTCCTCTGTTGAACAAGACTTCGCAGGAATACAGTCGAAAGCTCAGGCCCAGCTGTTGATAATTAATGATTTGATTGCCACGAAGTTTCTATTTTTTTTTTTAAGGAGTCAGTTGTCTTGCCATGTACAAAAATTAACATACTATAATACCTGGTACGCTTGATCAAAGTCCTTTCTTGCGTTTTCCATGTCGTTTTTGATGAAATATGACACACCTCGTTGGAAATAGGCGACAGCAAAGTAGGGATCGAGTAAAAGTGCCTTTGAATATGCTCCCAGCTACTAGATTGATTAGATTGCGTGTCGAATGGCCATCGTATACCGACTATTTACCGCATGATCATGATCCTCTACTGTGGCAAAGATCAATCCAATATTGAAGTGCATTTTTGCGCTATCCGCAATGCCCTATTGTCAAAGATGTTTGTTAGTAAATGACCAGCTTCTCCCCCCCCTGAAGAATTAAAACTCCAAAAAAACAAAACAACGTACAATGAATGCTTTTATAGATTTGTCAAAATCTCGTACATCGAAAGCAGCACAAGCAGCCTGCCATTGTTCCAATTCGTACTATAGATTGGTCAGTCCATCAATGTTTGTATGACCTAGTGTGAAAATTAAAACTACCTTTAAAGACATGATGCTATTTTACGACTCAACAGCCCCTTCTCTCACGTGCGTGTGTGTGTGATTTAGGCGAGAAACAGGAAGAAAGAGAGAAAGAAGGAAGAGAAAGAGAGAGAGAGAAAATTTTCTTCATGTTCTCTTTTAGAAAATTAGAGGAGTTTTTTAATTAGTTGATTAAATGTAAATTTATATGGTAAAGGAAAGGGAAGATCGTGTAACACCTGCTTAATTTACCTGAGGAAACACAAATAATGAATTTCATCAGGAGGACTGATAATCCATTGTTCATTGAGATGCTCATTCAAGGAGAAAGAATTGTGGTTGTTGCTGCAAATGGGCGACACTATTCGCATTGTTCTCTAGTGTGAGGTAGGAACAAACCGAGTTGTTGAGCGTGGAGGCATTGGATCGCAGTGATAGGGATGATCTACTAGCTCCTCTTGGTTCTGATGTGAACACAGTTCGGGATTGTTGTTGACCTGGTAATGGACATTGCGGTCTTTCATATGCTGCTGCGATAGTGCAATGGCTCGTCTGTATAGGCTCAATGCTGAATTCACTGCCTGCTCTCGTCGCTGTAGTCGCTTCTTGAGCTGCAAATGAAAAGGACAATGACGACCTCGAGTAAACGCTGGATTGATCCTCCTCATACTCCTCTTCTGTTTGATTTCGAGTTGCAAATGACGCATTGTTGATGTTGGTTTGTCTCTTTTTGATCACTCGATTGTCCTCAAAGAGCTGATGATTGTTGCTGTTGGACGATGGCGACGATGTAAATGAGAGCAGTGCCGCACTATGTCTTTTGCGTATTCTGACTGTGGATGTCGAATTACTAGTGTCGATGAAAGGCGGTTTAGCAATGGCATTGGTGCTATTGTGATGAGAGAGTGTGTGCTGCTGTACTACATTGTTAAATGAGAAACCTTCAAAGGGATCTTGCAGCTGCTCTTGCTCATCCACATCGATGAGCGATGACTGACTAATCTTTACAGGCAAGCTCGTAAACATGCCGTCGAAATTGGATATGTCTTGCTCATTTCGAATAAAGGGTATATAAGGTGGCCTTAGCTTGAGCTGTCCTACGTGCTCCCAATCCTTGATAAAGCCAAAATAGGGATGTGCCTTGATTTCTTCAATGCCATCTTCGCCCCAGCCTAGTCTTTCACAAGCTTCCTTCTCCAACAATCCTGTCAAAAAGCTGCAGGTAGCAGGATCAAAATCACTGGGAAACTCTAGCGAGTCTTCCAATACTCTTTTATACATTTCCATATGTGTTTCTGCCCAATATGGTGTCTGATATCATGCTTCAGTCTTAATATCCCTTTTTTAAATTAATTAAATGGTGTTCACTTACTGTGCCTGCCAACATTTCATACAAAAGAGTTCCCAAACTCCAGAAATCAACAACAAACGTATACGGCTCTCCCAGCAAGATCTCGGGCGCCAGGTATTCGGCTGTGCCGCAGAACGTTTGCGTTGAAGACACATTGTATTCATCCACATCTTGCTCAGTGAAAATCTTGGACAGCCCAAAATCAGTTAGAATGATATGGCCATCTCGACCAATAAGTACATTTTCCGGCTTGAGGTCCCTACAAAGAGTCTATATGTAATCTATTTCCTTGTATCACATTATATAATGTGCTTACCTGTACACAATGCCGTGCTCATGTAATATCCCAAGACCGTACACAATCTCAGCTGCATAAAATTTAGTGCGCTCTTCATCAAAGCATGTCATGTTGGATAATTGAGTGGCTATATCACCGCCTGCATAGTACTCGAGCACAAGGAAGAGCTCACAGGGCGTCTGGAATACATGATGGACTTGGGCCAGAAAGGGCTGATGTCGTAATCGCACTAGAATGTCTCTTTCGGCCCGAGTGTGGATCAGCTCCTTCTGCTTGATGACCCATTTCTTTTTGATGGATTTGAGAGCATACATTCGTTCGTTTCTCTTTGATCGCACAAGCAGCACTTTGCCCATACATCCTTTTCCTAGCACTTTTAGTAAATCAAAGTCTACTAGTGAGATTTCTGAGGACAGTTGCTCTTGAGCATCAGTAGTTGCTGGAATAATACAAGATGGAGGTGCTGATGTTGGCGTTAATAAAGCGAGAGAGGGTAAAGGCGTAGTGGGGCTAATAATTTTTGGTAATGGCTTATTCACAGCATTGATTTGTAATAGGGGAAGGTGAATTTGTTGCTGCCGCTGCTGTTGTTGTTGTTGAGAAGAGGGAGGAGGAGGGGGAAGAGGATAACACACAGCGGGAGATAGTGATGGCAACGGCGGTAGTGGCCCTGTATACTTGGTATTATCTGCCGAGCTTTTGATTTCGAAAGTGGGTGTTAATGTAGTCGATGTATGCTGAGAAGTAAGCGATGCATCTTCGTCACGTTGTACGCTGGTAAAATCTCGAAGGATAGAAGAGATGCCAATAATGGGATGTTGAAAGCATCGCTCGAGATACCTTTCGACTTTGGATGCATTGCTCTTTTTATGAGAAAAGAGTAACAAATCTAGAAATGATCGACGTTTTGAGTTACGCAAAGTGTGTTGATCCTTTTCCTGCTGCTGGTGCTGCTTTTGTTGATGTAATTGATGATGATGTTGCGATTTTCGGGGAGGATTATTAAGGGATGGAAAAGATATTTTTGATCTAGGATAGTGAAAGCGAATCTGATCATGCATTTTAGTTCGGTAGTGTGTCTGTAAATGCCTTTCTTTGTCTACCTTTTGATGGAATTCGAGCAAATCAAACGGGTATCGTATAAGAGACACAGTGGATTGTGAAGTTTGAATGATGATGTTAAAGACCTATCATATGCATTTATTCAATGTTTGCTATTTAACATGCCTACGCATGAATGGCCATATTTACAGATAGTGTGTTTTGTTGAATCGATAATGTGGTTTCAAACACGGATATATGTCTAGAGCTCTCAAATGAGCCGGGCATCGTGTGCTGTTGAGTGATTTGATTCAGGATGAACGGTGCGTAAGAACGAAGGTGAAGAAAAGAAAGAGATGGTTTCAATTGATCTGCATGAGTATTTTAATATTTTGTACACACGCACACAAACAACATATTTCACATTTCCCCTTCATTACATACAACTATGTAGCGAGCGACTCACCTCCTTCAGACTCACCACACACTCAAAAACTCCCAAAAACCCTGAGGAAGAAACCGATACTACTGCTATCTGATTCAAAGCCCAGCTAATTTGACATTATCTTGATTTGGAAGCCTCTCTCTCTGTCCGTCTGTTTAACACTCCTTTTTTTCAAGGAGTAATGGCTGTGAGCGTGTGTACGTGTGGATGAGCGTGTGATGATATAGACATGTCTGTATATAAATCGTTTTGTTTGATGTTTATTTTTTGTATAGACATGATCTGTCTGTATGCGTAAATGTATCCAATGCGTGCATTCAACCTGACATCTACAACAAGATCAAGCGAATTCACAAGTCTTGTAGATATGCTATTTCGCATGAATTTTCTTTCTTCTCCCTCATCATACTATAGCATTTTCGAGCCTCCATCTCAGCCCTCTCCTTCTCTTTTCCATACTCCCTGAGGCATGACATTATCTAATTTTGTTTGTCAAACAGCATGTGCCTTTCACGCCCTTTTGTCTAAAATGTATTGATTTCGATCTCGCTCTCTCCTTTTCTTTCTTTCTGTACAATCCTAATGTCTACGTCATGCTTATGTGTATAGATTGAGTTCTGTCATAGAAGCATCAATCTATTTGCATAGAGGATATCAAGAACAGCGCTTGGTGTACAATGCTGGCGGTTCATCTATGGATTGGGTGCGTATACTTGTGTTTTGCACTTATAGACAATGTCGTGGAAGACAATAGCCTGTGATCGTAAGCCCTTGGGCAAATTTCATAACATAATAAATTTTTAGTCCATAGACACTTTAAAACCCTCATATGGAAACTGAGTTGCCAGGCATTTGTCAGGCATGGCTCATATATGATGATTAGAAATTTTATATTAAACCACTATCAATCAACAATCAAGTTTCTTCTAACATTTTAGCTATTATTATTAACTTTTCAATATTAGCCAAAGATTCGCGGCAGTGCGAGCCATCTGAACGTAGGCTGGCTTCCACCGAAGCGAAGCTTAGGTCAGAAGAGTTGAAAGTCTTGGTCCCTAGACACTTTCAAAGCCTCAAAAGGAAAGAAGTAGATCTAACAAGTATTTTGATAAACTGGCGTTATTAAATATGGAATACAAGAACAGCAACATGGCTAACACCAGTGCTATGTAACTTTCCATTTACTTTATATACGCTTCAAAAGCATCTACTACTGTATGTCCTTCATGATGAAAAAGGCATTGAGTTTGCTAGTGAGCCTCACCAGCTAGCCAAAATTAATTTAAATGCAGACAATTTTTTTCTGCTCAGGATTGGATAAATTCTGTTATCTTCGACTTGATCTAACTATTTTATGATATTCGACTATGAAAATTGTGGTAATTACCCGATGCTTCCTAATACATTCTTAAAGTACTTTTCAAGGCGCTTCCAATGGTGCTAATTGTAATACGTGTTTTGACTGAAATTGTTGAGCAATTTATGAAAATATGAAATGAGGCGTCTGGCCAAAAAGTCCAAATTTTACATATCAAAGTCCCACAAAGATAATTTCAGAGGTTGCTTTGGATCGATAGAAACATTTTGATTCAAGATATACCATAGTAAAAGTCTTCGTTATCAAGGTGAAAAATGCGATCGTTTGATTTTCAATGAAAACCATGAAAAATACCTCATGCTTTTGGGTCGATTTTTGGCCATGTTTTTTTGGTCCCCAAAAAGTTGAGCAATAGTATCAGCAAGTAACTGCCAGACGAGAGCAATTGTTCGGTGATATTCATACGATCTAAAACGGCCTTTAACGCAAGAAAACGCAGCTCAAATGCACTCAGATTTTGCTGTATTAAGCACACTCTTGACTAAAAAGGGATAATATTTGTATGCTACTTGCCCGTATATGAAGTGCCTACGAGTATATAAATGCGGAACATCACGTAAGAATTAGATCCACAGATAATATGAAGGGTTTTCATGTGCAAGTAGAGGGTCAATATGAAAGTAGCAGTATTTTGATAAGATACGCAAGAACAATCGGTAGCGCGAGCTGCTGCTGTGCAGGTTGGTTCTCACCAAAGCGAAGCGAAGGTAGAGAGACATCCAAAGCATAAACACTCGAATGCATAATAAAATAAAGCAGTGAAGATCATATTTGTGCCTGATTTTCTTGATTCGATGATGCCTGCCAACAAATCAGTTCAGTCTTTACTAAAATTGACGAGGTGGTTGCATAATGAACCCAAATAATTTGATTAACGTTCATCATCATGATTTAAATACATCGAATGCATGCATTTACGTAAGGTTCTCGCTTGGTGGCGCAAACTAGGTCATCCCTGAGTAGCCGACTATATTCATGTTGCGTAATAGATAACAGCTCCAAGAAGCGCAGTAATTTAGTTGGGAGACATAATATCACTACCATCATTCATTTAACCCAACAGAATAGAAATGTGTCACTAATCTCAAATGATGAACCATTGCATCTTATCAATGAGAACCAAGAAATGACCCGCATTTCTTGCACGTTAAAAAGTAACACAATGTACATTTGTATCACATCTTTACTGTCCACCTGAAACATCTCTTGTCGTTGATTCTTTCTTACAGCAACCTTTTACAACGACCACCATGGGTGAAGAAAATGTAGTTGTTGCTACTGCTGGGCCCACATTGACTTCTGTTCAGGTCGCTTTGATTGCGATGGGAGTCGTCGCTTGCTCCAGTTTTGTATTAGCAGTTTACATCTGGGGTAGATCTCTAGTGAATCAGAGAAGAGAGCGTATGCTGGATAATGCGACAACAACAGCTGCAGCAGAGATAGCAGCCGAAGAGCGTGTTTACAGACAACAACAACAATATCATCACGTTCATGATTATGCGCGATCCACTATTCATGATACATCTCTACTACAGCAACACCGCCTACGACAGCAGCCCGCTTATACAAACAACACTGCTTACTTTGTTCATAATGGATTACCTCTTCCACCAACGTACAGGTCCGAAAACTAAAGCACCCTTCTTTTATTATAGCACTCAACATGTCTTTGATTCAAGCGTTCTCACCAAGACATCCAAGACATCCTCGTTATGCTGACTCAAATCCAAATCTGGTTGATCCATTTTTTCAGCAAGCCAGTTATTCTACATGCGTATGTTAGTCCATAATAAAAGAAAAGCTGTACACCTCGTCATGAACGCTTACCAACTCCTGACGCAAAAACTTGAGTAAAACTGCAGTTCTTGCGAAGCAATCAAAGTGGATCCAATTGTCGAGTATGATCTTTCGCTGTTTGTACTACGCAAATGTGAGTAGTCGCTGTGGTCTCCATTTCTATACCATACCTTGATGTCAATGCCAGTAGCCAACAGAATCACAGCCACAGCATCAATGCAAGATGCCTCCCACATGTAGACCTTGTCTTTCATTTGTCCATTGGCGTTATTCATCACCACTGTGTTGTACACCAAAAAGCCTGAAGTAAACACATGCTCTTTGCGGAACAGCATGGAAGAAGGATGAACCGAAAGCTCCAAATTCTTGTTGATAATCTGTCTGGAGGTGGGTGCGTATTCTGCAATCTTGGGATATAAACCAGCGGTTAGCGCAGCATTGATGATTGGCAGGGAGAAGCTGTACGTGTTGTATGTTTCTGGCATTTTACACAGCTGAATGCCTCGTCGCTTCACGTCAAACTGAGCGAGATAATCATTGTCTGTCGACTTGACAAAGCCAATACTGACCAGCAGCTCCATGTACTGACGCTTCATGTCTTCAATCATCTCTAGGTTTTGCTCGCTCAAGAAGTTTTCTTTACAGAATTGGCGCATCTTTCTCTGCAAACTTGAGATGGTAGCCTTGTTTTCGCGCAAGTCGATCAAATGTTCACGCCAAACGTGGTACGCCTTGTAAATGGTCAGGAAATCAGAGTTTTGCACACGGAATCGATCACGAGCGGCATCGGCCTCGTCTTCTTTACCAAAGGGTCTGACAAAGGGACTCTTGAAGCTGAGGGCAGCAGCAATAGTCAGGATGGGGTCGAGACAGCGGAAGATGGCGCCAAACAGGATCATCTTGCCAATGTGAACATCCACAGGCAGGTTGGCTAAATGTGAACCCAAGGGCGTCAATGTCTCTTTGCCATCGGTAGACAAGGCTTGTACTTCTTGCAACGTCAAGATGGCGTTGTCAATCATCTTGCTGGTAGGCGCATCCAGTGCTGCACCCAGAACATCACGAATAGCACCCAAACCACACACCTTGATACGAAGACACAGCTCCTCCAAGGGCAAACGGAGGATCTCTGGTGTTTCGTAGGTAGGTAGCTCTTCAAACTTCTTTTCTGTAAACAGATGAAAACAAACACCTTCTTGTACACGACCAGCACGACCACGCCGTTGACGCGCATTCGCCTTGGCTACGTATTTCTGCAACAAACGAGTAACTCTCTTTTCGTCGTCGTAGCTGACCACCTTGGCCATGCCCGTATCAATGACAATCGTAACATCACTGATGGTAACGCCAGTTTCTGCAATGTTGGTAGAAAATACAATCTTTCGGACACCCTCAGGAGGTACATCAAACGCCTTTTCTTGGTGTTCAGATGAGAGGGCAGAATGCAGTGCAATCAGCAAAAACTTCTTTTCATCGCCAAACACGTTATGACTGGAAACGAGATCATACAGCTTGCGAATCTCGTTCATACCCGGCAAAAATACGAGAATAGCGCCTGTATCCGGCACGTTGAATCCTTTGGTTTGCAGTTCATTGGCCTTGTCTGCTGCAATATCCTCTCCTGTCTTGCTCTTTTTAGGTATGCAAATGTGATCCAGCAGCTCCAGGATCAAATCATAGTTGATTTTCTTGTCGTCCATGCGTTTAATCATCTTTCTGGTCTGTCGATTGTACTTTTTAGTCTCGCCATCATCATCTTCTGTGTCCGTAGAGGCTGCTGATTCGACTGTGAGCTTGGATTCAATGCGGGTAGGGTCGTAAGGATCATCATCATCAGAGTCTTCCTCAAACATCTCATAGTGGACACGCTTGGACGAACCATGCTGGCCAGAGACATTGATATTGCCAGACTCTACGCCAGTGTCAGTAGCTGCAAGCCATCAAGAGAGTGTGAGGACTTTACCTGTCTTGACTCGCGCACGTCTTACTGCAAAAGGCGAATCTTCTTCCAGCACATAGCCTGTATCTTGCACAATGTCCTCCAGAAACTGCACATGTACAGGGTAGGTTCTACCAGGCACAGAGACTACTGGACAATTACCAAAGTACTGCGAGAATCGACTTGCTTCTACTGTGGCACTCATCAAAATCACCCTGTACAAACACGCATCAATACCGCGTTGCTACTATTTGCCACGATCCAAACTTACTTGAGATCCGTACGAAGACGGCACAGTTTTCGCAACACGACCAGCAAGAAATCACTTTCAATGGTACGTTCATGCACTTCATCCACCACAACATGCGTAACGCCCTCCAGATACGTGTCGCTTTCCAGTCGACGCAACAGAATACCAGTTGTACAGAACAGCAGGACGTTTTCAGCAGAGACCTTGTTTTCCATTCGAATCTGATAGCCCACCATCGCATCACGACTGCCTGTACTTCTGGGGCGATCACCCATCTCAGCAGAGACTCGGTTGGCAATGGACATGGCAGAGATACGACGTGGCTATGTGTGTGTGTATATGGCTTAGTATGTTGATATGAAAGGCGAATCACAGCTTAATACCTGAGTACAGATAACAGATCCTCCATCAAAGCATCCCATCAATAGATCCTCTGCTAGAAATTGAGGTACTTGAGTACTCTTACCACTTGAAGAGGGGGGTGGGGGCATCAGTAAAGAAAAGTTCAATGTAAATTGTTATCCAACTTACCAACCAGTTTCACCAGATATGATCAGCACTTGGTTATTCTTGACAAGGTCTAAAATCTCTTGTCTGTGAGCAGTAATGGGCAAATCCTTTCTCTTGTCCTTCATGGCCATATAGTCTTTGGTATCTAAGCGCTTGCCAAAGTTTTGCTTGACTCGATCAAACATCTTTTGTTGCTTCTGCACTTTTTGCTTGGAACTGGTAACAGCCTTGTCACTGATAATGGTATCTGATATATCGTCTGTAATTGACTGTTTCTGTAGAGGTTAAACTAGATGGTCTATAAGATGGCATATGCACAACTTACATTGCGTTTGGCGTTGGATTTGACAGCAGATCTTTCAACCAGATCCACCAGCAATGCTAATCTCTTTCTCTCTGCTTCCAGTCTAGGGCCATCTTCACGAAGTTTCTGTTGAGTGATGAATTAGTCTCATAGCTCTCCTTTGTATCAGCATTCAGAACTGCTTGCCTTTTCTTCTGCCCAAGTTTGCCAGATATTTCTATAAGTAACAGGCAACACTTTGTATACTGACGATGTGGGATCCATTTCAAAAAGAGCATACGCCTAGATATAAAAGCGATCAACAATGTGACCAAATGCTGTAAAGTGGTCATGCACTCACTGCAATCAATTGTATAGCATCTTGCTTACTGGATGCTCCGGTTGCCTCAGGCAGCTCATACTTGAGTAAAAGATTGTAGCCGTCTTTAGCTATTTTGACAGTGGCTCTCCAAATACCAGAGCCTTCATTTGTTGCATTGTATGAGATCTTTCCCAATTTTTGCTTGTTGCAGTGATCCAACATAATGTCTTTTGGATATCTACCCACATAAGATTTAGACACACTGAGATCCACTATATTCCAATTGGTAGATGCGGTCGTAGGTGTGGTTGTAGTAGCCATGATGGCAGCTTCCTCTTCTTCTCCCAACATTAAACCTCCAAACAATCCACCCTCGTCATCATCATCCACCTTTTCTGATGCCTCCTCCGTGGCAGCGCTGGATGCCTCTGCTTCCTCTTGCTGCTTTTTCTTCAATTGTGCCTGAGCCTCTATTTTTTCCTGACGGTTTTTTTCTGCAACTGCCATGACCTTCTCTGTATATAATTCCTGTGCTGCCTTTTTATCAAAATCCCAATCAGCTTCTAAACTAGCTAATTTGTCCTTTAATTTCTTGATGTCCTTTCTTGTCTTTTCGAGTTGAGCGTCAGTGAGAACAATAGGTTGCTTTTGAGCATCTGAATCAGCAGCAGACTTCTTTTTCTTCTTCTTTTTACTGTCATCATCCTTGTTTGTGTTTGGAAGCAGTTTTTCCAGGTCGGCCAGCTGCAGTTTGGTATTGGCATATTGTTCATTGATGTCTAGATCCTCCTCCTCATCCTGCAGCATATACAATGAGCCACGGATTTATTGTTAAACACAACCCTACGTACCATGTACTGCTGTGCTGCTTGCAAGATACGAGATCTCATGGCATGGTCGTCCTCCTCCTGCTTGTTAAACTTCTTTTCCACCAGCACGGCTGGCTCTTCCTCTTTGGCTGGCTCCATGTCAAACACATGCTTGTTGTTTTTGCCTTGATTTGATAGTAAAACCAACTGTTCATCATCCCCATTCTCATTGAAATACTTGTCAAAGAAACCAATGGGCATTCTTTCATAAGGTACATTAACACAAAGCTACACACAGAGAGTCAATCACACTAATCCACACATCTCACACGCATCCACACATACCCAATCCAAATGATCATCGATAGACTTGGAGAAAGTGGCTTCAAACGAAGCAGCCACATCTTCATCGTCGAATCCAAGCTTGATCAACACTCGATACAAGACGTCAAATTGGCTGACCACTTTTTCCTTCTCGTACTCGTTTGCATTGTTCAAGACTGGCTGGTCAAATTTACCTATCACATGTGCCAGATCAGCACTGTATCGACGCTCCCAAAGATAGATGAGAAACTTACCAAAGATATCACCGTGCTTGTGCTTGATCACTTGAAGTAGTTCCTTTTCCAGCTCTGCTGTTAGGCGAAACTTTTTGAGTCTGTCTGGTGCAAGTTGCTGCACTTGTGGATCTTCCTTAAGCAATCGCTCCAATGCGACCTGTGCTTTATGGTCGTTCAATGATTCGTACTTTTTCATCAATTTCATCACTGGGTCTTCAGTTGGTTCCGTTGCTGGTTTTGCTTCAAGCGCTGCTGGTGTGTCTGCGGCAGGTGTCAAAATGTCCTGGAAAGGATCCTGTGGCTCTTTTGCAGGAGATGCTGTTTCTGTAACTGCCTCAGCAGCTTTGGGCGCTGGTTCTATCTTTCTGGAGGGCGCTGATGTAGTGGCATAGCCACGGTTGGACACGACCTTGGACTTTTTCTTTGCCATTTTGATGAATTGAAGCAGAGAAAGAAAAAAAGAGTGCTTGTATGTGTCTTTAGTTTGTTTTGTTTAAGCCTCCTTTTCTTGAAGCGGTATACTAAAAATGTTCAAGCAATCAACCCTATTTGCTAGTTTTGCTACTGCCATTGAGCAAGGACATTTGAAGTGTCAGAAAGACTACTTGAAGGAGCTAAATGGTTGCAAGAGCTACAGTGACTAACGATGTGAGCATATTTGGCTGAGCACTATTAGAGTTTACTAGATACAAATGACACAGTGTAAGGTTTTATTTATATATATACAGTGACTGAGTAAGCTAGAAGGGGCATCGTTTCACTCTACATCTATAGCAGACGCTATAATGTCTACAGTTTGTAGTAAAGTTACACCTTTGACAAGTCCAATCCAAAAAATCCGACCTTGTGTGTCGACCACACCTGAAGCAAGGGGACTGACTGTAATGGTTTTCTTGCTTGCAAAAACCACATATCCATCTTGGTGGCCCTTGTCTAATGTCAAAGTCAGCGTATCTAGATTGTTCCTGGTAACCTTCACTTGTGTCCGACATTTTAGAAAAGGTTTGAAAAAGTACCTACTCAAAAGCCTCGCCTACATATACCTGTAGGCAAATATATATATATATATATATATATATATATCATGTAGCTCATGGGAATATCTCCTCTATGCATTCGCATTATGTATGTACAGTTGATTTATTGATCTGCTAGTTTTTAGTAATCCAGTATACTTCACACACCAAATGTGGATAGTTCTCGACTCTTTGGCACTTCCATTCCCTCTGAGAAACCTTTTCGAAAAACTCTCTCTCATCAGGATTACGCTCCTTGTATGTAAGCAATGCTCTGCAATTGTCATTGTCCAACAGCCAGTCCAAAGTGGCCAGTAGCAGGTCGTGCGATCCTTGATTGTAGAGCACATCTGTCAGTAATACAAGATCGACATCACTGTACTGATTCTGCTTTTCAGGTCCCCACGACAGCTCCTTCACCAGCACCTCGACTTTTGTATGACTCATTAAATCCACATTTTGTTGCATGATTTCTAGTGCATCTGGCAGATCTGTCAAGTAGACTCGTTTTGGACTCAGTAGCTCTGCTGCATAAATGCCTACTAAGCCTGTTCCACTGCCTACGTGCCAAATTCGATCGTGATTAGCGTTTGCAAGACAGGCAGATTTCCAGCAAGCAATGCATACCTAATTCGAGCATGGTGTTGTATTTACGATCCAGCTTACTTTCTGACAAGAACTGACACATCCCCAGTCCACAATCCCTGAGTGAAGTCGCATGAATTGAGAGCACTACTACGTCCAATGAGGATAGACACATACCACACATGTCGCGCTATGCTCTGTACCGCATCCTCTCTTATGCACACTTTTGTTTGATGAGCCATCAGCACTCTCTCTGCCTGATCTCCACTTTCTTTGACATCGCCATGTCGCTGTTTCGCCACAGTGGTTGCAATTGGGGTCGACCAAGTAGGTATCAGCCACATTTGCTGGAATTCGTAAGCATGTTGCCATATGCCATGGCTAGGCCCACTTCGTGCTGCTGCTGCCAGCCTGATACCAAGCTGAATATTGACAATGGTGCCGATAGGTAATGGCTGTCCTGGCATCTGTTCAATCACTACTTTGGTGACAATACCGCCACCTCGTAATGGATCAAAGACAAGTGGTATCTCGCGTGCTAATGCTACCTTCTCCAACATGTATGGCTTTGCAAGTGCTGCCGCCTTCTTTTTCGAGTTGCCTTTAGGATCTGCATTCAATTCACGTAATCCAAGCTGTGAACATCCTTCAAGACTGATGCTGACAGGTACAGTCTCCCAGCATGTTTGGTCTCCTAAATCACTTTCTATGGTCCATACAATAGTAAAGTGTTGTCCTACTAGACATTCTGTTGGCGGTGGTTTCAAAAATCGAATGTAATAGAGAGGCGCACTGGTTGTTGCCGTCATGGTTTGGTATAGAGTAAACGGAAAATTTAAGTCTGCAAGAGGAAAAAAATGTTTTCTGTCACCTTTCAATGGCTGTCCCTTGATCAACATTCATTGTCAGCACGTTGATCCATTACTGCCATGTTTAGTAATTACTAAGATCAGGTGTATTTGAGCAAAACATACTCGCTTTTTAATATTGAGATGGACCTCTACAAACAACCTGTTACTTTAGATCTGGTTTTACTAGGATGCTCCGCGACTGTATCCACAAAAACAGCTTATGTGTGAGCATGCAACGCACTTGCATTACATCTTACTCTTCAAAAGCATGCAAATGACAGCGAAATCTGGTTGCAGTTGGGCCGCGATTTCTCTTGCTGGAAGCCATTTTAGACCGCCAAAATAGCGCCAAACGGTTTCTCTCGTCCAGCAGTTACTTACAAACACCTTTGTTCAACTTTTTTGGGATCACCAAAAATCGACCAAAAAGCATGAGGACCCCTCTTGGTTTTCACCGAAAATCAAACGATTGCGTTTTTGACCTCGAAATTGAAGACTTTTGTTATGACACATATTAGATCAAAACTTTTCTGTCGATCCAGAGTAACCTCTGAAACTAGCTTTGTGATACATTCATTTGTGAATTCTCGACATTTTCGCCAAAAACGTCATTTCATATTTTCAAGCATTGCTCAATAAGCTTATTCTAAACATCTTTAATAATTAGCACCGTCAGATGCGCCTTGAAAAGTACTCCAAGGAAGATTAAGAAAGCATAGGATGATTATGGCGACTTATATAGTCGATTTTAACAAAATAGATTCTCCAAATCGACAAAAGACCAAAAAAAATTTTTTTTTGTAGGGGAGACGAGCTCCAGGTTTTTATTTAAAGTCCTTTAAAGACCATTTTGAACGAAAAAGACTGGCCTGAGTTTCAATTGATTAAGGCGGCTGGCGGTATACAGTGCTTCCACTATCAACTTACCGAATTTTTGACAACACTGCACACTTTTTTGAAAAATATTGCCCACTTGTGCGAGGTTGAATGGGTTGAATAAGAGATTGAATGGGTTGAATGGAGGTTGAACGGAGGTTGAATGGGTTGAATGAGAGGTTGAATGGGTTGAATGAGAGGTTGAATGGGTTGAATGAGAGGTTGAATGGGTTGAATGAAGGTTGAATGAAGGTTGAATGGGTTGAATGAAGGTTGAATGAAGGTTGAATGAAGGTTGAATGGGTTGAATGAAGGTTGAATGAAGGTTGAATGAAGGTTGAATGAAGGTTGAATGAAGGTTGAATGAGAGGTTGAATGGGTTGAATGAAGGTTGAATGAAGGTTGAATGGGTTGAATGAAGGTTGAATGAAGGTTGAATGAAGGTTGAATGAAGGTTGAATGAAGGTTGAATGAAGGTTGAATGAAGGTTGAATGAAGGTTGAATGAAGGTTGAATGAAGGTTGAATGAAGGTTGAATGAAGGTTGAATGGAGGTTGAATGAAGGTTGAATGGGTTGAATGAAGGTTGAATGGAGGTTGAATGGAGGTTGAATGGAGGTTGAATGATGGGAACCTTGTCGTTTGGCAAAATCTCATTCAACCTCTCATTCAACCTCTCATTCAACCTCCATTCAACCTCCATTCAACCTTCATTCAACCTTCATTCAACCCATTCAATCTCTTATTCAACCCATTCAACCTCGCACAAGTGGGCAATATTTTTCAAAAAAGTGTGCAGTGTTGTCAAAAATTCGGTAAGTTGATAGTGGAAGCACTGTATCAGTGATATATGCTGTTCTTGATGCTATAAAAAGAGGATGGCGATCTGAATAGTATAACAGCTACTATATACTATCTAGCAAGAGATGAGTTTATTACTATTGAAATCTACTTAATCTTCCTGTATAAAACAAGGCCATATTAAATGCTGCAACAGCAGCTACAACCCGAAACATAACAACAGCTCCCAGATACTCGTACATGTAGCCTCCTGCAAGTGCACCCAACCCTGTGCCTAGGCCAAAATGAAGGGCGCCTAAAATACCTTGTGCAACTGATCTCTGTTCAGGAGGAAAGAAGCCATCTATTTCACTCACTGCCGTTGCCCAAAAGATACCAAAACCCACACCATGCAGTGTTTGCAGGACCAGAGCACTGACATTGGTGAAAGTTGAATCAGGTACCAGGATTGTATACATTAAGCAACGCACAATAGTGGCCACATGGGCGATCAAGATCATATTTGTCACACCACATATTTCAGTCAACTAACAAAACAAAGAGAGATGAGTCAAAGCCCAATGTGAGTGTCATGGTGATCGACTACTGACTTGTTTGGAGAAGCAAAAGCACAAGAGCTCAGTGATACCTGTGGTAGGTCCAGTCCAGCCGATCCAGTTTGCGGGCATGTGCAAATCTCGACTCAGGAACAAGAACAGGAAATTGACAATGACGGACAGGACAAAACCAAACAGGAGTGTAGCCACCAGAAAACTCAAAACGCGCACAGATTTGATCACGTTCTTGGCAGTCGGGATGCCTTCTGTGGAAATGTCCTGGAGACCTGCAGCCATGGACTGATCAATGGAAGCAATACGAGAAATAGACAAACCGAGGTCAAGGTGACCGATCACATCTAGAGTTTCATCTGCTTCCTCACGGATGGTATGAGCAGAGGCAATGCTGGCTGTTTTGAATAGATCCACGTAATGGCTGTTGCTGTGGTTGTTGCTGTCGGATGAGATGCTGTTGTAGTTGTTGACGGGCACACGAGCGTTGAGCAGTTTTTCTGATGTGTCTGTGGTCACAGGGACCAGTTTTCTGCCAGTGGCTGTGTGATGGCTCAAAACATGCTCCAAGGAGGGCTCATGTGAGGTTTCAGGTACAAGAATGTATTGCACATCTTGCTCATTCACCTTGGCAAAGCATGAAAATACCATGAAAAGCGCCGTTGCTGTTCCAAACACATAGAACAGCATGTCAAAGTTGCCTGTCATGGACAATAGCTGGCCCACCAGTAGAATAGTCAAACCTGCAGATACAGATCCCCATAACCGCTGTTCACCTATACATCAACATCAGTTACCGCTGAATCTACATGTGTCTGCTACCTTTTACCGTATAGAATCTTGTTTGGGCCCAATATCTTCATGACCGCGCTGTCCACAAGGGACATGTTGGGCAACGTAAAGAAGGCAAACGTCAAAGCCAAAGCAGATGTGATGGTGACCAAGGCGGCGTTGGAGAGCTGCATGGACAGCAGGTCGAGTGTTTTTGGTACCACCACTTCTGATGAAACGGAATGCCCGATGATCATAATCCCAATAACAGCAGAACCGCCCAGAAAACTTGTGATGGCCATGATGGGGCCGTGTAACGTTGGTTTTTTGTCAACAATATATGTCCATAACGGGCATGCCACGGATTGAATAAAGGGAGCAATAGCCAGCACAAGGCCAATTTGATCAGACGAGAAATTAAGGACGTCGTGGTAATAGAGGGGTAAATAAGGTGGAGCAGCAGAGAGTAGCGCAAAAATGGCTATATAGAGCAGTTTACAAATAACGTACATCTTTGCTGCTGTGGTTGTGATCTGAAGAGAGGGGGAAAAGAAAGAGAATGGACATGGAGTGGCCTTGTATTTATACGCTTTGGAAAGAAGGGTTTCATGGATGTCAAGGCGTTTCATATGGAAAAAGAGTAAACTTTATTGAAGAAACAAAACAAACACATATTCAACTGTACAACTTTGCTTCACCCTCACTTGCCCATGATGTCCCTTATTAAATCAATCAAGGTGCATGTTGTCATGACAATGTTGGCCTCCAGCAGGTCGCAACGGTCTTTTTCCACCTGGTTCAGAATGTCCAGATCAATAGACAGCTTTCCCAGTGATTTGCTGAGGTAGTTTAACTTGTGGCTGTGGAATTCCGCAATCAGTTTCCATCGTCTGCACGTTTTATGGCTATGATTGTCGTGATCATCCTCCTCATTGTCGCTATCACTGTCAATAAAGCCGTCGTCCTTGGTGGACTTGGTCTGCTTTTTCTTCTTGGACGGGTTCATCTTTTGCTGCAATAACTGCTGCTGCAACTGCTGTTTTTTTTCTTGCTTTGTGAGCTTGATCTCGCATGTAAAGTCATGAGAGAGCAGGCTGGGCCGCTTCCATCGCATGCAGGAGCCATGAAACCAAGTTTCATATTCAAACAAAATGTTGGATTGCGATCTCTTGACGAGGTCTTGACAGTACACTGTGTTTGCTGCAGCTGCTTTTAAGGTTGGAATATGAGATTGTGCAATGTCGTCAATAAGACTGTCTTGGTAGTCTGCTGATTCAATCGAGATATGCTTTTGAAATGCACCTCGCCTCGCCTCCGCTACTTTGATGCCTTGCCCATCGTTCTGATTGCAGTACAGCATGCTCTGCAGCCCCCACGACGAATACGGCTGTATCTTGCGGTACACCATCACTTCCTCGTCGTCCTGCTCGTCTTCATGACCAATGTGCAAGTAAATGTGGTGCTGGTTTGGCTTCAGTATACTCGCTTTTTTAAAGTTGTAAACAATGACATTATTCTTTGTTTTGCTGTTACCAGCCGGCTTTGTAGTACGGCTTTTGCTCTGTTGCAGAAAAAAAGATGATGCGATGCCACTGTCATTGGATAGCAGTGCTGCTGCTGCTGCTGCCACAATGTTTGCAGCATTTTTGTTGCTCTTGTTGCGGTGGTGGGCCAGTGTTTCTGCAGTAATGGTGTCTGTGTCAATGCCTGTGATGCTATTGGCAGGCGATGAGGGCATCACATAAGCAGGCGCATCTTTGAGCAGCTCGTCCTGATGAGCCATCAAGGTTGTTTGCGTGGTAGGTGTAGATTGGCTCAAGATGGAGGATGTGATCTGGGATGTGTAGGGCTTTTTGGAGAGTTTCTTTGGCGATGAAGGAGGAGATCCGAGAGGGGTGTTGGGCGAGTAGACAGTTTCAAGATCTGTGGTTGTACTGTTAGTAGAAGCAGAGGACAGGGCAGGACTTTGACATGTTGTCGTTCCGTTATTGTTCCTCTGGAAATAGCGACTAGCAAACGAATCGACTGTCATCCTACTGCTACGACTGCCATGCCGACTTGCTGTGATGACCTTAGGAGGCCCCTCGTCGTAGGCATTTGGTTTTTCGTACACGGCAGAGATAGGGGCGATGCTTTTCTGAGTGCGGGTGGTGTCAATGGTGTCTGGCTTTTGATATCTGATGTCTGCTGCCATTGAAGATGTAAGGAAAGAGAGAGAGAAAGGAATGAGAGAAAGAAAGAGACATTGCAGCAGCTTAAATAGATCCAAGGAGAGGCCTTTCAGTGCTAAACGGAAAGTCGAATGCAAAAGGGAAACAACATGACGCCAACCAAACAAAAACAAAGAAGCACATCTAAAATGTAGACTTTCAATCTTACATTCAGTTGCCCAGTGGACACATCCAAAAGCCGCTGTAAATTATAAATTGTCTGATTTTCTTTCTTCTTTTACTTTCCATTTTGTTTACCAGAATACAAACGACGCGGTTTACTCGACATCATGGCGTCTGCAACCAAAGAACAGCAAATCACTCAACTTTTTACTGAATTGAAAAAGACAGTGGATGAATACGATGACGAACGCAGCCTGGAGATTTGTGATAAGCTCATCAAACTGAATCCAGAAGACCAGCTTACGCTTCAGTGTAAAGTCGTAACCTTGATTCGTCTCGAAAAATACAAGGACGCCCTCACCATGATTGCTCGTCAGTTCAGAAACAGCGACATTGACCTCTCTTATGAAAAGATCTATTGTTACTATCGCACGAATCAGCTGGCGCCTGCCATGGAACTCTTGCAAGAACTCAAGTCCAAGAACGCTTCCAACGATCCATCTTTGTTGTATCTCGAAGCACAGTTGGTAAGTGCGATGAAATTCGATGCTGTCAGCATGACAACTCATAATGGGTGATAGCTCTACTCTCAAGGTCAATTTGAAAGGGCCGTGGACGTTTACGAGTCGCTCCTCAAGTCATCCGACAAGAACAGCAACTTGTACGATGAAATTCAAGTCAATTTGTTGGCTGCCAAGGCTGGATTACTCTTCTCAACAAGCAACAGGGCCCCTGTCAAGGATAAAGCAGAGCTGAAAGAAAGCGCTGATCTCTATGAAGTTGCCTACAATGCTGCTTCTGTCTATTTGGCTCGTGGCGATGTCAAAAAGGCACAAGAGCAACTTGAATTGGCTCACAGTAAGTGGAAAGAGTAAACAGTCGACATACACCATATCAACATTGTGTGTAAAATAGAGCAATGCAGTGACAGATCACAAGGCATGTCAAAGGAGGAGCAAGAGGAGGAGTTGGCTGTCATTTCCACTCAACTAGGTTATACCTATCAACTGCAAGGACGTGCGAACGATGCCATGAATATCTACAAGCAATTATTAAACTCAAAGTAAGTTGATCCAGCACGGTTCCAAGAAGGCGTACTGACGCCATGCCTTTTCAGCGATGCAACTGTAGCTGCTGTCGTGTCCAACAATGTGGTTGCTCTCGACCAAGGCAAGAACACGGAAGAAGCAGCCAAGCATTTAAAGACTGCCACCAGCAAAGAAGCCGATGTCAAGCTCAAAAACTACCAAAAGAGAGTTATCCACATGAACGAGAGTTTATTGCAACTGTACAGCCAAAAATACTCTGCCTGCAGAGATCAAGCACAGAAATTGATTGACAAGTATCCTGACAACGACAACTTGTATCTCGTTTTAGCCAGTGCCACTTACCATCAACACAAGGCTGCTAAAGCTGTGGAAGAGCTCAAGAAGTACGCTGAAAAGAAACCTTCTTCTCTCGCTATTCGTTTTGCCACCATTCAACTGCAACTGCTGGAATCTCAACCTGCTGCTGCATTATCAACGTTGGAATCTTATTTAGCTTCTGTCAAGGACGACAAGGGAAGTTATTACAAACCTGCTCTCATTGCCTTGTTGGTATGGTTGTATGAGCAAACAGGCCAACCTGAAAAGGCCATGGAGACATTGGATGAGGCATCCTCAGTGTGGAAGAACGATACATCATTCACATCCACTGCTGCACCTACTTCTACCATCAAGCAAACTGCTGCCTTCAAGCTAAAGACGGGCCGTTATCAAGATGCCGTGGTTGATTATGAGCAGTTGGTAAAAGCAGACCCCTCTGATGCTCAAGCTATTGCTGGCTTGATAGCTGCTTATGCCCACGTCGATCCTAAAAAGGCCGAACAATACGGCAATGCCTTGCCTGCCATCACATTGAACCATTTGGATGTTGAAACCTTGGAAAAAATTGTGCCTGGTGTCAAGCGTGGCTATGTCAAGAAGGATCCCAACGGTGTCCATGTCAAGAAGCCAAAGACTAAAAAGAAGAGAGCCACTCTGTATCCCAAGAAGATGGATCCCAATGTGCAACCTGATCCTGAGCGTTGGATTCCTAAATACGAACGATCCACTTTCCGTATGAAGGGCAAGAACAAAAAGGCCTTGAATAAGGGTCCTCAAGGAGTTTCGATGGAGGGCGGAGGCATTGGTGGCACAGGTAGTGCCAATATTGGTGGTAAAAAGGCTGCTTCCACTACCGCTGCTGCTCAATCACCAGAGCCTGTCAAGGAAAAGGTAGCCAGCACACCAGCACCTGCTAAATCTGCAGCCAGTAAAAAGAAGAAGGGAAAGGGAAAGAACAGAAAGTAATGTGTTTTCCTTTGAGTTTTGATATGTAATAAATGCCTTGAAAACTTGGAAAACTGCCTGCTTAAAACTAACTGAAACGTCAACTGTTTGATGTACTTTTCGATATGATGGCATTTTGGTCTAATTAAAATAGCTTATTATTGCTTCTTTAAGCTATCTAAAAAATACCTGAATGTTTTCAACGATGGGTTTGTGCTCGACAGAACGAATGCGCTGCTCCAGATCTTTAAGGGTAGCTTCTATTTCAATAGGTACATCTCTCTGAAGATTGGTTCCTTCACGACCCACATCAATAAGCACCATCCTTCTGAGTTGGAGCCTTGTCTGGTGTTTCTATTGGGCCTCTAAATATCAAACATATGCTGTATATACGCACTAATAGATAAACTCAAGCCCCTACCATGCATCAAGATATGGAAGGCAGCGATACCTATCAATACGCATCTTTGAATCATTATTCGTTTAAGCTCTTGCTTTGCATCATAATTCAATAGGAGGTGATTAGGCGTTGTTGTGAATGAACTTTTAGCACACAAACTTTAGGCAATAAATTGACAGACTCTTGGATGAGAAGTATGCCAAGACGGGATGCTTTGTAAGTTTTCAACTATTCTGTCGAATACCGTCCATTAAAACATAGAAAGCTGGTCTTTTTGGTTTTGTCAGAATAAAGGTAGAATAGGCGGTAGAAACGAGCAGTTAAGATTTACCCGAAACAAGTTAATAGCAAATTCTACAAATCATTCCAACCGAGGCTAAAAAGCAATATGATTAAAGCATTAATATGGAACATCATTCACCCCATCATCATAATTACCAGCAATGTAAAGCAATTTGTTAATATGATACAACTGTCCATGTTGATGACAGCTCTTTATTCTCATCAGCAACCCGAAACACGCATTTATACTTTGTAGAGATATAGGCACCGAGGTTATTTAGCAAGCCACAATATAAAGTTGGAGCTCGTAGACTGCCTCCATATACAGCCTTGTTCAATGTACTATGCATGTTTATGACTTTGGTCAAAAGAGACCCTTCTTCTCGGATACATGTGTAACAACGACGTCAAATGGATATGCCTATTTTAGGGCAAATTATTCCAGTTGACAAATATTGGAAGTACTATTCAACCGAAAGATTTCCGCTGTCTATCAACTTGATCATCTACATTTGGATTTGAAACATATCTACTTGTGGCCAAAAAGACAAAATAGAGAGTCAATTTCATGGTACAAGCAACAGATTCAAGCATAGATCTATAATCTGTGTAGACATACAGCTCTTCATTATCTTGATATAGTACTGCTATGAAAAAAAAAAAACGACGCGACGGACGCCTGGATGCAACATTTAGCCAAACTTGCTGAATTTCAAAGAAATCAGATCTGTAAGGCCAAACATGTCTCCCAGATGTATTGGGTCTATTTCACAAATGAAATGTATAAGCGACCTGACAAGAGAATATAAATACAAGCTGGATTCTGCTCGAGTTTTATATAGTTCCATAACAATTAATACAACAAACATGTGTGGCTTCTGCAGTTATTTCCATTTTGACACTTCTTCTCATCATCAAGAGTTTCCAAACCTTGATCTTGACACTGCTTTGCAATATATTCATCATCGTGGCCCTGATTCCAGAGGCAAGTTCTTGTCTTCTGATGGACGTTGTGGTAAATGAACATGAAACATCAGGATCGGCGTAGCAATAAACTAACTTATTTCTACTACAGCCCTAGGCCATGTTCGTCTTTCTATCATTGATTTAGCTGGTGGCCAACAGCCTTTGAGCAACCCCTCCGGTAGCATCCAATCTGTTGTGAATGGTGAACTCTATGACTTTGAACGCATTCGAACTGAACTGCAAGCCAAGGGCCACGCCTTTAGTACCAAGAGTGATAGCGAGATTGCTCTCCATCTCTATGAAGAATACGACTTGGGTTTTCTGGATCATCTTCGTGGCGAGTTTGCCTTGAACATCTATGACGCCAAGAAGAACCGCTTTATTGCTGCTCGTGATCGTTACGGTATCAAGCCTCTGTATTACACTGTCTCCAATGACACCTTGCTTGTTGCTAGTGAAATCAAGTCCTTTATTCCTATGGGCTGGAAAGCTGAGTGGGACATTGACTCGATTGTACATAACGGTGCCATCTCGGATATGAGAACCTGCTTCAAGGGCGTCTACAAGTTGCCTCCTGCTCACTATCTCGTTGCTACTTCTTCTGGATCCATTGAAATCCGTCCATATTGGGATGCTGATTATCCTGACAAGCATGTCAAGGAAACTCGTTCAGTCGAGGAGATGGTCCAAGGTGTTCATGACAGACTGCTTGAAGCTGTCAGACACAGATTGAGAGCTGATGTTCCTCTTGGTGTCTATCTGAGCGGTGGTATCGATAGTTCCTGTATTGCTGGTATTGCCTCCAAGTTGTTGAGAGAGACAAACCCTGACGCTAGATTGAGAGCCTTCTCCATCTCCTTTGCTGGTAGTGAAAAGCTAGATGAATCGACTATTGCCGAAAGAACAGCTCAGTTCTGTAACGCTGAATTCAAGAAGTTGTCATTGACTGAAGAGGACCTGCTGGCCAACTTTGAAGATTCCGTTTGGTATGTCGAGCAACCTCAGGTCAACTTGAATGGCGTTGGTAAATTCCTTCTGTCTCGATTTGTCCGTGATCAAGGCTACAAAGTTGTCTTGACTGGTGAAGGCTCTGATGAGCACTTTGGCGGCTATGGCTTTTTCCATGATGATTACCTTCGTGAGGCAGATCATGCTACTCCTGGTGGATTTGGTGCTTTGACCAAAGAGAAGCTTGCCATTCGATCTAAACTCGCTGGTGCCAACAAGGATATTATTGGTGGCTTTGTTAGCTCTGAATCTAATCTCTCCCATATGGATAGTTCTCGCAAGATGGTGAACGGCGTCAACACGCACAAGATCCTGGGCAACGTGTTTGCTTTGAAGGATGAAAGCTTCTCTGACGCAGCCATCTCTCAATGTGGTTCTCCTGCCCCTGGTTTGGCTATGGCTGAAAGCATTAATGGCATGGCTCGTTACAAGGCCAACTCCAAATGGCATCCTCTCCACACAGCCATGTACATTGAAAATCACACCATGCTCCCCAACTACCTTTGTAACGCTCTTGGCGACCGTAGTGAGATGGCTCACTCGATTGAAGCTCGTACTCCCTTCTTGGATCACCATCTGTGCGAATACGTCAACAATCTCCCTCCTTCCCTCAAGATCAAGACCGAAGACGATGGCTCGTTGAATGAAAAGTGGGTCCTCAAGGAAGCTGTCAAGCCCTATATTACGGACGAAATCTACAACCGTACCAAGCATCCCTACGTTGCTCCATCCTCTAAAGGTCGCAATCCCATGGTGATAGACCTGATCAACAAGCTCATCACTAGAGAGAATCTTGAAAATATGGGTTGGGTCAATTCTGAAAAGTTCATTCATAATAAGAACACCTTCTTACAAAACGGCGATCCACTTCTCTTTAAAGACATGTTGCTCATGATGTCCTATGTCATTCTCTCTCAGCGCTTCAACATTGCTACTTGGAATGCTCCTGAAACTGCTGCTGTAGCTCGTTAAACTGTATACTATACTTAGACTTTCATTTTGTAAATACCATCTTCATCATAACATAATAAATGTTCAGTCCCTGGACACTTTTACAACTCTAATATGGGAACTGAGCTACCAGGCATTTGTCACGCATGGCTCATATATGATGAGAGATTATATATCAATCAACAATCAAGTTTCTTTCTAATATTTTATCTATTATTATTAATTTTGCAATATTAGCCAAAGATCTGCGGCAGCGCGAGCCATCTGAACGTAGGGTGTCTTCCACCAAAGCGAAGCGTAGGTCAGGAAACCAACCAAAGAGTCGAAATGTTCATCATAACGTGATAAAATTTATGGACCCTAGATACTTTCAAATTCTCAAAAAGGAAAAAAAAAAAGTAGATGTAACAAGTATTTTGATAAACTGGCGCTATTAAATATAGAATACAAGAAGAACAGCATAGCTAACACCAGTGCTATGTAGCTTGCCGCTTGATTGATATACGCTTCAAAAGCATCTACTACTGTATGTCCTTCATGATGAAAAAGGCATTGAGTTTGCCAGTGAGCCTCACCATTTAGCCAAAATTAATTTAAATGCAGACAATTTTTTTCTGCTCAAGATTGGTCGAATCTTGTCATTTTTCGACTTGATCGAACTGTTTTGTGATATCCGACTATGAAAACTGTGGTGATTACCCGATGCTTCCTAATACATTCTTAAAGTACTTTTCAAGGCGCTTCCAATGGTGCTAATTGTAATACGTGTTTTGACTGAAATTGTTGAGCAATTTATGAAAATATGAAATGAGGTGTCTGGCCAAAAAGTCGAAATTTTACATATCAATGTCCCACAACGGTGATTTTAGGGGATGCAATAGATCGATAGAAACATGTTGATTCAAGATATACCATAGTAAAAGTCTTCGTTATCAAGGTGAAAAATGCGATCGTTTGATTTTTGATGAAAACCATGAGGGGTACCTCATGCTTTTGGGTCGATTTTTGGCCATGTTTTTTTGGTCCCCAAAAAGTTGAGCAATAGTGTCAGCAAGTAACTGCCAGACGAGGGCAATTGTTTGGTGCTATTCTGACGATCTGAAACGGCTTTGAACGCGAGAAAACGCGGTCTAAATGAAATCAGTTTTCGCTGTATCAGGTACACTCTTGACTAAAAAAAGGGATAATACCAGTATGATACTTGCCCGTATATGAATTAGCTACGTATATATAGATGTAGCGCATCACATAAGAATCAGACCCACAAATAATACGAAGGGTTTTCATGGCCAAGATGAAAGTAGCAGTATTTTGAAAAGATACGCAAAAGCAATCGGTAGCGCGATCTGTCGCTGCGCAGGTCGGCTCTCACCGAAACAAAGCAAAGGTAGAGAGCCATCCGAAGCATAAACAGTTCGTATCATGCAAAGAATATCGAATAAAATCACACTATAAACACTAACATTGGATCCTAATTTTACATGTTTATTTGATATCTTAATCAAAAGGAAGAGGTCGAGGTTTAGATGCGCCTTCCTTATTTTTTAAAGCAGCAGCAGCGATGGCACTAGGCACAGGAATACCACAGCAATCTGGATACTCTTGGCCTAGAGCAAACACACCACCATCAGGGCCGGTGCTAGCAGGCTTAGTATCATGGATATGTCCACACTCGTCTTCCAGATCCTCCGATTGTGGGTGTCCCCCTTCAAAGTGGATCAGACTACCAAACATAAAATGCTGCATAATAGGTAGTTTGGACAACACTTCTGCCTTGTACATCTTGATCATGCCCTGATTCACCTTGACCCACGTCTTGCAAGCTGAGATATCGTCCAACATGGGTGAATGCCAGCGTAAGGATGCTGTGGTTTTTACCGTGTTGATAAAGTGGATGCAGGCAAGATACATGTATGATTTGGAGAATTGTTCGACTGTATCAACATCATGGATTGATTTTGGCTTAATGTGCTTGTGGTCTGGATACAACAAAATGAGCATGATGGCCGACTTGTGCTTAAACTTAGATGCTTACCTAATAACTGAGCTGATCCAAACAGAAAGGGTAAAAAGTGATAATCATCCAACCCCCATACACCGTGAGATCCTGCTGGTTCAAGCCAGTAATCAAATTGAAGTTGTCTCATCAACTGGATATATCTGTTTAGCCAGTCAGATTAGATCACATAGCTCTGCTTGTCTACTGCTGATATAACACCTACTTTACAAAGATTCGTAACACAACAGCCTTGTCATCGCTTTCACTAAACACCTTTAGTTTCTCCAAACAGAGTCTAATCAAGCACATGTCAGCTTCTGTCGCTCATCCAGTAGAGAAAGGGGGATCCAACTTACAACCATGCCATGAAATTGGCTTCATGTCCAGTACCATAGTCAATTCTCTTTTGATTGCCAAAACTCTCATAGAAATACTTTCCAACTTCTTTGATGGCAGGTTCAGGAACAAGGTCTTTGAATAGCTCAGGGACAGACTGTAGAATCCCTTGTTAGTACTCTTCATTTGCTGATCTGTTGCTTGTGGAATGCTCCTCCTTACATCTTTTACTTTGTCATAGAATGTTCTGAAAGCTGGATTACCGAAACGCGATTTTGAGTTCTCAACCGGAGGGATCTCCTTCACCCAAGCCAATAGTGTCTCCAAAATATCAAGCACTGTTTGCACATTCTGTTACACACCATCTGTCAGTATTCTGTGCGCAGCAGTAGATGTGTCTGCTTGAACTCACCTTTGACACTTGCACATCGGAATCAATCTTGCAGTTCTTGATCGAGTCATTCAGTCGTTCAATGTATCCAATGTACTCGTTGTATGCACCGGATGTCAGAAAATCCTCTAGATCTTCTTTAGTGACAATACGTTTGATGGGAACAGTATACTCCATGTTGTTAAATGCTGAAAAGTGGAAAGAAAAAGCTAAATGAAATGAGGTACGGTTCATTACTAATGTGACTCGAGAGCCGAGTTCCAATGTGTTGTGTGAACCTGCAGAGTCCAAGTGGGTCAAGGATTAGCATAGAATTATGATTTCTTTGGTATACATCAGCTACTCAAAGTTACACTAGTATCTCTCTAGGTAGCAGTTAGGGTGGACATGGATTGATTTGCTCTAAAGGGCCCCGCCCAACATGTGTGATTATCTTTGAATTATGCAACTTTTGCATTTGCAAGACGATTGACATTAAGCTCTCGAGTCACGGTGCTGTGACCATCCAATGTCAAAATCCATTTCTATTGAAAATAATTTTCAAAAGGCTTGCCATCGTCGTGCTCTTTTCAATCTAGAGCATCATGAGTGAGTTGACATCTGAAAAGATCGCTAAAGCTCTCAAGGGAGCTGGTCTTTCAAGCAAACAAAGAATCGAAAAGGCCCAAGAAGCTTGGTCCAATGATGCCATCTTTTTCCCCAACAAAGACGACTTTCTATTCGACTGGATCTGTTCAGCATTTGCGAAACCCAACATGAAAAAGTAAGTGCCAGTCTCGGGACCAATGGATACATTGCTAACAAGTATACAGACTGGATGATTGCTGTCTGCTTCAACTTTCCTACTGGGCATTATTGACAGATTTGCTGCACTATTACGCCGAGAAAGCTCGCCTCGATCCCAAACGCAATGTGCCTACTGTCCACGCCAACATTGTATTGTCAGTCTCCACTCTTTTGCAGCAGTTGGATAAAAGCCACCTCGACAAACCTCAACAACGCATTGAATTCTATACTGCTGTTCACACTTGCCTCGAGATCTTGTTCTCTGACACCTTTGCCTTGTCCTATCGACCTGCATTTGAACATGTATCCACTGCTGTAGATCAAGTATTGGCTACCATGACAACACAGATTGATCTATGCAACAGGAATGAGACAAATACAGTCGAGTCAAACGCCTTGTATCAGCTTGCCCTCACCGCTCAAGTGCTGCTGAAAAAGTACGACTCACAACTAGTGTTGGCTGCAAATCAGAAAAAGGTAGAGTGATTTTCTAGGGCCATGTTTGACAGCCTAATGACCTGATCTGCCATAGATTTTCTCTTCCATTGTCGACAAATCACTTGTTAAATTTCTGGGTGTGCGCCGAAGAATCAACTTGCTTAGCAGCACAAACGACACAGCCAACATCTCACACATCATTACGGATATTATTCGTCACGCTCTGTTTCACGCTGATACTGTGTTGGAATATACCTCTGTTTTGAAGGATGTCATTGCCACTGACAACACAACAACCACAAGTGGAAATGTCAAGCAGACCAACTATGTCGTCAAGTTGTTTGAAACGCTGGAAGCTATGGTGAGCAATACCAAAGACAAAGAGCAAATGTTGGATGGTAAGACGATCTACCGCTCGCTGTAGCATATGTTCTTATGCGGTTGTTTTTATGATTAGCCGTGGATATCACACCTACCTTGTTTTCAGCATTTCTCGACGCCTTTAGACAGAAACGTAACACAAGCACCAGTGCAATGCAGGATATCAGCAGAATGGCAGAATTCGGCATCTTTGTGTACTTGCTCAAGATTCTGTCCTGCATCAAAGAAACACATGTAGCCGTCTATTTGGAGTCGTTATGTCGATTATTGAAAGAGTTGTTGCAATGGAATGTCTACACTGCTCGTAATGATGATATTGCCAAGTCGCAGCAACTAGTGCTGAATGAGATTGCTGATAATGTGGTGATTTATCTGGACGACTCTAAGCGTATGTTTGGATCAATCTGTGGAGATAGTCGTGATACTGATGGGCTGTATAGGTTATGATCAAGCACTTGTATTGGACGTGGCTGATGCTCTTCTTCAAATTGATCTCTCATTGATTGAAAGTCGTATCCAGGCGTTGTGGCCTTCCATGTTGAATGTAAGTAGGTACTCAAGCGTGCATGGATGCCGATACTCAACCTGCTTATTTTCAGCCTAAAGCCAATGCCTATGAATCATGCTTGAAGTTCTCGACGTCCGTTTTACATACCTATTCAGCTTCCAGACAGATGGATGTATTCGTCACGGATATTATCAAGAACATTGGACAAATGGAGGCTGATGATGTGTATACGTTATTGACAAAGCCCTTGTTTACCAGAGATTTCCTGAACGAGTAAGTTCAGTGTACGCATGAACAGGCACTTGTACTAACGGGATAGGGTAGATTCAGCGCCTTGGTCACAAAATCCATGCCTGCTGCTCAAGCTTTAGGCATCTTCAACGAACTGCAAACCGCCTTGATTAGCAACGTATACACCCCCAAAGACAAGCCAGTGTCCAAAAAGCAAAAGAAAAGCACTTTTGTTCCCACCAAATCCGACGCTCTCCTGATCACCATTTATTTTGTCGAGTTCACAAATGCATTGAAGTTAAACCAACATCAGCTGAAATCATTTGAATCCTCTGTTGTGGGTGTATTCGAGCAGTTTGTCAAACCCAGTATTCAAGCCTGGATCAAGACAAAAGACAATATTGAAGCCACTATTTTACCTGCTATGCGAATTCACTCGACTTTGATTACAGCCTTCTTTGAAACATATACATCCAAGCTTAGCAAAGAAGATTGGGAATGGTTGGCAACGTTGTACTTGGCTGTCTTTCATCACAGCGTCAAGTTGGATACGTTGGGATCACGCATTGTTGCCGTTACTTGTGTAAGTGTTGTGGTAGAGATGGTTTCATGGCTGCTGACCCAAAGTGTAGGCCAATAACATGCTTCAACATGTATACTATGCGTCTCTGGCACAAAACAAGGCCGCTGAGCAAACAACTGATCTGGTCACTGCTGTTGTTGATTTCGTCACTAAATCAGAAAAGAAGACCACTTGGTTTGAGAACACAGAATGGAATGGTGTCATGTTGGATCTCAGTACCCAAAATACTGTGAAGCTTGCTTGTTGGAAGCTGATCTCTGACGAGTGGTTTGAATCTGTAGCGTAAGTGTCATGTTGCAAGGTGTGTTTGGTTGCACTCTGTTAACATTGTGTGTAGTCGCTTTGCAGATGGTTCTAGAGCCGAAAAGATTGCCAACATCATCTTTAAATCACTGACAAACGATACACACGCTGACACTTTGGTGTCTGCTCAACATTTGAGCAAAACACTCCTTAGATCTGCCAACTTTTATGAAGCCAAGTGCTTTAAAGGTACGAGACATAGGCATGTTTTTGTGATGCTTTGCTGATTGCCTTTGTTTAGACTGTAGTATGAGTACTATTTTGGCTACACTTGCTGAATGCTTCAAAACCAAGCTTGTCAAATCGAGTGCAGGCGAACTATCCACTATGGCAGCCAAGATGATTGCATCTATCGACCTCAGCAAACCCCTTGCCATGGATCAAAAAGACATCCAGGCATTATCAGCAGCCGTTCAAGCCAGGGAAGATGCGATGGATCAAGATGTCTCTGCGACTAGCACTGACAATGTAAACAAGATCAGCACACTGCTGAAGCTTGTCTTGCTCTTCCCCAATGAGTACTTTGAAAAGAACGAGCGTCCTCAGGCACTGTATCTTGCTACGTTGGTTGATATCTGGTCGGTGAATTGCCAGGATGCTGATCAGGTGGCCCGCATGAAGGTGTCACTGATGTGCAGAACGCTTCATATGCGATTCATGGGGTATTTCAGTGTCAATAGTATCTTGGTAAGTGCTTTATGGTTTTCGCGCGTTGCATGCCTAACCACGCTTCTTGATAAAGGGCCTCGATTCAAATATGCTGGACTGGCTTGTCATGTCGAATCAGACATATGCTTCTAGCAGCTCGTTGGACCTGTACAGCTCTCTTGACAGTGTCACTAACGAACTTGACTTAAACATTCTGCGTAAAATTATCTTGAGTGCCGGTGCAAAGGTCCCTGAAGAGCACGCTGTCAACTACTTTAAAGAGACATTACAACGTCGTGTGCAAGATCTCGGTCAAAGTCCAGAATTGGCCAAGCTGATCAACCTTTTGAGAGCCATCAATTTGGCTTTGAGCACTAGAAAAGCAGCTGATGTCGATCTTTCCAATACTATCTATGCCGTCGATACTGTATCTCAAGTGAGCAAATACATCATTGCCTCTTTGACCAGAGCAAAGAGCACCATTGCCACCATCTTGGATCAAGTCAAGAGTAAGCCTAAGGAGACATCATCTATCGTTCAGGAAAAGACAACCATCTTTGATAACATGAAGCGCATCTTCCACTTGACTCGCCTATTGCAAGAATATGCTCGTATTGTTGGCCCTACTGTTGATGAAGCCATTCAAGCAGAAGAACTATCAAAGACATTAACTGCTCTCGCATCTCCTTTCATCCAATTCTTGCAATCAGCCCTGTTATCTGGAAAAGCACAGAACAATGCAGTATTGAATATGACTACTGAATTCATTGCTGCGTTCTGTTCCATTTTATCGAGATACCAACAAGTCGATACTACAAAGCGTGTACTGGCTGCCATCTGGTTTGTTTACACCTTGGTCTACAGTACAGGTAAGTAGCAGTGCCGCGTGTACGCATACCCTTAATGACTGACATGGTGCTATTCTGTAGGCGATAAAGAGTCCCTTGAAGTGCTGTCTAACGCATTCGCTTCATGGATCCAATCACTGTCCAAGGAACAATACACCATTGTATTGCAAAGCTTTGTTGAACAGGCGGAAGAAGAAGCGGATAAGCGTCAAGATGTGGCCAAGAAGCAGCATCATTTAGTGTTTCTGTCTCTCTTTTCTCTTTTGTTGACCCATTGTACTGACAGTATGTATATCAAACACGCATCAGTACTTTTTTTTTTTTTTTTTTTTTTTTACTCACTGTATTGGTTTTGCAGGCGAAAAGGGTCGTCTAAGAAAGCAAATCCCATCCTTTGTATTGAAAATGTCCCTCATTGCTGGCAGAACTACCTCTCTGAAGTACTTGCAACACATGTTGAAGATGCTTATCCAGTTAACGGGCGATCAGGTAAAATCTACAGCCAACTAGTTTCCTCTGTGTCTCATCTCTGTTTCTGTATAGTCCTATCATTTTAGTGATTATGATGCTTCCATCATTCTTTCGTGTCTCTTGCAGGTAGCTCACCCCACAGCACCAGAGAGATTCAGAGGTCAAATGAATCACGACATTGCTCAATCTATCTTTTCAGATGTATGCTCTGTCTTATCTAACCTAGTCAGCCATCACAAAGATCAGGTTGTGTACATGATGCCTCCCTTTGTTGCCTTTGTGCAATCTCTGCTGCATTGCTTTAAATCAACACATGTTTCTCTTGTCAGCAGCACGAACACAATGAACTCCAACAGTAGAAAGCGCAAGCACAACAGCACGACCGACGCCAAAGAGAGCAGCAAAAGCTACACTGGACGCACTATCCCCTTAATATACGAATTCACACCTTTGGATGACACATCGGCACAGCGATTTGCCCGTATTTTGACAACGATACCACAAAAACAACACACTACACAGCAGCAAAAAAACGCAAAGAGTGCACAAACCTTGCAAAAGATGATTGCCAAGCACACGCCTTCCATCCTGATTGAATACTTCACTGTGCAATCCAATCCTACCATGAGTGTAGTACATCCCAGTACGAAATCCATCTTGACACAAGCCCTGTATGATATTTTAGATTTGTGTTCAGAGGCAGATCGTACCTTTATTTTGAATTGTTTAGATACGCCTGGTAAAGCCTTGTTCAAGAGCTTTTATACGAACTGGAAGGATAATCATAAATACACTGGTCAATAGAGGCCTGCCATCATGTAATAATAAAGAATGCCAAATGTATCTAATAACAAAAGGATGAAGTGTACATGTATCTCGTTGTAATATAATAGGGACCACCATAACAGAAATTCTAGGCTGTAATGGTCTCTAGACTTGCTGAGCATCGCCAAAGGTACTCGTTGAACGCTTGGATGAAATGTCAATGATGTCAAAGCGTAATCATTACCTGTCCACTGAGAGACTTGATCTCAATGCTATAGCACGATTTGGTTGGTATATGTTAAGCCATGCGCGGTAAGCTGAATCAGAGTTGATGTTCTGATATTATCTCATTTGAAATGATGCAAATAGCAACATTTGATGATTTTGACCATATAAAAGCCTTACGGTATGTACATACAGCTGTTTATTTTACATATAGATCAGTTTAGATTCGCCCGTTCTCGAGTGGATATTCACATGTGCACTACAAATCTCTTTGTAGTAGCCAACCTTGATAGATGCACGTCTCGACGACGTGATATGAATACTCTTGGGGTTCTTTACGGAGATGACATTGGGTTCACAAAGCCAGCAATGCGCAATAAAGTTGCTGTTCTTGGACAAGCTTTCGCTATCTTTGGTGTAGATTGTCTTGACAGGACCGTTCAAGCTGACTACAGTTGACTTGACATGTTTGGATTGAGGAGCAATTTCAATGCGAGTAGCACCAGTGACAGAAGCGGCACCCAAAGTCTTGATAGGGAGATAATTACCAAGCACAATGCCGTTAAGAGTACCCACCTTTATATTTTCAGCCTTCAGGTTCTAAGCCAAGCGCTCAGTCATTCTGGTAGCCTGATGACACCCTGCAAAACTTACCTTGAATTTAATGGCGCCTCTACCCAAACCCACCGAGAAATCTTTGAATACCACAGTCTTCAAATCACCTTCTATGCGACTTGCATGATTCACAATCAAATTGATGCTATCGTAAGCATTCATCTTGGAGGGAAATACAATGTCCAATTGATACACCAAACAAGACTTTAGTACAGAGGGATGATGGTTATTGATGTGGATACTCTTGGTGCCTTTGGCATCATTGTCAATCTCAGACATCGATATATGAGTCAGCACTTCCTCGTTTTGAGCATGCAATGTAAAGTTAATTTTGATGTTTTCCTTGACGTTGCCAATATCCTCAATTGCACTCGCTGTTCTGATGTTAATGCGCCCACCCTCACTAAAGAGTCCATCCAGCTTAATATTTGTTGTCTTGAATTGGTTTGAAGAAAAGGCGAGTATCTTTGTCTTTTCATGGTGCAATTTAGAGGGATCACAAACAGGCACATGTGCTCGTGGCGGTTGTTTGATCTTCAAGTAATCTGGAGGATTTGCAATGCCCATCTTGACAGAAGCTGTAGGTTTGGGGAGACCACCATGAATAACGTCAGAGACGCCAGTTGCCTTGGGTGAATGCACAGGGAATTTGGATGCTGGAAGGCCAAGATCCTCTGCAATGTTCTGAATGACTTGGCTGCGTTTGTGTGGATCCTTGACGTCGATTTCCTTTGCCCAGTATTCTTCCTGGCTTTGCTCGATTTCTTTATCAAATGGATAGAATATTCTAAGGTCCTTCTTCCACATTGCGTCTAATGATTGCATGAATCTCGATAACTCTAGAGCCTCTTTGGATGAGATTTCGTTAGGGTAATCTAGGAAAGCGTGATGTGCTGTACCCTATGTTCATTACGTCATTTGATGTCAGTGATTTTGTAATCCTAGTTGCTACTCCATGCTTACGGTTCTACTGTATCCGTATTTTGAGAAGGTAGCCACGTATGTAAACAGGAGGAAGCCAGTTAGTATTGACAACACTGTTCCAAAGCGAGCTAATGGATGGTGGTGCTTGTGCGTCAATCTCACGCAGATGATGTTGCTCTGATTATCGCCTACTTACTGAGGAATGACCTGGAGTGCACCTTGATTTCATCGATTGTCGTTTCTTTCTTGGGCATGGCAAAATGATAAAACTATTTAAAAAGAGAAGAAAAAAAAAAGAGAAACTGGAATTTGCATGAACGAGGAATCTAACATTCGAAACAGACAGTCTGTCTGACTGTTCACGTACGTCATGTCGATCCCATTTGTATGACCATCATCATGGCTTGTTTTCAAAATAGGATGGGCATGATTGTCTATCACTGTGTAAGCTGGGATTGCTCGACTTTTCACAACATCACTATTCATGCCATCTGAAAGTTGGCTTTCAATTCAGGCTATGCTTCAACTGAGATGTCAAAAGCATTGCTCTCATTCTAGAAATACATTTCAAATGGATTTCTCCAAGATCTATCTGTCAAAACATATTTGGTTTGGATGAGAGATAATCATCTGTGGGGCACTGTAAGTTGACACACTGCACGTATAGAAATAAATGCTAGCTAGGCGTAGATTGCTCAGTGTAGAGCATCCTCTGTGGAAATTTCGGAAGCACAGGCATCTAGCATTTGACCTTTGAAAACACCTTTAGCATGACTGAATCTCCTCAATCATACTCTACTTCAAATACAACTTCTCATTTGCATAAGCAGGACTCATTAATGCTTATATCCCAAGAAGAGATGCTAATCTCAATAAGCCACATCTATGAGTCCCCTCAAACTTGACTCCACCTTTTTGATTTCAGCAGCATTGAAAGGCCGTTTCATCTAAAACTAAATGCTTCTTTTGCTTTGATCAACTCGAAAGCTTTTTTTTTTTTTTTTTTTTTTTTTTTTTTTCATCCCTTCAATACACAAAATGGCAGACTTGCAAAGTATTGTAGTACTTATTTCAGGTTCAGGCACTAATCTTCAAGCCTTGATTGATGCTACACAAGACGGACGTTTGAAGGGAAAGATCATTGCGGTCGTATCCAACAGAAAGAATGCATTTGGTCTTGAGCGTGCAAAGAAGGCAGGCATCCCCACAAGAACTTTCTCGCTCAAGCAGTTCAAAGACCAAGGCAAAACCCGTGTCGACTTTGACATTCATGTAGCAAAGACAATTCAAGAGGAATACCACCCTGATCTGGTCATTCTGGCTGGCTGGATGCATATCCTGTCACCCGATTTCCTAGCTTTCTTCCACAACAATGTCATGAACCTGCATCCCGCTTTACCTGGACAATTCGATGGTGCACACGCCATTGACAGAGCATACGAAGCATATCAAAAGGGAGAAATTCAACACACTGGTATCATGGTGCATAAAGTGATTGCTGATGTGGATCGTGGCGAGGTCATTCTTCAGAGAAATGTGCCTATTGAAAAAGAAGATACCCTTGAAGATCTCGAGCAACGCATTCATTCCGTCGAACACAAACTTATTGTTGAAGGTGCTCAAGTATTTTTAGATAGCTTAAAGAAGCAATAAACGATTTAATTTTGGTCAAAATGCCATCCGGGCAGTTTCCTTGGGCTGTTTTTTTCAAAGCATTTACAGATCTTGACTTGGAAGGCAGATGTCCAACCGAAATGGATCAACGTTATATCAACATTGTCCTTCCATCTGTGATGAATATCTCTTTCAATAATCAAGAACCGCTTCTTGATGCATTTATAATAGTTCCTATTTTGTTCTTCAGGTCGAAATACCTCACTATGTAGTAGAGTCTCTCATTTTGTTTCTATTCCTTTACATTTTGCGTTGCTTGGATGTTTGTCTTGGCGGCAACAGTGCCTGGTTATAGTACGTAAACGGGAATATTCCTACTAAATTATCAAAGCGTAAACATTTTGCTTTGATATACCAGCATTCATACTAAAAGCAAGTAGACAAGCTAAGCTATAGCACTTTTTTTTTTTAAAAAAAAAAATTCTCGATTCTCTTTTTATTACACGATTATAACTATTACATGCTAATCAGACTCTGTTCATTTACTTCTTGCCAAACAAACCTCCACTCTTGGAAGTAGTAGACAACGTATCTGTGTCGACCAAGGTGACCTTGACGTGAATTTCACCAGTGCCTTCAGGCGACAAAGACAACCAGCCGTCAAAAGGTTGACCAGGCTTGACATAGTTGGCAACATTAAATTGGTTCTCTCCAATATCTACATCGGTAATTGTGTTGTGATCCTTGACCTTGAAATCCAAGACGCCGTTGGAATCTACCTTGGTAGTGAAGGATTCGTTCCAGTCAGGAGTCAATGTCTTTTTAACGTGGCGAGTCTTGTAGACAACCTTTCCACCCACACGCACACGACAATAAGGATCACTGGTGCCTCCTCGGTCCATGGCCTTCAAGTTTCTAGCTTCAATCAAGTTGACTTGGACGGCATAACCATCATCAGCAGACATGGATCTGCTTTGTTGAGTGACAGAATTGCTAGGTGATGTGGAGATGTTGGAGCTGTTCTCAGCAACAGGAGCAGCAGGAGCAGCAGGAGCAGCAGCGACACCTTCACGATCAAGAGGTGTAGCATCATTTTCATCAATAGTGGGAGACTTCTTTCCAATCTTGCCAATACCACGAATGCCACTGCCTAATGCAGAGACGCCTGAACCAAAGGCTTTACCACCTGCGCCCAAGACCTTTCCACCAGCGCCAAGACCAGCACCGACGACATCTTTGCCAGCACCAAGGGCATTACCTGGAGCAGATGTGAAGACACGCGTAGTGGCAGAGAAGATGTTGGTTTGAGAACGCTTGCGAGCGACTAATTCAGGTCTCCAGGTCAAACGAAGAGTAAGAGATCCTCCTTGATCCACATTGAATTCCTTGGTGCATGTAACAAATGTCTCAACTTCTTCGCCAGTAAAAGTAATCTTGCATTGGCCGATCAAGGTATCCTTGCCAATTTGATCCCAATCAAAGATCTTGGCGATAATAGGGGTATAAATACGGTTGACAATAGGCACAGTGAAGGTTTCATCCTTGTTGAAGACAGGGTTGAGTGTCTTTTTGTAGGTTTGTGTCTTGTAGACACGCTCTTCGTCGACGTAGAAGCGAATAAAGGGGTCACTGGTACCACTGCGATCAGCAGCTGTCAAGTTGGTTGCCTTGACAACGGCGACAGTCAAGTTACCTTGGTTCTCGAGACTCTCTGCAGGATCCAACTTGAACTTGATGGCAGGAATGAAAGAGAAGCTGAGACGGATCTTGCCTCCAGGAGAGTCCAAGAGAGGAATCTCTTCTACAACAGGTTCAGTGATTGAATCATCTTCAGATGCCTTCATCAAACGGTCCACAATCTTGCGCACTTCAAGCGTACAACGACCAAGCGACTTGTCATCCTTGTCTCCGTCGCCACGCACGTTTCTGACACGAACAATCAGCTTGGAAAAGTCCATTTCCTTGACGAATGCAGTGCCGGTTTCATTAATTTCAAGGCGAGATCCCTTTTGTTCCACAGTGCTGAATTGAGGGTCATTGGAGTCCAACATGAGATCAACGACTGCCTTGGACGATTCGTTGAGGGCAACAGAGTGGATCTTGACAGCCAACACACCAGATTCATAGGAGCTCAAGTCAATCACCTTTTTATCGGCAGAGAGGGCCTTGTACTTGATCAGTTCACCATGGAGATCCTTTTCAGGGAGCTCCTTGGGCTTTTCAATCAATTCAGGTTCTGACATTTCTCCGCTATCAGCAGATCCACCCTCCTCTTGTTGTTGTTCTTGCTTCTTCTTTTCATCTTCCTTGGCCAAAGCCAAAGTGGGGAAAAAGGAAGCGGTAAACTTGAGAGTACCACGACCCTTCTTGCGATCCAAACTGGTCAAAGCAGCTTCACGGTCCACGGTGTCAGTGGGTTCATAGTAGATTTGGCCATCTTCGGTCTTGATTTCTTTCATGATATCCTTCAAAAGCAAGTCTGTGATACCCAAGCTCTTGTCCTTGGAGCTTTCATTGTAATCCATGACTTCAAACACCAAATCTTCGCGCTTGGAGTGAACTGGAATGTAGAGCACTTGGTTCCAAACAGGGTCCAAGTTATCATCCACACGTTCAGTTTGGCCACGGTTTTGCACACCAGACATGACACGCACGTAAGGGTCAGACTTTCCACCGGTCATGGCCTCCACATTCTTGAGGTCATTGGCACCGATAAAGTTAACACGCACAACACCGATAGGGGCACGGTATCCACCATGAGAAAGGCCCTCGTTGAATCCCGTCATGGTAATAGGCTTCCACTGCATGCTCAAATGAATCTTACCAGAGCCCTCCTTGAGTGTCCACCAATCTTGACCATTGATAAAGACATCTTCCTCAAAGTCTTCCAATTTGGAATCCCAACGACCCAACAATCTTTCGTCAAATGAAGAATCAAGCACATTGACACGCAAATTGAGTTGTGTCTTGTCGGTAACAAAGAGTTCCACTTGTTTGTCCCAGCGAGGATTGATGCTACGCTTGAAGGGGTTGGTGCGAAGTCTTTCTACATCATTGACCTTGACAACGGCATAAGGACTGATATCGCTCTTGCTGCCAATGACAGGAATACTGATGCCACCGCTCTTTTGCTGGCCACCCAACTCCTTGCACTCATGCACAGTGAAACGCAAGACACCACTGTCTAATAGGTACAAGTTGCCATTGTATGAATACGTGTTCCTCTCGAATATGAAACATACAACACTTACTAGATTCTTCAGGAGGGATAACAGTACCATCTTCTTGCTTATCAGGACTGTTGACAGGGAAGTAGTGGAAATCGCACTTGACCTCACCAGAAGGCTTTCCTTTCTTCAATACAGGGAGAGACCTAGAGAGAGGGAGAGAACATGGCATTAGCACTTTTCATGTTACTGCCTGATGGTCAATACATACAATCCTTCGACAAGATTATCAGATTCACCAAGAGACTTCATATCAAAGGTACAAGTACCAATAGAACTGTCACTTCTACCAGTGTTACGATCCATGACTTCCAAAACCAAAGTATCGTTAATATTGTTAATCAAGACAAAGAGGGTTTCATCAAACTTGGGGTTCTTGTTGTCCTCAATGTGCTTTGTACGTCCAACTTCAGCATTGTTGGCGTTACCAATATGAAGAGTGATATAAGGGTCCAAAGTACCAAAGAGATCATTGTCTCTGAGACCGTTGGCAGAGTGAATCTTGACAATCAGGACACCATTAGCAGAATCTATATTCTTTCGTTGGTACAAAAGAAACGCCAACATGTCATAATGCACACTTACTCAAATCGGTTGCGCCAGACATCATACCAGCAACATCCAAAGTAAATACGTTGGGTGCATACATCATAGGGCCAAGAGTAGCATGCACTTGCTCTTGGACAAAAGACTCGAGGCCGGGAATCTATGCACAACATACTCAGCTTCAGTCCAATCTACATACTAATAGCTAACTGCTTACGTTATTGATATCAAAGCCAAAGGTATCACCACCAACAGGCTTGAGAGCGTAATCAAAGTGAGGCTTCTCCAAAAAGGATGCTTCCACAGTCTTGATGTGAGGGAACTCGTTAAACATTCTAAACTTGAGACGCAAATGACCAGAGAAAGCGAGGTCTTCCAACAAGACGGGCATACCAGCACCAACAAAGCCCTTACCGACACGAATCGTCAATACAATCTTGGGGTTGACCTTAGATTGACGATCACGCTCAGTGAGATCGAGAGTATCGTTAGGGATGAATGAAAACTTCCAGTCCATGCAGACAATGTTGGGTTCAGTCTTGGTGAGTGTCTTGATGCTTTCAATGCGAGGTGCCTTGGTGCCCAAAGTGAAGGAGGTCAAACGAATAGAGTCGAGGAAAGCGGGGCAGTTATCGACCAAGATGGAGTCAGCGATACCAATAATCTGAGCAGACAAAACAGGCTCATAAATCAACCAGAATCTTGACATGAAATGATTAATCCAATCTGCAGACTCGACTTCAGTCTCCAAGCGATTGATGGCCAGTTCTCTTTGGATATCGTCTCTGATGTTTCTTCTCAAACGACGAATAGATGTTTGGTAGTATGTGGCCAAGAACGCACCCACCACTAAGCAAGCCATCAAACCACCACCAAAGCGGGTCAGAAGCCAGGTGAACACCACAGTGAATAACATGGCAGCAGCATTGTGATACCATTCACCGTAATAAGCTTCCTTCAAGAACTGAGATACAAGATCCTCTTCATTCTTACTGCCAGTACGAGCACCTTTGTACATGCTGATGAGAGAATCCAATCCCAACTTGGAGCCGAGTTCTTCAATAGCTTGCTCATCGCCCGGATTTGGAAGTGTGGAGAACGCGTCCCAGCCAACCTTTTTATCAGTAGTGAATGAACCAGGTGAAGCCTTCTTTTGCTTTTGTTGCTCTTCATTCTGAGGCAGTTTCTTGACAGGCTTCGATTCAGCAGAAGCAATAGCGCTGGCAAGTGTGGTCGAGTCATTTGTGCCTTGGTCGTTGGGCATGGAGGCATCTGCTTTCAACTTTGGTATACTTTCAGTAACGACATCTGCCTTCTTTTTGGCCTCGGCCATCTTGTCTGCTGGTGATAAAGATTCACTGAAATCATTCACAGTCTTCACTGCTGTTTGAGTCACCTCGTTTAGGATACTGCTCTCTTGATCTTGATTGATATCCATAATGATGTTGAAGAAAAAGGAGAAGAAGAAGAAAATACGATATAGTTAAAAAATAGACTCTTTTTATACGTTGTACCACACGTTATATTTTTTTTAAGGATCTTCCTGGATTACTGTATTTATACAACTCATCGTCATTACTTTAAATCATCAAATCACTATTTTATCATCATTTCCATTTACCAGGATACTAGGCTTTAAAAGGTGGTTACGCGAGAGTATAAAGGCAACATCTTGCTTTTGTTTATTCAAGCCCTATATGATCTCAAGGATATATATATCCAGCGATCATTGTCTATTGTCTTGTACCTAATTTTTTCGCCTAGTTGCATTAAGGGGAATGGAGTCTGTCCTATTGATCAAGTATGATTTAAGTTACATCGGCGACACAAAGCCTTTTTGCCTTTTTGAACCATGTCTCCTTTTTCCCATTAATGCTATGAGCAAAAGAAAGGAAACTAAAAGCACAAATACCAAGACATTTTAAGCATCATTTTGAGTGATGAATATATAGTCTTAAGTGAAAACTAGCATAACGTACTAGCGAGTTTATTAGTTGGGAAATGTATTCAATGTCGCACAAAGACATTTTGGACAATCCATGTAAACAAGCATATCATGAAACACGGTTGCAGCAACAATGAACAGGGTTGATTTGAATCTATAACATTGATATTCCCTCCTTACATCTCATTAATAGATAGTAGGCTATTGATCTGTATTACTGTTCCTCATCGATGCTTCTATAGATGAGACGTCTCGAGATCCATAAAGAGGAAAAGACTTGTCAAACTCGGGATGCTCTATCTGTACCACTTTTGCAATGTATTGTACATCCTCACAAATCGAATCACTTGCCGAGCGCATCGTTTCTCAAATTGAGGAAGGTGTACCACCTAACAGTTTTAAACAATACCCGAAGCAAGATGGTTGTTGTTGCGTACGGTCAATGTGGAGAGGTTATCCTCTTCAGTGGTATAGCATCTACCTTCATGTTGCCGTGTCCCTGATTATCTGACTGCATTCGTTTACAATAAGAAAGCATCTAATAGTGAATATTTATAATGCAAAACGGCGTAATGACAAAGTTTACATGAATACTCACACGACAACAAGGTAATACAGCCATCTAGTAAACACAGGTGCGTATTGACACAACTATGCATTCAGTGCTCGATCCACTCCCTTAACGGGTCACGTCCTTTATAGATGAGCAAGCCATCCAACACGATACCAAAGCCACACACACATAGTACATTGCCATATATAGTGCACTATTGTATCTTTTGCTTTACATAACTGAAGCTTCTTGGTTGTCGGCTCAATAATTGATTTGGCATTTACTATACTGGTAAGCAGCAGCAGCAGCAGCAGCCAAATTGGTTAAATGTCCGTTATGTTTTTTTTTTTTTTCCTCGAAATAGGAATTTTTTGTTTGTTTTGCGACTTGCTCCATCTATTTTGCTTGATTCGGCTATGTAAATTGCACAAATTATGCTATGCCCTCCTAAGCCTCCTAGGAGAACTTTTCGAGGCGCATATAATGGTGTTAATTACTATAGAAGTTTAGAACAAGTTTTTTGAGTAATTTTGGAAACTGTGAAATGCTGTTTTTGGTTAAAATGTCGAGGTTTTATATACCAAGGTCTCACAAACGTAGTTTCAGGGGTTGCCCTGAATCGATACAATCATTTTGATTTATTATATACCATAGTAAAAGTGTTCATTTCGAAGGTCAAAAACGCGATCGTTTGATTTTTGAAAAAAAAGCATGAGGTACCCCTCATGAATTGGAGTTGATTCTCGACAATCTCAAAAAAGTTGAGCAAAGGTGCCAGTAAGTAGCTGCTGATTGAGAGAAACTGTTTGGTGCTATTCTGGCGGCCTAAAACAGCTTCTAGCGCGAGAAATTGCGGCTCAAATATCCCCTATTTTGTACATACATATGTAATGAGAGACATTCCTCGTATGTTATTTGCCCGTATACAAGTTGTTATAGACATGAAGCATCATAAATGTGTCAAGTCCACAGTTGTAGATGATTTTCATCCAATACTGGAATATGCTTATTTTATTAGCTTTATGCGATATGGGTGTTTACGCTTCGGTGAGAACCGAACTGCCCAACGGCAGCCCGCGCTACCGATTGCTCTTGTGTATCTTATCAAAATACTGCTACTTTCATTTTGACCCTCCACTTACACATGAAACCCTTTCTTATGTAATGCTCTACATCCATATATACGTAGCTACTTCGTATACGGGCAAGCAGCATATTAGTATTTCCCCTTTCCATTGCTTAGTGTCCCTGATACAGCAAAACCTGAGTGAACTTAGGTCGCGTTTTCTCGCGTTTAAGGCCGTTTTAGATTGTCAGAATAGCACCAAACAATTGATCTCGTCTAGCACTTACTTTTTGACACCTTTGCTCAACTTTTTGGGCCAAAAAAAAACATGGTCAAAAATCGACCAAAAAGCATGAGGCACCCCCTCATGGTTTTCATCGAAAATCAAACGATCGCATTTTTGACCTTGATAATGAAGACTTTTACTATGGTACATATATTAAATCAAAAAGTTTCTATCGATCTAACGTAACCCCTGAAATCATCCTTGTGGGACCTTGCTATGGAAAACCTCGACTTTTTGGACAAAAACCTCTTTTCATATTTTTATAAATTGCTCAATAAGTTTATTCAAAACATCTACGTTACTTGGCACTATTGGATGCGCCTTGAAAAAAATACTCCAAGAATGTATTAGGAAGCATCGGATGATAACCACAGTTCATATAGTTGAATACAACAAAACAGATTAAAGAAGTCGACAAAAGGCAAAATTTGGCCAATCTTGAGCAGAATAAATAAACCGTGTTTTCACTGTGACTAAAAAAGATTCAAATTTATCTGAATATATTAGAATTTGACCAATTTTTTCTGAAATATCCTAAAAATGTCTTAATCACTCTGAATTTGTCCAAATCCCTTTGGAAATATTCAGATAAATTCATGCAGATGAAAATTAATAAATTAAGCTTAGAGAAATTTGGAGAAATTTAGAAAAATTTAGATATTATTCAGCGATTTTTTTTACCACGAAACGATCTTCATCAGAAAAGCGAGTAGTCATCGCTACGCCATTTTTATTTCTTATTTGTCAACTGCTTCAGATTCTTTCTTGTAAGGGAGTCGTGCTCCATTTTTTATTTAGAGGTCTCTGAATGTCATAATAGGATAGGAAGAAGAAAGAAAGAAGATATATTATTACAGAGCAACAATAGAAAGGAAACAATATTAACTAGTTATTATTATTAGGAATGAATTTTCAGCTTTGCATGCGACCGGGCAAAAGAATGAGCATTAAGATATAGAACAGTGGGATGGCTAGTAATTTGGAAGGATGTACAAACATCAGTTTGAGAGAAAGGTGACCATGATGTTGGCGTATATTTATTTTATGCAAAGTCAAATATAGAATCATCATTGTATACTTTCAAACCAATTCTTTTCATATCAGGCCAAACAAAGAAGAGCTTCCCAGATATGGCAGACTTCAGAACTGCAACTGAAGACAAAATATCATCGACAGCTATTATATCCAGATCCCATGCACCATTGGAAGTATCCGAGTTGGCATTGTCAAGGAAACATTCAGGGATGCCGGACGTTGATACCGTTACGTTCTGATAGACTTGGCAAACGGCTAGAGCATGTGATGCACCAGAGAAGTTGTGCTCAAAGATGAGCAACACCTTTACCAGCAATGGTAGCGAACTGCGGCGAGCACAATTGACCAGGGCATGGTCTGACAGCTTCTTCTTTCTACTTGGTGGATCGAAAGTAGAGTCGATCGTGATGTTGTTGCCAAGTCGTAGTGAGGTAGCGCACTTGATCTGCGGATTGACACGAGCAGTGTTGTAATGTTTGCACAACATAGAAGCAATAGACGGTGACAGCTTGATGTCGCCCATATTCAATGATTTCGAGAAGGTGATGGCAGTATCCGTCGAATTGTCAAATGCAATTGTCCTTCTTTTTTCATAGCTGTTACATGCAATATCCAGCATGATATTTTCCGCTTGTTTTGCAACTTGACTACAGCCATGGATCCTCTTCTTGATCATTTGGATCCTTCTCTCCAAAACACGGCAACTGTACTGAGGCATGGGGCCTATCTTTCGAATCACCATCGTGATATGCTCCAAATAATGTTCGCTGGTTGGAAAGAATTTTGCTGAGATGTGAAGACGAAGAAATTGGTGCCACTTGGTTATTAGTTCCTCCAATTTTTGTATCTCGCTCTCAGATATATCCTGCTGCAAGCATACTGAGCAAATCAGAGATATTGTACGTAGGGCTTCCTTGGCAGCTTCAGAGACAGTAGGATCCAAATGGCATAAATCAACGTGGTCGATAAGAACTGTGGGCACAAAGTACTTCAGGAACACCAACCAATCTACTCCTCGAGCTGTCCCTCCCTTGCTGAAGACATCCATGAAATTGCCTTCGAAGATCAAAGGTGATGTGCTTGCAAGTTGGTTCAAGCAAATGCTAATCTTCTCTATTTGTCGCGGCTTCAAGCGAAGAATCGATTCCTTGTCCGTAAACATTTTCTTGATTCTTGGTCCCATGTTTTGTCCAAACAAATGAAATTCATCCAAGCCCACAAACGTTGGATCAATGAATGATGGCAGGTTTCGAAACAAAGAAGGCCTCTCGATACCAAGTTCTGGTGCACTGGATTTGTATTCTTCAATTGTTAGCAATCGTAGTGGTCGATCTTCATCATTAGCTGCTAGTTGAAAAGAAATAACACCATTTTTGCTGATGCCAATGATCGTACAAAAACGGCAGCCTTGAAGCGACGTATGGGATGCGAGGAAATTGAGTTCGCTGACGCTGGGGATATCACCAAAGGATCCCATGAGGTGGACTTTGAGCGAGATATTTGTTGAGTTGTTTCTCTGCACTTGTAGTCCATCACGAGCCAATTTTTCCAATTCGCTGACAAGGTATTGAAGGTAACTGTCTAATCTCTTGGTGTTTGGGATAATGGCGAAATCAATCAGGAACTCCATTTTGTATCTATAGGCAGAAGGAAGGTTCAAGATTTGTAGCATGACCAAGTTCAACTTTGCACCGCCTTTTTTGTGTGATTGGAATCCATCTACGTACAGGGACAGGCCAATGTCGTATCTATTGTTGAATAGATGCTTGTTGTTCACTAAATTTTGCATTATATCGCCCTTGAACCTTGCTCTGATGGATGAATTCTCGTCATCAAGCACTCTGATAAAGTTTGGATTTTCGAACAACGTGGCAAGTTGTGGACCGATTGGCAGCATCTTGATGGTTCTTCTGGGGCTACCATCAATATCGAATCTCTTTTCAAAGCACACTGGACATTCGTCCCCATCCTCTGGTTGAAAGGCATAGCAATACCTGATGCACACATCGACTGTATAAGGTGCAAAAGAAGTTGCCCTTTTCCTAGCAGAGCTGGCCTTGAATGTTGAGACTATAGGCGTTGCAACTTATCATAGTAGATGTTAGCGCTTTGAAACAACCAACTTTGTTATGGTTACTTACAAGGATACGTTTGGTTGTGTCATTGAACAAGTCTTCGGATGCTTGAGTTTGTCAAGTTTTCTTCCCTGAAGATCTTGTGGATCTCAGTATTTTTAGCATCCAGTGGTGGTAATGCCTCGCAACTGTCAGACATCTGATTGTCACTATAGTTAGCGCCGAGTCCATCAGAGTCTCCAAAGTCATATCCGCCATCGCTACCAGGTTCACCATCGCTGTTTTCTTGCTGACTATTTCTTTCAGTGTAAGATCCAGCCTGAGTATCATGTTCAGTTCTTGCTTTCTTTCTTTGATACTGATTAGTCTCCAGGTTGTGCAAGTCTACAGTTGTTGTGTCATTTGAAGAGTGCCAAAGTTTATGCTGTTTTTCATGTCTATTGCGAATTCTTCGGCAACACTGGGCACAAAAAAATGGCATCGTAAATAATATTAGAAATAAAGGTTAAACACAAATCTGTCTGGATTGTCTTTTATGCTCCTTATATTGCATGCGTTTCAATCATACAGATTGAAACGCATGCAATATTGAACATAGAATACACTTTGATTGGTATTGAATAGCCATGTGAATATCTATAGTGAAATCTAATAGTTCACATTGCATGCGTTTCAATCTGCATGATTGAAACATCAATGTCTGTGATAGCGGGTGCTATTAATTATTGGAAACATTACTAGACCAGTTTTTCTCTGTCTTTCATAGATTGTTACGCATTTATCGCAATTGATACAACCATCTCAAAGCACTGCTCTATTTTACACTTTACACTAATCACTTATTCAAAAATGGATCAAGCACAACAACTATTCTTACAAAGATTGGAGAACATTGAACAGGAGTTGTCTAATCTTAGCAAACAGGTCAAGGAATGTAATGACAACCAGACCGAAGTAAAAGATATGCTGCAGCATATTGTTCAACAATCTACCTCTTCGAGCACGGCCAATGTTGCGAGACTAGATGGAGTGATATGCCGTCCAAGCAAAGCAGATAGCAAACATCTGGAGGAGCTTTCTGTTGAGCTATGCATCAACGTCCTTGAGGAGCATCGATTAGGTGGGGAAAACCTTGATGGCAAGAAGGTCTGGGAGCTTGTCAAAGATGCAGCATACAACCAGGCAAAGAAAGCTGATAGACAGTTCCCAAATATCACTTTTAGCAAGCTGGACAACAGGTTTCAAGCCTTGTTAATCAAGACCGTCATAGACGATGTAGCCAAAAAGGGCGTTGACATCTCTGGGTTCTTCAAAGATTGGTTGCCGCAGTTTGCTGTCTCCAAATCATTGTCTGGCATAATCGATTACAAATACAATGCCAGGCCAAGCAATGACACCGCAACTTACCAAACCCAATTCGATGAAGATGATCTGGTATTTTCTGAGGGATCCCAAGCGCAATCCGAAGAAGATTCTGTCGACGATGACGAAAATTCGATTGTAGACAAGATCAATTTTCATGTTTCTCGAAATACTGGATCACAAAAGTAAATGCTGCATAGAGAAAAGTACTCTTTGATACTAATCGTAATATTATAGAAGAATCAGCACGCAACATATGCCTCTAGTAGAACAAGTAATTAAGTTTTCATAGATATAGCGCAGTAACTCACATTTCTTTTCCATTTTATAATGTGCACTATCATTATTATAGCCAATGCAGCCATCTCCAGTATCAAAAAATGTATCTGCATCAAACAAATCAAAGGCAAAGGAATATGAAAAGCACAGAAGATATTCATCACCAGAAACGCAAGATTTGCAAAGACAGTAAGTTTCTCATCATCACCTGGAGTTAGCCATTTTATGCTGATATTCTCTCTATCTCTTAAATTGTAGAAACATAAAGGTAATCGTAAGGCATTGATATCATAGATGGAGCTACTTATCTTTGTGTATTAGGGACCCAACAATAAGAGAGTGCGCAAGTCGTAAGGAATTCTGATCTCTATGCTTATTCTGATTAGGCTACGCTTTGTTGTTACTGCCCGTAATGTAATATCATCATGTTTCTCTGTAGTAGTAGCGCAATTATTATATGTCAAGAAATAAACAATGGTTTCTATTATAATAGCACTAAATGCTATTATATTTCTGATTTATTTTTTTATGAATATTTTGCAAACCACCCTAAACTACATGAATTTTTCTGAATTTTCCAGAATGAATTTCTCTGAATTTTTCTGAATTAAGTGAGCACTTTTCCGAATTTCTAAGAATGCCATTCAGAAAAATTTCGACAAATTTTTCGTAAAGTGGCAGTTTTCCGAAAAATGGATTCAGAAATATTCAGCAATATTCAGATCTTTTTTAGTCACAGTGTTTAATTGATTTGGCAGCGGCTGGTGGGGCTGTTTGGTAAATTCTATGCCCCCCCCCCCCCTCTAACCATGAAGGCAATAATAGATGCTTTTGAAGCGTAGTATGGAAAATAAGTTGCAAATTACATAGTACTATCGTTAGCCATGCTATTTTCTTTGCATTCTATATTTAATAGCGCCAGTCTATCAAAGTACTTGTTAGAACAATTTCTTTCCTTTTTGAGGCTTTAAAAATGTCGAGAGACCATAAATTTATCACGTTACGATAAGCATTTCGACTAGTTTCCTGATCTACGCTTCGCTTTGGTGGATGCCACCCTATTTTCAGATGTCTCGCGTTGCCGCGTACCTTTGAATAATATAAATAATAATAGATAAAATATTGGAAAGAAACTTGGTTGTTGATTGATAGTAATTTAATATAAAATCTCTAATCATATATGAGCCATGCGTGACAAATGCATGGCAGCTCAGTTCCCATATTAGTAGGGTTGAAAACGTGTCTAGGGACTATAGAAATCAAGTACTTAAGCTTCAATTATCATAGCTTGTCCATGTGGTTGCACAGCACAGACATGTCTACCCATCAATCGTTTAAACGGATTAGAAACGTTGGACAATGTATATACATATTTGATGGTCATTTTATTGTTTGATACATGAGAAAGAGAGAAACAGAAAAATGCAATTTAGATTAGAGTTATTCACAAGTTTTATATGTAATTTTTCTTTTGTGTGTGTGTGTGTGTGTGCATGATTAATTCAAGCTGCTAATAAAGCTATCAATGTTGTATTCTTCTTCGTAATCCTTTTCGTCCCACAAGGTTTCCAGGTTCTCCAAAACTGCTTTCGCTGGACCCAGACCTTCTGCAGCCACATCGTTGTTTTTGGCCTTCTTTTTGTTGGAAGAGGACAACGCATCATCATTGCCCACATTAAACAAGTCTAGGATTTGATCTGTATCCATACTTTGCAGACCCGAGTTTTGTTGGTTGACAATAGAATTGGCGATATTCAATTTGAACTTTTGAAGGCCCATGATCTTTTCTTCCAACGTGCCTCGGGTAATCAAACGATACACATTCACCACCTTCTTTTGACCGATACGATGTGCGCGATCCATGGCCTGCAAATCTTTCATGGGGTTCCAATCATGCTCCACAAAAATGACAGTATCAGCACCTGTCAAGTTGAGACCAAGACCGCCCACGTGTGTGGTAAGCAGCAAGACATCAATGGAAGGATCTGCGTTGAACTTTTGTACCATTTCATGGCGTTTGCTGGCATCCACTGACCCGTCCATTCGTAGATAACTGACGGTAGGCATCAGTGTCTTGAATAAATCGTTTTCAATGATATCGAGCATGGGCTTTAATTGACAAAATATCAAGGCACGATGCTGACTCACAGCACCTATCGCCATGGCAGCAGGATCAGAGTCTGACTCGGTAGTGGTAACGCCAATACCACACTCGCCTAGTAATTGCCTATCATAGACAAGGTGAGTAAAATGCTCTAATTGTAACGATCTGTTACTTACTTTAAGGCCTGTAGTTTTGGTGCGTTGGATATGCTGTGTATATTTGTATTGGTCTTGCTCAGGAATGTCTCGACCTTTTTGTAGTTGGGATATTTATCGCTGACGACGAGCAAAGGATGGTTACATAATCTGCGAAGGTACTGGAGTGCCTGGAAGATGTGTGTGGCTCCTTTAGGTCTCTCTCCTGGTTTTGTCACGACGCCTGCGCCAAGGTCCTCTTCCACAGATGATCTCGCTTGAGATTTGGCAAATTCATCGTACAATGACTTTTGTAGATCGCTCAATTCGCAGTAGTAATCTTGGATGATCTTGGGTGGCAGGTCATGCAGCACATCCTCCTTTAATCTACGCAGCAGGAATGGCAGCACTTGCTTGTGCAAAGCCTCTAGTGCAAGTGCACCCGCTTCCTGTTCCTTGGACGAACTCTTGCTGTCTCTGCTGGCCAAGATGGGCTTACCAAATCGCTCGTTGAACAGCTTTTCTGAACCAAGGAATCCAGGCATCAAAAAGTCAAACAAGGACCATAGTTCCAGCACGTTGTTTTGAATGGGTGTACCAGAAAGAATCAAACGGTGGTTTGACTTTACAGTTTTAATAGCCCTTGTAATCTTTGTTCTACCATTTTTGATGATATGACCCTCATCCAAGATGCAGTAATTCCAAGTGATGGATGATAGCTCTTCAATGTCGTTTCTGATGATATCGTAAGACATGATGATTACGTCGTTTTTCAAAATGGAAGCGCGAAGTCTACTGCCATGTTAGTCATTCATATAGTGTCATGGATGCAAAGACCTACCTCTTTCTTTCTGCTGGTCCACCTGTATACAGCAACGGCTTCAAATTGTCGCAATAGTGCTTGATTTCATGGAACCAATGGCCTGTCAGCGTAGGAGGACAAATGACCAACGAGGGACTTGCTGCCCATTCAGGAGACTTTGTCTCTGTAAACTTTTGGGCTCGATGAAAGTGGTCACCAGCAAGAATACAAATAGACTGCAGCGTCTTACCCAAACCCATATCATCACAGAGAATACCATGCAGATGGAACTTATTGAGGAATGCCAACCAATTGACGCCTTCCTGTTGGTATTTACGCAATTCAGCATGGATCTTGACAGGGATTTCGTAACTCTCGACCTTCGAGCTGTCCAGCAATTGAGACAAAAAGCGACGCTCTTCATCACGATGTGCCAACATCTCTGCAGACATGCCTGGAGGATCTGGGATACCAGCTTCTAGGGGAACAAGCTTGATCAAAAGAGCAAAGCAATTGGTGCAAATGAGACGCACCGCTTCATCCGCATCACTCATGCGGCCCAGGATAGGCACGATCAAAAAGATGGTGTACGGCAAGATCTTTGTATCCAGTAATTGCACGAGATGGTAGACGAGTTCAGCAGCACCTTGACGATAATAGGAGTTCAGTGTGTTTCCTAATTGAGGCAAGACATGGTCCACAATGACCTGCATGGTTTTGGTGGTAATAACATTAGCGATAGCAGCAAGACAACGAGCACTGACTGAACGAATGACGGCATAACACGATTGCAGAGTACGACAGACGTAGGGGATGAATTCGCAGATCTGTGGCCAGAGGCCTTCAGACAGATAAGGCACGACCATGGTCAATATAGTCAATCCGTCAATCACTTCTTGTCCCAATTGGAATTGCTCGCTAATGGCCTGATCTGCCTTCTCCACTGTGCTGGTAACATCTGCGTTTTCAGGGAATGCCTCCATGACCTTTTGGGTGATACACTGCATTAGTTTGGGCACGATTTCAAACACGCGGTCTCCAAAGGTATCACAGAGTTTGCGCAACGAGATTTCAGCACCACGCTTCATCAGCTGAGCGTCCTTTTGTTCCTGCGTCAAGACTTCCTTGGTATTTGCTGTTGTTGCTGCAGAAGTTGCTTTGCCGCCTGTTTCTTCCTTTTGAATGGACAAGATGCCTGATTTGGTCTGATTGTCCTCCAGCACAGGTGTCACTGTCGTATCAGAACACAAAAAGGTACACAGGTTCTTGACGATTTTGTCGTTGGGGTTGACGCGCGATTGAGAACGTTCACAAAGAGCAATCAGATCCGTCAGAGTCGCAGCAGAACGTTCTTGCAGTTCCAGGTTTTCCTCGAATTTGATGCTGTTCATCACACTACGAATCACAGGATTCAGTTTGGCTGGCAACACGCCCAATTCAATCACTGCTCCAGCTGTACTGGCATAGACGTTGATTTCGATCTTTTGCTTGAGCTCTTCAAAGTAGCCAATGGAGCCCACGACTCGACGCTGACGTTCGTCCAATGCTGTAATGATGGCTGCTCTGCCCTTGATCTTGGGTATCTTGCCCATCAGCTGTTCAAAGGTATCGCCTACGACGGAGGTAGCTGTTTCAATCGTGAACAAGGGGCCTTGCTCGGGTAACGCTTCTCCAGGGACCAAAGTAGGCAATGTGGGAATATGTTCAATAGGGACTTGAGCTTCTGCATGGAAGGCATTTACCAGGTTTTGGCATTCGCCTCTAATACGCTTTAACACGTGTACGAGCTCAAAGTAAAATCCAGTTGTGTGCTTGGCCGCATTATCGAGATTAGCAATCATGGCGTTGGACAATGTCTTGGGAAAGTTGTGTGTGTTTGCCAAAATGGCATCTTCAGGTGCATGGCTGATACAGTCAGCGTTGTAGCGTGTCTTGAGTACTGCCTTGGCCCATTCCTCCACCGCCATCGCACCCAATTGGCGCTTCAGTGCCCATTGCGAGGTCAACAGTGTCAGGATCACTTCCTGATAAGACATCTCCATCGAATCATCAGGCCATGTGCTCATTGCCATACCCAACGCTGTTGTGCAAGCAATACGACATCGCATGACTTGGTTGGTGGTAATCAAGGAGAAGTCTTGAGCGATCATGCCAGCGTCCAGATTGTGGCCATCGTCTCTGCTGTCTGCAGTAGTAGCTGCTGCCTCTTTGCTGATGTCGCTGCTTGTTTGATTTGTCTTTGCCTTCTTGGCCATCTTCTTGCTGGTTTTATCAACGACTGGTGCTGATGTGGTTGTTGCTAATGTACCGCCGTTGCCAAAGGCTCCAGGTGGTTTGTAAAAGTAGGATGCAGTGTCCAAGGGCTGCCCAATAGGCGTCATTGTAATCTCGAACCAACTACCAAGCCAGTTTTGTGTGCCTTGCAAAACGAGTTGTGTGTCCACTTTGCCGCTGATGGTCAGTCCCTTCCACACAGCCAATGTTTTTTCAATGATGTCTACTTTTTCTTCTACAATCAAATTTTGAAATACCAAGCGATACACGCGTTCGTCGACCCATTCAGCGGATGTACCGCATTCGATGAATGTCAGCAGCGTGTTCAGAACAGCCATACGTACACCAGTGATCGTGTGTCGAAAGAAGGGATGCAGTCGAGGCACGAGTTCTGATAGGCTACAGCCTTCACGTACAATCTCCATGACACCAGGTTGTTCAAACATCTTGGCAATGAGATCCATCACAGCGCCAGTGGAAGCGGTCAAGTCATCTTTCAGGTCGATAAGACAATCCCACAACGTTGTAATCACATCTCGAATACGGCCTTTGGAGCTCATACGTACAAACTCTGCAGTGATGGGCAGTAAGGTGGCAGCACTGACAGCGCGCACATCGTCGTCGTGGTCTCGCAGGCCGAGAATAACGGCACCTGTAGTGCCATCAACGAGCATGTCGACCAAATCCTTTCTGACAGCCACTGTGTATTTTAATCCAAGTAATCCAGCATGTCTGACTTCCCAAATGGATCGGCCACCAAATGACGGATCGTCTTGGTTGATGAGCTTGAGCAGGTTTTCGTGTACCTTCTCGACTGAGCTGGCTGTCATGTACTGCAGAACGACACCCAATGTCTGCGAACAGGTCTCTCTCACTGGACATACAACTTGGTCAGAGACAAAGTCAGCAAATCGATCCAAAGCAAACACACACAGTAATCGAATAGCAACATCCTCCAGCCATGCGTTGTGTAGCTCCTCGTTTCTCGATTTGTCGCCCACTAGAATACTATTAAGACTATGGTCCATAGGTCACAACGCCTCACTTACATCTTTTGCCTGCACCTTCGCCATGCGCTTTCAGAATGCTTCGTAAACCGATACCAGCACCATGTCGAATCTCCCAAGCAGGATCAAACAAATCCAAGCACAAGTGTTCGCATACCATCTTGAATGGCCAATCACGCTGAACTTCATCCACCGTGTCGTCTACAGAGGGTGCTGGCTTCTTGACTTCTACAACAAACTTATCGGATTGGGGTTGTGCTGTGAATTCAAACTCTACATTCTGATGGTCAATTTAAACTTGGCACATGGCGTTTTTGCAGTGTTACCTTCTTTGGATTCCACTTTGACAGCTTTTGGCTCTGCTTTGCCTTTCAAATCCATCACGCGAACTCTATTAAAACATGCCATGTTTAAACGCTGTTGTCATGTGTATATGTTGCATGTGTACAAATGGGCTTACTTTTCTTTCTTTCCCTTCATTTTCGACTCTAATTTCATTTTACGTTTCAGCATATTTCTCTCACGAGCGGATAATCCAGCCATATTGATTTCTGCTACTGCGGGTGTGGGTGCATTTACTGCTACTGTGGAGGTAGATGGCGAAGGTGAAGGACTTTTCGTCACAGCTTTGGTAGCTTGATTTGTCTTGTTGTTGTCTAAATCAGCATCATCGACCAAGTCCACTGTAAAAGAGTACAGGTCAGCAACGCATTTTGATATGGCAAATCGCACACATACCATCCATAAACTGGCTTGCAAGACCCAAGCGTTCCTTGAGGTTGCGTCTTTGTAATTCTAAGCGTTCTTGTGGTGTCATGTCTGAAAAATCTATATCGTATTCTTTCCCTGCAGAGCCTAATAAAAGTTTTCCGTGCTGAAGTACTGAGGCAAGATCAAATTGGCTGAAGCGTAGTTTGTGTACATCTTGCTCTTGATCAATATCCATCGTATCATCAGTAGCAGCGTCTGTTAAGCTTGGATCCCAAGCTGGCACATTGGCAGCAATGGCTTCAAGTGCTTGACCTGCAGCCCAGCGTGTATCCCATGCTTTGCTTCGAAGGTGAACGACGACCTACATAACAAGATGTGAGCCATCTTTTCTTGGTATAACAGACTCTTCTTACTCTTGATAATAAATTATACAGTTCTCCAGGATGCTGCTTTTGGATTTCGCCTAATTGTTGAGCAGCTGTTCGTCTGACTGCAGTGGTTGAGCCAGTGTCTAATAGTAATACCAACCGGTCGAGTCTACATAGTCCACAAGTTAGTGTGTGATGCGCTGACATGCTATATGAAATGACACTCTACCTTGTAGCCATAGTGTTCAAGAATCGATTGCTGTTTTTTTAATATATGTATTTATGGAAAAAAGAGAGGGAAAAAAGTGTAGAATGCAGGAATATGGATGGTCAGACCTTTATATATTCAAAAGATTTACCAAACAAAAGCCAAAAAGTTATCAAGCGACGTCACTTGATTGTAACACCATATTGGCAAATGTCGTTTGGTTGACCTGCCTTTACAGTGTGCCGCTGAACAGCTATTTGCGCAGTCAATTTAAGGCCTCAGTCTAGCTGATTAGGCTCTCAGTAGCATGGTGAATAGAACGACGACGCGTTATTGAACGACTTGGGCATGCTGATGGATGTCATGCTCTCTAAATGTTTGGGATGGCATTGAGTGAATGTGATCGTCTTCCGCTGCGGCTACTTGGACCTCCCTTCTAGAGTGCATCTCCTGTGTTCTTCTTGCAAATGTAGTATAATGATAAATGCTTTGAATGAAAAGATTGGCAACTTTGCAATTCGAATACAAAAGCGATTGAACCAAGTAGTCTACACGATTGCATTAGTCAATTACATCGATCCTGGGATGTGGACATCATTTGATGGTCAAATTTTGGAGCTACCAGGCAAGAGCAAGAGACTCAACACAACTTGAAATAGGAAACAGTAGAGCGCATTCTATAGACAACAATACATGCCTATCCGTTATTGCTGATATTAGATCCATTTGTTGTCAGTGCCTGCTGCTCTGGTAAGACTCAATGACGCGTAAATTCAACATGGCGCGTTTACATGATGAGGAATTGATTCCTTGATTTATCACATCAGATTTATATCGCATCTTTTGGAAAGGCTAATCATAACGATTACATTCCATCGATCACTAACAATCAAAGTATATGTGCCTGCAATGTAAAAAAAAAAAGGCTACAAAGTATTTTATTTGTATGAATAAATAAGTATAAATCTATCTATGGGGTATTTTGTGCGAACGAAGGATGTTCTATGTATAGTCTGAATAGTGTGTATGTACAGTTGGGATGTAATCTTTTTTTTCTTTTGTCTATATGTTATGTGTGTAGTGTGGTGTGCTTTGATGGAATTTACATAAAAGTGATAGCACCGTTTCTTGTCAGTTTTCTTGGATCAGGAATAGGGACATGAAGAGTCGTGATTGAATTGAGACAAATCGATGCCGCAACCAGGGCAGAAGCTGTAGTCGTTGATGATGGCCATCTTCTTGGATGAGTTGCTATAGTAAATGCTTGATACAATTGTATTGAAATTCATTGTGTATAATATGAACTGATGTAGAGAATTGATAGAAGAAAGAAAGAACGCAAAATGAATATAAACACGGGTATATTTATAGTCAACATCTTGGCCTTCTAATTTTAGCATTACACACACTCAAGACGATAATGAACAGCACACACAGCTTGTGCAATGAAATGGGTATGCTGCGGATAAACCCTTTGCTACGGCTACTTGGCAATCAAATTCCGTGAGTTAACAACGTTTTCCCTTTCACTTGACTCACAAAACTAAGATAAGCCGAGATATGTTCCGAAAGTGGCGGTTTGCAAGCTTTATCCCCTTGATACTATGACAACAACAGTCAGCCCCCCCTTTTTTTTTATTATTCTTTAGTAAATTTACTGCGAAACTGATTTGCTCAGCTTTGTGGGATGTCTCTATTCGTATGGAAATGTTACAAATGTATCACACATAATGCGGATAGCACCAGAAATAGAATTCAAATGTACACACACATTTAACTCAACAACAGCCGCAGGCCCGATGTTGCAAACACTCTCCATGGTGACATTTTGTTACATATGAAAACAATCAAAAGAAGTGGTGCCATTCATGACTAATTGACTAATCGGATTTTTTTTATTGCCATGTGGATAACTGTATTTTGTCTCAACAGGAAAATAGGCTTGATTAGCAATTTCTTGCAAATGTCATTTCATTCAACCTCTTTCATAGACATCATGGATAGAGTACGTGCTCACTATTATGTGCTATCGACATGAGCTCTTTGCAAATTCTTCTGAAAATAAAAAATGGTGTTTGATCTGTTCAAGATTTTAAACTTTTCGGCTGATACGGCACTTGATAAGGCCGCAATTTAAATAAAAAGTCTATTTGATTCAATTACTGCTCCACCACTGAATGCAATGGAAACATGCTCCGTTTCATTGGTATCATATTGCAATGTAGCTCAAAGAAACCAATCATTATTATCTTTGTATCATCAAGATTTATTGAAGATAAATGTAAATTGCTTTTTATAGCTTAAACTATCTTACAGTATCTGATTTGATCCATCTCAATTGGAAAATTGAATGGGTGCTTGCATATGACAAATCAATGATTCCTCTCAGGATGGCTGTCTGTGATACACATACCTTTGTAGGGGAGAATGTGGCTCAAAGAGACAAACGAATGGCACGCCGACCATTGACATTACAAGGCTTTGATAGCCTCAAATCAGTCGTCAATCGTACAAGTATGCATTGGAATGTCGCTTTTAACTTCTTGCTATCATAGTAAAGCGCTCTATTATTAACCTGCAACTGTAAATCTGTCTTCTCCAAGATGTTCCATGGCTGTATCGAGGGGGGGGGGCGACTCATTTACAGGCAGACAACATAATAACATTACCTCTTAGTACACCAAAGTGTGGAAGACACCGCAAAACCTGAGTGAACTTTGGTCGCGTTTTCTGGCGCTAGAAGCTGTTTCAGATTACCAAAATAGCACCAGACATTTGCTTTCCTCTAGGAAATGCCTACTGACACCTTTGCTCAACTTTTTGGGGACCAACAAAAAATCGGCCAAAATCCTCAAAAAAAAAAAAAAAAAAAACCATGAGGCACCCCTCATGGTTTTCATCAAAAATCAAACAATCTCATTTTTGACTTCAAAAATGAATATTTTCAACATGGTATATAATAAATCAAAATGTTCGTATCACTTCAGGGCAACCCCTGAAATCACTTTTGTAAGACCTTGGTATATGAAATCTCGACATTTTCGCTAAAAACGGCATTTCATATTTTCATAAATTGCTCATTATGCCAAGTCAAAACACTTCTTTTGAATGGCACCATTGGAAGCGCCTTGAAAATTACTCCTAGAATGCATAAGACAGTAATGGATGATCATCAAAATTTATATAGTCGAATCTTACAAAATAGAGCAAACAGGTCGATTTTGTTCAAAATCTGTCCAATCTCAAATGAAAAAAAAAACAAACAAAAAAGTCGAAGATTTAATATGATTTGGCTGTTCAAATGCTTTTCTCATGAATACTATGCAGCTTATACTGGTTACTTTAATCTAACTTTGCTAGCCAATCTATGAGATTTGATCCTTCCAAATCGTGAGCTTAAAGGCGAAGCTTAACACAAGATACAAGTGTCACACTGTTCCCAATCCCGTTCTTTGAGTATGAGCTTCGACTTCTAGTCATGAAAAGATCGAAGATAGAAAGTCTAAGTGATAGAACACATGATGATGTTACTCAGCTATGAACATCAGCTTGGATCCAAGGCACCACACCAAGCCGAAATAAGATTTTTATCTGTATTGCCAACAATCTTTACAGTTGTTTTGCTCCTCTTAGTTTTGGAACTGTTCTAGTATCGATATTTGACGTTTGCGATATAAGCATACAACTTGTCTAGACTAACCCGGTTGACTAGAGCGCCACTGATCTGATGAAGCTCTTATATTATTCTGAAACTACTCCAATCATGATTTCCATTCGAATGGATCCAAATCGCGATTGACAAGGGATTTTCAATGATGTGTTATCATGCTAACGAACATTGCATATAATAACATTGTTAGCTCCTTTCCCTGGTGCAACTAGCACGCCATAGTTGAGTAACCACACAGTAACGGATACCTATTCTCTCTCTCGACCCATTGTATACAAACTATTTTAACGCCAAAGCATAAAGGCACGAAAACGACTCAAAATGATCATCTGGCGTAAAAAAAAAAAATCAATCACAACAATATTCCCATCTGACAAATGTATCAATAGCCGTCTACACAGACACGCACACAAGGCCCTAAACTGTATATGGAAATGCCGCAGTGCATAAACCACCATCTTTTTGCTGCTTTTTATTATTATTTTAATGAATTCGAATATAAGGGTAGATGCGCATCATGAGTTTTAATGATAAAAAAAAAAAAAGAGTTGGTGGACATCATGACAATGGTACATCTGATTCAATAAAATGCTGATTCATCTCTTCTTGATCACAGTCTGGCAAGTCTCGTCCGTATCGCTTTTCTCCTCGTCGCTGTCTCCTCAATTGACGTGAGAGCATTAAATGCTGTCTTGGATTTGCATGATTATTTTTTTCAGTAGCGTTCTTTGAAGCCGCATGGGAGCTTTGCTCTTGACGCTGTTGGGTTGTCTGACAAGGATTATTTGAGATCCAGTGCAAAAGAGATGTTAGATAGTTTACTTGCTCTGGCCGTTGAACCATTTTGATTTGATATATGGAGAGAGAGAGAGAGAGAGAGGTTGAAAGGAAAAGGCGAAAGAAAAAGGATTTGCGAAAAAAAAAAACGGTCTTTATTTATGTTCATCCAAGCGAAATAGTTGACGATATGAAATTACACTGTTGCTATGGTTGGTTGGGTCCGCAATCACACCACCCAGCATGAGGTCTAGGTGGCGTGTGTGCCCATATTGATTCATGTGCAATGACTGATTTACAGGATGTATTTGCTTTTATCGTCGAGTTCGTACCTACAAATGCTAGCCTCGATCCATTTGTGAGAGATCAAATTTTTGCCTGGGTACTTGCTTCTCAATGCCTCAATGTCTTGATCAAGCTTGCATACTATCAAGTCATCAAAGTCTCCAATTTGTGCTCGTGCAGCCACCAAGTATTTACGATATTCGCCTTTCACATCATCAAGTAAGCCAACCTTGAGATGTCTTAGCAAGTGCCCTTTCTACACAATGCCGACGTGAGTTTATGCGTGTGTCTGTTAATAGATGGATTGCTTTCAATACCTTGTCCAGTTTACTATCTAATGCTTTTTTCGGCGCTCCTGTTCTGCCATATGTTAGATCCCCCCACACCTTGAATCTCTCCTCAGGTTGTATAGAGCCTTTTTCTATACTAATTCTCAACCCTGTATATACATGTCATATAAATCTCTAGTACTTGAGATCTATCCGCTATAAAACACACTTACAAGCTGCGTTAACGATGTGGTAACCACATGCGATTGCCATACGATATTTCTGGGTATTTTTGACCAGACCATTCGTTCCAACTAGCACAAATACCTCATTTTAGATGGATGCATATAAAATTGACTATACCAAGCATTTTACCAGCACTGTCAAAGACAGCATGTGTCACATCAGCAGTAACCCTGTGCTCCAGGCGTGCATCAGGTAGATCAATGTGCTATAGAGCGACATGGAAGAAAGATTAGCGATCTATATGTCTACTAATATCAACCCTATAAAACTTACCTCGATTGGATTTTCAGTCATCTGCAAAATGCGGTATGTAGGTAATTCTGTTGATGGGGATGGGTCTTGATTTGCGTCTGATGCTTCAGGAAGCACTTCCATGTCTCGATCTAGTTGACGCCATTATATATGCTAGACCACATGACAGTGACGACTAGCTTACCTGCGATGGGATTCCCTGATAAATCCATGATTTCGACGGTAGACAAGTCAATGCCATTGATGCGCTCAAACTCCTGTTTTAGTTGCATGAAATTCTCCACAATGCCTTGGTATGGCTCAGCAGGGTTCAATTGCTCTATAGTTGCTTCTTTACTGCAGGTTGGACAATTCCCTTTTTCCCCTATCTCTTTTATAATGCAGTTTTTACAGAACGTATGGCCACACAATGTAGTTGATGCTTCGTTCAGGATGGAAAGACTTTTGTGCGTTTGTGAATAAGAAGCGCATGATTACGTATATCAACAGCTCTTACCAAATGTCACACTCAAGCTCTTTCATGATGCCAGCCAGTATACTGGCTTTGATTTGCGCTGAATCTATTGTCGTCGGGTCCATGATTGTCTATGTATGGTTGTATGAAAAGAGAAAGAAAGAGAAAAAGGATTTTATTCTGTAATTCATGTCAAAATGTAGCACGAGTGCCTGAAAAGGCAGCATTTCTCAGTCACTATTCTCGCTTAAATTTGCTTCTAGTGTGCATGGCATCCCGCATATACGCTGGGAGATCGTCAGAGTCAGTTTGATGCTCTGACCAATTAGCACTAGTAGGCTTAATGCCCAAATCATCTGCTACTGACTCGTCGTAGGCATGGCGAACTAGTTTGTCGTATAGATCAAGAGGCAGGTTTCTACAAAGGGAAACTGTCAGATTCATGATCTCTTTTGCGTTGAGAGGCGGCAATACACGGAGCAGATTGGCGGGACTAGGACTATTCAAGAGATCAGCACGGATCAATGCTAGTTGAGCAATAATGAACAGGATGTTGAGATGAATTCCATAGGCAAACATGTAATCCCACAGCTGTAGCAATTCTGATAATGGTGGAGTACAAGCAGAGAATGTCATGACAGCTATGCGATGGATTTAGATGGCATTTAGTATTCAAAATTGATAGTACACACTTACATGCAAACGCATATGTGCTGGCAGATAGATTCTTTCCTCGCAAATAGCCGTATAGAATGGGATCAAGAGAGCTGAGACAGAGGTCGAGTAACTATCATGCAATGAGCATGTCATAGACACACATAACATGCCTTTCAATACTTACTCGAAGACCGCAATGAACACCTTTCATTGTAGGCAAAACATAGAGTGGACACCAATCATAGATAAACATCGAAAACGAAAAGAAAGCCTCCATCTCGGGCATCGTCATGAGGAAAGGAGCTGCCAGTACATTCATTCCTTGCACATACGATACAGCGTTACGGTTCTGAAAGAAATCCGTGCTAGAGTCATCACTTGTCCATACAAAAGCATTCAGCAAGCGAATCAACATGTCTTCAGACACATGCTCTACAAAATCAGAGTCTGTTGACATGGTGCGAAATGTATCATGTCTGATCTTTTCATCCACAGAACTGGGCCCCATTTCAATCAAGTTGATATAAGTTGATGCTGAGATGCGATTGATTCGGAGCAATAGTTTCCAAACCTTTCCTCTCAACTGTGTGAAGCAAAATCAAGATGGTCAATTTTATTGTATAAGGGATAGAGAACTAGTCGAGTTACCTCTGCTGGACAGGGGCTTGATAGCAGTGTATTTCGTAGAAGCGATAAACTGTTTTCAGCAGACTGAGGTGTGTCATGTTGACGATTCAGGATATCATGAATACTCTCTGAACATTCATAAAAGTCATAGTCATGTTCAAATTGCATAGCAGTTGTAAAAAAAAAAAATAAGAATGGAAGATGGAAGAGGAATAGAAAGAGAATAAAGAAATATGTCGAATCAAGGAGGAAGCCATAAGATAGTGTTGCTCTAGTCACATAAACACGCATATATATATACACTCAATTCATTGTTTGTCGCAACCAGATATGTACATGTACGAACACAGAAAGAGAATCTCACATTTCAACAAGAGCAAAGTCTATAAAATTGGATTGTCTATGCCTTGTTGAAATCTTGCGCCTCTTCCTCGATGACTATCATGGTACTGTCCTCTTCTTCCTCCACCTCCACCACCTCGATGGCCATTATTACTATTCGCATTGTTATAGGGATGATTCTGATATCCTCTCGGTGGTCTATTATGCATGTTATTGGTGGGTATACGGTTTGATTGCTTATAAGACGGTTGCTGCTGAGATGGCTGTTGTTGCTGTTGATCATTGATCCTAGACCAACTATTATTACTATTACTGTTGAAGGCTACCTCAGACATATTGGGCTTCTCTACAAATGGCATCGTATCTTGTCCGATTCGTCTAATTTTACATGTCTTTGTTGTCCCCATGATGAGTTGACCTTTTCGAAGCCTAACATCACTATCAAATAACATGAGTGTCTGCTGAATAATTGCAGTAATGAACATGGCTGACTTACGCTCCTGTAATACGCAGAATATCTCCACCTTGTATGTATTCACCTGCCTCACCCCATACATTCAGGAGAATTGACGCAGTCCTATCCGCTACTAAATACCTATTTATCTGATCCCCATCACGTGTGATAGTCGTATCACCATCTACAAAACATTACCGTATACATTAGCAAAGAGCTTAGAATGATAAACAAAAATGCCTTTTTTTTTTAAAAAATATACCTTTCTGAAGAACTAGCACTTCGCAATCAATGTTTCTGCTCATGGGATGCATGTCTTTGACGAGGTTGAGATGTGATTTCGGATGTGTATGATGCTGCTGTAGTTGTAGTTGCTGATCTAGCGTGGCCATTTAGTATTTAGAAGGGAATTTGATAAACTTGCTTGTAAAGAAAGAAGAACAAGGAGGTTATTGAACTTTTGAAGGCTATTTATACTTTTTTTTTTCTTGTATAAGAGGCGGCAATGTGACGCAAGTTTCATTCGTAAAGGGTCACAAAATGTAGCAGTAGATACAAGAGTCCGGGCACGGTAAGTTGCAATCAGCATGACACAAGCCAAAAGAAGCATTGTTTGTATATGCTTTTGACTAGTCAGAAGGATAATTCATGGTTTTCTTTGACACTTGATTCATCTACATTGGCTCTATTTCATCTAGTAACATCAAGCAATGATACGGCCCATCAAATACTGAAGCACGCTCTTGAAATGAGGGACCAACGTAGCTAATCACAGCATAGGCAATTGGAGATTTGCGTCGCCATAGTACGAAAAACAGCAAAATGGATGACAAGCAGTTGAAAACAGCATGCTTTGCAACAGATTTGAAGAACCACAGCCAATGCCATTGGAATATCGATTTCGAGCTGATGGATTGTAACAAGCTTATTTCTCGACATAGCGCAGTAACTTCTGATTGCAACATTGAGATGGATATATTCGATTTCTGGTCAAAGGGATCCTCGTATAGAGTGTGCGCATAGTCATCCTTGTGATAGTTTTGGGTATAATAGGATGGCTGAGGTGTTGATGGGAATTCAATGGTGGTTGGGGTCGATTGTAATGACGGAAATTGCTCCTGTTGGGTATGATATTGATCATTCGCATCCCAAGCTTCTGCTAATTCAGTGGAACGAAATATGAACAATGAGAACAAGCGGCTGAAGTGTGAGATATAGCTTACTTGCCTTCACAATCATCATCCCCAGCTTCAACGAAATAATTTAATGACTCATTCAAGCTGGTTGCCAGATCAGAGTTGGGATTGTGTTCCAGAAACTGCCACAGGCAAAATTAATCACCAAGTCTAGATGGTTTATCATGGATGAATACCTCTTCCAGTAGCTTCACAAGTGCATGAATATACAATAGTTGAGCCTCAATAGGACATTTGCCCCTCATTCTATTCCACACTCTCCTGTATTTCAGGTTAAATACCTTACTTTCATCGAAAAACTGTGTATCCATACCATTTTTCATGTAACAGTGTCTGTCTTGAATCTGGTCGCTTGAGCGTGCAATCTCCTGCAATCGCCTGTATGTAGAGGCCATATAAATGCATTTTATCTGCTAATGAAGGCTGGAATGGACCGTTTGTTTCGGCTGGTAGTGATCGCACCACTGCCAATGCATGACAAAATCGAATTTGAGTCACATAGAGCGATTCTGAAGGTGTTGCATTTGAAAATGACATTTAGTTTTGAAGAAATGGTGGTATTGGAAGAAGAAGCGCTTTTCTGGACTTTGTAGAAAGCGAAAACATACAATGGTATATTTGTATTCGGGTCACACTTGGTTTAGAGTTAGGGACTCTCATGTAATACAGTACAAAAGAGGCCCAAAGTTGGTCTGTTTCTCAAGGGTTTCCGCCATATAAAATTGCATGAAAGCCTTTCAGATTGATATGGCTCTACTGATACTTGACACGTAAATCACTGTATAAGCTTCAAAATACTATGAATCAGCATCTCCTATGGTAAAGTTGATCGACATCAATAAAGCACTCAAAATTTGAAATGAAAGTACCTAAAACTGAAAATATAGTAATTGAATCAAGCTTTATGCTCTTGCAAGCAGTAGAGCTCTTTTGATTATCAAACGATTTGATAGAGATTATCCGATAGCTTACATTCACTCAATGGTATTTGCTGTGTCTACTACAAGACTCTCTACGTCAGGTATAATTCATTTGACACATCGAGGGGTATTGATCAGTTGTGGATCTAGATTTGATTGAACTGAAACCCATCACTTATTGGTGAACGAAAAGTATAAATAAGTCAAATACTAACGTTGTTCTGATAGCTGACGAATATAACATTTCTAATACTATGATTGAAAAAGGGCCCATCTTTGTCTCTGGAGCAGATGGCGATAAAGGTTATGCTATTGTCAAGAAACTGCTTGATACACCCAACTTACTACGCCTAGATCCTCAACCTGTTTATGCTGGCGTTATCGACACCGAGTCTGAACTATCACAAGAAATGGGTTCTCTGGGAGCCAATGTTTTATATTTGAATGTATTGGAAAACTATGACAAGGCTGTGGACGCACTGAAAAATGCGGCGAAGCTTATTTTGGTGATTGACCCATTGAATAAACGCATGGCACAGGACAATTTGTTCCGATATGGGCAATTGTGAGTACAGGATGACGAATACAATGCTGTTTGATATACTCATCCGACGTATCTGACATATAGGCTAATTGATGCAGCAAAAGCAGCCGATATTCAACACATCATCTTCCTCACACCATTCTCTAAGCTCGATCGTCTCACGCCACCCTCTACAGCATTCACAGCTGAAAAGCAGCCCCCAACGACTTACAGATCCCAGTTCATGCTAGTGCAAACTTACCTCGAGTCCGTATTCAACAGCAATATGACCACAATCCTTTGCTATCCGGGCATCCTTCATCAGCACCTGCTAGTGTTCAAACACTACATTCAGCAGCACAATGCGTTTCCCTTGCCCTACAAGTGCCTCGAAAGCTCCGTTGAATCGTCAAACCTAGACGATATAGCAAGAGCTGCTGCTTACATTGCCCATTCGCCTACCTCTCGACATGGCGATAAGGAATACAAGCTCACTGGTCCTCAAATTCTGACACTGAAAGAGGTGTGCTCCAATGTCCTTCATGGCTTGGGCTGCAGTATCCAAGTGGATACAATGGATGTCTATCACTTGAGAGATATCCTGGTTGAGAGCATGGGAGCTCAGAATCATGCAGATTTCTTGCTGGAGATTTGGGGATTACAAAAGCAGCAGCAGTTGCAGGGACGTCGCCGATTTGAGATCACACGAGATTTGGAGGCATTGACCGGTCAAAGTGGCAAGACGCTGTTGGAGTACATCCGGGATGACAGCGTCTCTAGTCATTTCCGGTCATCCCAAAGGATCGCCCTGTCGTGAAGAGAAAAAAAGAGTTAATATCAAGACTATCCAGTGTATCATATTTCCGTACCTTTTTTTTTTTGTTGCGATGCCAATAAAGTCTTCTATTCCACATATCGATGGTTTTACACTTTGAACATTTGGTTTATAACAAAAAAAAATAAAAGGTTTATTCATTTCTTTTAATCAAAAAAGAAGGTTTGGGTAGGTGAGAAAGTATATAAGATATGTTACAATTTAGAGCTTGGCGGTGGGGTTGACAGCCTTGAAGACGTTGTCGAGCTTCATAGCGAGCATGATTTGACCCTTGATCTTGAGTTTACCGCTCATGTAAGCCTTTTGACCGTTCAACTTGCCAGTAGCCAAATCGACGAAATCAGCGTCCTTCAAGGTCAAGATAGCATCAGCCTTGGTATTACCCTTACCGCGAACAACCTTTCCTTCCTTCTTGACATCGACAGTAAAGACCTCCTCTTTTCCTTCGCTGTTCTTGATGACGAATTGGAAGACACCGTTAACTTGCTTGATCAACTTGGCTCTCTCTTCAGGGGAGAAAGACTCGAAAGCCTTGTTCAAATCAGCGATGAGTTCGGAACTCTTGAATCCAGGGACAACGATATCAGACATGTTTATAGTTTATAGAGGAGGTAATTAATTGAATAATAATAAAAAAAAAGAAGCACACCAAAAAGCAGGAATATTTATAGTGTGCCGAATGATATGAATTTTGTCATCTTGATAGATACAAAAGGAGTGTATCGTCACATGTTGAAAGCAGTAAAATGAAGGACAGAATTATGCCCCCCTCCAAATCACATGTAAGAGAAAATCGCTAGTTGACTGTTGTAGGCTTCATTTTAGACCTTTTTAATCAATTTTTGAGTTGCGTAATATACCAAATTCCATATTTGTTAGCAGCTTCGTTACCTCCATACCCCACCAAACCATCATGCCAGTAGCTGTATCACATGAATTTGAACAGGCGCGTGTGATTTCCCACTGAATGAGAAATTACCACTGTCAATTGATATGACTAGTGTGTATATGTGTTGATTCAAGAAATAAATAAGCGTTTTCATGCACAATTTCTCAGTGTACTCCGGTGTTGATGTTTTTGTAGTAAAACAGATGATGGCATCTATATATAATACACTTGGATGTCATGATCTCCAGACAAGGCATGGAGTTTAGCTTTCAAATACCGGCTTGCGCATGTATCTGTGATCCAGGCACAATTTCATTGTCATGTGTGAGTGCGTTTCTTTATGGCAAAGTTATTTGATCTAATGTGTGTTCTGGTGGCTACATAATAACTTACTGTATAAACCCACTTGATAAAAAGTCAGCATTCGCGATGACAGATGCTATACGTGGCGTAAAAGCCCAGCACTGTCCGATGAGAGAGTTGGCCATTCAAATTTCTCTGAAAAATCCGTGTACGATTTAGCAAGAGAAGGATCAAGCAGCGTTTATGTATAAGGAAAAAATCAAGCATTGTGAGGTTGCCATAAAGTTTGATCCTAGAAGAAACTGTGTGCTTGAATAGTTTGATCCATCAGTAAGATTCCTGTTGCACTTTTGGTCTTTTATAGGTATACCATCATCCGGGAATATTGCTCTCATAAGGTATTATATCAGCACGGGTGTGCAGATCCCTTTCCTCTTTTGAAGCCGTTATAATCAACGTGTTTTTTTACAGTGAGTTTGCTTTGCATTGCCATTCTCATTTGGCATCTTAGATCATCTGAGAGAAAATGATTCATTTTAACCTTGAAATAACTACAAGCTCGTCTGCTCTATCTAATATATACAAACAGCAAATTCGGGGTTTCATTTCCATTGTAAATAAACTCTATAAAGCAGTATAGAACCAAATTTGACAGCTTTCAAGCCTCCATATCTTGACATATAGATTTTCCTGAGTCACCAGAATGACGCCAAACAATTGTACTTGAGTAGTAGTAACTTCCTGACGCCTTTGCTCAACTTTTTGAGGACCCAAAAAAAACATGGCCAAATATCAACCAAAAAAAGCATGAGGTACCCCTCATGGTTTTCATTGAAATTTAAACGATCCCGTTTTTCACCTCCAAAATGAAGACTTTCACTATGGTACATATCAAATCAAAATGTTGCTATCGATCCAAAGCAACCTCTGAAACCACTTTTATGAGGTTTTCTTATGCAAAATATAGCTATTTTCGCTAAAAACCTCATTTCGAATTTTATTAAATTGCTCAGTAATTCCAGCCAAAACACTTATTACAGTTAGAACCATTGGAAGCGCCTTGAAAAGTGCTCCAAGAATGTATTAGGAAGCGTAGGGTGGTCATTACAGTGTATATAGTCAGATATCACAGAATAGATTAAAGAAGTCGAAAAAAGGCGAGATCTGTCCAATCTTGAGCAGAAAAAAAAATAAGCTGAGGTTGAATTAATTTTGGCGGCGGCATTGCTGCTGGCTGACCTAAATGCCTTTCTGTTGATGACAATGATAATTGCGATGCTGATTAAATGGGGATCAAGGAATTGAAAGGTCAATTGAATAGCCCAAATGCTTTTTTGGAAACTTTGCCTCACAAAGATGTCTTTTGCAATGACAATATCTCAAAAAAGTCGCTGTAGATCTTACACCTATCCTGTATTTACTTATGACCAGTTTTATGTCGCCATCTTATTAAGAACATCAGCAGCAGTGAATGATATGACAATTCTATTATCAGAAACTGACGATTGCGATGTACAAATGCTGCATAAAACTTGAATTTTCTTTCATATTGTCCCAATAATAGGCATTGTTTGGTATCAATCAATGGACCAAACTGTGCATGAGTGCCAAAAAGTGGCTTGCACATTGAATCCAAACTGCTATATCACTCTATTGCCATGATGTATTCTTAATTTCTATATATAAAGTGATGTGAATAAGGGCACATTTAAATGACATGCATTAGCCCCCCAGGTTCTGTTTAAAAGCAGCTCTCATGAAAAAGTGTGCTCGCATTGGAATCAGTATACTACACAATATTGCTGCGTTTGGCTATTCGCAGCTAAATAGATAACTTGCAACAATTACATTATTCATATTTAAAATACACACAAAATTAGTTCGGCCAGGCTTTAGTATTGTTTAATTCGCAATCCTTTTCTTTTTAGCTTCAAAAACGCCAATTGCCTTCATCAGAAATGCCAGCAGCCACCAAAATCATCTTAATATCCGACATGAATAAATGGCTAATTTTTGATTGAATTGCGACTTGCTCGGTCTATTTTGCCAGATTCGACTATAAAAATATGATTATCGTCTCATGCTTCTTTAAGCTTTCCTGGAGTGCTTTTCAAGGCGCATCCAATGGTACCAAGTAAGATAGATGTTTCGAATAAACCTATTGAATAATTTACGAAAATATGAAAAGAGGTTTTTGGCCAAAATGTTGAAATTTGACATATCAAAGTCCCACAGAGATGATTTTAGGGGTTACGTTAGATCGATAGAAACACTTTGATTCAAGATATACCATAGCAAAAGTCTTCGTTATCAAGGTAAAAAACGCGATCGTTTGATTTTCGATGAAAACCATGAGGTATCCCTCATGCTTTCTGGTCGAATTTTGTCCATGTTTTTTTTGATCCCAAAAAGTTGAGCAAAGGTGTCAGGAAGTAAGTGCTAGACGAGAGCAATAGTTTGGTGCTATTCTGACAATCTAAAACGGCCTTAAACGCGAGAAAACGCGACCTAAGTTCACTTAGATTTTGCGGTATCAGGGGCACTAAGGACTAAAAAGGGGCAATGCCAGTATGCTGCTTGCCCGTATACGCAGTAGCTACGTATACATGGATGTAGAACATCACATAAGAATCAGATCCACAGATAATATGAAACGTTCTCATGTACAAGTGGAGGGTCAAAATGAAAGTAGCAATGTTTTGATAAGATACGCAAGGGCAAACGGCAGCGCGAGTTAGTTATAGATGTACGCAGTCGTTTGGTGCTATTCTGGTTGTCTAAAACGGCTTCTAACGCGAACAGCCACGACTCAAATGCATCAAAATTTTGCTACAGTATATTCTGCATATTTTTGATTAGAGAGAGGTACTATTAGTACGTTATCTGCCAGTTTATAGCTTGTTCCCATAGGTACGGTCAGGGAGCGTTACAGAAGAGCCAAATCAACGGCTTTAGGTTGTTTTTTAAAGGGCTTTCAGGTAATAGTGGAAGGTCAGAAAGTCAAGCTTAGCAGATATTGGTAGAATGGTAGCCATCCACAGAGATCTTTCAATCGGATTGTGCAGAGCTGATTCAGAACACGGTGTCATTTTGAGATGTGCAGCATATACCCACATAAGCCTATCCTGTATATAAACATATATGCTGATGGATAAGTATAGCGCTGGTTGCATACAAAAGAATACACCATGCTTGCTAATCTTTTTAAGATGCCATTGTTCCATAAGCAGAAAGATGGTAGCAGCGTTTATACATGAACATATTCAGGAACAGCTCTGCCTTTATTATGTGTTCAATTACATACTGAAACCAATGCTGGCCAACCAATAGGTTATTCTAACCAAAGTCAAGTATAGCTGCGACCCACATCTTAAAAACGACATACGCGCGCTGCTGATGAGCATTAATATCATAGAATCATGTTGCATAAACCCATCGGAAAATTTTAGCCCATCATTACCTCCGCTAGAATAAGCATGCCCTGTGAATTATCATCTCCATACAAACCCTTCCTATACAGTATATTGAAAATAAACAGGCGAGAGTGCTTTCTGATCTAAACACTATAGACCCCGTCAATGTTTTGATTATAAATCAGACGTAAGCTTCTGCCAATATCTATGTCATTCCTTTCATTTCCAATATATGGCCCGTGTTACGTAATCCTATTCAAAGCAAAGGAAATCAGAATTGTTACCTAGGAGATCTTCTTGGGATTCTTTTCTCTTACGCCTCAAAATACAGATTATAACAAGATCATACCTGGTACGCCATCATTTTACATATTTTATTAAATCCGTGGTGGCCAAGTTGAATGGAGCTTGGAATCGAGTCATTCCCTGTTCCTGAATCACAATTCATTTTAAATTTTTGTGGTCAATTAAATAGTCTGATGGCGATAAGAAATCACAATGTTAGGAAGAATGATAGCGCAAGAGTGTCTCTTTTCAACGCCAAAACGAGACTAGAGGATTTTGGGTGTAAGCAAGCTTCTGATTAGATTCACAAAAAAAAAAAAAAAGATTCACTGGTAATACACACCTATAAAAATACAAGAATACAGCCTATAAACGATTTGGGTATACACATGTACCACAAAGATGTTTTGCATAATGAAAATGAGGCGTCAATAAAATTAAAACCGCCTTCAACGTAAACACTTACCAAGATGTTTGTCAGCGATTACAAAGAAAATTTAGACTCGTAAATTCATTCATTTTGATAGACGAGATTGCTTTTCTGTTGATGACTAACTATACCGTAAACATTTGTCAACCAAAATGAAATCATCGATTCTCCCTAGGATACTGTCAAGATTCGATCAGATACAGCGAATGTGCTATAAAACAGGATACAGAGAAGTTTGTTGAGTAGATGTATACAACATCCAATTGAATATTTTAAAAGCATGCATGCTACTCAACCTTATTGCTCAGTGGCCATCTAGGTCCAACCTCCCCAACATACGCACATCGCGCATTACATTTCTTTAGTAAGAGCTGATATGTTAGTGATGGCTCAAACTTGTGGTTGATCATGATCGATTTTTTCGACGGCATGGACGAAAAAAAACAAGGTACATGGCACAAAAAGACCAGACTCGTCTCTGTAAAGAAAAGGGGCGCTTGGACTTGAGCAATGTGAAACGTAAAGACAAACCTTAAATGCAGTGGAAAACGTGCGTGTATGGAGATCAAGCTACAGTACATTTACATCACATAGCGTACAAACGATAAACCAGAACAACATGGCACCTATTTCCTAATAAAGATGCCGAAATTATTACTGTAAAAAGCATATTTCGATCAAGTTGAGTAAAGCATGGCGACGGATCCGTCAAGACAATCTTTATATAAATAGAGGACCAAATTCCATCCAAAAGAGCTTTTGTTTTTCTGTACTCTACCTCTTACATCTTCAAAACACATCGTCAAAATGCGTTTCTCTCTCACTACTGCCCTTGTTGGTGCCGCTGCCTTGATCTCTTCTGTCTCTGCTGACTTTTACAACCGTCTTAACGTTGATGATGCTGCCTTTTTGTTTGTTGATCATCAAACTGGTCTCTTGAACTTGGTCGGTGACTACAATCCCGATACCTACTTGAACAACGTTATGGGTCTTGCCGAATCTGCAAAGTACTTCAAGTCTCCTGTCGTCCTCACCACCTCTCGTGAAGACGGCCCTAACGGTGTCTTGCTCCCTGAGCTCAAGGCTTTGTTCCCTAACTCTAGCTATGTTGCCAGACCTGGTCAAATCAACGCTTGGGATTCTGAGGAATTCCGTGCTGTAAGTTACTTTGTGCGATATCAACGCATATCGAAACTAACCATCATCTCATACATAGGCTGTCAAGAAGACTGGCAAGAAGCAATTGATTATCTCAGGTATTGTTACTGATGTGTGTGTTACCTTCGTTGCTCTCTCTGCAAAGAAGGCTGGTTATGAAGTCTTTGTTGTTACCGATGCCTCCGGTACCTTCACTGAAGCTGTGCGTGATGCTTCTTGGTTGAGAATGCAACAAGGTGGTATTCAACTCATGAACTGGTTCGGTGTTGCTTGTGAATTGGGTCGTGATTGGCGCAAGGATATTGAGGGTATGGCTGCTTTGTTCGCTAAGCGTTTGCCTTCTTACGCTCACATCATGGATTCTTTCGCCGGTGCTCAAGCTGCTGCTTTAGCTGCTGCCAAGAAGAACTAGAGTACTGCTTCTATACATAATACGCCGTAAACATATTTATTCATATCATCTATAGCTTTATTTTCAAGTAAAAATAAAGCATATTCTCTATTACATTAAGCATTGCTACTATTGATATCTTGACACGGGTCTTCTGATTCTACTTGATTTTCTTCGATTGTAGTTTTCATCATTCACAGGCTCATTTTCATCGTGTCTCTTTCTCTTCTTGTGAGGACCAAGATCATGCTTGTACTTTGGTTGTGGTAGCGCTGCTCTGGTTTCAAAGAAGCTTCCTTTGACCAAGATCTGATTTACACCACCATCTTCATTTTGTATTAATAAGTGTTTTGTCATCGCATGAATTTGTGCTACATACTTGGAACAGGTCGATATCTGACGTGTGTGATGGGGCCATTGTAGATACAAGGCAAGCAGTTGTAGCTATTGGGTAATACATTACTTTCAGTAACCAAGTTTTTCCACTCGGCATTGACTAGTGGATTTGAGTCTACATTGTCTCTATCCTATAATACAACAGATCAGTACAATTTGATCTGGTCAGCAAGTCAAATTAAGGTTTACTTGGGGAGCAGTAATACAGCAGCCTTCAAGAATCACCTTTTCTGGGGCATTGCCAATGAAATGTACAGTGTCAACAGCAATTCTATCGATTTCAGCTTCTCCAGCCAGCTTGATGACGGTAAATTCACGTTCCTCATCTTGTCCACCTCGAACACGAGGGCTGATCCAGCCGTCTTGGCTATAAAGAGACACAATGTTAGTGTACCTATTGATTCAAACAGTGATTGAATTCACCTTGAAACTTTGCGATTGATGATGAGATTGGGGAATTCTCCTCTAACAATGCTGTCTGGCTTCTGGACAATTTCAGCACCCATTTTACTGGACGCCATGTTGACCTCCATGTTGCCCACATTGGTAGGTCTGGGAATATCGCCATAACAACGAAGTCGTGCCTAACAGAGAGACTGAATATCAGTACATGTGCGAGTACAAGACACAATTTATACTTACAACACCACCTCCAGGAGTAACAGTGAAATGAACATGAGTGTGCCTTTCCGTGTTGTTCATCACTTGAAAGAAATTATGAGCATTCGGCACCAGGGGTACATGATCAACCAAAACTGTCCACTATGAATATTCATTGAATAAATCAACACACTTTTTTCGGTGCAAAAAAAAAAAAAAAGGAGCTTACATCTGTAGTTCGTCTTCTCGAATTACCATGAACACTGGCATGAAGAGGAGCACATTGAGTATATCCAGTACAGTCAATGTCGATACCTGTGATGGTTCCAGGGACACCCAGTCTAATAGTGGCACTGTGATCAAGTGTGAGTGTACAACATTCTAATCATGATTCTAGACTGAACTCACTATCCTGACTCTTCATGACGCTTGACAAGCCAACCATCTCTAAATTCATCTAAAACCAATAGTAAAATAACTATTCCATTCATCGTTCTACGCAACCTAATCTACATACCTTCTTCATTAGGCTGCCTAGTTGTATGAGATGGAATAGCTACTGTCTTGATCAAATTGGAAGCAGCGCCATAAGTTTCATCAGATGACATGATAACTACGGAATCCTGGTAATCAGCAACCAAATCAATCTTGTGTGCAAAAGGTGTCTGATCCAAACGAATAGCATCAGGCAAATGGCGAGACCAGATGGAAAGACCCTCTTCAGCTGGAGCTGGAGCTGACACTGGTTGTTGCTCTGGCTCTGTGTCCTCGCTGCTTTCTTCTTGTTCTTCGTGTTGTTCCGCTGGTCGCTGCTGCTCAAGCTCACACTCAATTTCTTGCTGCTGTTGCTCTTGAGATTGCAATAGCTCTGTTTCTTGACTGTTCACTCTGATGCTATCCAAGCTTCCTTGTTGATTGGCTTCTGTAGTGTTGTTGCTGCTACTGTCATCGGCATCATTGGAACTACTTTCATCAAAAATGCCATTAGGTAAATGATGGCCCAAATTGGAACCATAAGACAGTTGATTCTCCAAATTGGATATTTGATTGCCCAAATTGACTCCAGAATCCAATTCTTCTTCATGGTCACTGTTTGTGTAGCTGCTGTCCACAATATTCCTAATGCTCATCATGTCGCGAGAGCCGTTAGGGGTTTCAACGCTACTAGCATCATCAGAAAGGGGAAAAGAGTTGAGTGTTCCGTTCATTGTATGTGTGTTTTGTTTAGAGATAGAGTAATTGCAGTATTCCAGTGCATAGACTGGTTATATTTATATGATACAGGTCTCTTTTACTTCATTATAGGACACCTTTGTGTGCTGTTCCATTATGCGACATCAAGGCAACCTCACTCTGGAGCACCATGACTACAATCAGGGCCAATCATTGTGTGGCATCCAAGTTCATTGAGGCGGCATTGAATCTTGCACACACTCACACACATAGACACACATAGACAAGGTGTCTTTCTTTTTTTGTCCCTTTATCTCTCCTCGTTTTTTTTTTTTTTTTTTTACACAAAAAAGCAAAACAACCAAAGCCAAAAACAACACAATATAATGAGTGATCTACCACCAAGACCATCCATGCAGTCATCTGTTTACAGCGAGCAACGCATCACTCGTGCCAAGAGTATCCTCGAAAAGAATCTCAACAAGAGTAAAGGCGCCGAAGTAAGTGTCCATGATGTGCGTTCACGCGCTATACTAGGTGCTTATAGTGATGCTGCCTAGGTGAGTTTAAGTGCGCAAACATTCCTGTTCTCAGAAATGCTGCAGTATGCTCAGAAACGAGTCAATGGTATTCAAGATCTAGAGAGAAAGTAGGTGATCACACTGAAAGCTGCTCTAGAGGATGATTAACCACAAGAATGTGTGCAGATTGAATGAATTTGGATATCGTGTTGGGTCTCGTGTACTGGAACTGCTGGCTTGGAGAGAAAAGAGCGCCAAGAGAGAGATCAAGGTGATCCATGTTTTGTACTTTATTCATAGCACAGTGTGGAAGGCATTATTTGGAAAGCAGGCAGATTCGCTGGAAAAAAGCACAGAGAACGAAGACGAATGTGAGCTGGGATCTGCGAGGATGCTGTGCTGACATCTGACCATGATTTGTAGATATGATTTCTGATAATGAGCCAGTGCTTACACGATATATATCCGTGCCAAAGGAACTCTCACAGCTCAATTGCAATGCATTTGTGGCTGGCATTGTGGAAGCAGTGTTGGACGGGTGTCAATTCGTAAGTGTTCTTTCTGCATAAGCACCGGACGCAAATTCACTCACTCACTGAACAGCCTGCTCGTGTCACTGCTCACACAGTGCCTCAAGATGGATTTCCTCAACGCACAACAATTTTGATTAAATTAGACCAAGAGGTGCTGGAGAGAGAAGAGCTGTTAAAATAAACCTCCCTTCATTTTTATTTTTTTCCTTTGCCCTTCTTTGCAGTTTTGTCTTCTGTATCGATGAATCGTGGTGGAACGCCCTTGCTAACAAGCAGATGCATGATGTTTTTGATCTGTGGCCCTTGCACCATGATTTCATACAGCGGGTTCTTGGGGCTGACACCGTGGATTGGATTGTAGGTGGCACTACTGGCACACAATCGAGTCAGCTCTTTGGAGAGCTCGTCTACATCCAGTCCAAAGCCTTCCACACCAGTGACTTTGGTGATGGTCTTTCTGCCTTGTCTCACTTCCTGCACAATTTCAATGGGTTTACAGGCTCCTTTCTTTAACACGGCTTCTTTTCCAGGCAGCTTGACAGAGTGAAATGGCTGCATTTTCTGACACATGCGATGTAGAATCTGGTCTCTGGTGAGTTTGTTGATGGAGTTGTATTCTGGCTTTGTCAATAGAGCATCACACAAAGTGGGATCAATGTTGATCATTCTGTGTCAGAAGGTTGTCAGTCATTCTGTCATCAAATATTAGGAGGGTGGGCACCTACTTTTGGTTTTGAAGGTCTACCGCATTATGGATCTTGATATAATCCATCATCACTTGACGTACTTGCAGAGTAGTGTAGACGCCGTCTTTGTCATGCTTGGCTTCCTCAAACAGCTTTTGCATACTGTTCCCGAGCGGTTTGTAGATCTCTTGAATGTCAATTTGATTGGATGCACTTTTAGCAGCAGCCGCCTCTTTGGCTGAGGTAGATGTAGCAGCAGCCACAGCAGCAGCTTCTTTGGCAGCATTGTCTTTGGCAGTGGCTGACTGTGCTGCTGCAGATTCCATTGTCTTGTACTTGCGCAAATCTTGCAGACTGGGATGTGAGTAATTGACGGAAATGACCATTGTCTCTCCCCGTTGTTCTTTGGTCTTGAGTAATCCAGCCTTGTCCATGGCTTTCAGGAATTTTTGTAGCTTTTTCCAACTTGATTTTTTTATGTCTATTTCTGATCCCACATCCACAGGCCTGCATGGCATAATGTAAGCGGAATAAAAGGAAGATGCGGATAAAGGCAATACGCTGGATGCATTTTCAGACTTGATCTTGAAAACAAGTGCGTGGTAAAGAGACTTCTTGAGCCATTCATCGATTTCTAGTGTTTCCCATGGTTAATGCCCATATGACTCGACTGTCGATTCATCAATTTACCAGGCGTTGTCAGTTGCTTGGCAGTAGTCTTTGTATCCGCTATCGATGCCTCTTCCATCTTCTGCGTCATTTCATGTGTATCAATCGACTGTTCTGGTTCTGATGGCTTAATTCCGTCATGCTCTGCCTCTCCTACTTCTTCATTCTCCTCCTCCTCCTCCTCCTCCTCCTCCTCGTATTCATCATCAGAAATGCTCTCTAATTCTGGTGGTCCTGACTTGTCTCCCATGGCCCATAAATAGTCCTCGTATACATGAATGATGTGTACTGCCTTTCCCTTCATACCAGAGCGAGGTCTAATTTCTGATGTAGGTACTGCCATTGTACCGATAGCAAGTGGTACGCTGTAGATAGACAAGGTTTAGGCAGATCAACTCAATGAAGCACATACGTCTCACACTTACGGATATCCTTTGATAGTGATGGCTACTAAATCGCCCGTGCTGAGCTCTGGTAATTTACCCTCGGGACCGAGCACAAGACCCGGAATCATCAAATCTAACATCATGGATCTTAGCTGCCATGCAACATTTTGAGCTGTCTATTCGTACCTGCGCCATCCATTAGTCTACGCACAACAGGACCCCAAGTGTACAGTTTTGGCAACATGCTTGGATACTGCCACATGGTGTATACTATGGTCAATCTACATGGTGAGCATACCGCATACATGTTGACATGTGGATGGCACTTTACCTGTAGGGATGGGAGGCAGGTTTTCCAATGATATCCACAGCGCCTGCTTTTCTGACTTGTACACAACACCTGCCGTTCCAGTATGCGATATAAACTTGGCAGAACGAAGATCGTCAGGCATGAGGTGAGTAGACGCGCCTTCTTCAGTTGCTGCTGTGCAAATCTCTTTGACAGACGGATATGCTTCATAAGCTTCGTTTTGGAATCGTCTGCGATCGGATGAACGTAAAGGACTGAATGATTTGAGATTGGCCAATGGCTTTTTGAACATGCTGTGTGTTGTGTATAGGAAAGAAACCAAAAGAAAAGGGTTTAAATTTGGTGAAATGATTTTTATGCTCAACACAGCAAAGCCGTCCGACAACTGCTTTCCGAAGCCAAGCATCGTGTCTGTCTATATCAGATATGGCTGATAGAAAGAGCTAATAGATGCCTCTTCGGGGGGGGGGTAGAGTAAGTACTACCTAGTTATCATGAGCTATCCAGAGGTCTACTCTCAACTGACAGCGTGGATACACTGATGAGAGATTGATCATGAGCCATTTCAAGGTCAGTGCTATTTAGTCAACAGAAGAATACTAAAAATATCAGCAAGCAATAGCAGTAATTACTAGCAAAGGGGACCATCCAGTTCTTTCATCCACATCTGAAGATTACTGCACCAAGCATTTTGTTTACGATTTGCCCGCCATTTGAATCAAGAAAAAAAAAAAAGGGTAGAATACGTGTGAGCCCAAATAGAAAAATAAGGCACCCTTACACCCTGCTGAACTTTCTTTCTTCTCTCTCACTCTCACTCTCTTTCTATTCGATTAATATTTAAACACACAATCATGGCTTGGTTCCAATCAAGTACTCTTTACGTATCTCTCTCTCTCTTTTGTCTGCCATTACTGGTTGTCATAGCCATGCTATTTCTGCCGTTTGTTATATTTACCATAGGTAGGTAAGACGCCTTTTCTCAAGCACGCTGCAATTAACAGCCCCCTCCCCTTTTGTTATCAGTGTCACTGTATCTATGTGCATGGTTCATGTATTATCTCCATGCCGAAAACGAAGCTGGATTGTCACTGCCCTTCAACCCAAATAAGGTGCTCAAAGTCAACATGGTGCTATTCAGTCATTTTACAGGCTGGATTGGTTATTTACCATTGATTGTGTCTTATTTACATTGGCGTTACTGGAAGATTGGGTCAGAATGTTTCAAACAGATAGTCAGGTGTGTGTGTGTGTGTGTGTGTTCAAGTTGCACCTTGTTTTTTTCCATTTTACTCAATTGTAGAGCACATGTAGCTTGGATATACCTTATCACAACAACACAACACTAGACGTCTATCACCCTGACAAAAGACAAGATGGCAGTCTATCCCGCATCATTGTATTTGTCTATGGCGGTGGCTGGGGATCAGGTTCCAAGATGATCTACTCTACACTGGCAAATACACTGCGGGAACTGGGCTATGTCGTTGTGGTGCCTGATTATCGCAAATACCCCGAGGTCAAGATCAACAGCATGTATGAGGACATTAGAGCATCCATTAAATGGACACACAAACATGCAAGTGAATTCAATGGCGACCCTGAGCAAATATTCCTTATGGTATGCATGAGTTACTTGTGCCGTAATGTGGAGACAGCTAAATTGCAATCGCCATGTAGGGTCATAGCGCTGGTGCACACTTGGTGTCTCAAGTGGTTTTATCAGACATTGTCAATCAAGTGAAATACGACGAAAGCCTCACCACACACTCATCGCCCACATCTTCTCCTCATGTAAGCGAAAAGCACGATCCATCCAAAACGACCATGACCATCAACAACAATAATAACAACAAGCCTCACGATTTCTTGCCTCTTGTGGAAGGGCTATTATTGTAAGCATTTTGTTTCATCTATGTTGCACATGTCTTGATAGCTTGTTCATCTAGGTTTGCTGGCGTGTATGATATTGCAGCCCATTTAATACACGAAACATCAAGAGGCATTGAGGAACTTTCTGTTATGGCCAGAGTCATGGGCTGCAGTCAAGAAGGATACAAGGCGAATTCGCCTATTCGTCTCATTGAGCGTCATGCCGACCTCTTTTCTGATTCAGAGGATTTGCTGGATTTGTGGCCTAGAATCTTGTTTTTGCATGGTCAAAAGGATACCACCGTTGGCATGGATCAGTCTGCCAACATGTTCAATACCATTGGAAAGCTGTTTCCTCTAGAACGTCGACAGGAAGTGGATGTCAGAATGCGGTTGTATAGACGTATGGGACACGGTGAGCCTGTGCTGGCTTTGATGTCCAATTTGTTTTCTACAAACACAGATCAGAAATCAATCATAAGAGATATCCAGGAATTTATTGATATTTAACAAAATCTATTCATGTATTTTTGACAAATAAAATATCATGTTCCTCTTCAAGAGGAAGATGTCAAGAAATGCCAGACATTCGAGATGCCCTCTTCACCGCCAAAGTACCATGCCAGCATGCCGGTACCGACAAGTGCGTTGATCCAGATACCCTTTGGCTGGTCTGCAGTAGTGTTGCCGTTGCTGGAAGATGTAGGCTCCTGTTTATCCGCATTGGGATTAGAGAAATGATGTTCCTTTTTAAAAGAATCCAGCTCGATGAATGGCAGTTCGTCCACAGGGGCTGTTAATGTTGGTGTGGAGGGTGATAATGTGTCTGTCAAACGGTGTCTAGCTCCTCTGGATCCCACCTTCATATCAAATGCTTCCACCCACGCAGGGTCCATGCCCTCTAGTTCCTCTACTGACTCGCTTGCTGTCTTGGTGTGTTGTTGTTGTTGTTGGTGTGATGATGATGATGATGATGATGATGTCCTGGATTTGGTCTCTTTCAGCATCTCAATGATCGAAGCTACAGTTGTGGATGGTGGTGTTGTCGACTTGACCTGCTCAGCTATAGGCTTCACAATGGTTGATTTGATTGCATCGTTGAATGGATGTGGCTTGCTGGTATTGGGGCCACCTGTAAAATGCTCCCTTGACTCACTCATAGGCTTTCTACTGCCTCTTTGAGCTACCTTCATTTCAAATGCTTTCATCCACTCATTGTCTGCATCCACCGTATCTTGAAGAGGAGCAGCAGCCGTTTCATCTGACTTGCCGACGACTTTACGAATGCTATGCAATGTAGGTGTTGTGCTACCTACGATTTTGGCGGTTTGATGGCTCAACAATTGAATAATTATATCATTCTTTGTCCCGGATATATTCAGATGGTTTGCTTTGGCTAATTGGATGAGATCGTTTTTCTTCATGCGACGAAGGCCAGCTTTGGTCCATTCTTCATAGACTCTGAGACTGCAATGAAATGCTCGTCTTTGTAGTAAGTTGGATCTATTCAGCATGGTATGTGTGTATAACAGGAATAAACTAGGGTGATGATCTGTTTGGAGACAGCTTTTTTTTAAGGGTTTCATTCAGCTTGAGCAAGTCATTCTTTTAGTGACTGTGCGGATATGCTGTCAATGTGGATAAATGCTACTATGATGTGTGCCTTGCATTATTAAACGATTGAATGCCATCAAGTCTACGTCTCTACATTTGCACCATGCAGCATGTGGAATGTGCTTTGGCTAGCGTTGTTTGCTCTATATTTGATTGAAAGGTCAATGTCCAAATGTTGAAAGCAAATCACAGAGATGCCAAATTGGATCAAGGGAGTTACATTACTTTATACGAGTGGATGTAAATAGGGAACATGTACATAGAGGCTCAAGTGAGACATCTATTTTTTTTGATACAGTAGTAGCTATTCTAGATGCAAGAAACTGAAGAGCCGGTAATGGTATCCAAGTTACATTTACAGCCTCTAATCAAAATGCTAAAACAATCTTCTAGCAAATGTGGATCATGTGTTGTTTCCTAATAGCCAGCATGGATTCAATGATGGACATGCACATAAGGCGTAAAGCTCATCCATATGTGAGCACTGCTTACACTGCTTTCATATCATTGGGGAGGGGGCCTCCCTATGACATCTGATGAAGGTTTCTCCGAATAACTTGTTTCAAAGTATGATGCTAGCTGATAAATATCTGCCATAAAAGTATGTTTTAAACAATCAATTAATAGTAAAAAAAAAAAAAAGGACTACATCAGAGTCAGGAGGGGAGGAGGGGGTATCCATTCGCTGATGTTGCTCTTCCGATGGTGACATAAAGCTGGCAATGTGTAAATACAGGACTTGTGTAAGATCTTCAGCAACTCTTTTGGGATATTGTCATTGCAAAAGACACGTTTATAAGAAAAAGCTCCCAACAAAACTAAAGAAAAAAAGGATCCAAGGGAATCGATTGTTTCTTTCAAATTCTTGATCCCTATTTAATCCGTATCGCTAGCATCAGAAAGACATTTGCTCCAGCCAGCCAAAATTAATTAAAACTCAGTTTACTCTTTCTGCTCAAGATTGGCCAAAGTTTGGTTTTTCGTCGACTTCTTTAATCTATTTTGCGATATTCGACTATATGAACTATGGTTATCATTCGATGCTTCCTAATACACTCTTGGAGTACTTTTCAAGGCGCATCCAATGGTACCAAGTAACGTAACTGTTTTGAATAAACTTATTGAGCAGTTTTTGAAAATATGAAAAGAGGTTTCTGGCCAAAAAGTCGAGATTTTCCATAGCAAGGTCCCACAAGGATGATTTCAGGGGTTGCGTTAGATCGATAGAAACATTTTGATTCAGTATATAGCACAGTAAAAGTCTTCATTTTCAAGGTGAAAAATGCGATCGTTTGATTTTCGGTGAAAATCATGAGGGGTACCTCATGCTTTTTGGTCGATTTTTGGCCATGTTTTTTTTTTGGTCTCAAAAAGTTGAGCAAAGGTACCAGAAAGTTACTTCTACTCGAGTACAATTGTTTGGCGTCATTTCGGAGGCTCAGAAAAGCCTACATGTCAAGATATGGAGGCTTGAAAGCTGTCAAACTTGGCTATGTATTGCTTTATAGAGTTTATTTACGCGACATAAATCATATCTTTGGTAGCTGCAATTTTCTGGAAGGGCAGTTCTACAGCCTGTGCAATTTCTAATTCGGGTAGAAGGAATATTGATTTCGGTAAGGCAAATTCATGCAAGTTTTGATGCGTTATGTTCTTGGAGGAGAGGCTAAGCCCCACCCCAATGCAGGCTTCGCCGATGGTTTCATTCACCTTGTACAGCACACAATTCTTTAAACTCTTGAAAGGATATGATTGGTTTATCTACTCTTTTGAATGTTTTACAATATGTGTAATGATGCGATGATGAGCAATGAAGCGAGAAGTGATATGTGCCAAATGTATCAAACATGGTTTATGGTGAGTCTATATAATTGTACATTGCAGAAGGAATGGAATAATAGAAATGCAGCCATACATTAGAAACCAAGCAACTTCAAAATTAATGCAGATGGTTGAGCAAAAAAAAAAAAAACAGAAAAAAATCAACCCACTTTTTTTTTTTTTTCCCTTCCCATTGATTAGTTTGTTTGTCTCTCTTTTTCTTCTTTTTCGTATCTACTTTAAACCAACAAAATGTCAACTACTGAAGGTTTGAACCTCAAGAAAACCGATACGCTCGTACAAACATACGCTGGAGCCTCTGATGAATCTCCAGAGTTAACTCGCGTGGTCCTTGTCTGCCTAGACCCTGAGTCTGCAGATACCACTTTTCAATGGGCTTTGGACAACTTTATCACACCCAAGAAGGATCTCGTAAGCACGCAAAAACGGGGCATGTAAGATGATGCGTATTCATATATGAAATGTAGGTCGTCCTTGTTCATGTACGCCAAATTGATATACCTGTTGCTCCTTATATCAACTCTACAGGATATATTGATGATGTGAGCCAAGAAAGAAGAGAAGAGAGTCATCATTTGTTGAGGGTGTTTGCAGAGGAGTTAAACAGGAGAAAGGTAAGGGCATCAGATATCTATGAGAGTGATACACAATCTAAGAAATGTATAACAGGTGGCGTGCAAAGCTATTTCCATGGTCGGTGATCCCAAGGCCGAGATTTTGAGAAAGGCCAAAGAAATCAAAGCCGATGTTGTCCTGATGGGAGCCAGAAAGATGGGCACGATAAAGAGGTAACGTCTCCCTATAACATGTGAAAGAAGGTTGATTCTTACTCATACACAACCATCTCTTTCTAGAACATTGCTGGGCAGCGTCAGTGATTACATTGTACACAACTGTCCTTGCACTGTCATAGTGACAAAAGTTGAACCACCATCACACCATGAGGAACGCCGTAAATCCATTGTGTCACTCACATCCAGCATGGAGAATACCAAATAATCATCATACTCATGACGACATGCTATAATAATGAGCTGAATAAAAAAGGGTTTTTCGCTATAAATGGTCAATTCTTACCAGGTAGTTGTAATTTTGTTCTGTTGAGTTCAAGGAGATCAAACGAACCCGTATCACAATTACATCATTTAATGCCTATAAATGGTATAAAAGCTTTTCCTCTGCCTGTTTCCTGCCTATAAATAATTGATGCTATTGCTGTTCCAATTGCACCTTTCTTCTTTGTCTTTTCTACACTTACAAATACCAAGACATAGCCATGTTAGAATCTCCAACACACACCACTGTGGTCAACATGCCTTCCGCCGATATCAAATCAAACATTGAGCATCGTCAAGACAAGCCAGTTTTAGGTAAATATGGACAAATACAGACACATAAACAAACCTTACTCACTCTCATATAACAGGCCAAGACTTTGCCGATACCAACAGCAGCCCCATACCCCTCTCCTCTGAAGAAGAAGAAGAAGAAGAAACACCTAGTACGCCTCCTTTATCGTCCTCCAACATCAACAACGAAAACATTCAGATCAACAGCGACGAGGAGAGTGTTGACATAAGTAAAAGACCATCAGCTTATGTCACCGAGGGCAAAATTCACAATTCTGTCAAATTAGACGACACAGTTACAGAGGGAAGACCAAGCATATATCTGTTCATCTTTGTAAATCCCTTGAGTGGTGACCGAAAGGGCCATGATCTGGTCACTTTACCTATTCAACACTTCCGTCTCCGCAAGTTTCCTCAAGTGCAAGTCGAAATCCACAACATTTTAGATGATGAAGATCGTATGAACGGTGTAAAGAACATACAATTGGTAGAGGCAAAGCTGAATTTCGGTCAATTGCCTCCTATTCAGCAAGAAACTACCTCTGAAAATGACAGCAACGCTTCCTCCAAGTCCACTGAAGAGAAGGGCGTCTTGTCGGATGCTGTTCAAACGAGACAAATCCATGTTTGGAGTGCTGGTGGTAAGTGCACTGACGATATCTATTACTTGATCTGCGTCTTATGTATTTTGATAGGCGATGGCACTGTGATGAGTGTGTTTGAACTTTTGGTAACACACAAGATTAATCTAGATCTTGTATTCTTCTCTTGTAAGTGATTATGCACTTCGCAAGCGATGGTATCACAATGAACTCACCGATTACACAAGGCATTCCCTTTGGTACGGGTAATGATTTCAGTCAAGTTTTAGGTTGGGGTCGCACAATTCCTGATAAGAATATCCTTGGATCAAAATTGCAAAATCTTCAAGAACTGATTACTGATAGATTGGAGAAATCTGAAGCAGCTCGTTTGGATATCTGGCAAATTAGAATGACGTCCTATCCCTCTGGCTATGTCCGCGAAGCTGGTCCCAAAGAAAGAAAGGACGGACATGACGTAGCTGAAGTCAAGGAGCCCATGACTGAAAACAACCACGAAATGATTCGCAAAATGAGTAATTACATGTCCATTGGCGTGCAAGGCTTTGTGGGTAGTGGATTTGAAGCACATAGAGCAGGCAACAGGTAAGCGGCAAAGCATGATTCGTAAAAGACAAATCACTAAACCGACAAATCTAGACTTGCCAACAAGCTTGTATACACGCACGAAAGTTCTAAATGGGTCTTTTGGAGAAGATTTCCTGATTTGACTCGATTCATTAAAAGTTTCAATCAGAATGGACAAGACGTTCTCTATTGGCCCACTCCAGAAGAAAAGCAAGACAAAAACAGAACACCATCGAAGCTGCCAGAAATCAGCAAAGATCCCATTGATTTAGTCATTCAAAATATTCCACACATCTGGTAAGTGCCCTGAAGCAGCAATCTTACTTGAATCGTTGTAACTGAAATCCATGTTCTTTAGGGGCAGAGAAGTAGACTTGTGGGGAGAAGCCAAAAAGGGTCTCGAAGTTGTAACTGACCGTACTGGCCCTTGTGATCCTAAAAACTGGAAACCTCAACGTGCCAACGACGGCAGACTTGAAGTCATGAGTCTTGAAAATATGACAAGTTACCTAAAAAAGCTTGCCAACTTCCGTGATCATGTTTCCCGTATTGGTCAATTTGATTCCCCATTTGAAATCGTGTTTCGCGAACCTGAGCATCACATGAAAGAGGTGGATAAAGTCAACGGTGGCTCTGCTTGGGTCAAGGCAAAGGCAATGATGAAGGACAAGACTAGACACAAGTTTGAAAAGAAGAATATCATGTGCATCATGTGTGATGGCGAATTTTATGAAATCAAGGATCCCAAGAGCATTGGTTTCAATCGCTTTGCTCAAATTTGGACGCTGGGTAGAAACGATGAGGAGAATCAAGGTAGATTGGTCAAAGATGAACTTGATGCGAAGGATGATGGCCACCTCGTGTCTCCTCTACCTTCTGCTGCTGAAGACATTCAAAATCAACAACAACAACAGCATTAATTAGTTTTTTTTTTATTCTAACACTGCATTATATATCATACATAATACTACTTACCTTAATTAACAATAAAATATTGTATTATATCCCTGTACCCATTGGTAATCATCATTACCGTATCATTATCAATTATTACATAGCCAGCATGAGCTGGATTAGGCATTGCGCCTATTCAAATGGGGTTTTAGTGCGGTAATCATTGACAAGGTGTTCTGATCTGACATATGCCACAGAATCCAATAGAAGATAATCAATAGCAAGCTCAAATTAGGGCTTTCAAGGGCAATAATCAGCAGTAATTATATAATATTGGAGCACAAATGAATGTAGAAATAACTGAGCTATTTATTGAGATTGTGTAGTCTGCAGATTTGCTATTAGAATGTCGTTGACCATATTTTAGTCATGACGGAAGTTGCTGTTGTACGAGGTAACTGCAACCAGAGTTACAATGCCAGCAGTGATAAAGACGAAGCCAATAATGGGTACGATATGATCATGATCCATTTTTTTTTTTTACTTGATGTTGCTTGTTTAAGACTTTGATGAAATAAAAATGTGGATCTATTGCATGAAAAAATCAGCTTTTTTTATACCTCTGTGATGCCCAATCAAAGCAGCATTCATTGTTTGGGTTGATTTACGATGGATCTTTGTCCCTAAATATAATGAAATACACTTAATGCTTATTTGGGACGACTGACTACATCTATTAAACACAATGGACCAGCATGTCCTAATGGCACTGCTCTGATGGCGAGCTCATTTATCAATTCAATGAGCAAACTGCATATAAGCGTCGTTGTAGAGAGTAGTTCTGCAGGCTTCGTATGAAGCGTAGAGAATGAGAATGATAATGGCACCAAGTAAGAGGTGCAAAAAGCTAGTGTACGCATAGACAGACATGACTGCAGTGCGCTTTTTACTCTTAAAAGCAACTAAAGTAGGTCAAACTAGATTCATATCTTAACACTCTGCAAAATAAATGTCACTGTATTTGAGCCGTACTATATAAAAAAGCTGCTAAATAATTGCGGTAGAATGATGCTGCCATGAATAACGTATCCTGTTAAGGATTGGGAGACACGAAAATAAAGCATATAGAGAACTAAACAATGTAACTAAAAAGACTGCATACTTGACAAAGACAGCTTAAGTGATTCATTCACACGACGTGCGAGATAAGAGTGCATCTTTACTTTAGTATGTTTAAATGGTATTTTGACGCACTTTTGAATGCTTTATTGGTAGATTCAAATATCAAGAATTTGAATGAGTGATATTTTATGAATTCTGATTTTCAATCAAGTTGCGTTTGGGTGGTTACTTTATTACACTAGCCTTGTCCATTCGTAGTAGATCTGTCTTCTTTTTAATACAACAAGACCGTTCTGCTCTATTACACCTATCATCACTCACACTACAAGTTGATTGCGAATTGTATAAGGATACCCTTCTTTTTTATTCAATGCTAGAATTTCTATATCACTTTGATACACAAATACATAACAGTTATTTTCTATTTTTCATTTTCTTGGTGATGTCTCAATCTGATCTGTTTCGACTGCAACAACACACATTCGGATGTTTTCCTTTTTTGGTGATTCCCAAGAGGTTGGCATAGTAAAGCTGCGCTCAAGTGATAACAAAATATGCTCACAAAGCCTTCAGCAATACACTGATTTTTATCTGACATGTCTACCTTTACTAGAATTGGATTTATTGTCGCTCAAAGGTACACCATATAAAACATACACTATATAAGAGTCACACTTTACAAAAGTTACACTCTATATGAAAATTCGAGGTTTGCATTCGAGATTTTGGACCTGGAGGCATCGATAATTTTGTTGAATTTTTTTTTCTATTTTTGTACTTTATAGATATAGAAAGCGCCTCTGACTGCATAGAAACATTTTTCTAGGCTATACAGTCTCATAAAACTCATATATACTCAACTGAAAACATGTAGTATTCCTACAGATGTCCCATCTTAAATTATCCTGTGTGATCTTGATAATGCATACCCAATCTACTGTTATTGTTAATTGAACAGCTATACTATAATGCAGACATGACGGAACATTTTTGCAGTCAGTTGGGCCACACTTACTACTGTTGGGGCATTATTCTTACAGCTTATATTACCAGTAAACTCCATTTTGGGGGGGCTATAACCCGGTTTTCGAAAGGAAATATCGCAGTAAATGCCCAAACGAGGTCTCATTTTACAGAGCAAACACAACAGAGAAGCAAAATCTAGTTAATAGACAAGACGCTTGCTTGAATCGGCAGTTGCATACATAATAGAGCGTGTCGAAACACTGGTTTTTTTTATATATATAGGCTACTTTACACTATATTGTTTTAGTTGTTATTTGACAACCACTGTAGCGACCAATAATCCGTTCATATGTTCCGCAACGCCTCAAACTGGGTATAATGATCCTAATATAGAGGCTCTAGCGTTAACATAGAGCATGGAATAGCTGTTCCCCCGTTTTCGTAAAATGCGCAGAACAGCTGCTTTAAACCACCTTTGTTACACCACAACAAAGCAAATTATCGCCTAGTGATTTTGTACCATTGCTATACTATGATCAGTAAGCAAAATACTGATCTTTAATGGGATAGAAAGGGTACTGTAACCTCTAACCTTGTAAAACTTCATAAACTTTTGTAAAACTTCGTACAATCTAAGAAAAACAGGGGTGAGTGTTGTTTAGGATATACCCCTCGGTGACCTTCCCTTCAAAAAAGAAGTTTATGTTCTCATGAGAAGATAAGGTCTAAGTAGGCGAAAAAACATATTATGACGTGTCCCTAAAATAAGCATGCAAGATGTGAATCCTTTTGAAAGCTTTCACTCAGGAAATTCTGGTAAAGGCCATTAAGGATTTATTGCCTGAACAATAAGAGGGTTGTCTGAGTTCTTCAAAACAGTAACAAGAAACATCTCTATATTTTCGAGTTCCTCCTACCGACTACTTCCTTTTCTTTCCAGCAGCAGATACCAAAGAATGACAGCCTTCCAATCTCTCTTACAGGTGGTCCAGAAATGCGACAAGTATCCGTACGTTCTTGACCCTACATCGAATGATGAAATCCACCACGCTGTTCCTTTTATCCTTGGCCCCTACAAGATTGGTAATGTTTTGCCCAGTGTTTTACCGGCTTTGAATGCATACAACAAGAAGGAGGAAAGGACGCCGTTCAACATCACAGCCGACGCTATTCAATTCGCAACTTGGGTCAGCACGTTTGAATTGAGAACTGAGGTGATGAAGAAGTTGATGGATACATGGCGTCAAGAGGCAGCGTTTAGAGTGTTAGAGGGTTGGAGAAACGAGCTTTATCCTGTGTACGGCGATGCTGAACGTTCAGATAATGTTGCCTTTGTTATGGAGCGCGCAGCTACACCTCTGTTTGGTGTCTCTACCTTTGGAGTGCACTTGAATGCTTATACAAAGAATGAGGATGGACAAATTCTCATGTGGGTTGCTAGACGATCATTGACCAAGCAAACATGGCCAGGATTATTGGATAATTGTGTAAGTATCATGATTGTATTTAGGCGGCTGTTTTCTGACTGAAGTATAGGTTGCTGGTGGTATTTCATACTCTTATTCTGTCCGAGACACCGTGATCAAGGAGTGTGATGAAGAGGCTAGTATTCCTGTGGAGATCGCAAGCAAAGTAAGAAAAGGGTGTTGGTGTAGTTTGCAATAATTGAAATTGACGGGTATGATCATCTAGGCAAAGAGTGTAAGCACAATCACTTATTTCACTTATACATCTGGTGGATTACAGCCTGAATCAGAATACATTTACGATTTGGAATTACCCAGAGACTTCTCTCCTACGCCTTGCGACGGTGAAGTGGATTGCTTCTATCTGTGGCCTTTGGAAAAAGTCAAGGAGACAATTTTGAACAACGAATGGAAGGGCAACTGCGCTCTGGTTGCTATTGAGTTCATGATGCGCCACTCATTCATCACACCTGACGAGGAACCAGATTACATTGACATTTCGTACGGCCTTCATAGAAGACTAGAATTCCCCACACCACGTAAAGGACAACAATAAACAATGGATGATTCATATTTACACAGCGGTATTTTTATTTATTGTTACAAATAGTGTTTAAAGCTTGGATTCAGGAGCCTTTTTGTAAAGAGTGGCATAACCATTGTTAACAACAACGACATCTCTTTCCTTGACCTTGGCAACGAAAATGACACCTTGAAGCTTGGGATCCTTATCATCAACCTTCCACATGTAAATCTCAATGGTCTCGCCGGGGAAGACGGGAGAAGCGAAACGACCTTCAATAGACTTGAAGCGAGTAGGTTCGTTATCAGCCAAAGCCTTAACGATGGAGTGACCACAAGCACCATAAGTACAGAGACCGTGGAGAATAGGCTTAGGGAAACCGATGGTAGGAGCTAATGCAGTATCAGCGTGAAGAGGGTTATAATCGCCAGAAAGACGATAGATGAGAGCTTGGCTAGGAGTAGAGGCAAAGACTTCAACAGCATCAGGGTTGCGCTTGGGAGGAGGATAAGAGACGCCCTTGGGGCCTTTAGGACCCTATACAACATGTGTGTGTGTGTGAGTAAAATTATCCGATTCAGGCTGGGGATTCTGTCTGTCTTACGTTCCAACCACCATATCCACGAACGAATGACTTGGAGACCATGCTGCAGTAATGGATCTTTTCGTGTTCGTCGTAGAGATCAACAGTGGTTTCAATAACCATACCTGAACCTAAAAGAACGGCACAATGTCAGGCACACAATCTTTTCTTGACAGCGATCACAGCTTACCCTTATCGTAGATACCAGTACAAGTCTTCTTGGCAGAGAAGACGCCACCGTCAATAGGGAAGGGCTTGTGCACTTGCAAAGATTGCTCACCATGGACAATCTTGTTGGGATCATATGGAGGCATACCAGGAAGAGTACCCTTACCTTGAGCACGTTCCTTGAAGAGATTGACGTTGTAATCGTCACCCTTGAGCAAGAGAACAAGAGGATATGTGGGAAGAGGAGCAAAGTCCTTGTCTGATGAATTCAACTGAATATCGCAATTCTACATTACAGACCATACGAACACATACCTAATTCATAGAGATACTTTAATTCATCTTCCTTGACACCGACACCGAGAGCATACAAAAGGAAATCACGACGGTTACAAACAACCTTCTCGCTCTCGAAAACGTGGCCAACGGCCTTATCAACATCAACTTTGAATCCTTCAACGGGCATCTTGTATATGTATACTAATTAACACGGTATGTAAAGAAAAGAAAAGCAATCAAAGGATTAGAATTGTGGGATTTTAATACATGTATTTTTTGGGTTTTATTTCTGCTGACGAATGGATTTTCGCACCCTCAGGTTTACCCCGCAAAGTTATTTATCATTATTAATGCATTCGAACTGCATCAAGGGAAAAAGATGAGTTTAATGGGAGAAGATTGCTATTCGCACAAACGTACGCTAATGCATGCTGTTGACAAGCTACTCATTGCATGTAACGCAATCAATGTTAGGCACCAGAAGGTAATATCCTGGATTGACTGATCTCAGCTGTCTTTTTTTTTTAGTAAGCAATTATCCCTCGGTAAAAGTATACAAAAACTGGTTCAAGTTTATGCAAGATGGCGCATGATATCATGTTAACTCATTCTGTTGCCTAGCAACCAAAAAAAAAATCAGGGGCCCATTGCTGCATCAAGAAAGGTTTGGCCACAAATTCAATGCATTCATCTTGATTGATTTATTATAATATTTACATTTTAAAAAATTAATAGGCTTTGCGAGGTATAAAACAACTCTTTTACTCTTGTTGTTGCTGTTGTTGCTTTTGCTCTTGCTCCTTTTTATGTTGATAGTAGATGGAGCCTCCAACCATGGCCAAAACAGTAAATCCTTGAGCAGCAACTACAAAATGCCATCTTTGATCAGCCTTTAATACACATATGCACTGAAAAATCCATACCTCGAAGACGGAACATGTTGTTTGCATAGGCTCTGTTACCTGTCTTGACACCTACAGTGGCTGCGACCAAAGCAAATGTAGTCAAAGCAACACCTACATCAGACATAGCCATCAATATCATTATGCATCATTTGAATACTCTATAAATTACCTGCTGGTACAAGAGGTTCCTCTTTAGCCTTTCTCTTGATTCTATCCAATGCAGTCTCTCCTTCCATAGCAATTCTCATTCTCTCAATATCTTCCTTGGTGTAACTGTTGTTTGACATGTTGAGTGCAGTTAGTTTTGTTTGCGAAATAAAATCGTCTAGGGTAGATGCACAGTTTTTTTTTTCAACCATTTGAATGTCTGTTTTTTAACGAGTCACCCTGGAAGAACATGCCATCTAATTTATGCAAATCATGGAACTGGTACAAGACTAGAATTTATTAAAATTTACATGTTTTTGGGTCTCATTTGATTGATTCGTTTGTTTAGTTTTGGCAGAACAAGATGTCCAACCAAGAGTCTAGACAAGAGGAACAGGATCATGGTAAAGATGATGAATAGCTCAGCAATGCAGAAATGACTGATGGAAGTACCAATTTCAAGCCAACTTCCATAGTCAGTGACAAAGAAGAAGAAATTGATGGTTTGAATATCGGTGATGCTCATGACAGCCAAGAACAGAGTGAAAGGTTGGAGATCAATACTAGAACTAAGGATGCCCAACACAGATGAAGCGACAAAGAAGGGAATCAATACCTTGATGATCAAAAGAGTGCCCATCAAGAAGGGATCAAACACAGTGGTGAATCTATACACACTTTCCAAAGAGAAGCTGCTTAGTGAGGCCACATTGCCAGTACCAAAGAAGGCTACATCAATAAAGAACAGGAACACAAGCACAGCACGGCCATCGCTGGCTTTAAGAGAACGGTTGGCAGTAGAGCGAGTGCCCTTGTACAATGTACGTTCCACTTCAAGCCAGATGAGCACTGTGCTACAGAAGCAGACATAAAACAAGAGTTCGTATGAAATGCTAAGCAAAGTCATAAGAGGAGCGAAAGCGAAACAGATAGTGAGCAATCTTGTCAAATAATCGTCGTAAGACTTTCCACGATAAACGAATGGGAAGATGCTTGAAAAAGCTATAAGAGAGGTCGATTGTGAGTTGACATGAAGCACGCTATCTATTGGCCACTTACAGATGATGATCCAACTGGCAACTTGATTGAATACTGGAAGACCTTCACGCTTTTGAAGACTGGTGGAAGTAGACCAGACAAAGAAAAGACTGGCAACTATGGCCAGCAATTGTGCAATCATGATGGCACTTTGAGAATTGCTGACACGGTTGCTTTGCTTGAGCTTCCATAGCGCAAGCACGCTAGCCAAAATGCCGACCAATCCACCTAGCAAACTACATAGGAAATTAGACTCCATGCGGCTACTCATAATTTTGTTTCAACACTTACACCATGTTGAGATCCTCGCCTTTTTCGACTGGCAATAGAGTAAAGACACTAGTGCAAATACAAGAGACAAACCAGCCTGTGAGCAACAGTTTGTTCTCAGAGCGAAGTCTGGGTGGCATAATCAAGGGCCAAGCAGATAGCACAACAAAGATGGCAGTAAGCATTTCGCGGTAAAAGAAGCTAAACACCAGAGCCTCCAAAAAGACGAGTGCAGCAATAACAACAGCAACCGATCTGACAATACCGTTCTGAATACCAAGACGCAAAGCTTCAGACAGCGAGCGATAGTTTCGCAAGATTTGGTTCCAAAAGTATACGGGAAACAGGACGTAGGCATAGTACATTTTGGGCATTTTCTGGATCCATAACATGGCATACAGGCCACCGAGAATGACCAAGGAAAAGAAATCAATCTAACATGGCATGGGTTGGCCTCGATGTATATATGACGCATAGCTATTCACTTACTGTGAGACAGGATTTGATGGTCAGGTTGGTGTAAGATGAGCTACGAAGCACAAAGCTGCGAATCACAAACTCGAGACAGAACACGCACCATCCAACGTAGCCAGCAGTTACAACACTTCTGAGGAAGAACCAGTCGTAAGTCTGGAAATAACGTAAACCTTCAAGACAATGCGACATGAGCTCTCTTGACTTTTGCTCGGCTAACGTGTATTGATGATCATCGATCAGAGACTGGATTTCTGATACAAGCAGAATGGGATTGTTGGATCCTGATAGTTGAGAGAAGGGTCTGAAGAACAGCTCGAGCTGCTCCTTTTCATCTAGTATAAAGCAAAATGAGCCCATTGACCTTATCAGTTGTTGACTGCCATCCTTACCATGCTTCACCTGATACTGCTCCAAAATCTGACGAGCATTGGAGAAGGCAGCTTCTGCTTTGGCCATTTCATCCGCATCCAAATAGCTCAGCGGCAATTCACCCACTGAGTTGACCGGCAAATCAATGCCCACTAAATGAGCCATCAAGGGCGCAATATCAGCTTGTCGAATATCATCACGTTGAATGTCATCCAATCCCCAAGGAGCTGAAAACTCATCATGGCCAAGGCTGGATCGAATGGGCTTACGTACACCAGCACCCCAAGCAACGATAGGTGTACGCGTATTATCAGGATGTCCATCACCATGTCCACCTCTGTTGTTCATACCATGGTCCGCTGTAAACACATAGCTGGTTTTGCCGTCATTGTCGTAAAAGCTCTCAATCAATTGAACAATCTCTTCCACGCCTCGATCCACCAGCTTGATGTTGTCCAAGTACTCCTTTGACATGGGCCTGAATCCATGGCCATTGGTGTCAAGTCCAAGCAAGTGCAAAAAGAAAACAATCTTTTTTTGACGTAATTTGGAGTTCAGTGCAGGATCTACAGCCGCTTTTTCAAACAATGCCTTGACATGATCAAACACCCACACATCCAGTCTCGATGCTTCTCCCGAAAAATCTTCGTATTCAGGTGGATACATGAACGTTTCGACTCGACTGGGATCACTGGCGCCATGTTGGAACATGGGCAAGATATCGGGCGATCCAAATGACCACGTATGTTGAGACTGATTGAAGACGGAATCAAAGTTGACAGGATTCATGGACCAACCTAGATGAAAGAGGTGAGCAACGCAATCTCATGTCAATGGATAAACTGAGGGCAGCATTACCCGTGGTGACAGCACTGACATCCTCATAGAAGCCAGCAATGATGGCAACGTGGCCTGGTCTTGACTCTGTAGGTACACGCGTGTGAGACACACCCCAGGTACCAGTATGTTGGATAACGCTTCTTAGATAAGGTGCTCGAGTCTGTTGGTTATCGTCCAATTCGAACAGTTTGTCTGCTCTGAGTCCATCGCCTATATTTAGAATGAGTCTCTCTGTAGTTGTAGCTAGGCAACATCATCGACACATACCCACAAACAGCACCAGTCTATCAGCAGGTGCTTCCACTGGACTTTTATGTGGTTTCATACCATGCACCAGTGGTGATGTAAAGTAGATGTCAAAGATACTGAACAAGTATACAATGTGAAATATCACACCAATGATCAATAGTCCTACACGTGGTAGCATAGTATGTTGTTGTTGTATAATGGATGTGGAAAAGAAGAAGGTTGATTCGCGCCCCTCTCTTTATTTAAATTGTCTCAAAATGGTAAATGTCCCTTCAAAAGATTTTTGTGCTCCCATTTATACCTTTCTACAGTTTGGGCATCCGCTTGATTTGCAGGTTCCTTTGAAAGGCTCATCAATTGGCTTGATGGTTGTCTGTAAAGATTTACCACAACAAACGCTCAATCACGCCATATTAAATAGTTAGACACACATGCTAGCTACTTTATTCAATCTGCTTGAGATTCCAATACACCCCAAATAATCTTCACAACTTGATCTAGATGTAATGTGATATTTTCATGAACTAATCCTGGTATTCTCTCTCTCTTGAGACCAAGCCATTCCACAGGTGGAGTAGCATCGCCCATCACTTGCAACTGAGGTTGGAAACTCACAGAATTGATAGAGGCATAGGTGTATTTCTCGGCTGATTCACTGGACGGCTGTTCATCCTCTTGCTGCTTGGCAACACGACCCTCCTCGGCCTGCGCATTGGTCGCCGGCGTCAACAGAGTATTGGAAGCACTTGAGACCGATGAAAGCTTTCTTCTGCTATGGATAGGATCATCCATGTCTTCGAAATTGTTACTGCTGCTCGACACACTGAGAGGTGTACTGGGTTCAGGTGTCAAGTGCGGCTTGTCCTTCTCCAATGCACGGTCTAGTTGCATGTTGAACATGTTGATCATCTCCTGCAAGTACTTGATGAGGCCAATGTTGAGCGAAACACTGATACGACCAGCAAAATCGGTGCCAAACTCATGTGTAATGTGTCTGTCCAGTTGCGTGGATTCCATGCTGATTTCAGTGCCCGGAATACCAAAGATCTTGGTGCCGCCCAAGTTCTTGAGCTTGGACCCAGGAGGAGGAAGTGGGGCACTGTAGCGCACCATCAATTCTTTTCCAGGCACGTTCTTGGCCAGAGCAGCACTAGTCAATGTGATCACTAGCTTGCGATGCACACCGTCTTCATTGCGTGGCAACTCTTCTAAACCCACCTTGAATTGCTTGGCTCGAATATCCACGTTATCCGAGTCTTGGAATTGGCTTGGATATATCACAATTTCTACAGCCTTGATGGACAGATTGACCTGACTATGCACAGAGGCGCTTTCATAGACCTTCTTTTGCTTATGCTCCTTCTTGGGTGCAGCAGCAGCAGCAGCGTTATGTGCGATGGTGGTGGTCTTGAAATTCTCTGCGTCGTACTCATCTGAACGAATACCAGCCTCTGCCTTCTTTTTCTTGAGCAATTCGTTGAATCGTTGAACCATGGTGATGATGACAGGCACAGTTTTGACAGAGAGTCTGGCAATCAGCGCATCCAAGTTGATCGACATTTGTAAATCGTACACATCCAAAGTGCGTTGCAAATCCACGTTCAATTCAAGCGATTGCTGAATAGCGTCCAGGATATTTTGATACTCGTATTCAAACGCTGCATTGAAACCATCCGAACGCACGCAAATCGAAGACTTTTCCTTGACAAGTCCATTTTCAAATGATTGATCCACACGGCCCTGAACAACAGCTCGATTGAATTCCGCCTTGCCGGATAGTCTGCCCTCTGAAACTACCTTGATTTCGTCCAAGGAGAGACTCAGCCCTTTGGTCTCATGCGGCACATGATGCAGCTGGAAAGACAGGGCGTTGGGCATCAGCGTGATCTTGCCAATGTTCTGACCGAGATCCACCGAGAACTTCATACTTTGTACACAGACGGCAATGTGCTTTGAGAAGGGTGCTGGTGGTGACAGTGTTGCTTCCTCGCTGTCGTCCAAGGTGGATGTGACCGATACTGGCTTTTCAATGGCACTAGATGGCAACTTGGGAGATTTGGGCGTGTGGTGGATATCCATGGGCTGTGCAAACCAGCAGGTATTGAGAATCAAAAGATCTTGCAAATGTCGCATATTGACATCGCCCAGAATATGAGGTAGTTCGACAATGACCGAGATATCATCCTTCAAATCACCACCTCCGCGTTGAGATGTCAGCATGACGTTGAACAAAATGCGGTCAATACGAGCATTCAAGCACGCTTCTGGAGAAAAGTGATGCTTGACCATGGCCGTGATTTCTCGCACAGAGCCTACGCAACTGATGGTGCGCGATGTGGTGTCCTCTGAAAAGGCATTCATCATGAATTCACTCTGTTCCCAGCCCAAGGAACACACCACTTTGGACGCAGGTTGACAGCTGAGGTCCAGTTGGGTTCTTGATAGACGCAAGAACAGGGAAGCATTCAAGTTGGACTCATGCTCGGACGTTGCTGGGCGATCTGCCTTTCTCTCGCTGGACTGTTGGATGCCCAGCTTCAAGCCTGCGGTCACCTCTCTCAGGAACTGCACCAAAGCTGGGTGCAGTGTATTGACACTCTCTCGGATCAAGACGTCGGCATGAAATCGTTTGGGCGCATCTATGACTTTAGCATGTGCACCCAGAGGTGTCTGGTACAGTAACCACGCACTGAGGCCTGGTAGCTCCACTGTCGCCATGTTGCCTTCACTGGAGGATTTAGGGTCAAAGCCTGTGCGAATACGTAACGCCTTGAGTTTCTTCTTATTGCGATGAGCATCATTGGAATGGCGCTTGGGATACATGCGAATGGTACCGCTATCACATTCAAATGTGCATTCAAGGTTCAAGTGGATGACTTCAGAGGTGTGCGGGGATTCTGCTTCTGGTGTCGTTTTGGACAGGTTGAAGTTAGCCTTGGTCGTAAACGCATCCACACGATCTTTGCTCTTGACATAGATGATACTGAGTGTATTGATATAGTCTGCAATCGTGCCATCGACATCGACCTCGAACCCTTTGACATGCGCATCCACCATGATAGATTGGAGTGGCTTCACCTTGGTAGCAGAGACATGGCATGAAATAGATGGCAAACTAATTTGGTTCATGCGAGGATGGTTCTCTGCGAGAAAATGTTCTGCCTTGTTTTGATCAAATCGCTTCACAAACTGTACAGCCAGGTTGTCCAGTTGGAGAGCGCCCTTTTCAATGTTCTTGGTCATGAACTCAATAGAAACCACAGACAGTAAAAGTGCACTGACACCTCGCTGTGTCTCTGCTGTTGCAGTAGCATTGTTGGAGGATGGCAGATCAGACTGCGAGTTGAGAGGAATAGCCACACCCAAACGACGCACATGCAGACAGATGGTCTTGTTCTCTAGCAGGGATTGAGGCTCCTCTTGTAGCAAGGCTTTGGGCCACTCGTTCTTGTGGGAAATGGACTGAACAATACGCTTTGTGTTTGCAGAGAGCTGATCAATTTCAGCCTTCTTCATCATCTTTTTCTTTCCTAGCTCTGCGTCGTAGTAAATGTACATTTCAGCGAGTTTCCCAAGTGCAATAGGCTGCATGACGGTTTGGATACGAGAGAAATCAATAAAGATAGCGCCTGTAGGCTTATTGTTATCACAGGCGTGTGCATGTGTGCCCTTTTGACAGTTGGCAGTGGTGCAAGTAGGCAAGCAATTCTGTACACTGAAATCCACAAGAATATATGCTAAACAGTTGCGCTGGTACACGGCGTCTTCCTTGTTGTTCATCAGGGCTTGGTCAATGTCTTCCACCGTATTGTGGTCCAGCGAGAGCGAGAAATTGCGAGCTTGCAACTTCCAGCTAAGTTGATCTCCATTCGTTGATTCTTGTCCTCCATCCAGTAGGTTGTCATTGGAGATGGACGCCTCCAAAAGATTGGACCTGAACATGCCCAGGGCAGAGGGGCTCGAGGCAGACACTTGAAGGCCGTCCAACGCAATGTCAATACTGTACTTGAACACACGGCTAGCAGATGAAGATGCAGCAGTTGTGTTAGGGATTTCAGAAGAAGGTGTTGCTGATGCTGATGTTGTGTTTTTATTCTTGGAGTATGACAAGACTTCCACAAGCTCACTGACTTCATTGCCCACTAATGATTGAGCCGTCAGTATCGAATCAATCAAGCTGGCATCCAGCGACATGGAAATCAAATCAATGGAGATCATGGACCGCAGCTTCAGTTGAGAGACGCCTTTGACCACCTCGTTCTTGATAGATCCCGTACTACGAATACCAGGGATACTAAACGTGCTCGAATTGTTGCTGTGCTTGTCCTTTGTGATGAGATGCACCACCTGCTTGGACAGCTGGAAAGCGTACATGTGCTGCACAGGGGCTGATTTATGATGTGTTTCATCAACCATGATAAAAAAGTCCAGGATACTGTATTCGAAACTGAGTGATGGCAACAAGTCTGCTTGAACGGCAAATTCATTCAGCAAGAATTGAAGCTTGATATCCATCTTTTTGGCAGCAGGCGCAAGAGAAGGAGCAGGAGCATCTTCCACAGTAGCTAAAGCAGGTGTGTTGTTAGCTGATGGAACACCACGTTGTTCCTCCCATTCCTTGATCAAGTTTTGAAACATAAAATGATATCTTCTGCCTTGCTCTGTTTGCCAGGACTCTACAAACCCATAAAGACGCAACAGACTCTGGGGAACGTGAACATGGAACTTGTGAATGTTGGAAAACACGTTCAACACAGCCTTGGTAGTGTCTGATTTGCTGTACTTTTTAGAAACCTTGGGCACTTGGGAGATATTGGCATTGACGTTGGCCTGTTCTAGCAGAATACCCAGCAAGACATTGTTATTTAGCGCAGATGGGGTAGTGTGCTGTAATTCTTCTCTGAATTTAACGTCAATCAAGTGGATGCCACCAGCAGCTTCCAGCACCAGACGAGGCTCAGCATGCACAGTTCTGCGACCACGATTGGAACTTTTCTTTCCAGAGCCTGTATCTGAATCACGTTCGTTATGAATGAGTTGCAGAGGCGCCAGCTTGGGATTGGAAAACAAAGCAGAGCCCTGGACGCCCGAAATCAATGTATCCATTCTGAGTTCATGCGCATGAGCAATCATTTGAATCTTGTCCAAGTTCACCAACGCTTGAGCTACAACATCGACCTTACTCAGCAAAGCATCGAAATCAAAATCGTTATTTTCTGCTACGACGACAGTGTCTGGCAGTGTGGAAGATGTAGCTGCATGCGCTGCAAAGCCAGAATGATTGGGCGTGGCCTTGTTGTTAGCATGCGACAGATTCAGTAGTTTGGCAGTAAACACTTTTTGAACCAGCAGCATGTGGCGAGCAAAGGCCAGGATAATAGGGTTGGTGGATATACTGATTTCATCGAGACTGATCTTGGTAATAATGTCAAGATAACCATCAGGCACAGTTAACGTCTTACTGATCTGAGGAGGATGCTGCTGACCATGTTCAGGCACAGACGAGATGGCAGATGCCTTGAACAAACACTCGAGCAAAAACTCGAATGTTCCTAGCGAGATACTGTTTTCTTCTCTGCTTGATTCGGCGGTCTCTTCCTCATAGATGGTGAATACAAATTGACCCAACCTGATTTTGGCAAAATTTGCAGAAGAAACCAAGAAACGCACTACTTCGTCCGTCATGTTTTTAGCTGTTGCTCTCTCTCCGTCTTGCAAAACAGGAGGGTTCTGATGGAACGGTTGCGTAAACAGTCGACAATGCGTAATATCGCTGTATCCCACTTCCCAGCTACGCCAATGAGAGAAGGTGTGCACTACGTTGGCGTACATGGCCTCCGAATCAATGCCTTGTAATGCACCACCCGATGTAAGTCTGTACTGTAATTCTTCTCGTTTGGACGACGGCATGGATCTCAGGCAGTGCCGCATACGCGCTAGTAATTTCCAGCCGCAGTCATTTCTAAAGTTGCGAGAACCCAGTCGAAGCATGGTGGTAGGCGTGGTCAAAAACACAGGATCACCCACCACGCCTTGCGTGATGGAGTAGTTGGCAATTTCGTTGATGAATACCTGCACTTGTCGGGTGCGTTGGTCTTGGAAGCTTTCCAGGATGCCCTTGAGGTCATCCACAAAGACCAACCACGAGTAGACAGCACCCACAAGGATTTCCACAGATTCTGTAATAATGATGGTATCCACACTGTGAACAGTGAGCTCAGCATAGTTGGGTGTTCTTGCGCCGAGCCATTTAAAGCTGAACCCCTTGACAGCCAGATCCAGCATGACCAGCTCGTCCACCAACGCTTCTTGATCATCATCCATGTTGGTGTACAGTTTCTTGTTGCGCAACGAGTCGTACGGGATACCAAACGCAATAGACTGTCTCTCGTGTTGTTTGGACACATACTGCACAGTAGATCCCATGTCACCCACATCAATGTGCACGCGAGACTCCTGCAACACCATGTTGGATTCAGCGACCTTCTTCTTCTTTTCGTCAAACGCATAATCCTCAAACTTGACACTACCAATCATCTTGAAATCGTTCAGAAAGATGTCTGCTGAACACAGGATGGTGTCTTGTGGATTGTATTGGGTCTTGACAAAGGACTCACCGTGCTTGTAAGACGGCAGATCATCAGGCACCGTGACATTTTGAATAAAATGCAGGTAGGTTTGCGGTAGAATGACTGCAAAACGGGTGCAAATGTACTGGTCTGTTAGGTAGCGGGTCAACTGTTCAATGTACTCCATTTGCAGTGCGTCCAGCATGGTTTCCAGATCCCAGTCGTCTTTGATGATCTCTTCAGCCAGCTCTTGCACCAGCTTCACCAAGATAGGTGTCACCAGCACAGTGACAGGTCGCGTGGCCTCAATGACGGTAGTTGCAATCACCTCGTTTCCCTTGCCATACGCATCTGCGTTGTTCATGTTGCTGTCAGAATGCTTTCTATGGTCTGCTTCATGCGCTGCAAAGTAACCCTGTGCATCTCCATCGCCTGTTGTGGTCTCGTCATACAAGGGTCGATAGCTTTCATCGTGTCCCTTTTCAGGCACAAAATGAGGCTGAGAGGGTGGTATATAAGGATGAAAGAAGCCGCCATGGGTGAATTCAGCGTTAGGTCGCAGCACTTTGAATCGCCTGAGATAGTCGCTGTAAGGGATGGAAGGCGGAATAGCCGCTTTGAGGTCTTTTTCTGGCTTGCGCTTTGGATAATTGTCTGCTTGATCCGCAGAAGACGTGTAGCTATCACTGCCATCATCATCACTGGTCATGTCGCTGAGATAGTCTCTGGATTGCATGGAATACTGATCTGCCACGGAATAAGAATCCTCTTCTTCTTCATCCGAGTTTTTGGCTGTGTGAAATGATTCATTGTCCTTGCCTGAGAGTCCACTGCGAATGGAGTAGTTGTCATAGAGGTCACTGTCAAACTCAAAGTCAGATCTGTCCTCATCATCATCGTCGTCATCATCGTCGGATTCGCTTTGCATCAGTCTATCGCTTGAGGCATGGATACTGCCGTTGTTATTATAGCCTGCAAATCGAACACTCTCTGGCGACGGTGCACCTGACGAATAGGAGCTGTTATCATAGAGCACAGATTTGTCTTCTACACGGCCAAACATAAAGGGTCTAAAGGGTGGTGCGTACAAGATGCCCACATGGTGTTCATTGGTAGATCGCATAGAGGAACGTGAGCCTGGCGATATAGAAGGTTAGAAATAGTCAAAAAAAAAAAAGGTCTGCTTCAACATACTCTGAGATGCTGCATCTGCTTCTTCATAGAGACGCACACAACGTCGTGTAGGATAATCCTGTGTTCGAATAAAGTTTTGCTGCTCACTTCTGGCCTTTTTCCACACAGCTGTGTGTCTGAATATAGTGACATTGAGGCCAAGGTCTGCCTTTGCAATTTCAACCCAAGAATACTCCTTGTTGTCCAGTGCACCACCACCATCAGTAGCCCCATCGCCACCACGCGCTTGATCTGGGTTGGCTAAGCATCGCGTCAAAATGGCTGGGATTTTGATGGTGATTCTTTGGCTGTACTTTGCATTAATCAAGTTGTCAAACTCGAGTAAAATACCGTCTTTGAGAGCAATGTTGGTAGCACTGTTCATACTCATTAAACAGACGTCGACCTCTTGCACATAGAGTTTGACAAATGACACGTCGGGTAGATCCTTGGATTCCATCTCTTGCGGTACAGCATTGTCCTCGTCAATGAGGTTGTAGGCAAAGGACTGACCAAAGCAGGAGAGCCCCAGCAAGAAGGAGGGTTTAATTTCACCTGTAATGCGACCAATATCAAACTCCCAGTGACATAGGTAAGTGGAGCATTCAGGAAGTGGGCCAAACAAGCGATGGCCGTATACATTCAACCCTATAAATAAGAATGAGCTTTATCTCAACGCTATATATATATATATATATATATATATATATATATATATATATGCATCAACTTACCGTCAATATAAACATAGTTTTTGGGATCGCGTGCATTTTTGATACGAAAGAAACCTTCTTTTGACTGAGGATTGGGGTTACTGTCTCTACTCAGCGTAATGGGACTAATATTGAGGTACATGTCAAGATAGACATCCAAGTTTCTCAACTCCAACTGTAGCTCTTGAAACTCAAATTGCGAATACCTGGAGCACTCGTATAGATTTTCAGGAAACAAGAGTACGCCATCCTCCAACTCGAGCAAGAGATAGACTTCAAAGGGATCCGCCAGAGGCTTTGACTCTGCTTGCTTCTTTTTCTGCTCCAGCCACTCTTGGTGATTGCGTTTTTGTCTTCTGTACTCATCAATGGTAGAGAAATTGTTCCAGGCACCAAAGTAGTTTTCCTTGAGCAAAAAGAGGTATCGAATCAAGGTACCAAATAGCTTGACAGTGGCACCGTTGATTTTCAGGTGCAGGTTGCAGGACTCAATGTGACGCAAAATATCCACTGTGCTGTAAAATTCGTACGAGCCGTCAATGGTGAGGTTGACTGCGACAGCTGCATGGGCATCATCTTGTCTCATAAAAGCACTGAGCGTGTGCGATGTCTGTAGAGAGAGACCTGCGCTGCCGTGCTCTGCTACTACAAAGAACTTGATGGCTGTGGTATCAGGCTGGAATTCAATGAAGGGCAGCATGACATTGAATGCCAGTCGATGGGCTTGTAACTTGAGGAAGGCTGTATAAGAGACGAGTTAGCTGTCGGGCCCTCTCAGATTTGCTGCAGGCTTACCATTATCTTCAATTGAATTAGGGTTATTAATGACATTGTGCTCGTTAACACAGAGGTAAATGGTAGGATTCTCGAGGTTAAACTGCAGCTGGTATGTCATGGGTGTAAAATGCAGTAAATCTGAAGGTGGACCTGACGTCCAGTCCTTGACGGTATCTTGTAACAAGTAAATGTGATCTCTCAGTAAGAAAATGGTGGGCTTCTTGGGCGTAAATTTGAAATCCCAGTGCCTGAATCCATTCCACTGCAGCGGTGTTGGCATGTTGATGTGTATCTCTATGCGATTCGACTGAATAAACGACGCGTAATTCACGCTGGTGGTAATGTCTGTGTCTTTGAGCACGACATCAATGACATTGGCGTATCCATTCTCCCCTACTGCAAACGGTGTGACGACCTTGATGAAGGAGCCCTCGCCTACCTTGATATTAAACCAGCCATAAGGTCTGGAGTAATAACCATCAGATCCGATATCCAGATCGGATGACCCTGAATGGTACTTCCAATCCTATAAAAGGAAACATGTTTTCAGGCTATTATGCACTGTGTAACTACCATCCACTGCCCTCGACTTTTACCTTGGATTTCTCTCGTGTGGGTACTCGCAATTTACCTTCATTCATAAACTCAATGTACGTCTCAAACGACGTGGCAATACGTTGCTGGCCTGGTGATAGTTTCGGTGTTGGTGTATTGCCACGGTGTGAATTGGGAAAAAAGTAATCCTGCATCTCTGATCTCTGTCGATCCGCCCAGGCACCATAGTGAATAGTAGCATCCCATAATGAAATACGAATTCCCCATTCTGGCGGTAATCCTCCATTGCCTATATCAATGCCAATACCTGCAAAGGCATCAGATGTTTCTGGTACAGGCCCTAAACATCATATGAGTTACACACACTCACACACAAAAGATCCTGTTTCTTACCAGCATAATCAGCATAGTAGGTTAAAGCCATTTCATTGCATTCCACGACATTGGTAACTCTGGCATACTCTTCATGAAATGTTGTTGTGTCGCTTTGACTGCCCATCTGCGATTTCCCATCTCGCATGATATTTCGCATGTGTTGCATCTCGCCGTACTGCCTAGTCATGGAGAAGGGGTACAAGCATCGGAACGGCTTGAGCAACCAAGCAATGAATGTGATTCTCGGTAGCGGCTTAATGACTCTTTCCGTTGTTTCATCTACTTTGGTATAATCCATGTTGTCCTTCAGACTGATCTGCACTTTTCTCAATATGAAATCCATCACTGATTTGTAGTAGTCCATGGATGATCTCGCTTTACTCAGGCTGTAGATACCGCTGGCTTGCGACACTTTCCACACCAGCATGGATTTGATCTCTGTATTGCCAATCATCACTGCACCCGTTGTACACTCAAATTGAATTGGCATTAAGCGCTCCATCAGTGAATTGTCGACATTCATCGGGCTCTGGCTTTCGGGATCAAGTGTTCCGCGAGCATCAGTCAGCTTCTTTTCGTCTTCGTTTGTACTTGTGAGAGGAGGTGCTGTGGTTGTATTGCAGGTGTCCATGGGCGATAATCCAAGTATATCCTTCATTCGATCATAGGCAGGTGCATTGTTGTAAAAGAACCACTCTAGACCCTCGACACTGCAGACCACTCGACATGGCAGATTGTTGGTTTTACCTTGAGTTTGCAGTCAGTCATCTTGCGCATTATATCTATATACATTGAGCTGAAATACCATTCTTGTCGTCTTCTGCTTTTCGAACATTCAGCAACCAATATCGAATCGCAATGTGTCCTTTGACTATGGAGATGGACTGATTTGTTGATAGATATCTCAGGTTTTTAAACAGGATTCGGCCGCCCAGCAGCGACACACGGATGGAATCTAGTAATGTGAATGTGTGTTGTCAGTATACTAGCAGTAGATTTAATGCTTTTACTCCTCCTGCTCGACTTTACCAACTTCGATATAAGCATGATAGCGTCTCCATGTGTACTGATTAATAATGAATGTAAGTACTTGACCAAGCACACGATTAAAGTAAAATAAGAAAAAGATGACAACAACAATAACCACCAGACAGTAAACCACAAACAGCCAAAAGTCGCTGACTGACTGAAGGTTGGGATTGGTGGTGGTGGCCGCTGCTGCTTCAACGAAAAACATGAAAAAGAAAAGAAAGCTTAATATATTAACAAGAGAAAAGGCGTTCCATATTTGTAAATTGCGGCATGCTTTAAAAGGGGAAATCCACATCAATGTGACTCTAAACATGCACACCGACCTCAACATGTTCATAATCTCGGATCCACAGTGATCCCGAGTCTTTTGGTTTTTTTTTTTTTCCATGTGAAGTTTGTACTCCCCATATAGTATCTTGTTGCAACTATTTGAATAATGAGCACACATTGTTGAGAGGTCTGAGCCTTTCAAAATATGCTTATTATGCATTTGATCTGATTGCATGAAATGCCATGGATCTACCGTTCAGTATGTCATTACGTTATGGCTGTGCTCGATGATTTCCATAATTGCAATAACATTTGTCATTTGCAGTGAAGATGCCGAGGAGCTCGGATTCCATCAACATTATATGGTCTATACATAAGTAAAAATCACAAGAGAGAGTAAAGCTGCCAGCCTCTCTACTCAATTAAACATAGTCATTTACCATTCTAAAAAGTACATCAAAATCATAGCAGCTCGTAGATTGAGTGGTATTGAACAGCCATCTCTAGTTGATTTATCACCTCACTGTGAAACTTTTAAATCAGTACGATCCTAGTCTACTACTGAGGGTTTGTTACATCTTGCAATTGTCTGTGGACACCAGATGAGATGTATTAAGAGATAAATGTTTCTCATTTCAAAATTCTCAGTCCCAAAATGCACAAACAAATACTCGCAAACGAAACCCCCCCCCCCCTCCAGAAGAGAAAGAAATGTAAGTCTGCTGTAGGCAACGAAGCCCAATTGTCAGTGTATTGGCGAAGCATCGCCAGTTCTTGCTGAATCGCAAGGCTTCCGTCTTTGGATTCTTGGAGACGACTGCTCTCTTCTATTGATGCTCTTGTACTGCACGGCCTTAGACAATGGATGCGAAAGCTCGGAACGGATGGGAACAAGTGCATTGGGTCCAAGATAGCTTTTGATGTGCTATGTAACGGCTTGTTTTGCCTGCTCTGGTATGGCATTTACTCCCACGAACTCTTACTCTTGCTTTCAACACGGCCTATAATGATAGCTACTGAAAAAGCTTGTAACTGTACTGCTCCTTCTGGTTATTAGAAAGGAAGCTAAACGTTTGATCGATATAGCATAATGAACGAGGTGTTTGAGCATATTTTGTTGTAAGAACCCACGACAATAAAGCATTTAGAAGCAGAGAATATATATATATATATCTCAAGGTGCAATGAAATAAAGACATGAATAAGAAAGACGCTACCAATTAGATCATGCACACCTATCTATACTAAATTGAAAGTACTCTCGAAACCAACAATATCAAACTTGGTTTGAATACAGCTTAATTGCCCTCTGTCATGTCGGGATACATTTTATTAGTGTCGACTAAATGTATAGAATATGTTACAGTGCTGTTGGACTCACTCATTTCTAAGCTCAAATGCATCTAGCACGTGTGCAAGAAAGCTTTTGAAACATGGCTCACCGACATTTCAAGTATCTATTGATAACTTGAAGCCAACAAGTTAATATCGCCCTTTTCGTACGCTCCAATTTTTAAAATGCTTTGTCAAATGCATACATGCGTGGTGTACACATGCGAAAGCTCAACGGAGATTCAATTTCTACTGTTCTGAATGATGATCCATGGGATTCCGAAATCTATCGACCTTAAAATTACGCGTTTCTTGATAGTAAACACCCCTTTAAACTTATATAAAACTTGTAGAGAATTTAAAGGAGAATACAATGGTATTTATATCAAGTTTCTGGTGTACATTGTTCACTTGATATTTGATACAATTGTTTTTGCGATTTTCTGACTATTTTCTAAAGATTAATTACTATCTGTCATCAAAACTTATTGTTAAGCATTACTAATCATTGTAGACCAAACAATTTCCTACCGAATGAGCTATTGCTTGAAGCTCTGGCATAACTCTATCATGAAATATTGACAATATTGTCCTGACCAAAAAAAAGACCACCAGATTTTTTGCTTGCTATCACAGGCAGATTTTGAAGAAAAATCAATGATTTTGCATGCTACCCTTTTTTGAACATACCTCGACAAATACTAACCAGATTCGCACAAAACAAAGACCATTCGATAGCTCTACGTTAGATCCATTATAATGTGAGTGTTTCAATTACCAGATGTACGTTTCCTTATAAATTTGCTGAAGAACATATATTTTATGAGCTACAAGCTGATATATTCAGCAAGGTGCTAACTAACTAAAATCATACAAATAAATATATCAGTAAATTATCAGTTTATCATTCTGTGCAAAATTAAGACGATTCTTTATTGAATGAATTGTGTGGTCCCATTTATATCTTTGTGAATAATGTCAAATCCTGAGGTGTAAAGTCAAGTGTGATGATCCAGTGGATTGTCGTAAATGATATGTGTAAATAATCTACAGTTACGTGTAATTGTAACCGCTCTTGTATGTCATTGAATTAAATGGTATTGTTTCAGTAATAGTCATCCTACTAGTTGACTATTTGATGGGTCTTGATGTGCGTGTAGACTATAGTTTGATGTGCGTTTAGTAGTGTATGTAAAAACCGATGAGATGTTGATGTGTTGTATTAGGTGTGATATGTTGGATTATAGTGTGAAATGCATCAAATGAAAATAAGAAACCAAATTTACTGCTTTATTATGGCTTTGCACGTTTGCTTCCTTAGGGTTATTATACCTGTTTAAGGTCAAGGTTAGCAAATGTTGCCTTGACACCACAAATCACTTAATCCACAACTAAGTATAGCAGGTATAACATCATTAAAATTAGATGCAGTGTATTCTTGGGACAAGGGCTTGCAGTCTTCTCTAATTTGCTACTACGACGCTTTTATGTTCAAAGCTTCCAGTATTTACTACTTGTCCACTTATCTCGCTACGCTCGATGTCGGCGTCGCCCTGCGGGCTCTCATTGAAGCCGTTTTAAATCAGACATTATAACATTTTAGTATATCAAGTGGATTTTAAACAATTTATTATTAGTTAGTAACAGAAAGGTTGTATCAGAGCCAGGAGGAGGAGAGGAGGTATCTTCCTTAGTATTCTTTTTGCTTACGTTGATATTAAACAAAGCCTATTATTGGGATAATGCGAAAGAAATTCAAATTTTATGCAGTATTTGTATATCACAAATGCCATTTTTTGATAATAGAATTGTCATATCATTCACTGCTGCTGATGCTCTTAATAAGCTGGCGACATAAAGCTGGTCATAAGTAAATAAAGGACTTGTGTAAGATCTACAACGACTTTTTTGAGATATTGACATTGCAAAAGGCTCGCTTGTAACTAAAGCACCCAAAAAAAGTATTTGGGTTAAGCAGTTACCCTTCCAATTCCATGATCCCCATTTAATCAGCATCGCAATCATCATTATCATCAACAGAAAGGGCATTTAGGTCAGCCAGCAGCAATGCCGCCGCCAAAATTAATTCAACCTCAGCTTTTTTTTTCTCTGCTCAAGATTGAACAGATCTCGCCTTTTTTCGACTTCTTTAATCTATCTTTTGGTATTCGACTATATGAACTGTAATGATCACCCTACGCTGCCTAATACATTATTGAAGTGCTTTTCAAGGCGCTTCCGATGGTGCTAACTGTAATAAGTGCTTTGATTGAAACTATTGAGCAATTCAATAAATTTGAAATGAGGTTTTTAGCGAAAATAGCCATACTTTGTATATGAAAGACTCATAACAGTGGTTTCAGAGGTTGCTCTGGATCGAGAGAAACATTTTAATTTGATATATGCCATAGTAAAAGTCTTTATTTTCAAGGCGAAAAATGCGATCCTTTGATTTTCGTAAAAAAACCATGAGGGGTACCTCATGCTTTTTGGTCGATTTTTGGCCATATTTTTTTAGGTCTTCAAAAAGTTGAGCAAAGGTGTCAGAAAGTTACTACTACTCAAGTGCAATTGTTTGGCGTTATTCCGGTGGCTCAAAAAGGTCTACATGTCAAGATATGAAGGCTTGAAAACTGTCCAATTTGGTTATGTTTTGCTTTATGGCTTTTATTTACCCGACACGAACCACATCTTTAGTAGCTAAAGTCGTCTGGAAGGGCAGTTCTGCCACCTGTGCAGCTTGTAATTTCAACAGGAGACATATTGATTTCGGTAAAGCTGATTCATGCAAATTTTGATGTGATATGTTGCTGGTAAGCTTATTAACAGTGGAAATGAAATCCCGAATTTGCTGCTTGAACACTACTACGGTTTTACACCTTTGCTTGACTACGGTAAAATCGATTAGGACTAATATTACCAAATGTTGAATTAGATGCAATATCACTACACTTGACGACGGTGTCACCCTGCGGGCTGTCGCCGTAGACATTCCAAATCATTAACAATAATAAACTCTGCTATATATGTAGATATTAAACAATCCATTATTAATAAAGAAAGAGAGAAATCGAATTTACTACTTAGATACTACAATTTTGCATATTCGCTTCGCAACAATCAAGCCCTCGTATAGATCAATACTATGAAAGGCTGGGCTGGATTATATGTGAATACAACACGTAGAAAGACATGGCTTACAGATTTACTGAGTTTATTAAAGATGCATGCATTGAATACCCCAAAGAGTAGCACGCTTTATTATGTTGCCTTTGTTGCAGAAGCGGGCCCATACTGTTTAATTTTATTAATAGGATGCTATCTATTGCACGGCATGAGATAGTAAAAAGATAACATACATGAAAAATTGTCTTTTAATACTATCTATACAATACAATGTTTGCCACAATATTCATTAGATACTGTTTCTCAATTGCTTGATGACCGTGTGGAATATACAAGATAATCCAATCAGATTGTAGATAATAATCTTCATAAACTGCTATTGTAGTGGAATTAGGTTCTCGAAATTTTGTGGTACTATATTCGCTTTTACTATGCCATCGCATAGTTGAACAGTTCGTAATATATGAATGTTATTTT